GAGAAATTGTTCATAGAATCAGTGGCGACCAGAGCTATTTCCGACTGTGAAGTGTACTATTTTCAACTATTTTAAATAAGGCACTTTCAGCATAATTATACTAATATACTTAGACTTTTCTTCTATTGGTGCTAGTTGTACCAATGATCGTGGGCTAAGCAGTACCATGATTCTTCGTCCGTGGCCAGGTGGCATAGATGGTGACAACTCCTTATTTTTCCTTGATAACGAAAAAAAATCATCATTGACTGACACACGACCTACCACTTACTATATCAAGGTAGGTGCTGTCATATAAATGAGCGTCGTGGTCAATTCAGAATCCGTGAATTTTCATCTTCCAGCTGGTACCTGGTAGTTACCATGTCGTGCAATACTAAATAAAAAACGCACCTGCATCTCGAATAATCGAATTGTGCTCCTCCACAAAGTCTTTCACTTCTTGCGCTTCCAGTAGCTCGCGCATTACCCTGGCTTCTCATTAGAAGACAGGTTATATTGCAATTCCGATTTCTAAGTATTGAGGTGGAAACTTCGATGAAGTTGATGTATCTATCTTCCTCTTCCTCCATGGTATCCACCGTCACCGACACGGTCGAATAAGATATTAATACTTCTTCCACAAAGAGAGAAATCAACATTCTTTTCTCCAAAGCCAAAGCAAAAGAAAAATGTGCTGAATCATCAACTCGTTGGTTGCCGCTAACCAGTGCGGCCAGCACCTAAACCTAAAGTAGGTGGGTCAGGCCGCTTAGTTAGGAAGTTGTTGGCAAAAAAATGTAAGTAGATACAAGAAGATCAAGATGAGTAGCTAAAGCCATTCAGTACGTCAGCAGAAGCAGCTCCTGGCTTAATCTGAGGGGCGCTGCCTTGTCAGTACTACTCGGCGAAGGTTCTCCACGCCGCCCTCTCTTGGCGGACCGGTACAGAGTCCGGGATTTTTGCGACTATAAACATTTACTTCCACCTCTCGAGGGAGAGTGCCAGCAAGACGGGGCCCTTTCTTTTCGACATGTTCGCCGTCCTGTGCCTTTCTATAGAACCCTTCGTTAGGAACTCGAATGTATGCATAGGTGCCATCCGGCCGCTTCTTCCCGACTCTGAGCCACTTCCACTGATGAAAATGATGAAGAAAAACAAGAGCTTCCTCTTCTTTGGGGTGCACGTATTTCTCAACAGTGAAAACAGAGGACATGAAGAAGACAAATCTAATCTATCAAGCTCAGGACGACGACGTGGCAATGCAACATACATTCATATTCAGTTCTTCAATCTATAACTCATTAGTACTTCTTTGGAAGATCTTATAGTAGAGCAGTTTATAGGGGTGCCAGATCCGGGATGGGATGGATCGGATGGATCGGATGGATCGGATGGATCGGATGGACTTCCCACCATTTCAAGTAGGATCGGAAGAATCAGGGGGGTCCATCCGATCCATCCAAGTCCATCCTACATCCGTTCTATAAACTACTCTATTATAGTACAGCATAAAATTGTTTTCACAACCTGATCTGCCTACCAGTTGGCTAACTCTGAATGTATATCAAGTATAAATGGACGTGGTAGTACCGAGCTGAGATTTTCGTCGAATGTCTTGATAGTCTTCACCCAGGTTTTCCACGGTGCTATGCCATCCATCTTTTTGTTAATCCGCATCGCTGAAGATAGAATTGGCGTCGCTTGCTTCTTGAATGCGTGATTAGATGAAAGAAAGCACCAGTTCAGCACGTGCTGCTACTGGCTATTTTGAACTTGTTCATCTTTCATCATCACTGTAAGAATTATTATCGAACTAAAACTTCTACTACTCGACCGCTAAAAAAACCAATGGAGGCACGATGACTTTGTTTGAACATATTACATTTACATCATGGCCGTAACCCTTGCACCGAGTTGCTTTTCTCGGAAGGTACGAAATTCCCGCATTAACTCTTCCACTGCTATATCTGCAATCTGCTGACCAGGCGCCAGACTTAGAACATTAAGTTCAAGGGAGGCAGTTCAAACGCCCTCTTGGACATCCAGGAGTCGGTCTCTCACCAGGCACGACCAGCACTAGCGCATCAACAACAGCGTTCTAGGCAGGTAGAGATACTCTGACGTTCCTGGTAAAAAATTGCTTCTACAACATTTGCATTGTTCTAGTTGTAACATGTACAAGAAACCGGGGCCGCCCCTTGGGCGACCCCTCCCCGATAACCCCGATAACAGCACAGCCACAGGCACAGAGTAGAAACATAAGAGAGAGCAAATCCAAGCGACTGAGGCACGGAGCGCCCGCCCCTTGGCCTTGGCGGCTGCCGTCGAGATGATGGAGAGGAACAAAGCCCGAAGCAGCCCACGGACGGAGCCCGAAACCCTTGCGCGCGGAATCAATTAGGCACGCCAGCCACGCCAATTTGACCGAGCCGCAACATGAAGGAGCAACAATTTGCGTGATTATTACTTTGCCAGCGGTCACCAGTACTCCGTACTAGCCCGCCTGCGACATTGCCATGATGGATCACAAACAAAGTATGCGAGTGTGAATGATGATGATCACCACACAGGATCGGCAATGGGGCAGACGAGCTAGGCGGAGTAGGGGACTGAAGGAACGCGAAAAGGAGAATGCGAAGTTTGCGAAGAGAAAGCGAAGGGAAGTCCGAGTGAAGACTCGGGGCCCCAAACGTAGGTCGGCCTCGAGCTGTGAAGACGAAGCTGCGCACAAGGCGGGAAGGGTGGGAAAAGAAAGCGAGTGAGAATGTGTACACATTGAATGAGAATAAGAATGAGAATGAGAATGAGAATGAGAATCGCCACTAGTGATAGTGATGCCGCGTGTAGGATGCGCGGCCCCCGAATGAATAGTGAACACCGAAGCACGTTCCTTCCAACAAACCGACTCACTCAAACTGGCTTAGCCAGACATCTACGATGTCTTCGCAAATCCATAATGAGACAAGCCCAGAGGACTTCCATGCGCGCGCGGGGGCGGAGGTGTTGCCAATGCCGTAAGGTGCGCTCGACGTCGGTGAGCCCAAGCCCGCGCGCCCTGCTTGTCTTCGCTGGTCCCGCCCAGCTTGCCCAGGCAGTTTGGCTGGCCAGCTTTGGCCGCTCAGACCTCTCCGGTCGGAGCTGCCCGCGTTCTCACCTCAGGCTAGCTGCTCTCAGGTTTCTTTTTTGGCTCAACGAGCGGGGGCGGCCCATCCATCGACCCCACCTCAGCCCCCAAAGTGCCCCACGACCTCGCCAAACGCAGCACGACCGACCTTCCCAAACACAGCCCGACCTCCCAAACCCAAACACTACAGCGCGACTCCCTAAGCACAGCACAGACCAAAGCTACAACGTGGCCACTCAAACGCAGCGCGTCCCCCAAGCAACACACGAGGCACCAAATACACCACGGCCCTCCAAACTTACTAACACACCACGACTACCAAGAAGACACGCCATAACCCTCCAAGCAACCCACTACGGCCCCCGAAACGCAATGAATACGAGCACGCGCATGGGGGCACACCATGACCCCGCGCGCAAATTTAATTACTACTGCCCGAACCTCTGGGCATTATGTAGCCCCCAAGGCACAGAATTATAGCCCCCCGAGAGGACACAGCGCGACCCCCCAAGCATGAGGCGGCCCCAGACACTCTACGACACGCCATGACCCTCCAGACACACCACGACGCGACCCCCCGGCGGGCACATGCCACGACCAAAAAGGCGCAACCAGAGTCCTTAAACGCCGAGCGACCCCCGCAAACACACCACGAACGACCACCCCAGACACACCACACCCCCCGGCCCCCCCCAAACACAGATCGACGCCGCGACCTCTACACCTACGCCGAACCCCCGACGTATGCCAGAACCCCCCAGCGACGCCGTGGCCAATAACTAAGGCGCATAATGGCGCCCCAAACGCTGAGCGACCCCCCCAACACACCACGAACCCCAAACATCGACAGACGCCCCGACCTCTAAACGCACCACAGCCCCCCAAACTCGCCACGGCTTCGCCCCCCCACGCGACGCGACCCCTAGGGCGCAGCTTGACCAAAGCCAAGCCCCCCAGAGCAGCACGAGCAAGCCCCCGAAAAAGACATAACCAGACCCCCCAGGCACCGCATGACCACACCCCTCCCCAAACACCACACGGCCAGACCTCTGGGGAACCGTATGGGCAAGCCCCAAAGCTACAGCATGCATGGCCCCACAAAGACAAAGCAAAGACACCACCGCCGCGGAGGGAAAGATGGGGAGCAGCGTGGCCCCCCGAAGAAACGGGCACCATAGCGCGAACCCTAAAGCCCAGCGCCTTGGGCTGTTTCTCATTCTCATATGGATGCAGCCAGCGCCTTCAAAATAAGAGCAAGAGGACCCACCGCACGCGGCTTATAATATCAAGAGCAAGCTTGTGGAGCTTGGCAAGACGATGCCCACCAACTGCCAGACTTTTGCCCCCGCGGTTTTCTTCTCAGAGAGATACCACGGGGCCAGCCTCTAAAAGTGGCACTTTTTGCGGCTTCCTCCTCGCGTTGTCGGTTGCGACCGGGCGCCGGGGGCCTGAACGGTTGCCCGGGCGGAAGTTAGGCGCCGCGTGTCTATCTTGGCGAGATTGCCAACCCGCGGACTTCTCCGGCCGCACTCTCCTCGAGGGGTGTCCAGATCCGCGAGGAGCTAGCCGCGCGCCTACAGCTATGGCCCCCAACCCGCGCGGCTGGCTCTCGGACTTACATTTAGACTCGGCGCTTTTTCGGCTTTGTGCCACGAAAATCATCAAGCAGTTGGGGAGGTGTGAAGGCGTTGCCAGCAGGTTGGCCCCCCTTCCCCTTAAGGTACCTCGCTCGCAACCTCCGCAAGAACACTCCCACAGAGGAGCTGCGCGACGCTAATCCCCCTACGGTGGTGCTGGTTTTTCTGCAGTTTTCTTTCAGGCTCTCAACAAGCGTCCCCGCGTCTGATCTGGCGCGGAAGTTGGAAAGGGGGTTGCGCAGGGGTTGGACAGGGGTCGCCCCCCCTGCCACCCCCATCCCCCCTAGGCCATTCCTTCTCCCCCCAACAATCCCCCAAAAAAGCGAGACTCTTTTGACCATTTGGACAAGCACAGGGGTGGGACAAGGGTAGGCCCCCCTCCTTAAGCTCGAGAATGGGACCCCCTGGGCTTTACGGGATTTCTAGTGCGGGCCAAGCGATCGCCAGGCGGGTCCTGCTCCTGCTGGAGCCTCCTGTGGTTCCTGCTGGTTCCTGTGGTTCCTGTGGTTCCTGTGGTTCCTGTGGTTCCCGTGGTTCCTGTGGTTCCTGTGGTTCCTGTGGTCCCTGTGGTGCCGGTGGCGCCGGTGGTTCCTGTGGTGCCTGTGGTGCCTGTGGTCCCTGTGGTCCCTGTGGTTCCTGTGGTTCCTGTGGTGCTCCTGCTGGAGCCTCCTGCTGGAGCCTCCTGTGGTTCCTGTGGTTCCTGTGGCTCCTGTGGTTCCTGTGGTTCCTGTGGTCCCTGTGGTGCCGGTGGTGCCGGTGGTGCCGGTGGTTCCTGTGGTGCCTGTGGCGCCTGTGGTGCCTGTGGTGCCTGTGGTTCCTGTGGTTCCTGTGGTTCCTGTGGTTCCTGTGGTTCCTGTGGTTCCTGTGGCTCCTGTGGTTCCTGTGGTTCCTGTGGTTCCTGTGGTTCCTGTGGTCCCTGTGGTTCCTGTGGTTCCTGTGGATGTGCTCACTGCGGTCATAGTTGTGCTGTCGTGCTAAATTAGGCGAAGTTAACACAGGCTGGGGCCTCCTCCGTTTACATTTTCAAAGTGGTAAGGTAGCCTACACGACTAGAAATCCCGTAAAGCCCAGGGGGTCCCTTTCTCGACCCTACGGCCCCCCTCCCCCCTCTTGGTCTTGTTAGTCGCGGCAGCGGCATAGCCCGCAGTCCGTCCGCCGCACGCGGCACAGCCCGCATCGTAGAACGCTGAGGACGGAAAACCACGCACGGCCTCTATCAGGGGTCAGCACATTCGTAACGTCACTCATCTCAATTTTTGAAGTAACGGCATCAGCAAGATTATAGCTCTCGACTTTTTTCGTTATTCGATGCCGCTGAAAATGTCGAAGATAGTCGACGGACCGAGTCCGCGGAGTGTGAGCCCCAAAAACCGGAGTGGAGCCTTTTTGGAGTTTGCTCTTCTTTCAGGGTTGTCGCGCGTGTTTGGTGAGTGTCCTCCTCAGGTTGTGAAGCCGGTCGGTATTCATCCGAGTCAAGTAAGCCGCGCACTTGCAAGCTATTGCATTCCAAGCCCACGCGTCTTGCCTCGCGGCGGGGGGGACTCCATCGGGGGAGGTAGCGCTTGGGACTTGCGATAGGGTTGGGGGCGAAGTGGCCTCACGCTTGCGGTCTTGCGAAGAGGGTTGCGCAGGGGTTGGACAGGGGTCGGGCAGGGGTAGGCCCCCCCTACCCCCCCAACCCCCACTAGGGCCCCCCTTCTCCCCCCAACAATCCCTCGAAAAACCTCTCTAGTTAAACTAAAAGAAATCCATCTTCGCCCGCATCCTGGAACCTTTTCCTCCTTCAAAACGGTCTCAGGATGCCTGTAAAGATGGATTTGTGGTAGCCTTACTCTAGACTCTTTTGACCATGATTACTCTGTTAATATAATTTGGCCAGCAACCAACGGATCTATCATGATCCACTTAACAACTACAGGAGAAAACGTTGCAGCCTTAATCCTCGTTGCTTTCCGCAAAGGTAGTGCGGATCCGCCAAGACTTGAGGAATGTTTGGTGAGATAACACGCTGTATCATTGATGCGCCGACAGTAGACCCCACCATCTTAGAGGAGTTTTTATCCATCTTGTATTTTTTGCAGCTCCTGCTCCCCTTCCCTCCGGTAGTTGTTGCATCTCTACCAAATCTTCAATCACAACCTTTGCTGCAATCGTGAACTTGAAATTGCTTGGAAATGTCAATCGTTATCTATTTCTAGCATAGATTTTTACATATGATTAACATTAATGTTGGTGACCTCGTCTCTCTTGCGAAATTATCATGCACCATCAAGATCAATCATCACGATCACCAGATGAATAGCATAAGAGCTGCCGGATTGTCTTTTCCGGTGATATCGGGGTACATATCAACGTAAGACACAGGACCAGGACCAGACACGCCGGACGGAAGTTTATAGCTTGGTGGTCTCTGCGACGAGGCGCGTTCTCTCGGAAAGTCCTCCTCTAGCCCTGGTCGTGGGGCCATCATTCGATACACGGCGCTTCCGAACCCGGGTCGCTGCTCGGTTGTGGGGTCATTCGCGTTTCTGTCGGATCGCGGAGTGTAGTCCTCATCTCCGCTAGCACCTGCGTCCTCATACTGATCACCTCCACGAGCCTCGATGCCCGGCATGAAATTAGACGAATATGGTGCATCGAAGATATGCTACTAGTTCTGAAGATGCACTTCTTTTTTACTCTTACTCTATCAATGCAGCATGCATTCCTCAACAAGAATGTTTGGATCTGCTAGAGCTAGTCCTAACGTCGTAGATCTACATGCGAATGCGATTAAAATCATGCAACAGTCCTCTAGGCCATCTTTTCTCCGCTGCGGTGCATATTATTTGCCAAATAATAGTAAACCATGCATGATTTTATTATTTATCAGTTTGAAACAGAAACTACATTCAGACATGGAGTTACGAAATGGTTCTACTTGTACAGGAATCTACTACTAGTACTTGGTGTAGGCCTGAAACAAAGTTTTGATCTTGGAACTCGTGAATATATGTCTAATTTTGTCGTAACCTCTTCATCAACGCCATCTTGCGGGATGGCGCCGCTGTCGACATCATCCGTAGGTCCTTGTACAGCGCCTCGTGATGCTGAACCTGGCTCGATTGTGTCGCCGCGCTCTGCACCGCCGTTAACGGATCCGTTCCGTCGCCCCACAACTTCATTAACAACAACGAGTTAGAAGAGAGATGATGAGATGAGACGTCTACAACTGGTACTCGTACTGAAGTCTTAGAAAAGAAAACAGAAAAATGAGAACGAGCAGCACTTTAGGCTATTCACAAACTAGCAACGGAGGTAAGTTGCCGTAGCCAATGGACTTTGTCAAGATCTGTCGTTCAGCACTAGCGGACTTCGTCGACGGCGGTCGTTCAGCACTAGCGGACTTCGTCGCCGGCGGTCGCTCAGCACCAGCCCACTTCGTCAACGGCGGTCGCTCAGCACCAGCGGACTTCGTCGACGGCAGTCGCTCAGCATCAACGGCCTTCTTCGACGGCGGTCGCTCAGCACCAACGGATTTCGTCGACGTGTGTCCAGTGGATATTGCGGTCTTCCGGAGGCGGTCCGGAAGCAGATCTTCGACCACATGGTGCGCATCGTCATCAGCGAAGCGGTACGTCGAGGACCTTTCCTCAACAGCCTGGCCGTCTACATAGGTTATTCGTTCCTGGTGATATTAGGTTTAGGATCAGATAGGATAGGATAAGATAGAAGAGGATTTGACTCGCCGTCCACAGGGAGAACCTGTATGCTCAAGCGAAAGGACGCGACCACACGACAATGGTCGCAGGGCTAAGGATATAGTTATATATTAATGTAAGTAGAATCGCAATACCAAGAACATTATCGTCATGGATTTGGATCATACTAGTGCACGACCTGTCCGAAATAGTAGTAGTACTATTGGCCTCGTGGTTGTGAAGTAAAGTCAGTTGCTGCAGAACACGCAGCGGCTACTGTCCATTATGTCGAACATTATGAAAATCCTGTCAAAACACTAGTCAAATTGCAAATAGCGACAACAAGAATTGGTATCAATGCTTCAAATGACCTACTTCTGATAAAACATAGAATCAGAACACAATCTATCAATGAACAAAATGTGGCATAATCCCTACGCGTTTGTGAAGCTGTTCTTTTCAATCTACTTAGTTTCATTTTGGACGTACTAGGCAAAAAATTACACTAAAAACTACAAGACAAACAGAATAAATAAAAATATTGCTATTCCAATTTCTGTTTGTCCCTATGTATTCCAATTCCTGTTTGTCTTTACTGTTTTCATTGAGAAAGACAAAGAAGACAAGCAGGGTCAGCGGGAACCACACTAGTGCAGGACCGTACAGCAAGAAGAAGAGAGTCTAGATAGTACGCACCTGTATCGTAGCAGTACTAGCTAGGCTTCATGTAGTTGTTGCAGTTGAACATGTTCATCTAATATATTTGCATGCATAGTAAAAATAGTATTCAATTTACATCAAGTTGTTCATCTACCTGGCTCGAATGCGATCCCGTGAGCAGACCTTCTGGGGGTTCGTCCACAATAGCAGACCCCTCTTTGCGGCGGATAAGAGGCGCAAACCCAAACTCGATCTTCCGCGATGAGGCTTTTTTTGGTGGTTTCGAGGCCTTTCGCGGAGGATCTGAGGAAACGATACCACTTCGCACTTGGCCCTCCTCGTCGAAAGAAACAGACATCTGCCCCTGTCCGTAATTATCAAATTTACCCAGCAATTTCTTAGAAGTGTAACAGTGCCTCACATGTATCTGTTGAAAACTTGGGCGTAGTGGAGCTGATGATATTGTGATATAATGATGACAATGTTGCTGATCTGACGACGTTAGCGCTACCGTCAATTGGTGTTGTTAATTACAACATACCGATGACCAGAACGAGCCTCTCAAATAATAAGAGCATCTAGGTGCTGCTTACAAGTAAAGGTTGTGCTGGTAGAAAAGCATTCTTCCCAAACATTGAAAAGAACAGACTTTCTTTGATTTACTTCAATCCTGCGTGAACATGAAGATCAAACAACAAATACGTGATCGTGAACGTGAAAATGGTGATTCTATGTATTTTTTACTAGTGGCTTATCCTTGTTCTTGAAGATGAATGTTGACAATGTGATGAAAATTTATTTTGCCCACTTCATAGTCATACTCTAGCTCTACACCTTGTAGTTATGACGCCTTAATCGATTCGAACTCTTGATGTCTCATCGGCGACGCTGAGCTCAATAGTCCCCCTCGCTGCAACAATTTCTGATATTTTGCTGCTTCAAGCGATTGGTTTGCAATACGCCGATCTGAATCAATGAGAGCGCTTGCTCGACTAACCAAGGCGTCCTTTTTCATCTGGGCAATTTGAGCACTAAGCAGATGACGATGATCTTTCAGGTGCACTCCTCTATTGGCTTCTTAGATGCGAAGGCGAACGAAAACTAGTATTAATGTTCATCAGTCAATAATGATGAAGGTGCTAGAAGATTGTAGGTCGTTAAGTAAACTAACTGCTGCACTAAGTTTTTTGATTGGGATCGAGTGGAAGTTGGTTTGAGGATGGGTTTGGACTAGATTCAGGTAAAGATCTTATGTTACTTAGAGCACTTATAAATCTATTAACCGACGAAGTGGAGGGATGTGGTCAGGGCTCTGGGCCATAAGCACCACCTGCAGCCCAGAGCTCAATATTCATCAGTCAATAAAAACTGATGTTCATCCCTTATGGTGAAGTAGAACAAGTTCTTTTATTTTAGAAGTTGATGTTCCCTATCAATATTAGCGACTTTTTATTGAGGACTATCTTCAGGACTACAAGAACTAGAAAATCTACTAGTTACTTCATCCTCAGTTCTCTATTCATCCACTCTCTAGTTGTGTTCAAAGCCCTAATTCGCACCCTGCTCGTAGACCAGCTGGTTATATCCTTTCGTGCTCCCATCTGCGTTGCGAGACAGCCAGAAAACAAATTAGACGCCTACTCTCCTTGACCTAATGCTTATGCTAATATGCCCCTGATAGAAGTAGAAAGATATGCTACATCTTCATGTTGCCAGCATCGAAGACATTGTCATTCCTACCCCTGTGAGAAGAAATCTCTATCCCTCAACGCAGCACAAAGAAGTACGTCGTAAAGGTATGATCGATGTATGATGATGGTACTCTTCGTAATTCAAACTCAATTATGAGATGCATAGGGAAAATAAAAGTAAAAACTCAACTCCGACAATCTCAATTCACAACCCTTAATGATATTGGTCCCAGTCGCTGATCTCACCTCGTTCTACCCAGTCTGGCGCGATGGCCTTTACCGCCTCAAGGTCGGGATTTCGCGAAACAAAATAGGCAAATCTAGCGCTACGCAACAAACCGATTTTCTCATCCACGAGATCCTGTACGTGGAGATGGGTGGGAAACGATAAATGGATGAAAATAGATAATATCTTCAACATAGTGCAAATCCTTTAGAGAAGTACAATCTATGAATGTATACGATCTCTTTCTCGTCTTGGTTCTCTTCAAAAGTAGGTGGAGGTGTTCTTGAAATTAAGTAGATGTCTTCTTGTTGTACTAGGAGTTCTTGTACTTACAGCACGCCTTGCTCGTCCAATTCAAATATGTATGAGGGTTTGGGCCTATGCTGCAAAAGCAAGGTGCTAATTAGTGTACTTGATAGTCGGCGCCAATTAGTGTGATTCATAGTCCTGGAGGTCCTAGCCCCCGATAGTCTCCAGCCCCTTCCCGCCCAGTCCCGATAGTCTCCGACCGCTTTTTTGCGTGAACTTACGAGAAAGCCCCCGGGCATACTTCCAGAAAAGAAGCCGCAAAAAATTTCCGACCGGGGTAGGGGCGCCAGTTAGGGATAGAGGTCTGACGAAAGAAGACTCACGAAAGGCGTCTGACACTGACCGAAGACACGAAAAACGTCTGGCGAAAGACTGACACCAGACGAAAGACACCAAACGCAAGCCCTTTCACAAGAGACGCCTCACGAAAGACGCCCGGCGACGGACATCCGACGAAAGACATTTCACACGAGAGCGAGTCGCCTCACGAAAGGCGCCTGCTGGCGAAGCAAAGACTCCACACGGAAGACCGACGTCGGGCGGACGACGTCTCTCTGACGCAAGACACCCGAGGGCCGACGAAAGACGCCTGACGAGAGGCGTCGAAGATAACAAAACTGGCGAGCCACGTCGGAGGAGAGACGCATGACGATACACATCTGACGAAAAACATCCGACGAAACGCATCGACACTGACGAAATACATCTGACGAAAGACATCCGACGCAAGACATCTGACGAAAGCGAGACGCCTGGCGTCGGGCTGGCGTCTGACTGTCGAAGATGAGTCGGGCAAACATCTCACGAAAGACGGCTGACGATAGGCGTCGATCCTACACAAGACGCCCGACGCAGAACGCATCAGTCTGACGAATCAGTCTGACGAAAGGCATGATCAGGCTGACGAAAGGCATCAGTCTGACGAAAGGCATCAGTCTGACGAAAGGCGCCCGCCTGACCAAAGACGCCAGCCCGACGAGGCAAAGGCGTCAACCTGACGAAAGAAATCGGCCTGACGAAAGACGTCGACCCGACGGAAGACGTCAGTCCGACGAAGGAAAGACATACCCTGGGCCACGGACGCGCTTCGTTTGGACGAAAGAACCCACCATCCAATTCCAAAGGCGTCCGACGAGGCAAGATATCCTGCCAGCTGTACGTAGAGAGACCCAAACCGGCACGCCCATGCGCTTTCTTTCTTGACCCACCAGGGTCACCCCTCTTGCCTGCCACCGCGGCCGCCCGGCTATATATATGCGCGGGGGCCTGCCGGTCCTTACGCGTGTACGATGGTCCTCTTCGGGTTTTTTGTTGGACTGCCGTGGGGGTCTTGCAAATTCTTAAGGATTTGCGTGACCCCCCGGCAGTCCAATAAAAAAACCGAAGGCAGCCGACTCATCTGCCCAGGGGTCAATGTGTCTAAGTCGGTTAGCGCCGGCACGCTCTACGCAGTCAATTCTTCAAGGTGAACTTTCGATAGCTGACCCGCGGGCTGTCTCTAGCTGTAGCCCGTGGGCGGCGGACTGTTAAAGCTAAGCGCGAAGCCGGGCGAAGCTTGTGGAGGCTAGTTCAAGAACATATATTAGAAAGACTAAAACAAAGATTCAGATTGATTAAGATTGATTCTTACCTGCCAAAATTCCGGGCTGTGTCGAGGCTGCAACTTGATGGGACTTCCTATCTTAGAGCATATAATTCGGTCGTTAATAGCACTAGCAGTAGTGGTAGACCCATTCTCGAGGTCGTGAGTCTGACCCTGACGTGGTAGGGGAGGGGATTCAACAGCACCTTCAACTGAATGATGTTCATCCCCACCTCCTGACTCCACCTCTACCTCGAAATCTGATAAGGAATGTTGATGCTCATGTGCTCACGCATATGCTGCACGCTGGTCGTGCTTTTCAGACTCGATATTCCCCGAATCATGGTGCCGCGCACACGAACAGCCATCAAGAAAATCAAAAAAATGGATAATTATCAAGCAAGTTGTCAATGGAATTTATTAGAGCTAGATAGATAAGTAGATAGATACATACTACTCATCTTAACTATTGAGGCACGATGTTTCTCGTTCATTGCGTGCCAACAAGCCAGTTCCAATCGGCGATCGCTCTCTTCTTGCGTGGCTTCAAACAACAAGCTCTCTGTATGGTCGTATATTTTTTGCTTCCTCATTAGAGCTCGTGTCATTCGTACGTTCGTGTCATCCGTGGGGATCCCTCATCAAGATGAAAAAATTATATCCTCCTTGTAGTATCGATAGATAGATGAGAGAACAACTACCAGTCCTATACATAGTAACAACACGGATCTTCAGGTTGGGGGATCCCGATTTAGAGATGACAGATTAGAAGTGGCAGCCTTAAATTCACTTTTTTCCGGGTCTCCTCCTTGTCTAAAGTCTTGGCCTGTTGTGAAAGATCAAAGAGAAAGATGAAAGTTAATAGATTGCAGGGGTTTTATTTTCAGACAGAAGACTCAGATTACAGTTGTGAAAGATTCAGTGTATCATTAGCTGATGCGCGAAGAAGTCATCTGCATCAGCGAGTGTCAGTGTCTAGTAGTTGTAGTACCACGAACTAGTGGTATCGAGCCGCCATCTTCACTATTCTAATTCTTTGCAAACATAAGATTAAGAAGTTACATCAAACTAAAATATATTTAAGGTGGCAGTCACGCTTAGGACTTACACGTATTTGAGTAACAACTCATAGCTAACACCAAAAGATACAAACGAGAAAAGCGGAGGGATTTGAATCTTTTTAGCAGAGTGACTACTGAACTTTTCCCACCTGATGAAGTCAAAGGTTGTAGTAGTAGAAGTACGAGATTGATGGGTCGAGTCTGGAAATTCTTCTCGCTGTAACAGGAAGGAACGAAGCCGTATTTTGCGACGGAAGCTTCCACTGTCTGGTGATAGTCTCTACTGATTTCTTCGATCGCATCCCGCACGAGAGGCCTAAAATTGGGCTCACTTTTAGACGAGAGCCTTCTTGATGTTTGAGTTTGCCGATCTGACCCCTCTTTTTTACTCTGCTCCTCGGCCGCAGCCTTGGCCTTATTTCCGGCGCTGCGATCAACCTGAAAACAAATCAAAGTGCTCATGCTCTTCCATGATCAACATGAAAAATACTGATAGGGAGGAGGTCTAAAGCAACGTATCTACTGCTCAACAAGCTGAGTCTCTCTAGCAACATGATGATCATTGTGCCTAAACTACTATAGGTGGTGAAGCTAAAGGTGCTCAATTGATACCAAAGGCCCTTACAACTGGGCTTTTCAGTTTTTGTAGTGCTGGCTACTTGTGTGGCTGTGGTTTCTCCTGTAACAACTCAACATGAACGTACTAGGCAAACAAGTGATAAAAAAATAAAGACTCGATCACCATGATTTTGCCTTCTTGCGTGAAGGTGATATCTTCAGGTTGCACCAAGCGTAAATCATCGTCGATAAGGACATGCCCATGACTATCGAGGACGTAGGTGAAGTTGTGAGTCTGCCCCACAAACACTTGATCTGGCTGGCCCTGCGGCTTAATCTGTGCTTTACTCCTTGTTGACGCTATCATTAGAGCGAAGCTCCTTAGTCCATCACTGTGGAGATCTTCCCTCAAGAAGACCCCGCAGATGTAGTAGATGAGTCTCCCTGGTATTATTTGGGTACAACTCCGTGCGGCTCAGGGTCAGGGATGATCCCGATCATAGATGAGCAGCCACAGATCGATGGACGAGGATAGCAATTACAATGAATTAGAGGAAGCCCTAATATTACTTGCTTCGCCAATGGACTGCCTGGGATGTACTTTCTCTCGATTTCACTCTGCAGCTTCCTTTCCAAGAAGTCATCGACCTCCTTCTCCAAGACTTGTTTTTTCGATGGGATCACTGTCCGCGCGACTTTTTCATGTTTCAACTTCATCTCCTCGTCGTGCAAATGCATAATCACCGAGGCCATGTCTCGGGCGCCCCGGGACTTGGCCCGGGTCACCTTCCCCACCATATCCAACGACATCCTGTTCTTCCTGAAGATATGCTAGTCCAACTCGAAGTGGTCCTTAATATCAAGAATCATAAAAAATCAACGGACGGATTACTATTAAGAAGCCCTTGATATTCTTTATGTGCTTTGAGCGTCCTTAACAAACAGATGGTGGGGATAGAAATACAGTTTTACTTTTTATAGATGATGACTTCCGTAATAATTTTTAGTATTGGCGAGGGTGTAGTGGTACCTACCACTGTTGATACAGGTTGCGCGGGATTCAAACGGATGGGGCGGGCGTAAGCGAAGAGTTTGTACGAGGCTGTAAGAACACGGAACGAATCGAAGCGCCTGCTGATAGTCATAGTACCGATGGCGGTGTTGATATGAACTCACAACCGATATGAAGACCGAGCATGCTGGACAAGATGTACCAACGAAATTGTCCTCGCATATTATGGACCGGTGCGTCCAGGCGTCGAGGCTGAACATAATCGGATATTCTTACATCAAACATGTTGAAGATGATGATATTACACACAAGTCATAATTGATAAAAGTTTCAGTACTCTCTTTCTCTCCACGATACTCATGCTGATCTCCCTCGTGTTAGAAATTTCTACACTACATTTGAAATGTGCATCTTCATTCATGTGCTTCGCCCTGGCACTATCTTAGCCCCCCCACTACACATTATTGACGAATATGATTTATAGATCTTTTTTCACCTGATGTAGATGTAATTCGTGTAAGATGAATTACGTCATCAAGGTCAATGTCAATCTTCTCGTTCTAATACTCAGAAGTTGGATCATCATCATCAAGTTTCTCATGATCTTCTCTCAACCACGAACACTTTGAAACTCTCTCATGGTCGTCCAGTCGCGGGAGCCGAAACTCAGTACAACAAATGCAGAACAAGACGAAAGTAGCGCCGAGTGGATGCCATGTGTCCGTTAAACCAGGATTGGGCAAGGTACGGGGACATTGCATAGGCGAGCTACGACAAGCCAAGCACGTCGTAGCTTTTGAAAAGAAATACAAATGTTGAGGATCGTCTAGGACTACGACTAGGTCGAGAAGGAAGTAGGACTACTATGACTATGTATATGACAATATTATAAAGGGTCCTTGTCAGCCTCAATGAGACCGGGATCGCGAGCGCGCACGTTTCCTTTCTTGTTCGTGAGCCCAGTGAATGAGTCTCTTGTACTCTTTCCGGCAGTACTCTTCGCACCTCTCCTCCAGCTTTTCGAAAAGGTATGATCGCTCAGGGTCGGCCAGAATGCGTTGCTGGTTCTCGGATTTCACAAAGTTGCGGTGCAACTTCATGATCCGATTCACGAAAGTGGTGCATGCGGTTCGAGCAATGTAGCGCACGAGCGTGTTGGGAGTTAACCTTCGCAGCCAGCTGGTCCAGTCAATCTCGACCATCCCACGAGCGTGCATGGCGTCCAGCAGAAGAGGTCCCTGAGTTCCGTCAGCAGGGTCATACTTCGGGTTCACGACTTTCATCGGCGTGCCTATCATCAGCAGCCTGTCAATGTAATTTCGGACTATCCTGCGTCGCTCTGTCTCCGACAAACCTGGAATTTCCGTGTCTCCGCGCCACTGGAAACTCGCGTTGTTCTCGTAAACTTCTTTTGCAACCTGTGGGTGGGGCCGCGGAGAGTACTCGAAAAGTACTAGGCCAGGCTCAAAATGTTGCTCGTCCGGAATTTTCTCACCTGGTGAAATTGTTTTTAAAGAAACTTTTTAGCTTGTAAGTATACTTGGTGGATATCGAGATTTTGGCTGAGGAACACCCTTATATCATACTGTGAGAAAAATAGTCGCCAGTCCTGAACGAAGAGATTGATTGTAGTGATAATCATCAATGAATAAGAAATGACTTCCCCCGTAGTTCATCTCCAACACCTAGTAGTCGGAGTACTCCAAGCAGTAGCAGTACCATTCTTCATCGTGGACAGTTTGTAGTGCATGCGTTTAATCTCCAGCACCGAGTTCATCGCGTCGAGGTGCAGAAAATCGCCCATACAACGGTGGTGGTATTGTTCGGAGCAATTTTTCAACATGGCGGGCAGAGGCAGCGAAAAGCGAGTCTTGTACAGGCGGTCCGACAAGGTCCACTCCTTCACCGTCGTAGCGCTTTCCATGAAGGGCCAGAGCGGTTGCATCAGGTCGATTTCATGCACGATGGAAGCCACTTGGGAAATGGGAAGCGGCACAGGACTCACGTCGAAGTAGGCGGTCACTTTGTCCCTGGCGTAGTTGATGCGGACGTCAAACGTCATCGGAACGCGGTACACCGGATCCAGCATCGAATACGAGAAGGGAACAAAGTCCGTTGCGCGCTTCTCCGCGTAGAGCTGCGTAAGTGCGGACTCCACGCAACTCAGCGTGTAGGCCATCGAATCGCACATCTGCCGCACCGCAGACGTGCCCTGGAGATGCCGAAAGTACTTCGAAAGTTGGGACACGATTTGCGTTCGGCGGTCCTCCACGTATTCGCGCGCCAAAGCTGAGTTTGACAACACAGCGCCGAGAATAGCGTATTTCTGAGCTCGGGTGGGAACGGCAGATGCGGAGGACGTCCAATAAGGAACAGCACCTGGAGCTTCTTGTTCCTGGGTACCGTTTCCGCTACCTCCTGAAGGAGGCGTGCTGACCGGTCGATTCGCATTTATTCTTGCCCCACCGCGGCGTCGCCCTCCGAGGAAGCCTCCGCCAACTAGGAAATCCGGCTCTCCGTCTTCTACTTCTTCTTCGAGTTGTATTTGATTCAGTAGCTCCACGTTCGCACCGCGCATCACTTCCTGCAACAGCGGTCCTCCTCCCTGTAGCTCGCTCACTTCTGTCGACGGTACGTCGCTGAACCCGCCTGTTGTTACTTCTCGTGAAGGTGTCCCTCCTGAATGCAATGGTGTCATCGCTCCTGGTGATGACAGGACGTCTTCCACGATAACATGACTTTTCGCGATGTTCTGGCTGCGCGAAATTTGTCGGCGTCTGCGTGTCAGCATGCCCTGCTGTCCTGGCACCATGGAGTCCTGATCGGACTCGCCACGAGAGGAGGCGTTAGTGTTGCTCCGCAGACTGGTCGCACTCTTTCCGGTAGGGATAGGCGGAGGCGTTGCCTGCGATCTCTCTGATATTGCATGCTGACCCAATGCGTTCGCGGCAGGTGCAGGAATGAGAAAATCGTCTGGATTGAAAACATTTTGTTCGCTAGCTGCCGCTGCACCACGGGTAGAAGACAGAGAACCTCCGAAGCTCGGCTCATTCGCGGCATCGTCGAGATCGCAAACGACCAGAGAAAACTCGACATTTTCGTTTTCGGTAGAAGATGCTTCACGAGGCCTGCCAGGTTGACGTGAAGGTCTATTGTTTCGTGCATTTTTGTAAAAATTCTGCACTCCTTCTTGAACCGCCTCGATGACAGCCACACTCGCTGTGTTCTTGAGCGGCAATGGAAGGGGCTCTAAGCCGATCTCGCTGCTCTCGTTGGCTAGGAAATTCTCCATCTCGATCAGCTTGTGCTTGGCCTCACTCACGCGCAGAGTACGCGTCAAATACGCGATCACTTCGAACTGCATCCGAATCAGTGCACAGCCTACGCGATAGAGGCGCGCGCATTCGTCTCGAACCCGCTGTCTCCTTATCGTAATCTCTTTGGCCGACAAAACGCTAGATTGCTTGTCATTCTGATTTTCAGTTCTTTCTTCACCTCTCCGTGCCCGTGGTTGTCCTGATTCACCTTCAGCTACAGCAAGTTTTTTATCTTTCTCTTTGCCAACATCTCCAATATTGGAAACGACCTGCATTCCATCTTCTTCATCGTTTTTCCCGCCACTTCGTGCTTGCTTCCGGCGCCGTTCCTTGTCAGTTACTACCACAATGGGGCGTAATATATCGACTGTATCGGTCACGAGGGTAATCAACAGATCTAAATAATCTGTCTCGTCCTCAACCCCCTCGTTTTGCCTTTGTAACTCAGCGAAAATTTTCTGAAGTAATTTGCCGTCTGTACGTCGTGACTTTGCGCTGAAAACAGGAGATGCCGCCCGAAGAGATCCATCTACCCCGGCCAGTGGCTCTTGTTTTTCTTCTTGCTCAGGAGGTTCCCCTTGATCCACCCCGGAAAATCGACCGACTCCACCTCCGTCCTCCATCTCAGGTCCGTCTCCATCTTCTACAGAATTATTTCCCCGACTCCAACAATTAAAAAGTTCCGTATCTGCATCGAAGAGAATGTCACCTTTAGGGCTGTCCCTGTCGGTATCTAGTATCTGCTGCCTAGACTCACCGGCTGAGGATACTTGAAGATGTGATGTCGACGAATTTGTCTTGACTGCTGCATTAGCACCTATAGCGTTGTCACCGTGTGGGTCCTCCACATCTTGGTTCTTAGTTGGTGGAGCCTGTTCCCCCTCAGCCTGCGGTCTGCCTCTGTCCCTATTCCCTAGTTCGGTGGGTGAAGGACTTCGAGCGCCATGAAATTCCTGCACATCAGAGGACCGCTTTCGACCCTGCAGTCGCCTCGGGACACCACACTGACAGGCACCCATGATGACGTGCGCGCTGCACTTCTTCGGTGACAACGACGAAAAGTCAAAGAAGAAGCTACCATGTAGGTTTAACAATCAGCATAGGACAAGAATAAACAAATTTTGCTGCATCCGGTGGAAAAAGAAGTCACTTACTTACATCAAATGACGTTGACGTTTACAACAAACGAATCTCACCACGAGCCAGTCTGCACATGAAGACTTCCTTGGAAGAGTTGATCGCAATCATGACATCACACAGTAAAAATATGATATATATTAATAAATAAACATAGCTACTTATAGATACGTTAAAGAGCTCAAAATTACAATGGTGGTAAACTCTTCAACAAAAATCATGGCTTTGCTAGTAGGTCGCAGTTTTTTTTCTACTTGTTCCTGTTATAAAGCAAATATCAACGACCGTCGAACAAAGACAAACTCGAATCACCGACCCGCCATGCCCGGCCAGTTCCTCATACTTGTCGTTAACCATAGTACAATCAAATTTATTACACTTTTGTATCTTTCAATACTAGGAATCGACGTTTTTATGATAGTAATCGTAGCTACCGTTTCATATGAGCATCGTTCGAGGACAGTTAACAACAACATAGTTATAGCTATCATCTGCAGCAAGGTCGTCCTAGTTGCATTGAGTTTGAGACTCAATAAGACTCTATCATCTGAGAAGCCGGCGACACAACGACATACAACGGACTAGAAGAACGGCGAGGGCAAATACAGCTGCAATAACCTAGTAATACAAGCTACTTGAGTGACATATGACGGAGAGAGCTGGAAGATAGCGACGTGGGTAATTTCCAGAATAATGAGGTGTGAAGATACAGGTCCAAGTAGTAAGTGATGTACTGTCAAGAAGGAGGGGAATGTGCCGCGAGGTAGAGGGGAAGCTCCAACTCCTGTAGTACACGACAAATACAAGAGATCGATGACAATATGACATGTTGACCGAATGTGCGTGTTCATGTTGCTCACCAGGCTCACCAGAGTCAGAACGTTGTTATAGAATGATGATGAATGGACTAGACGTTGTTATAAGAGAACATCAATTTGAATAATTTAAAGTGAGATCACCGACGGAGGAACAGCACCAAAACTCTCTAACATCATCATCGTCGTTATGGTTTTGTGCGATATTTTTATGACAATTTCAAGTAAAACCTCTGCTGTCAAGAGAAAGTTGTAGAAGCGCAATTAACCAATTCTCTCGGCTCTCGGTTTGGGCACGAATCTCAATGCCTCGTGTTCCTGATGATCACGGCACGCACGAAGAAGAAGAACAGAAGCACCAGGTCTTTATTCTGCGTTGCTTTCAACATCAACAAGAAGGGCGTCTTCTTTCAACATGCTGCATCAATTAAGTACATGAGAAGTAACTACGTCGTATCTTCGACAAGACGAGCAAGACGAACTTCCTCTACAGCATCAACATGTCCTCGTGATCTTGAATTATTGAGCGCGAGCGGGAGCTGTAGGGAAATGTAGACTATATTTTTTTATAGCTCTCCATGTGAATGATCTGAAGAAATCTCGAGAGGCGCGAAATGAGCTTCCAGATCCGATAGGGTAAGTAGGAAGTCGAAGGTTCGACGTCGAGCGTCTAAATAGTCTAGCTCGTCCCGAAGACTTTTTGCCAGGATAGAAAACTCTTTTTCTGGATCTAGGACAGCACGTTCTTCCAAATTTAGTTTCGAAAATGCATCATGGACGCGACGAACGCAGAAATACCATAATGCAGAAGATGTGGACGAGGTTGAAGATGTCGACGAGTACGAAGAAGATTTTTGAGCAGAAGCAGATGATTTAGATTTGACTCTAGAAGTCGTTGGTGAAGGACTTGAAGCAGCTGTTGATGCCGCGTTATTGTTTTCATTTATTCTTGCGAATTCAGCTCTAACTTCGTGCAACGCAATCCGCCCGTCCTCGTTGGCGTCTAGGTGGCCCTTCCACACGCGCTCAAGGCAGGCCTCCCGGTAGAGATCTAACACGAAGGAAGAGAAGGCGCCCTCGTCCTCCTCGTCAATAATCGCGGCCAGCTTCGAGAATCTTCTTGTTCTTGCATCTGTTCTGGTATCAGTACTAATATCATACCGCTCATCCAGAAGATCTTCATCCTCTTTCTTTTGCTCCACCACCTCATCATGGTCGGAACTGTGTGATGCTACCAGTTTCATGCGTCGGCTAAGCGCTATATCGAAAGGTGTCCATCTAGTTGACGTCGCAACTTCCATTTTGGTTTTGCTTACCTTGTTAGAAGTATTTCCTCCGCCTCTGCCGAGGTCGAAGTCTAGCGGTAAGCCAAAGAGTTGGCGAAGACCGAAAGGGTCACGCGGATGCTGATGGGGGCCGATCTCCGGAAGCGTCACGTAGCTGCCTTTCACGATCTTTCTGCCTCGCCAGTCTCGAGTAGAACGCTGTCTTTTACCCTTCGCTAAACGGCTATCGGGATGAATGTCGCCGGTCACCGAGGCCGCATCACCGTCCTCGTCGTCTTCATCCTCGTCGGGAGCAGATTGACTGCTCTTTTTCTGCGTCGATGTCTCGCGTTCTTTCGCCGTCTCCTTCTTTGGCGCGCTCGTTGACAACGTTGGACCGAGAAATGCACAAGAAACCAGGGCAAACGCGAGAAAGAGTGACCGCGACTGCACCAAACTGCTCGAGGCGGTGAGACGGCAATGAGGAAACATTTTGTTTTTACAACGAGGTTCTCAACACACAACGGCTTAGTCGAAGACAGTAAGTATGCATATCAGGCGAAAAACTGAGTGCTTGAAAACGATACATGGACACCTAAGTCATTACACAAACACAAGGCCATGAGAGTCGGCAGATCCGCAGAGTACTAGAGCAAGAGAAGAAAAATAAAGAAACAAAATTTACAATTCCAGGGGTCACTCACCGATTTAAAGAAAACGAAGAAATAGAGACAGAGACACAGGGGGGTCAGGGATGGTTAATTAAGCACCCCTTGCACAACCATCTCCCACTGTTAGACAGCCCGTGTCGACCGACAACCGTCGAAGACAGTAAGTACTTAGCCTTCCTCACCCTTCTGCACGTGCTTTCCTGTTCCTCCATCTCTATCATTTCATCGCTGATGCTTGTCTTGTGTATCTTCCATCCAGAACAACAGCGTCAAAACTATTAATTAGACTAGAGAAAAAGCATCAACAAGACCAAGGCGAATGTAGGAGTGGGGAACAAGGCCGCAAGTCATTGGTTGCCGTCGAGACGGACGTCTTCAAGATCAAAGTCTTCAGTAGGCAATATTAAAACACCTAGTACAGCTTCCTTACACCGCCATGTGGATTCTTTCCGCATGCTTCAAGTAGAGGACAGGTTGTACTTGCTGTTGACAATGACATCATCAAATACCGTGACCAGCAAAACTAATTTATATGAGACAACATCGAGAACCCAAGTGTTGTGCCAAGAAAGTAGTCACAGATTCAGGTTGAAGGATCCCCGCGTGGTGCCAGGCTTGGCACCTGAGTTGTCAAAGTGCGTCCCTGTAAATGTCTCATCTGCGCGTGACACAGCTCCATAATCTTCATTGTTCTCCGATTCGGAAATAATGTCGTCTTTGTCCTGCCCAGTAATGGGGTACCTGAGCCCACGATCCACAAAAGTTTGCACGCGTTTCGCATCTGGATTTGGTATTGTGATCGGCAAGCGGTGCTCCACCGAACCCGAAGGTGATTGTTGTACTTGCTGTGCTTCATCACAAACAAGGGAAGTCAGATTCGCTATCCCGTTGTTCGTCCTCGTACCACTGGACTTATTCGCGTTCTTCGACCCAACATGTTCGGCGCTCTTGATGTATTTCTCGGTAGTTCTACTTGCAAAATTACGCGACGAGGAGGAAGAGGAGCTACCACCATATGCAAGATGAGTTGCCAGGGCCGCACGTGGAATAGATGCTCCAAACCCGATGCCAGCGCGTCCGATTATCACACCAGGCTGCTCAATAACATCATGCAAAACATGACTTCCAGGCAGCAGCGTATTGGTACTAGTTCTAGAAGCAACAGCATCATTATAAAAATCTAAATCAGCAGCACTGCGAACTACTTGATGGGAGTCCTTCCGTCGCTTCTTCTTGCTCCCGGGCTGCGTCGACTTTTTCAGATCCGTGGTCCTCTTATGGCTCCTTTCGGAGGGTCGTGGATAGTATATCTCATCACCGTCCTGCTCATCACTACAAAACCCACGTCGATCGACGTGGGCACCGCCCTCTTCTTCTTCATCAGCGCTTGAAGATTCTCCGTCATCGAAGCCAACTCCAGTGACCTCCGCGTCCAACAGGTCAGTGGTGCGTTCGTCAAATCCACCCTCGTTTGCGTCCCAGTACTGCGCATCGGTCCACATAACGAGGCCCGATGCGTCGCCCTTATCCCACAGCTTTTCGTTGTGCGCGTTCTCAAAGAGCACATAGGGCGTGCGAAGACGGTCTCCGCGCTCGTAGTGCGGGATGGTCGCGTCAGTGCCGGGGAGACTCTCAGGGTCAGGATCCGCTTCCGGGTTATAGACGTCGTACTCCTCGTCAATCTCGGCGTGAGGCTGCGCAATAAAGCCTGTCGTGATTGATTCTTGTGCTGGCCGCTGAACTACATCTAAGAACCCTATATTCGGTACATCTGACGTGATTCTACTATGTTCTTGCTTTTCAACCTTCGCATCGCCCGCCTGCGCCTTCGACAAAGTCGTGACTAGCTGAGGCCGCCGGCGTTTTCGAAATAAAGTAGAATTTGTATCTTGATGGCTGCTTGTCGATAACTGGTCCTGCTCACGCTGGGTGGATGAAGATGAAGCGTGTGCTGGCTGCAGAGTAGAGGTAGATTGGCTTAAAAACGTCTGGTTGTACTTGTAGCCTTGTCTTGGTTCAAGTAGCGAAGTGCTGCTTGAAGATGACGAACCAAAAGGAGGAGGACCCGCATTCACGACAGAAGATTCTTGCAAGAATAGTTGATGCGACCTTATTTTCGACGATGCTGCAGCCGGCGCTGTGGTCACTATGCTTGATGCCTCACCTTCATGATCTTCCATTTTAGTCCTTCTTCTTGAACTCGACGATGTTTTTGTCAGCTCAATGCCAGCTGTCGATCCGAGAATGCGTTGCACCGCGTGTGCCGGAATGTTACAGAGATGGATTTGACGCATCACGGAAGCTGTCGGCGTGCCAACATTTCCCTCGGGAAGCCCAACTGCGGGCGGCCGTAACTCCGCAAAACAAGTTCGCAGATTCGAAAGCACCGATGACGATGCACTTTTCTGCAGAGTGGTAATCCGACAGGTTTTGCCCGCACACGCGAGGCTGAGATCCTCGAGAATGTCTCGCCATAGAACGCCGTCATATTGCTTTTCCCATGTGTCGGCGTTTTTCACTAAAACGATACAGCAAGTCGTGGGTTTCTTCGACCTGGAATGTAATTTTTTCTTGTCGGAGTCGGAAGGTGTATTGCGTTTCGTTTGCTGTCTTTGCATACATTTCTCTGTTCTTAATGTGGTGATGGAGGAAGACGTGGCTTTGACCTTGTCTAGTACTTCTGCGTCATGCTCTCGTCGCGCTTCTTGCCGGACTCTGCCGGTCGCTCGTACCCGCAACCACGGTGCATCGCCATCTTCGTCCGAAGAGGAGGAGGAACCAGCATGGTTGTTTTCTCCGTTTTTATCCAACTCCAAGGCTTCTTTCTCTTGGACAAGCCTCTCGATTGCGACATCTCGCTGTGGCCGTCGCAGGTAGTGGAAGCAGAGGCATTGCAATGCCTCAACCAGTCGTCGGAAAAAAAATCGAAGGTGCGGCACATGCACTTCCTCGGACGGAATCCCGGTAACCAACAAGACGTCGGCCTGCGCCGGGACGGATAGTTCATCTGAGCCGATGACGGATACAAAGGCTTGTTCATCTTCGCTGTCTTCATTACTTCTCCCTGGGTGGTGACCCTCGTATGTGCTCGGTCGATGTTGATCCTTGTCAACCGTCTTCTTGACACGAATAGTTTCACCGTCGCTCCTCGCGTAGTCGTCACGCTCACGGTCATCTTCTTCTAGTAAAACTTTAGTAGTTTCCTTACCAATCTTTTGTGTATTAGCATTAGCCCCCTCGCGCATCAAAAGTTTCCTACTACGTCGCCTGTGTCTATCCGACATCGCTATTCTCTTTTCTACACCTTCTGTATCTGTCAAAAAGACCAAGGTCAGACGAGGATAGCCTCCAAAATGACGAAGATAACATGCAGGTTCTTCGCTGCAGTACGAGTCCGAGTTGTTAATGTTTTGGAAAAATCTAACATGATTCTAAATAAGAAAAAGGTGACAGCTTCAACTTCTTGAGGTTGAGCAGCAGATTTTTTTTCAACAGCATCTTGCAGATGAAACATAAGAACATTGCGCTCGGCCTTCGGTCGCGCTCGGCTCTTTTCGAGGTCCGTCGACACCAGAGGACCGCATTTGATGTATGTGAGCAATTGAGAAAACTATGGGATGATAGTCAATATATATAGTCTTGTCTTTTACACTAAATCATCGTCCAAGAAGATATTGCAATTCGTGTCATCATTGTTTCTCCTCCAACACCAACATCAACTAATCTTACTTCCTGCTCGACAGCAGTTGTGACGACATCAACAATTGCCACCTGCAGGAGCATCACCATGCCTGAAAAAGATAAGCTTAATTAGGAGAACAATTCTTTTTCGCCGATCGATCAATCAACGCGCAACGAGCATATGAGGAAAAATACGCGGTCGCTATGATATGCGCAGCCAGCGCCTACTTAGCTATTAACTACCTGGAAACACAAGAACGAAGAGCGACCAAGTCAGAACAAGCACAACACAAGACAGACGCGGCACGAGCTGCATTCCTCGCGCAGGTTTGGCGGATGTTACTCCGGTGGCATCACGCGAGACATACTGCGAGGGTCTAAGGTAGACTCAGGCTTAGGCTGGCTTAGTCTGGTCTATTACAAAATTATGGAAAAAGTAAAATATTTAGCAGAAAAAAAATTCCATGATTTTGCAGTACTTTCGTTCTTGTTTTCTGATTCTCTCTTATGGTAATTAGGCTAATGGGCTGGCTCCGAAAGCCTGATATTTTCATAATGGAATTGGAAAGACTAAGACCAGACGCCATAAACAATACGACATTTTCATGCGTGTGAAGAAGATGGTAAATTGACTCAAGGCAAAATCAAAGATAGATGAAAGGGCAGTTACAACTTGTTGTGTCAACATCATGAGCGAGACAAGAAGAGGAAGAATTGAATTTGAAAAAAAGTCCATGAATTATGTCAAAGACGAAGGAAAAGCTTAAATATGTAAGTTGCTTTTTAGATCTAAGTATTTTCACGACCTGTCGCATATCGTAGTACGCAGGCGCAGAGTCCTCTAATATCAGATCCCTTCAGAAAATGAATCCAGAGCAGAGAGAAACGAGCTTCAACGTTCTCAAAAAGACACCCAGAGGGAGCTACAGCTCCTTCCTCCAAAATAGCTACAATCGTTTGCGACTGCGATCGGTATTCTAATTCTTAAGGTATATGTGTTTTGTTAGACCAGTAAAAACATGAACTTTGCTGCGGAGGTAGTATTACTAGATGATCCACCCTGCGGCTTACACCTACATCTATAGCTGGGCAGGGTCTGCGTCATCATCTGACAACTTCTGTCCCCTGTTTTTCGGTCTAGTGCTGCCATGATCTTCTAAGAGCTGTCCAACATTCGCATCTTCTACTGATGTTCTACTTGCTCCTGCTGGACTAGTACTGTCCTCCACGCTGGAAATTACAGGAGCATCATCCTCATTGATGTTCCAATACCCGAGCTCCTCTCCAACTTTTTTGAGTGCGCCTTCCAGATTATGTTCTCCTTGGTTGTTGTCGATGTCTCGCGGTGGCGGGAAAACGGGCCACGATGCATGAGCCATACTTCCCATCGTCTCCTCGTTCAGCCCGTTGTAGTTCGGAGAAACAGAACGCATCCTCGCGTGGTTTATCTCTTTCTCTGCTTCGTTGAAGGTGTTGATGGTTCCGCGTTTGTTGATGATCTTTTCCTGTGGAAGATGAGCTGGCAACTTCCCCATAATCTTGACGACGTCAACATGACCACGCTCTTCCTCCTCCTCCACAGACGATCCAACATCGTAGCCGTAAATCTTGCTCTGTTCTGCCAGACATCTGCGCAAATCGGTATTGAAGTTCTGCGTTCCCTCTGCGGTTCCACCGACCGCGACGGCATAGGTCTGGTCCCGTTGTGCACTGTCAGTTAGCGGAGCCACGTAGGCGACGCGGCTTTCGTCGGGCTGCACTTCGAGGTGGAAAAGTTCCGCGGCTCCAGCGACAGTCACCGGCAGGTGACCGAGATGACGCGGAATATACCCCTGAGTTAGTACTTGTGCGTGTCCTCGATCATAGTCCTGATTTATCATCCGATCCTCGCAGGCCGGTGGTCTCCGGGGTAGAAGGCCGCCGAAGGCGGCCACGGTCTCGAGGCCTGGCCCCTTGTGCTGGGTTGCCCTCATCAAATGCGCGGCAAGAGCCAGCAGGCCGTTAACCAAGGGCCCGGAGGGTACAAGCCACACAGGGGGCCCAGCCTTTTGCCGACTTCGGAGGCCTTCCACACCCGGCGCCCTGCGTGCTGCTGCGGCGAGGGGCCAGCATATATTATAATATATGAAGTCGGTAGGGTACACGCAGGCAGCTGGAAGGGAGCGGAGGCAGCCCCTTGGACTCCTTGTTTGGAAGTCTTCCACTCCCGGCAGACGCCTCCAAAAGGGGTCCGGGGATCCACGCCCCCCGCGCGCTCGGGGGGGCGCTCCTACCCTGAACCCTGGAACATATATTTATTGGTATATAAGTACATTAATTTGAATCTTTCTCAGAAAAATGAACAGAGAGCCTAAAAGTAGTCCTCCGAAATGACGCCCGCTTTTGGCTCGAGTAGGCTCCACGAAATCGCCATCCGAATGAGATTGAAACCTAGTAGAGAGCGTACTTGCGCCAAGTCGTTACGTGAGGTGTAGATCGTATTCTGTTCCCATTTCGGAACTTTCTGGAAATTGACTGCGCAAACTGTTAGAGCTACCCTTAACCCATTCCACGAAAGCATCCCGTTAAAATACTCGCCCCGCAGTACTTGCCTCAGTACAGCCTGAGACTCCACCAGGCACTACCAGCGCAGTACTTTAACGGGAGCCACGTGGAGAAGGATTCTTTTGAGCCATAAAGCTGGAGGCTGGTTCTTGGAGTCCTGCGCACTAGGGCACTTTCCATCCGCGTATAAGTCAGGATGCCAAGGTCTACCATCATTAGCCCATTCTTCCACGCCCACATTGACGCCGCGAAAAATGGCCTCCCGTCCTTGGGCATCCAAAATCACATGTCCGCCCCTAACCGCGGCTGAAACGCCAACGGTAAACAACGGCGCATTTGTTCTTGTTCTTCCTCCATGAACATTAGCTTTAGGCACAAGAGGATCACCTTGTTATTCTTGAGTTGAAGATATACTCGATGAACCTGAGGTTGTACGATCTCTACTGCGTTCTGCCGATGCCCCCGGAATTTCTGCTTCAACAGCAGACCTTACGGTACTTGTTTTTGTGCTCCTCGTCTTCCATACTGATCGATTTCCGTTCTCAGATCTGCCGTCGACAACCGGAGCAGCATGTCGCGAGCGGACACCAGCGTTCCTTATCGCGGTATGCTCATCTTCACCAGCAACGAAATAACGAACGAACAGGAGCAGGCAGCACAGATAATACGGAAAGCATCTGCTGGACGCGTAGATCGTGATCGCCCTTCCACTAGAAGAACTCTTAAAAAGTTCGAGGGAACTCTTACCCCGCCGCATCTTTTTTCTTGAAAGCAATGCTCTCGTAAAATAGAATGGATGCATGAACTTCTATCACCTCTTTCAGAGACAAGCTGAAGTCCTCAGCCTCACCAGCCACCACATAGTAGAGGTAAACAATCTTCAATACTGGTACTTCGCCACCAGACAAGAAAAGGGAAAGTCGATAATGATTTTTTATCAATGTTGAGATCCAAGAAAGGGCATCATGATTCACATGCATATGCATTGGAAGTTGATCCAACTGTAGATTTCAATTTGGAACAAAGTGGCTGTAGAAGCTATTAACCATAAAGACCTACTATCTTCATGGCGCTTGTGTTACATTATTTACGGAGACCTTCCATGATTCCAACCATTATCCTCGTTCAGTTCAACATCTTCGTCATACCTTTACTACACTTACACTAGTTACAACACACAGTCTTTTTCTTGATGTTGATTGAATCTTATATTATAATCTTACGTTGTTCATTGTGTACTTTCGAAAATACTTGTTTGAAAATGTCGTTCTTTGTGGTAAAAAACTTGCATATTACCCTGTGCACCGTCGTTGGCGCGACGTTTTCTTCCTGTGCAACGCAATGCCCACACCTCGATTTTGTGTGTATTTGATGTACCGTGAGACGGGGCGCGAGTCCCACATGCACATCAAAATCAAGAAAAACATAAATATCTTTCGATATATTGTGGTCCGTCATAATGTCAATTTGAATTTGCTGCTTATGCTCGGCCTCGGCGAACAGAAAATAAATAGAAACGTATTCCGCTGATGCTACTTCACGCAAAGATCGAATCAGCATCATGCAACGAAGCAGTCGGCACCTGCGGAGGTCGTGTCCTCTTAGTGGCAGTCCCCCGTTTCTTCGCGACCCAGCGCACAAAGCCGTAGCTGCGCTTCGGTATCTCCATGCGCAGTTCTTTGTCATCTGGCGCTACCTCTTTCGTCGCGACGAATTCGTCTATCCAAACAGCAGCGCTTTCGTATGTCGGCTTCCACAAAAGCGGCCGCCCATTCAAGAGCGTTTTGGCCGCAGCTTGATCTTCTTGCGGCGACGCAGCAACGCTCTCGAATATCCACGACTCCCGCGCTGTAAAAAAATTTGTTTCTTCTCGTAGTTCATCTACTTCGGGAATACCGATAGTGACATCCGCATCGTCAGTTTCCGAAAGGTTCATCACCGTCAAAGTCACTGACGTCAGCAACTGTTCCTGTTGGTTTTCTCCCTCCTCTTCTATAGAACTCTCGCGGGAAGGCTGAGAAGTCTCACGATCATCAACATCATGTATCTGTGGTCCTGTCAACATTTCAACTGTCGCGTGAATTCTCAGTTTGCTTCCGTCACCGGCTCCGGCTAGTCCGTGTCCGTCCTTTTCACTTTCGTGCACGGCAACGCGTCGAAGGACTCCTCCTGCAGACGGCGCCGCTTGTTGCGTCAGACCAGCATTCTCGTTCTTACGACCATTGCGCACATCAACATCATCGACCGCGACGGTGACAAAGCGGGCACGCTTTCGAATCAAAAAATTGAAGAGCGAGGCAACATACCAGTCTGGGTTCGGTAATAGTGTGGCTTTGTCCACCATCTCGTAAAAGGCTCCAACAAGAGTCTGCCGACAATAATGCGTATTTTGTCCATATCCAGCAAAGGTAGCTGAAGAAATGCGGTATTTCTATTTGTATTTCGTGCTATTTCTCATCAAGACACGTGGATGGTAATGGTATGGTGCCCAGATCAGTCTTCCGATACGTCGACGGGACTTTTAATGCCAGACTTCACTTTCGAAGAAGGGCCCGATATTAAGTAGCTTAGTTTCTGAATGAAGCGTCTTCCCTAGGGGACGAGTTTTCTACTTTTTCTACTAAAACATACGCACCATGCACCGATGAACAATTTGTTTCCGAATCTACTTATGAGTCGTAAGTACCAAGCTGGTCAAGGAACCAGAAGCCACTGAGGAAGTCGTTGGTTACGCCTGGTGCGCCGCTACCATATGCACCCCCTGCTTCCCCCATCCATACTTGCGTTCCTGGGAAAGTCTGCAGCATTCCGCGTGTCGCAGTCGCAACTGGCCGCACACTGCTCTCCAGGTAGGTAGCGTTTAGTATCTGTATTAATTTGGGTTTCGATCTTGTACCAACAGCAATCTCTAACAAGTTCAAGTACCACCAGAACTCAAGTACTCATCTTCAATTGATCATATGGACGACCTACAAGTACAACAAGTTCATGCTCAAGTACCCGCACAGCTAGCATTACTTTGCCCTGCCCAACTCCAACAAACCGCGACACTATACGCTTTTTCGTGGGGTTGCTTTTTCGTGGAGAACCCCACGGAAAGCGGTCGCCCTTTCCAACAGGACACGACACCATACACAGACCGCTTTTCGTGGAGAACCCCACGAAAACGGGTCGCGCATTCCAACAAGACGCGACACCATACGCAGACGGCTTTTCGTGGAGAACCCCAGGAAAAGCGGTCGCCCTGTGGTCCAACAAGACACATCAAGAACATTATACGCAGACCCTTTTTCGTAGATGAAATTCAAGTAGTTGTCCGTCGATGTCCCTGATTTACAAATGCGTGACCCACGGTTGGTCGAGCGTGGTTCGTGCGTGCTTCGCTCATAGAACGTATATCTCTCTGGACACTCGAGGAAAGAAGGCCGAGTTTGAGCAGAGATACGAGATGTTTATTATAGATAAATTAATGAATAGTTAATTAGAAGAGATGCTACATCAATAGCACTTCTTGTAATTCAGTACTTAAAAACATCAATAGTACTCGTCCCTCGACCAGCTCATTTCTACTGCTATTGGCCGATCCCAGGGAGTACATATGATGAGTGAACACGAAGAGCGGATCCTTGAGGAGTTGTTCCAGTGACCGTAGCCAAGGCACATCGAAATTACTCGCAACTCCAAACATGCGCCACGCTGGCGGGCAGACAAACCAATTGATCATCTGCCGCAACACGCGGTAGTCCTCAACTTAGAAAAAACAAATGCGAAACGTACTTATATAATATAGGAAATGTTCTTGTATTTCCTTCATCCCAGGTAGGAAAAATCCACAAGACCATAGTACATATCAAGTAGGATGAACTTCATCTGGGGGCCGCAGGTGCCGAATTTTATCTCCCGTATATCTTCCAGATGACTCTATTTTGGATTAGATTGAGAAGATGCATTTTTCACGGGAACTCCTGCCATAATGTGCGTAGTGCTCGACAAAAATACTGGGCTTGCCGCTCTTCCCCATGCCCATTGGACCTAGCTCATTACCAAGCTCAAACCCTATAAGCAAATGAGCTTTCTTCAGAACGTGAATCGTATGATACATCAGGTGGAAAGCGTTCCTAGGGTTCCAGTGTCCCGCAAAGGGCAAGCGCTCTAGCGAGGAGTTATTGGCCCCGTCCACTCGCTGGACGCCATATAGCGCGTTTAGCTGGAAGAATTAGACGTTGACCTACTACGTACTGCTCGTCAATGGAGAACCGAATTTGTTTCTGAACGTAGTCTCTTAGCAAAAAATCCAGTGTAGGTGGATGCTCCCGAGATCATGCTGCTGGATCATGATCATGATCTAAACTATTCGACTCCGAGCCGTAAAACAAAATACGGCAATTCGCGGCCTCGCACATTTCCAGCAGACTCGTCCACTTCGCCATCGTGAGACAGCCACTCGAGAACTTCATTTTCGACGGCGTGCTTGGGTCTGGACGAAAGTCGTGGCAGTCTTCAGGCTTCGTCCGATGCACAAGAGCGCTCTTCGGAAGAAACGTGCTGTGCGCCTCCGCGTAGCCTCGCCAAACCGCTTCTGTCTCTTCAAAAGTCTCCAGCGGCTCCTCGTAAGTCACGCGGTCGCCCGGAGAACCACCAATACGAATCACGCTTCCTGCTGCAGTTTCTCTTTGTGCGCGTGCGACCACGTCCTTCTTGTCACCTAGTATTCGAAGACCTTCGTAGTTAGATAAAAAGTTGGGATTGCCCTCAGGCCTGCATGTCGTGTCGAAAGAGTCCCGAGAAGGGTGCAGCAAACCAGGAGAACCAGCGGACGATGGCGCCACTACAAGCTCTCTTGTTCTACCTGTCTCTGATCTTGGTCTTGTAACTTCCTCTTCGGATACTGTGGTCGTGTGCATTGGGTCAGGACTGCGCGACCTCGTCGAGAGGCCTTTCACAAACGGTGTGATTTTCGTCGGAACCAAGTGCGGGATCGTGGTGCCATTTGTCCACGGCTTCCGTCCAAAATCCACTTGAAAAGGAGGCCACCAGTCCAAAGTGGCGCACACGAAGTTGTCCTCTTTTATGACGCTCAACGTCGAGTTCAGCACAAGCACCGCTGAATGTTGATAGTTCGCTTTCCTCCTCCTCGTGCTGGCGTTCCCGTTCCTCCTCCTGGTGCTTTTCGACGTCAGGGTAGCTCCTGCTGCAGCGGTTCTTGGATGTTCTGGTGCGGAGCTGGAGGCAGCACGTGGTTGTAGTCCTTGATCTACGACCGCGGTTCTCGTTAGTTGTACGTCTACATCAGATTGTTTGGTCGCAGCCTCCCTCTCCACGACCTTACATGAGCTGCAGGGCAAGGTCAACCTGACAAAAAAAATCCAGGCGATCGGAATGCCGCTTCGCAGCGCGTGCGGCCTACTCCGCGATCCCTTCATCGAGTTTTTGTCTCAGTCGACGTGCGAAAACAAATACTGAAGTATATTGGTAGATGAAACCTGAGCCTAGCATGAATACGTAATTGTAGTAAGGATAAAGTTGGTGTCTTTATCAAGCAAAAAACCAGGTCGCTCTCAGTTAGAAAGCGCTTAATGTTCCCTCTTTCTGCCGATGTCAACATTGTTGTCAGAGTCAGTCTTTCCCACTCGCGCAGCTCCAAAGCTCTTTATTCTGTCCGTCTTTCACAACCTTTTGCTTGCGTATCATATACTATCTTTAACTTGTTTTGTCACCTAATATACGTAGTTGGACACTTGAAGCAAAATCGAACAGTCGTGCAAGCTTCGGCAACCAATTTTTCTTATGGCCCTGGTGATGAAATTTTCACCCCAGAGTGGTCCTGCTGATCAAGTGACGTTGAAGTTGACCCACAAAAATAATTCTTAATACCCATTTTTCACATCCAAAAAATTTGTTAGCTGCTCACTTCTACAATATTCAGTATTCACGACTGTGCATTCTGCTTCTACGGATGACAGATGGTGTTCGTTTCTGATCGTTCTGGACTTTGATGTTTAAGAATTGACTCCATATCCATAATCTTTCACCCAATAAAACTATACATTTACGACAAGAACCTCCCACAATTCATTAATAGAAGTCACAAACTAGATTAAACAAGAACAAGAAGATGAACTTCAATTTCTAGTTTCGCACAATATTTTTGATGCCTTTTATGTATTCCCATGCTTGGTCACATTTTCCAAGCTATATTCCCATGTACATTTAGATCCCAGTGAATTATGCTTGCTCGAATTTATGGTTTTGGATGAAGGGAATAATACGAGGGATTCATAAGCGATTTAATATTTGTGTGGTTACCTTCCTCATATGCATGATATGGAAGAACATCTTGATTGACTCGTCCTGTTTTTGCTTATTTCAACACAAAACTAAATATAACTAGTTCTGTAGAGAAGATTCGTACAATTCTCAGAAGACTTGTGATGGTTTCTTTTTGGTCAAGAACTCGTCCTGAACATCATGCCTTTTTACAGGAGCATCAAGGGTCTACCTACGTCTTCTATCCTCTGCTTGCAGTAATACCCAGCATATCGTGCCCCTGGTAGTCGAGTTTTCGCAGCAGAGGGGAGCCAATGGGCGCTGGTGGCGGACCGACGCAGAGCGAACCCACCGGAGGAACATACTTCGGATCGACCTCGTTCAGCAAGTCGTGCAGGGTCTGCTTCGTATAGTCGAAACTATTCGCGTGGGGCTTCACATGTGGGTCGGGGCTGTCGGGATCGCATACCTTGTACTCGCTCTCGGGAACACCTAGTAGGAGCAGAAGAACAAAGGAGCAGTAGATGAGTAATCATGCATGAACCTGGACTTGATTTTGAAGGTGCTTGTTTTTGGTTATCCAATGATCATCAATAATGAACGAAGTCTGTACCCATTATCGCGCCCCGCACTTGTTTCATCATACCCTTCGCAGTGTCTGTTTTCTCGATGATGTCGTTTATATCGAATTGGAAGTTGCTAATCTGATGATTCTGCTTGTCGATCACCGCTCCCATCTCCGACAACGCCTGCTCATGTCGGGCTTCCATGGCTGCAAGTTTCTTCTGCAAAGCCTCCTCTCTTCGGTCCATCAGTGCTTGACAATCCTTGTGCAACTGGTCAATGTCTTCCCGTTTCCTGGTGTTTAGACATGATCAAATGACCGCCTATAGCTTCAGTTATGCTGCATTAAAACAACAACTGGCAATACTAAGACTAGGGCTTCTAGGCATTTACCCCCCGTAACTCTTACCATCAGGTACGTCGACGTATATCTTAAGGGGCGCAACAAGTTACTTATTTGACCGAGATGAATCGTGAAGGAACAACATGGAGCGAAACTGATTACGCCTGCAGGCCAGCACTTCAGACTAGCCCACAAGCCCCGAACGCGAAGTGGATGTTGTCAATTGAAGCGTGAGAACATCCGCCGGGGCGAGTGAGCAGTAGTGTTAAGTGAGGACTTCGAAGGGAACAACATAGATACGAATTAGAGACGTTGAGACGAGAAGGTCGAGAATGGCAACCGCTACGGCGGTTTTGGGCAACGGCCCAGTTCCGAGGCAAGAGCACCGCGAATTGCCTGCGAAGTGGTGGGTGCCCAAGCCTAGGGAGGAAAGGGTGGGAGAAAAGAGAATAATAGTGATCCACAGAATAGAGAATCAGAGAAGAGAACAGAGAATAGAAAACTTTAGAGAGAGAAGAGAATGAGAAAGAGAAGGGACGCGAAGCACTGTCGTGACATGACAGCGCTGCGTGTAGGATGCGCAGCCCCCAAGTGAAGAGAAGACCGACGCGCCGACGTTGTCCCCTTTGGTCTACTTAAAAAATAATCTCGCTCAAACCAGCAGAAATGAACGGCTTCGCCGTCCTTGCAGTCTTGGACTTTAACTATATACCCTTCCACTTTTCGGTCTGAGAAAGTCTCGAACGTGTATCCTTTCCAGCTCTGGAAACACGACGTTAGAAGACCAGAGGCACTTGAATTCATGTACTTGGAGAAATGCTCCTTTTTCGAGTCAATGTACTTTTCCTTCCAGTAGGAGTTCTGCTCGTATAGCTCTGTTGAGGTGAGCGTCGTGAGTTGTTGATAATATTTCATCGCTGTATTTTGTCGTTGCGTTTCCGTCTCCTTCTAAAATCTAAAACATTCTCAATCTTGAAGATGCTGTTACTGAAAAAGATCCAAATCATAGTATACGTTGCAATACATAGCAGTCGTAAGCTAGATTGAAAGCGCAGCACACATTGGCCACCGACTCTGAACGGAAGAGACACCCCCCAAGGCTCTCCCCTTTCCCTTCATTTTCCCCCGTTCTCTCAAGGGGGCCCTCTTCGATTTCAGTGACCAACCTCTAATATGACCAATGAAATAGCTTTAAATAATAGATGTAGTTGAAAGATACAACTAAAAAAGACGTATGATGATATTTCTTCAAATTCTAAGTGCAGCATACCTGCAAGAGTAGCAAGCATAGAATCTATGCTGGTGCAAACGTTGGTAGCTCTCGTCCACTGGTTCGCCAGTCTCTCGTTGCCACTGTTGACTACAGATTGCGGAATGGCAGTCTGTCTGGGACCTTGCGACCTGATGTGGTATTGCAATTGATGATGGTGTCCAGATGCACTAGAGGAAGGAGCAGGATACCCACCAGAAAATGAGATGAAATACAAGTAGGATGACTCTTTAGCTTATATTGTACAACATCCTGAAGCTGAACCTAATACATATGGCGCAGTGCGAGGAATTGAAAATGCAGCCACGCGGCTTGTCTTTATCTATTGGTGAATTGAGTAAGAAAGTAGTACTGAGCCGGAGGCGCGGAAGCTTGCGGCTGCTTCTGCATAGAAGGGATGGCTGCGGGTGCTGCAGCTGGTGACTGACCACCGACGCTCGTCAACACGTTAAGTTTGACACCCTGGATACCCGGAAGTGGTGCCATTTGGGGCATCTGGAGTGGTCCCGGGACCAGCGAAGGAGATCCTCCAGCTTTTGACATTTTACTTCCTCGGAACGAAAGCAAATTATATAAAAATAAATCTTCCAAGAATCAATAAGGAAAAATGCAAGCACCACGAGCACGATTAAAGTGCTTTCAAACAAGGATCGAAAAGAATCAAATACCACCAAAGATTAGTTACAGGTACAAAAAAGTAAGAATAATGCCTAAAAAGAACAAGGAACTTCCTTCGGCGCAATGAAACTAAAAAGTGAGAATCTTCAACTCTTAATATTCGACTTGGGGGGAAAACTAGCTTGAACAAAATGGTTCCTGCGCTAGAAGAAAGGTGCATTATGATTGGCTCGCTAAGCCGAAAAATATCCAGCTAGCAATCCTATATGTTGCAGTACCTTCATCTCAAAAAATATCGAGCGGGCTGTCAATTACCCCGCTCCACCAGAGATAAACTCACAGATAGTTATTTATGGCGCTTGTTCTCTCAACAGAGTAATTTTGAAACAGAACTACAACTAGCAACAGAGCTCTGCATGTTTTGTTTCTCAGAAAGAATCTTCCCCATCTTCACCGTTGACCGTTCTTGAACCATGCACACTGTATGTAAGCACCAGCAGCACGCAACAATAATCATAAAAATAGACAAACCAGGAATCTCGACAACAAGAACAGATAACACGTCTCTCTTTTTTTGTAGTCAACCCAATGCGTGGCCAGCCTCAGCGTCCACTGAGATCCAACATGCCAGCACCAGATCTCATGATCATTACTGTCGGAAAAAAATATCAGATTCAGAAGAAGAGTTAGCAACATCAACAACCTCTATCTCACTCGTCTTTTCTGACAGTTCTCGTCCTTGAAGATCCGTGTCGAAGCACCTTCTGAGCCAGGTAGAGTTACGGAGGACATTGCAGCCCGAACGGCCGTGTATTTTGCCACTTGCAGTATCGCCTCATGCTGGCTCTGTCAATCTCAGCCTTCTTGTCAAGAAATCGAATGTCTTTGTAGTTGCAGTTGATCATGTTGCATTCTATTTGTGACATTTTTCTCAGAAAATTATCTGTGCAAACGTTCTGCAAAGAAGCACCACACTCCAGCTCATCTCCAACCTTATGCGCACTCTCTTCATATCTTCTACTCCACGATGAATATATCTACTACTTCTTCTACTCCACTATTATAATTATACCTTCTGGTACAACTCCAGCACCATTATATCTTCTACTCCAGTATTGTATCTACTCTACAATGATAATGTGTTGATTGATCCGCACAGCTGTGAAATACTACAAGAAGCTAGTTATGACCGTTAATGATCGACGAAGCTTATCCAGCAGCACGAAGGAACGGAAAATTGGAGTTACTGTCGACCTTATAGTGTTGGTGGAGCATATCTAACTAGAAAAAACAAAAACCGAAAAAAGAAAAGGCAGGCAAGAACTTATCTACTACTAACTAAGCGCCGGCGCTGTCGTGGTCCTGTCAGCCCCAGAGGTCTCACCTTCGACCTTATAGTAATAGCTACATAGTCATAGTGATTGCATGCTTTTGCTGTTGCCGAACTAGAACAGGAGCAAAATACTAGTCCTACAGCTACTTACATGAACCTTCGTCTCGATCTCGTTGTATCCATATTTTTTACTAGACAGGAAAATATTAGAATGGTCGCGTTTTTTCTTTTTGTTCTTAGTATGACGATGGGCGAATGCTTGTTCATGTTCTTATGTTTACCTCTATCTCATAACCGTCCTCGTGATCATATGATATTCGCCTATGAAGGAGTCAGCACTGTTACGCTGTTCCGAACTTCATCTTGTTTATCTCCGGCAACAGTAACAGCGACAGTGGATTCTTCTTCCTCCCCCTGTTGTGACTTTATTCTCTGCAACAAGGTCGTTCCATTATTTTGAGTTCCATTTTGACTATTTCCACTTTCCACTACAGCGCCTTCTTGCGCTTCATCTTTTTCCTTTGAAGCCCTGGCTGCAGCGAGCAGCAAGGACGCTGGCGATGCTCCTCCAGCGCTTCGCCCGGCTGTTATCGGTGCAGTTTTATTAGCACCTCCTCCGAGGGAGCCAAGTGCTCGCCCCCAGAGCCTTCCGGCCATCGTCTTTGGCTTACTTGCTGCAGGAAACGCAGCCGCCGCGCTGGTTTGACGCTCTAAAAGAGTTGTCTGTTTTTCCAATAATTCTGTTTGCCGTTTAGCCTTTTCGTCCTCTTTCTTATTGTGTAAGTGTTCCTCGTAACGAGTAAGCAGGATGATTCCGAGTAAAATCGCGGCCGCCAGATAGAAGAGAACCATCAAATATTCAGAGAGCCAGGTGGTCTGTTCCCCTTTTGGCAAGTGCTCCTCTGCCATAAGCACGAAGACGACGAGAGCAAGCATCAAGGTCGTCAAAAATCCTACCCGCTCGCCACTTTGCCATGGAATACAGGGTGTCAACAGCAACATCAAAACGCATAACATCGCGGCTGGCACGACAAAAGTCGCGGTATACACCTGATTGTGATTTTTAACGAAGACGCTAGTGCGTATAGTCTTCACGTCAACTACAATATGAATTTGGATCATTATCCACCTTCATCTACAGGTGAAGCTCCTGTATGTTCCAAATCAAATATAAATATATTTTGATGTCTTCAAGTTGTAGTTAAATTAATAAATAAGTAATTTCAATTTCTAATTATTTCAATTTTCAGCGGTAGTAGAACTTGTGTAGACCTAGACGATGAAGTTGTACTTAGTTTAAGTTGTACCTTTCCCTGTCTTGTCGCAGTTAGTTGCATGTGGAATGTTTCGTAGGGGTGTGGGCAGCAGTTGTACATTTTCTGCACGATCCATGCGCGACCGCTCTTAATGGCCCATTCGGAGTTCACAATCACTTCCTCCTTGTCAATGTCTACGCTTCCGCTGAAGTCGTCGTCAGCTGCACTTGTACTGTATGGGAGGAGCTTAAGCGCGCCCGCGTCGTAACCCCAAGATCCGAATTTGTATTCGCAGGTCTGCACGTCATACGGAAAATCCCGCAATTTGAAATCACATAAAGCCTTGCTCATCCCCGGCCGACTCCAGATGACGCCTCCACTACTGTAGACGCTTGCCTGTGAGTAGGTCAAATCCTTCATGGGTTTTTCGGCCGTGTTGTACAGAAGCAGATCCGGCACCCACACAGCGCGGCTCATCTTTCCCGAATCCGTCGGCACAGAAAAGAAGCTGGGAACAGCAAGTTCCCGGGTAACCAGAGAATAGCCCAAGGATTGCAGGATCGCAATATCCTCCTCCGCGACGACGCGCCCATCCGGCTCCGCGATCGCGGTTACATTAATCGTGGGTCCCCATGTCAGTCGTGGATCATTCCACTTCTGTCGAAGCCACACAGCCAGTCGAATCGTCCCGTCTAGCTGGTTGATGTCCTCCAGCGCTTGCACGTAGATGCCAACCCGCACCTGGACCGGTCCATCTACGTACGGCAGCGCATCGCTCGAATACGTTCCGAACAGGTACTGCTTCAACGCTTCTTCCGGCGTCAACCCACGACGCAGCTCCGCAGGATGCTTAAAAGCATGCTGCACCACAGGAGTAGATGCTGTCCCGTTTGTTGCCGAACTGGTTGCGGCTACTGAATTGTCGAGAAACAAGCTCAAAAAAACCAAAAACGAACAGAAAAGGCCGCAAGCGCGAAGATCTAGCACGAACCACGAAAAAGATAGACGCTGCGATGTCCGTGCCATTTTGGTGGAAGAAGAAGACCCACAGATTATTACACGTAAACGACAAAAAGAACCCCAGATAAGAGTAAAGACAGAAAAACCACTTAATTACTTATTTTTTAGGTAAGATGAAATTTAGACCCTAATATACGACACAGTTAAAGGAGAAGTCATCACGGGGAAACCAGGTGTGTAGATGTGTCGGTACCATCGACGAATTTCATTTATTTCAGAGAGTAGGGAGTGGGACAAAACAACGATACATTTTAATGAACATGATCATCGCAAAATATAGAGGAGCAAAGGAGTGCTTTCGTTGTTATGCTAAAGATAATGCATGAAAAACCACAGTTCAAAATTGTGATACTCATATTTATAATTCTTCAACCATTCAGCACCAGCATCCTCGCAAACGCCATTCATATTTTTCGGAGTTTGGGTTTTGCGATCTCTGTCTCAAGAACACGCCTTACCTAAAACTCATTACAAAGAAAGCAGGTGCCCAATTTCAATACCAATAAAGGCGACACTAAGATCGTCAGCATCTCTCATCAACCAATCTACTTACTTTTTTCAGGCTGTGACCCTCTCTCCTGCGCCTGAAACCAGAGCAACTCAATTTCTACTCCGTTCTAGAAGAACAGATCCTCATCCGATAACAGATAAAACGGATTGTGGCTTGTTAATGCTCATTTGCCTAAAACTCTGTTTGCACAGATTTTTCGCTCGGGCACAGATTCTTCGCACGGCAAATACAGACTTTGTCATCTTCCATCTCACTCTGTGTCTCTAAGTGATCTTTCATCTCACTCTCCTTTAACTCCACGCTGATCACCACTTCCAGGTAAGGGAGTACCTCAACAACCACAGAAAAATCTCCTACTCAGATTGCATTTCTAGTATCCCACTGCGGATTTTCTGCGAGGATCATGAGACGTTGTTCGTGTCGTTCAGTTTAATGTCCAGACAACTAAAGAGAACAAGCTCGTTCATGTAAAGGATTTCAATCTCTTCATGCAATTGTACAAACTAAAGGAAGATATAGTAACAAGGTGAAGGTTGTTCACCTCTCAATGATCAAACCTCAATCGATGACCTCCGCTCTCCGGCTCCAGGCCGCAATTCTCTTCCCGTACTCGACCTCCGCTCTATTCCTCCTGCTTCTGTCACAAGTGGAAGTGCTCCTCCCGTTCCGGTAGAATTGCGGCTCGTCGGTTGAGCTGAACTATCCCTACTTGCAATTACTCTGGGGGGTTGTTCCTCGATAACGTCTTCCTCCACCACGGAGGCTTCAGGAAATCCGTTTTGCCTCTGCCTCAGGACGCTTCTCCTGATCTCGGCCTCTCGTGATTTCATCCCGGTAAAGGCCAACCCGAACGCCTGTGCTATGCATTGACAGGCAGCGCCGCAAAGCAATAAGTGTGTCCCTAATTGTGTAGTCGGTCGCACTTGAATTACTCCAGCTGCATCAAATATCAAAATCGATTTTTTGATCAAAGTCCGATGATCTTCACGAAGTAAAGGCGACTCTGTTGCTGGTTCGATCATAGCAATTTGGTTTCCAGCTGAAGTAAAAGACGAGCCTGGTCGCACTGTCCCCGTGCCAGAAAAACTAGCTGCTTGACGATCACCATGATGATGATCCTCTTTGTAGTTCAGCTTCAGTGTAGTTGCCAGGAAAAAATCGATTACTACCCCGACAGAGAAGCAGTAGGTACTGCAGAATTTCAGAGCAAGCAAGAGTACTGCCATCTGGTCATCAATTCCGAGTTTTCCGGGAGTTCCAAGCCAGGCTACCGACAGAGCATTACTAAAGATCCCGGCAGCAAGCAGGAAAAAGCCAAAAACTGCGAAGGCAACACCACTCGCCGACGTTGGAAAGGGAAGCATGTTGTTCTTAATTGCGGACGAGGACGAGGAGTAGAGCTCTTTAGGGTAGCCAATACCTAGTCCTTGAAGATCTTCAATGGACGTTGATGCATCTCCCAGCACAACTCTATCACCTTGAAGATGAGGATCATGTTGTTCACGGTGATGCCCAAGAGCATCTCCTTCTACTTGTTTGCCTTGCTGGAAAACAGAGAACCCGAGTCCTATTGCGACGAAGATCGTTCCCGCTACAAAAACGGCTGCGTCCAGCAACTCTCTTTGTCGCCGGCCGCCGCTGCATTCCGCCCACAGTTGGCCGTCGGAACCGAGCGAAAGCCTCGAGCGGATGACTTCGTGGAGCGATAAAATCGCGTGAACGCCAATCACGATCCACGCGGCGAACCAGAGGTACTCTGGCGCGCACCACAGGGACTGCACTACGGCAGGACTGTACAACGCCAACACGCAGAGGAGCTGGACGGCCGAGGCACCAAAACCGAAAACTTCGTGGTTCCACTCACTGAAGCCAAAAAGGTACCACTCCCGTGCGCGGAAAGAAACCAACATGATCGTTTAGGTTTAATGATGATCTTTCTTTAAAGTAAGAAGAAATTACAAGAAAGTATGCGAAAGAGACTCGTGATCTCGTCTTGATGATGCTGGACAACTTACAAAATGGAAATCACAGCTTCTAGTCTGCCACAGCCAACTACATGTACTTTTACTCTTAGTAATATGCCAAAAGGAGTAGAAAACGTTGATCCATCAAGCACAATCAAGCACGTTTTGTTCTCCAAGCTTATATTATAACGATTGAAGCGAAAGCAACCTATTGCTATTTTTCAATGAACGACAACGAGGCTATTAAAGCGTAATCAGTCTACTCGTACTCGGTCTGTCATCAGTCTTGTTCAAGTATTTACTTAGTCACGATCTGCGCTGCAGCTGCAAACGAAAAAGCATGTGTACATAATTTCAAGGAATCAGAATGCGTCGGGTCAGGGTTTTTCGGAGCCTGGGAAACGAAAAATGTAGGTGAAGGGTATTCTTTTTCTTTTCTTACGTGGTGTACCGTGGCCCCGTAGTGAGAAGTGTTCTTGTTCGCATCGAAAACATCCGAAATGGCGCTGAGGCTCCTGATACGATCACTACAACTTCTGGGAGAACTTGCGATGCTCTTTCTCGTAGTGTCATGGAACTCTCTTGAGAAAACTGCGGATAAATGCCTACTTAAAATGTCGACTCAAAATCAACAACAAGAACACCGAGCCTATCGGGAAATCGTTCTAAGCCAGTAGCGCATCCTCGTCGTGCGCCTCCGAAAGTTCAAGTTGGAAGTGCCAATATAGTGCACTAGGGATGGCGCTCCGATCTTCTTCACACAGCCAACAACTTCTTGTGCTCGTCTTCATCTCTCTACGTGTTCCTGCTTAGGACCCTCTGCAAGAATAGTGCATTCGTACTGGGTGAAGTAGAAGTTAAAAATGGTGTGGTTAGTGATGATGTCTCTACGATGCAGCAATAGCGACGTGGTCTCTCGTTTGCAGCGTGTGCGTAGCTGAACATCGAAGACCTTCACTGGTCTGCGATTATATGACCTATAGCAGAGCGGTTTATGAGGTTTCTCGGCCCGCATGGCCTGGAGTGCATGGAACGCATGGAGCGGCTACTCCATGCCCTTGCTTCAGGCGCCCCTTTGTCGGAGTTTACCTACTACCAGCCCGGTACCTCGGGGAAGCAACTTAGACGCCTAACCCGCCAACCCCAGCCCCGACTGCTATGCACAGCCTCCAGCCCGACCGACCGACCCGCTCCTTCGCCGCCCGGAGCGGACCCTATGCCGTTAAGGCGCCTAACAAAACAGCCGCAGCCCCGCCAGCGACGTCATGACCCACCCCCAGGCGCATTACGTCCACGGCAGTGCTTCCCGGGCGTCTAGCTTATCAACCAACTCCGACAGCTAAGACTCCCAGCCCACTCACTCGCGGACCGGTGCCCTTCAGACGGCCAAGGCATCAGCCTCAGCGCCGCTTGCTATACCCCTCGACGCTTTGATTACCGGGCGGCGCTGGACCCCGAAGCGTCTAGCCTGTCAACCCGCCCTGACTGCTACAGCCCCCAGACGCCGCAAACTGGTTCGCTTAGCTTAGGGCACTCAGCTAACCAGCTGCAATTCCATCGGCTACGTCACCCCTTGACACATAACCAGGCGGCCCCCGGGCGTCTAGGCTCTCCGGCCCAACTTCGGCGGGACATGCTCCACGCGTGCCCGTGCGTGACACGCTTGCAATGCACTCCACGAACCCCATGCGTGGACAAACTGCACGTGCTCCATGCACTCCATTTCCATGCACCATGCGTGCTATAAACTAGTCTGCAATGTATAGCCACATTGCCCAACATGGCCTCTTGCAATGAGACGCACGAGAAGAGAGCCGAACTACGATGAAGATTAGGAGGAACGGGACCGATCATCTGTTCTGATGAACCATTTTTTCGACAACAACTACAATCTATCGGCTCCTGGATCTGAATGTGACGTGGATAGATCATGGAGTAGATGTTGAAGATCTGGCTTCTCCCAGCGATCAGCCTGTGCCGTACTTTAATATGGTACCTTTGGCATGCTTGGGAGTTCTCCTGTTGACAGCTGCAGGGCTCTTCTTCTGCACAAAAAGGACACAGCACGACTAGGACCCACACATCAAGAAGAACTCAATACGCACCAGCATAACGGAACAAGGTGCTACCAGATTGTCGCAGAAGAGGCAAGTGCCATGACTGCCCACCAAGCAAGAGATAGTGCTTCGTGGTGTGTACCCACGTTATCAGTCTTCCTCCTATTTGCAAAATTCTGAGAGGACGTTCCACCTGCTTGGAGTGATGATGCATCATGGCTTGCAGAAGCTCCAACATTCGCAGAAGATGGCATCATTTGTTGATTGGTATTATTCTGTTCTTCACTAGGTGGAGGCGAGGATGCTCCTACGTTGGGGACCCCTGCGACACATACGAGGTTGATGCAATAGCGATTCCCTGAGGAATCCGGTAAATTGTGTCCCAGATGAAGCCCAGTGGTACTGGTGACCACCTCTCCCTTGTTTTGTTCTACTTAAAGGTCGGCAGTCAGTGGTCACCGATTCTGCAAGAACAGCGCCCCACACCTCTCGACTTATTTTCCCTTAGTTTTCCCCTGTCTCTCAAGTGGAATCCTCCTCGATCTCAGTGACAACTCTCAGTGACCAATGACGGTTCAGCCTTAATCTAACACGCGCACCTTCGCGTTAACGACTTCCGCATCACGGAAAGACGGCCAGCCGTGTGCCTTTGACTCTGCGAGAAAGTCCTCCATCGTGCGACCAACCGGCGCACGAAACAGCAGCGAGCCGTCGATAGGGTCAGGAAATTAGAGAAAAGGAGCAGCAGAACGATGGAGAGATCATCAGGAGGAATGTTCAAAGTCACCATCTTCAAGATCATGTGGAGTCATCAGCACTGTATGTTTAAAGTCTTAGACTGCAAGTCTGTTTTTGCTGGGCTTGGGAACTAGTAGAAGCCACAGCCAGGGCCAGGTACTATATCAGGGTCTAGATTATCAAGTACATGATGAGAAAAGTGCAACAGCATAATAGAAGTCGATTTTTTGATTGGTTCCTCTTTTCGCATTCGCAGATGCAACAAAACTCTGCACGCCTTCCCAATACGTAGCGTGCTCTGCATAGTGTCGATTGTTGCAACAAATCTGGTTTGCCAGCGCTTTGTCGACGCTCCAGCGAACAGAGTCTATCTCCTGCCAACAGGTTCCGTACGCCTTAGCATTCATCAGAGAAGCGTCCTCAGTGCGAATCGTTTGATACGTTGTCGTCTGTGCCGGGGGGTATGCTAACCCGCCAGTTGCCACGACAACTTCTGGTACAGAAACAAGTGAGCCGATCGATATGATGAAGGTGAAGAATGCACTCATACCGAATGCTGTCGCGGAAGCAGGAAACGGAGACAGCATTTTCGGATGGCGGTCGCGGCGAGGACACGCAGAAAATAGACGCAATGTAAGTTTTGTAATTGTATGCTTCATCTTATTCATCAAGTCTACCTCGTTACGATCACGATGCAATCAACGGTTTCTTGCAAGAATATATGGTCGCAAGAGTGGAATCGAAACAAATAAGGCTTCAAAATTCCGTCTCATGTGACACGACTGCAAACAAATTTAGACGAGGGTGGTGAAGATGATCGAAATGATCGGAAAGAATAGTAGAGGGAAAAGGTGGGCCATACACACGGGGGATTAATCACTTTTTTCGCCGCTACTACTGGAGAGTGCCCGTTGAGTCAATTTTCATATCGGCATGGACCTCACATACTGATCTCTAGAAGTAGTCATCATGGACGAGCCTTCGTTTGAAAAGGTGTGGTGTCGCTCCCACTCCAACACATACCTGTAGATCTTCAAAGGCTCGAACTCGAGGCTTTTGTTCTCTCGTCATCTAATATATATCAATTAATCATGGTTTAGTAACGGAACACTTGCTGTATCTCGACTGGTGCATAGAAATGGCTGGTGGTCCTCCTAAATATTGTTGCATTCAACATCACAAACGCACACACACGCATTACTCTTATAATTTATTACTTCTAATCTTAATCTTTCTACAAAGTATATGCATCCTTTTCGCAAAATGCTCCCTATTCTTGGCTTTATCAAACAACAAAAATGAGAGACTCAATACAGATGCAGTGTTCATCGCGCGTATCTGTATCGGTATACCGTCAGTCTGCACATCGCTATAACTCAAAGACCGACCAAAGCCGTGTCATTGTAATCGTACATGTACGTCGTAGATGTATTAGGATGATCGAAATCAGAATCTGTGCTGATGACAGGCGCAATAAATGCATGGGGATTGCGCAAGTTGTAGTATGTGCAAAACAGTAGGTGTAGTAATATTCCGGCATCTATTGGGCGCCGCGGACCGCGGCGCCCAATAGATGCCGCCTACAACAAGTAATCGCATGACAAACCGAATGGCAGAGGCTAGAGAAAAAGTGTGTGGATTTTTCTTAGAAATAGAAATCAGTTGAAATTAATATCTTGATCTTCAACAGCAGTTGGTGTTTTTTAGAACAAACAAAGGATGGTGCAGCTTACAAGAATCTATCAATTTACAACAACCGAAGAAAAGTTAAAGTTTCGTCTTCTTATAGCTTTTAATATGTCATGTCAGAAGCAGAACCGACTGAGGAGTCGACAAATGAGGCCTGAAGTGCCTCGACCTCGTCGGCAAAAGAGTTTACACTCTGCACGAGCGTAGATCCCAACGCGGTGTTGAAGTTCTCCTCTCGTGTAAATGTGTTCAAAACATGCGCCACAGTTGCATCATCCGGTGGTCCACTCCCACTACTATTTGTAGTCGAAGATGAACCACTTGAAGATGAAGCCGAGTCTTGCGGGGGCCAGGATAGACGATACGCAACTTCCATGTGCGACAGTGTTGACGCGGAAGCTTCATCTGTATCCTCCTCACGAGATGACGATACTAGCGACGAGGACGCAGGACTTTTCGGAGGTTCCTCTTTTCTCAATATTTGATGCCGTGCTTTTGCACGTGCTTGCATACTCTTGGATGATTCATCGGATGAGTCCTCGGAGAGCGTCGAAGATACCAGAGATGACGACGAAGAAACATCGCCTGAACTAAAAACTCCAATCGTGGTACCTGCTTTGGCTAAGGCATTCCTATTCGTATCTCGTCCATCAACAGTATTTTGAAGAAGGTTTGTGCTAGAAGATGATGGCGGGACTAAAGGAATTGCGATTTCTGAGGTCACTCTCATCTGGTCCTTCATGCCAGACAATAATGTCGGATGCTCCGCAACTAGTCGCAAGTATTCTCCAAGAATATCCTGTTGCACAGGCCCCTGCAGACCTCTCGCAATTGATTCAAGCTCGTTCGTCGATGAGCATGAAGGAAGAACGGTGGAGGATTCTGAAGAGTCTATTTGTGTCAAGTACAAGGATAGAAGCGCTGTATTACAATACGAAGAACTTCTACCAACCTAGTTCCTTCTACTACCTCCCTGGTCATCCATAACAAATTTTCCAAATTCGGAATATTGACGTCGATGCGAAACGCTGCGGCGATGTGAGCAGTCGCCTCTGCTTCGGTCAAGACCCCCTCTGTTTCCTCTCTTTGATTGATGATATTCTTTGTCTCAGCTACTATTTCCCCTACGGCAATCGATACTACCTGTGTATCAGGCGTCAGAGGGAAAGCAAGTAGTGAGCGGTGGAACGTAAAGAAGAGTAGAGAGACTCGGAAGGCGGGTGGTTGAGATTGGAGTGGAGATGAGAGTGGAAGCAGATTAAGGCTATACTGCAACGGTTCAAAATAGAGGCCTACTTAAGCCTCTGACGTTGGTTCCTGATGTAGTTGAACAAGTGAAAATCAAAAACAAAATCAAAGTACCATACTAACTTTACCCTCTAGTAGAGCTGGGTGGATGCATGTGTTTCTTCAGTGAAATCCTGACTCTAGTAGAAGCTTTCTTCTCAGGTCAACCGTACTACCTCTGTGACGCCCGGCGCGGATACCAATCGAAAGCGCAGTGCTGCGTCAATGGCTTCGCTTACAGCGGTGGCGTCTTGCAAAGCCACCAACCTCTGAGTGATTTGATCTGGTGGCATGGTTTCCGGTATGCTAATCACATACTCTACAACGAGGATCGTACTGCCCTTCGCTACCTGATTGAATACGATTACGATAGAGGTTAAACAAAGTTGAAAATCAAAATCCTCACTCGAACACTGAAAATCGTAGTGTGTGTCCACTTCAAGACGACAACGTGGAGGTGGAGCAGTTGTAGTTATCGTCATTAATATCACTCAAACTGAACAATAGACAAGAATGTTGACAAACAAAAGTAACTAACAGTATGCAGTACTTGAGGTAACGCTGTAAACAGCAACTCAAAACATAGAATAGAGTGACTAGGAGTGTCGTCTCATGTTGAATTTTGATATTGAGCTTTACTGGAAGATGATGAAACAAAAGTAAATATGAAATTACAACTCTTTTTGCTCCCAAGAGACCTGTCGGCGACTTGGCAGCGTGTCCCGCGGACAAGCGTCGACGCGTGGTCTTCAACACTGCCGTCGATTGTTGTGGTGGTTGTAGCGCTCGTCGCCTTACCCTCTTCCTTCGTCGACTTTGTTGAGAAGATTCTGCTCCTCGGGGGCCTCTGCGACTAGAAAATGTGAAGTGTTGATAGTCGTGTTCCTGTTGCACGAGCGGACCTGTCTCTCTTTCTGGTCCGATGAAACTGCTACTTGCAATAGGCGCTGCCTCTTCAAACACGCTCGACAGAGTCACGACGTCATTCGAAAAGCCTGTGGCCTCTGCAATCCCATCACGAATGGCATCCTGTACAGCAGTTCTCTCTGTCACGCTTGAAATCGTGTCAGAACTACTGTCGTACACGATTCCTACAGTGATTTGCCCCCTCAGCATGTCTTCCAATACTAACTCGCCTTCAGGGGCCTCCTCCTCGACATCGTCCACGTCGGTCGTCTTCCTTATCTCGTATAGCAGTGAAGCCTTGCGCTGGGCCTCTCCCGTGTTGTGCGTCGGAGTAGTTGTCGGAGATGCCATCTTCATAAACTCAACGCCAGTCTCTGAGGAGAAGCTGTTGCTAGAATCTGGGTTGGTATTCGCTGGTGTTGTGGTATCCTTCTCGTCCTCCTTCCTGTTCACCTTTTCCTTCTCGTCAGGCACATGTTTCCCATCAAAAGTACGCAACTGCACCACTTTGGAGGACAATACTGCTATGCTTGTCCCGTCGGAAACCCTCCGCTTCACTGCAGTCTCGAATGGCTTCCCCAGTAAGAGGGCGTAGGCGTTGCTTTTTGAGTCGTAATTTTTCTCCTCTCCCTTTTGAAGGCTCACAGCTTTCGTCCGCCCAAAAGTACTTGATGTTCTTCTTCTTCTTTTTCCAGCACCCGCCGCTACAAATTCGGCCGATAGTGTCAACATTAGATTGCTTCTAGAGGATGAAGAGAAAGCAGAATCTTTCGTATTCGAAGATTGGGATTCTTGGCCTGTACTACTACTAGCCCTTGTTGTAGACGACTCCTGTGTCCTTGTAGTACTACAACCGGTAAAGATCGGTTTTTTGTTCGTTTCAACCAGAGCTGTCCTCAGTCCTGTTGCTTCGTAGAGGGAGACGCGCGTCGCTTCCCGGACCACAGGACGAACGAATGCTGCTAGCTCTTCCTGCAATAAGTCTGCAGATACAATGGGTCTGTTCGACAGAGTGATAGCTTCACCTCCAGGAGTGGTTATTGATGTTTCCGTGATGTCGTTCGTGCTAGGGTGTAAAAGCGAGCAAAAGTCGCTCATGTCGAGCACGACGGAAAGTTCGCCTCGTATCATCTGCTCTTGATGTTGCTCAGGGTTTTCCTGGGAACTTTCGCCAGAATCCTGAAGATGGTTGAGGTTTCCTTCTTCTAGGAACAAAACCGAGGGAATTTGTCGTCGTGGTTGCGAAAAACGAGGTGACGTCTTAGTACTAACAGCAGACAGGGCTGAAACGGCTGCTGCGGACGATGATCTCCCAACTTCATCAACCTTGCCTATCTTTGCGTCCGGCTTGTAGTCTCTACTTTCCACGTCTTCATAGGAGACTTCTATTGGATCTCCGTCGTTTGCCAGTCCGTTCCTCATGTTCAGTACCGATAGCTCTTCCCTTAGCCGACTCTGCAACGATTCCCGAAGGTCGCTCTTCGAAATTCTGTCTCCACCATCAAGCGCCAGGTGGAGGTCGCTCATGTGCGACCCCAGTGCAGATTCTAGCGCCTCCTCGGAGAACAACCCTGGTTGAGCAACATCGTGAGGATATTCTTCTAGCACGTTTTGTTGTATTTCATTTGACTCGACACGGGCTTGTTGCGAAAGAGCCTCTTTATTCGAGAGAGTCAGCTGATACTGGTAAACACGGATCATCTTCATCTTCGTGCCCCGTTTGTCCTCAACATCTCCTCTAGGCGTGTCGCCGAAAACGTGCCCAGCGCTGAACCATTCACGTGGCAAAGCAAGAACGTCAGCCGCAACCAGTGAGGTCGCGCCTGGTCGTACCACTAGCAGGTGATTGTCCTGCTTTTGCTCGTTGGTAACCTTGTCTTCGACTTCTAGATGAACGAGCGCCGCTAGACCCTGACTAAAAGCGCTTCTGAAGACGCCTGTACTCCCAGTGAGGTGCTGCAAACGAGTTGTAGAACGGGACCACAAAAGAGCGCTGCGTAGACAAAACTGCTCAACCTCAGCATGCACTGTCGTGGCTAAATTCTCCTTCTCCTTCAAGGACGATTGGAAAAATGAAGTAGACGCTTCTTCTTCTTGCTCTTGACCACCTACATAAGGAAATCGCATTTTCCGGTTTTCTGCTAAAAACAATGCCTTGTCTGAGTCCGCCCCGAGGCGACAGGATCCGCCGTCGGGCTGTGCACCACTCTGCAAACAGTCTTCGAAATCGAGTTTGCTGCAGAAAAGCCTCTTCAAAATTGTGCGCTCCGACCACGATGTTGCTGCGGCACTCATGCTCGACAAAGCTTTTGCCGTATTTTGATGATACTTCTCATGGTCGTACCTGCTAGTGTTCGCACTGGTAATTGCCTCTCCGTGTTCTTGTTGCAATGCCGCGCTCGTGCAGCGACAGAGATCAGCGGGTCTCGCGTCATCGGGAACATAGACGAAGCTCTTTCCGCTTCGCACACCAGAGTACCAATACTGAGCGGGTACTGGCGGTCGCAATTTCGGAAAATCCACGTCTTTAGTTGTAGCAGCTTTATTACCGTCCTTGTCTTCGGATTGGGAAGCAGGTGTTGTCTGTTCATTTTGCTTCTTAATTGTTTTTCCCGAAGCGCTGCTCTGCACGTCAGCCTCTCCGTCTTGTAGTTCTGCTTCTTTCTGCGTTTTCGAAGATGATCGCGCATCAGATTTCCCACCAAAGGAAAACGTTATTGTCAGCGCTTCGTTCATTCGACTTTTTCGTGCATTTTTAGCATGGAGACGTGCTCCACCGTTTTGTTGAGCCTTGATCATGCTCTTATCCTTGGCAGACATCTTCAAATGATGTACATTCTTTCTATGAAGTTTCCTTTTCCCGCGTGTTTTTCTAGGGACTGCTTTCCTCAAAGCAATTCGCGCACACGAGTCGTCAGTTTCAGTACGTCTACCGCTTTCCAGGGCCGCCAAAGCTAGTGGAACTTGCTTCCACGATACTCCACGGAGTTCGAAATCATATTCGAGGAAGAATGTCTTGTTCTTGGCTTCGGCACTAAAAGATGTTGAAGGCGAGGTAGCGGAAGCGGGGGTGGGCTTCCAATCTTCTACTTGTTGTTTCAGTACTACAAGGTCATCCACTCCTACTCCTTGTTCCAAATTACGCGCAGCACGGGCTGGAATATGACTTCGTGTGTAGGTTACAGCATGATCCTCAACTAAACCCTGACCCTCTTGCAGACGGCAAGAATTCGGTCGCAGGCTATGGAGTAGCTGCACCTCGTTTCGGAAACTAAAGCCGCTGCCGCCAAGGTCTTTTAGCGTGCGATTCACGAAAACGCCATCGAAAAGTAAAGCCCCTAGCATCTGCCACCCACATACAGCAGCGACAACAGCTCCTTCGGCCCAATTTCCTGCAGGCCGAAGAAGAGTGTCGCACGTCGGTTGCCGGTTGTCGTGCTGATGTAGTTGTCTCGAGGACTCAGCGTCAGCAATCTTACTCACGACGCCGTTTGTTGAGTCCACCTCGATCATTGCTCCTTGTTCACCTTCATCGGTCTTCCCTTCCTTTTCATCATGTTGTTCTTGAGATATTTTCCCGAACGAGAGCCCGACCTCCATCACGCCTCGCACATTCGCCTCGCCTATGCCTGCAGTGTGCGCGCACTCTGACCAAAGACGTTGCACTGGAAAAATGTTCGCTCTTATTCGCGCATCATTAATGGTCTCCTTCCACTTCGCGCTCGTATTACTAGCGAACGCCGCTGGTGCTGGTCCTCCCGTCCGGCTGCGGTAATGACATATGACATTCGTTCCAGTCGTTCCGCTTGTTTCAGCCGACCCGGGAGCCACCTCCTTCCTCTCTTCAACTATTCGATGAGCACACCCAATTTCGAGGTGATTCAGCCAGACCAGAGAGGCGTAGCTTTCCAAAGCTGTACTGCTCGAGGAACCACGGCCCCCCAACAGGTAGTCGCTTTTTCGATTGTTTCCAATATCTCCCGAGTTAGAGCTCCCCCTAGATCATCCATGTAGGGATCCCGCAAGGATATACCTTACTACTTCCCTTGCATTGGGGTGCATACTGTTGAGGAATGCATATAGAGATGGATTAGGGGGAACCTTAACTAAACCCAGTATGCGATCATCGTCAGCCCATTCTGCTCGGTTCTCGATCCGTCGTGAGCTCTCGCCAAGACTTGGTGTCCAATCTTTGGGAACTTGGGCGATTGTATCTTCTTTGTGCTCACTCTTCTTGCTCGTCCTCTCGTCCTCAGTCTTATCTTCATGTGTGACTTCTGCTTGCTTAGACCGCGTGGTTAGAAGAACTCCTTGCTGAACTATTGCAGCGATTGTAGCGTTAATTTTCTTCCAGTTAGTACGGTATTTTGTTTTCAAAATTCCTTTTTCCCACCAGTGAATACGCGGCGCCAGATGCCACGATTCACTGCCTAACGCTGCTCGTGCTCCTCTTCCTACGGTACTTGTACTGGTCACGTTCTCGAGGAAAGCAATGTTTGTGTGCTCATCGAAGTCGACGTCGTCATGCTCTTCAGGAGGTATCCTCGTGCCTTTCTTGTTATCCTTTGAGCCGTCAACCTCAGTATTTTTTAGAGGTGCGCCATCCTGATTTTGACCGCTTTCAGAGGAGCAACGTGGCTGTGCGCAGGCTGAAGACGCCGCTCGCTGGCGAGCGCCGGCAGCGACTTCCTCGTTCCACAGTAAGGGCGGCACACCATGCATGCAGCGATAGATATTATGCTGTCGCACGGTTTCCTGCCACTCGTGCGGTACACCATAAACGTGGTACGCATATTTCTCAAGTGCACGACGAGGCGGTGAAGAAGTCCTGCTATTATCCGCCACTCCGTGTTCATGATCTCTGCGAAAATGCCCTCTCCACGCATCTCCAGCTTTTCCGACGTCACTCGTCTTGAGGTGGCCGCTACTATCAATATTCAGATTCATCCCTGTGATGTCATTTGCTGTTGCTGTCCCACTGCTTGCAGAAGTACTTCGTGTAAATCTCCTTCGCAACTGCTGGTTTTCGAAAGCCTCATGATTCTGATTGATGGGCGTCCCTCCTGCTCTGAAGGAAGTAGATAGCTGCCGTTTCCATCGGACGGATTCGTCTAATGCCATCTGCAGGCGTTCAAGCTGTTGCTGAAACCAGACAGGATCGTCCTCATCGTATACCTCATGATAATCCGTATCATCTTCTTCATCGTCCTCAATCTCCTGCTCAAGGAGGAACGATGTTGATTCTGCAGTGTTGCTTTTTTTAGCCTTGTTGGATGACTTGTCTTTTTCGTCTTCTTGTTCCTCATTCAGAATGTCCATGTGGTCATCTGCCAAGTCCTCGTCTGGACCACCATCTCCAGCGACCTGATTGCTGGCTGTAGTTCCACGTTCAAGAAATGAATCGATCACGTCGTTTCCGCTTCTGTCTCCATTCAATTGCAAGACTCCTCCTCGAAGGCTAAGGTTTTCCACCCAGCGGTCGTGCTTCTGAATCTGATCCGCATCGACGGAGGACATCTTCAACTTGCTTGGTGTACTAGCTTCAGGCGGATCGAAGTCTTCCACCTTCTTGTGTGCCCGTAGTTGTTCCTGGTTCTTCTCCATATCCATAGTACCTGCGTCAAAAAACGCAGCATTGCTAGTGTGTAACGCCGAGACAGCGTAATCGACAAACAGCATTCCACCAGCTTCTAGATACATCGACTGCACGTGAATCGTCTCCCTATTCGTCTGCAACGCATTCGCCAGCGCACTTTCAATGTCTTTCCCGATCTGCGCTGCGTTCTGTTTCACAAGAGCGGTCCGCTGCTCTCTCCCAACTACCTCAGCATCAGCACCGGCTTCTTCTAAAGTGTGGCTTTTGTTCTGTTCCAACAGCAATCGCTCACCATGTGCTGCTTTCGAACTGCCTTCCCGCTCATGTTCGAGAATCTTGCCCGTCTGCGACGAGTCGTGCTGATGGGCAGCAATACAAGCAAGAGCTTCCCTAAATGTCGAGGATCTTCCTATGTAGCTGGTGTCGTCGTGGTCACCAGCTTTGTTCTTATGGTTATCGTCTGCATTAGCATGATTATGATCTACTTCTTGTTTTCTAGTGGACTCTAATATGCAGCGCTCAGCAGTACTAGCGGTACCGTCGAGTCGCAGCAGAAGCGTGCCCGTCAAGGCAACAGGCTGTACAAAACGGGAAGAAAACTTCTTCTCGTTCTGGTCAAGACGATTTTCGCCGTCGTCAACAATGTCCCTGAAAAAATCGAGGGTGTTTGTTGAAAAACCAGATTCGCGAAGTGCGCCTGGTAGCGGCGAATTGCCGTCACCACCTGTACGACCATCTTGTTCTCCCCGTGCTTCTGATTTTCGTCTTAGATTTGGGTTTTCATACACCTGTTCGACCGCGAGGGTTCCAGAAGAAGCAACTTTTACAACTACGTGCTGCTGCAAGCCTTTTGGGTCGTTCCTCGGTCCGCCACTCTGGTGCCATCGTGCTGCCTCTTGAAAGACACTTTCGAATACTTTTTTAACTCCCTGGTCAACCGAACTTGTGTGTTGCCGCTTCCTCTGCTGCACAGCGCTTGTACTACCAGGAGCCTGCCCTTGCGTTTCTTTTGCCGCGCGCTCTTCAACATCCTCGACACCGGATAGTAAAAAATCACCAGCCAAAAGCACAGTGCTGGAGTATGTTCCGCCATCTCGTCCATGCTCCTTTTGAGCAGAAGCTTCTATAGGAGCGTCCACCAGTCCCTGTTGCTGGCCATTCTTTTCGCCGTCTCGCGATTCTTGCACTCTTCCCGAGGCCCCGACCTCAACCTGCTTTGCTTCCAGCCGCCCAATTACAAAGACCTTGACGACGGCAATCAGCAAGCAAAATGAGGCCGCATGGACCGAAGAACAACGTTGTCCTCTGGAGGACGTCATCGTTTGGTGGAGTTGGACCCGCGTGTCAAATTGTCACTTCAAGTCTGTCTTGACGGCGCACACCAACCCTCCATCTCGAGATGCTCCGACATGCGCCAGAAGCCAAAGCAGGATCGCATCGTTCTTAATGTCTTCCAATCGTTCGATAAAGAACTAAGTAATGCGCTACAGCACAAGAACAGTAAAGTAGGACATAGACACGATCATCAACACACCCTTTAATCTATCATGTTCTTCATGCATTCAAATTAATGGGCTCGTCCGGTTGATGCCCGCAACAAACAGCTTCGACGCGAGAACCGATGTACGCTACCGCCTGCCAATGAGAGAAGAGCCACGCGACCAAAGATGAAATCAAAGGCGAAAACATGTTGACGCCGCATCAATGATTCGTCGGCAAAAAACATACATGGTATACTTTATACCAGTTGTGCGACTGCGACCTCGGCGTGCCCATAAACTCCAAGTTTCAAGAGTCTTGGTCAGAGCGAAGAAAACGCCCAATTTACAAGTACATGATGTTGACATTGAGGTTTTAAGTAGTTCATCTAGCGAGGATAAGCTTCCAAAGAACAGTTTAAGCAATTCATGATGAAAGTCTGGAACTAGTAACTGGATGAGTGGAAAGTAGAAGAGCGGTGACGAAGAATAAGGCCATCATTTCAATCTCGGCCCTTTTCTAACCCGTCGTCTGACATGTAGAAGTAGAGAGCAGGAGTAGAAGAAATTCTAGATGTTGAGACTAAATATTCATCAATCGGCTCGCAGAAAGTGAGCCTTCTTCTCCTGCAGGAACTGGAACGCACACTTCGCAACAAATTGCGCATCGTTTGAATGCTTGTCCGGATGCCATTCTAAACACAATTTTCGGAAGATCTTCTTGCGTTCAGCAAGTTCCGCATCTTGCATATCCTGCAATTCCGTAATCAATTGCATAATCGTGCGATTCACCTGGATTTGCTCAGCGCTCGCGTCGTCTGCGGACGACATGAAGTTCGCGGCCGTTCGAGAGAAGTCCGGTGGAGGTCCTTGTTTCGGATTTCCTCCAGCTTGAGACGAGGAGGCCCCTTCTGCACCTGTAGAAGATGCACCTGCCCCCGCACTGCTGGAAGTCCTAGCACCGGAAGAGGAGGAGGCCCCTCCTGTAGTGCTACGGCCAGCAGAGGAGGAGCCGCGCTTTGCGCCGAACGAAGGAAAGCCAGGCGGCGCCTGAGCCGAGCCACCAGATGAGCTGGCTCGTGAGGAAGTTGAAGCGCCTCGTTGCCGTTTCTGTTCTTCCTCGCTTACGCATTGGTGATACTTCTGATTCGCATCGTCCCACCACCAGTAGACGTTGTACTTTGCATCATAGTAATAGTAGTGTCCCTCATACCAGAAAAATCCACTGTTTGGATCTTTATCGCGGCGACTGCTTCGACTGTCGTCCTTTTTCCGCTTTTGTCCAGTGTCTCCTTGCTTTTCTCTGTTGCAACCATTACCGCCAGAGGAAGATGCAGCTCCTGTGCCCGCATTCTTGCTATTGCTCTGAGACGATGCTCGTTCTTGTTCTTGCTGCCTACTGGTATCCTGCTCCTGCCGACCAGCTCCACCGAAGACACCGCCTTGTCTACCACCCATCTTTGCCCCTAGCCGTGAATAGAAGCGTTCTTGCTTCGTGTTCTGTTGCGCGTAGTCGCGCTGCTGATGCGCGCTGTCGTCACCGCCTGCAGCTGATGTGCTGTCGCCACTAGAACCGCCAGCACGCCCTTTGTTCCTATAACTTTGTCCATCCTCTGTTTCTTCGGCAGTTCCTGGTCGAGTGCCGTCTGGGTGTACTGTCTTGTTGTAAACCCGTGGCTCCCGCGCTTCGTGATTGCGACCTCCGGTCCACTCTGAAGATGCTCCCCCATTCTGTTCTTGCTCTCCTGGTGGTCTTGGTGATGGATTGTTCGTCGCCCCCGCTGGCGGTTTCCCCAACTTCGGTCCTGGACCAACCGTCTCGTTTACTGTGGGATTGAACCCTCTAAACTTGTTTCCACCTGCTCCTGTGTTAGGATTAGCTGATGAGGATGATGATCCGTTATTCGCTTTCGCAGTGGATGACGAGGAGCCGCCACCTTGTTGACTGGCTGTCGATGGCATGCTATCATAAACGTTAGATCGTCGTGGTTCTGCATTTTGCTGCTCTGAAGAAAAATCTTTGATCGTTTGTGCCATCTCGCTGGCAAAAGTCTCGCGCTGTCGCATATACTCACGCAAGTTTCCGTCACCGCTGTCTGAAGCCGAGTCCCGAACTGCTTTCTTATCTTCCTGGTCAATCAAGTCGTAGACATTGATGCCGCGACGCCCTGTGGTAGTCTCCTCTCCCGACGAAGAAGAATGACTTTGATCCAGAAACGGAAGATGCAGACCAGCAAGAAGCGACGCAGTAACTGGGCCTACAGATGTGCCCCCTGAAGATGGACCTGCACGCGTCGGAGACGCGGATGTTGAAGGACCACCTGGCTCTGCACTAGCACTTCGGCGTCGCCTAGTATTGGAGTGAAATCAAATAGCAAATGCGTAGCTAGTACTCCTACAACTTACTTTATTGCGCCGCAGTTTTTATGATGAAGATAGAGTACTACATGAAGATGAAGATGAACTACGACGCCCTGTATATTCAAAAGAGTGAAGAAAGAGAAACCTTAGTAAGTATCACGCATAAAAATCGCACTGGTAAGTTTCTGCAAGATGCCACCTTTTCCGCCAAAAAGTGAACTCACGGCACGCCCAAGCCTCGAAGTCGAGCGCGCTTTCGATCCTTCTGAGTCTTTCGAGCTGCTCCTGTCCTTACTAGTGGACGACCTCCCTCGTGCGGGTGGTGGAGGCAGGCCGCTGGTGTCAATTGCTGGCACCGACGCTGTGCTGCTGCGACGATCAAGCACAGGGCGATTCATTGGGTCCCGCGTCGGCGGTGCGACGAATGCTGGATCAAACTTTCGTTGGTCCCGGCCACCTGGAGCGACGCCCGCCATCGAGCTGACTGCATCATTCCCGTGGCTCCAAAAGCACCAAGCACCGAATTCACACCGCCCCTCTCGGTAGGCAACGCAAATTGGACGCTTGCTGGCGTCTCCAGCCGCAGACGCACCACCCAAATTTGGAAAAAAATTATTCTTCCCTCCTGGTGGTCCACTGGCGTCGGTACAATGAACTCCCGACCTAGGACTTTCCATTGGCGCGGAAGCACCTGTCGTCAAGCACGAAGCAACGATGAGATACTCGTCGATGCCACACAACTGTGCCTTTTAAGTATGCACCATCATCATGAAGTTTCATCATTCTGTCGTTATATTGAAGCACCATATTCTTGCAATCAAAAAGAACAAACTTAGATAGAACAACAAGAGCACATCTCAAAAACAAAACTCTAAAATTTACATCAGAATCTTCACCTGCAGCCCTGGTCGATGCCTCTACTTTTTCAAACCATTGCCTCCGGGCTTTCGCTTCACGCTCTGCCGCGCTGAAGTACCCTGCCCGTGCTCCTGGTGGTGGCTGCGATGCTGCTCCTCCTCCTCCACCTGGGCCTGATGCGGAAGATGAGTTTTCTTTCCTGCTATCCGTTTCAACGCTTGCACTCACTCCGGTAGTGCCAGAACCTCCTGCTCCTGGCAGGAGCGGCTTGTTGAAGTCGAAACCTCCTCCAGCTTGTTTTCCGGTTGGGCCAGCACCACTGTCCGCATAGAGTCCGTGACCAACCAAGAAGTCACTGTCGGGTGTAGGCCCGATCTTTGGCCCGATTTCCACCCGGAGCCGGCTATCTGAGGGACCCCTGGGCGGCGCAGTCGGAATACTTCCCCCACCTTGACCCCAGTTGTTGTCTTTGGAAGGGGCGCGTGGCTCTCCCACGGAAGAGACACTTGGACGTCGTGGCACACTCTGATCCGCATTGGCGTCAGCGGGTTTTTCTTTCGAACTGCTGCCTGAGGATGTACCAAACATCCGCCCGAAAAGCGATGGGCGTTTTTCTGGCGCATCCGCTCTTGCTCGGGTCTCCTTGGAGGATGTAGTTGGGGCCATCGTCCTCTATCGTAGTGGCTATCTTCTTCGGAGCCGTACTGTGAAGATGATAAGCTATTCACGATAGCATCGTGAGTCCATTCCAAAGGCGCTGCAGCTTGCACTTGTAGTTGACATGTGTTTTGTTGTAACACCAGCATCCTCTTTACCCTAGTCAAGAAAGAGAAGCAGTTATTACAAGTTCATAGTAAGAGATACAAGCCCAATATACGAAGATGAGGGCCGAATTTGTAGACGATGTACGGAAGGCGCTTTTATTTCTAAAACCGGGTAGTTTTGTTTGCACGCGGTAGACTTTTCTGAATTGTCGATCCAATCCTTACAAACGAAAACTAGTGCTCTCCACAGTGGAGCCCAACATCTACTACGTACCGTAAGCGGGCAACGTCCTAAGTCTGTCACCAGGGCTTTCTTGATTTTTGTCGTGGGCAGCCTCCATTCCAGGCCTTGTTTCAGACCTTGAGCGCTCCAACCCCTCTCTTATTTCTCTGACGTGTCGCGGCATGCTGTCACGCTACCCTGAAAAAGTGTACCTGAGCATGAGGTGGCCGCTCACGACTCCTCCTATTGACTCACACCGAAATCGAAGACATCTTCGCGCTAACCGGCGCAGTTGTGTCAGGCGACTTTTGTCTTCCACCTATGTGTCGGTGGCATCGAGGTGAGAATGTTGAAGTGCCCTGCGGGCTTCTCTTTATTCATCTACTTTATGTGCTCAAAGAGTAGCTGCTGGTGTTAATAAATTGTTTTTATTTGGTCCATAAAAACGGTAACTCCGTGTCTCACCTGTCAAAAATTGTAGACCTGTTGTTCATGCTCCTGCTGTGCTTTGTTTGCCACGACTTACACGACTGCTAGTAGCTAGTAAGTTCTTTGGGAAAGCCAATACCTGACTGTGCGGTTGCAGGATCAGGGATGAAGACAAAGTTCAGCTTAAGTTCTAATTTCCTTGGAAATTTTTACTACAACTGCTTACCAACTCTGGCTTTGATGGAAAAACATGAAGACACAGCAAGAGGATTGGCACAATCCTAGAGGACATCCAGCTGCTTCGGGATGAATGCTGCTCATATCATGATAAGTATCTATTGAAATGGTTGAAGATAATTCTTGAAGTTGAGTTGTTTGACGAAATTTGAGTGCCTGTAATGGAGAAAAAGAAGATTGATACCACATTTAATGATGTACAAGGCGTTCCTAATAATCGTAATCTTGTTCGTTGAGATTCGGATCATGTTCCGGCATCTTCCGTTCCTCCTCTATATCAATGAATATGATCCGCATCGTGCGGCTCCTTGCTCGTCGTGCCACGAAATCGAGCAGCGCTCCTCGGAACTTGCTCATCGGAATCCTGCATCTGATCGCTATCCTGCGGTGGTCCTTCGTCTTGTTCGTGATAGAACAAAGCCGGATGGAGAAAGTTCTTCTTTGAGCTACTCGACCATCCTGGCGCACGTGGTGCATGCCTTGTGCCACCCGAACCCACTCGTGAGTACTCATTTCTAAGGATACAATAATGACGCCAGCACCTCACTAAGTACACAGGATGATGCAGAAGTAGCAGAACTACAAGTCATAAAGCTCTTATGAGGGCTTTCGTCGTGCCCGACAGCTACATCTTGATCGGATTCGGAGAACGTGGCGCGGCGATAACTACTGGGTCTAATATATTAGAGCTAATCACAACCCCCAAGACTGCTTGCATGACTACTATATTTCTCGGCCTAGTTGACACAGTTGTAGAGCATGCGCCTCTGACACTGACCCGTGTAGTTTCCTATTAGTATTACGACCCGTTATGCAAAAATAGCGTATTCAGCAATGGTGTCGAAAAGTACGGGTCACGCATCAAAATCAAATTACTAGGTAAATATTCATTTGTCCCTTAACGCTCGCGCTCGGTTTGAACATCTTTTGAGGGAATGTAAGCATCTTCCGTCGCATCATCCACCACCCAGTCGTGCAAGTCGACTCCTGTCTCCACCTCGCCTTGCACTTTCTCTTCGCCTTGCTCTCTGTTTAGAGTTTCCATCCGATTTCAAGATCAAGTCATCCTTCTGTTTTGTTCATTGGACCACAGATGACTTCTACAGGAACACTCTTTAGCTTTACCCAATCTTCAATTATAACTTCAACTTCTTTGACGACGTGCGCGTACAAGGACTCGGCGGCGAACCTAATGCATAATAGATGAGACGCCGATGAACATGAAAGGATGAATCTTGTTTATGTCTTTATTCTGTATCTATGATTATGACGTGCTACTCACTACTATCAACAATATGTACTTATGTCTTCATGGCCATCTACTACTTTGTGGAGCTGCAAGCGCCGTAACGTGTAACTCCTAGTTTGCTCGCCTTCAGATCTTGGGGCTTCAACACGTAGCGAAGGCGCTACCCCGAATTGCGATGGTCCTTTCGGTCCTCCGGGACCAGGCGCCGGCACTACACCAGCCGCAGATTTTGGATTTCCTGCCACCACATTGCCGTAAAATGACTGCGAAGTTGTGTCTACTTGTGTGCTTGGGAAGTACACTACACTAGGCTGCTCCACCATACTAGATTGGGAAGTAGCCATACTAGTTTGTACTTCGCTTGGGAGGCAGGCTTAGAGCTCAGGATGTCGACTCCGTCGATAGTTCATCCTAGAAGAAAAAGTATAAATTTGCAAGTAGAAAAAGTGCTTTCATCTTGTTCTCAATTCGTATATTAAAGACCTCCATGATCAAGCCACAAGCTGAGGAGGAAATATGAAGCAATAAAATCAAATTTCTGAGCCTGAGCCTTAGTATGCGCCGGCCATAGTCCCCGGCTCACTTCGTCCTCCAATCGAAGGCTGCATTTGAAGCTGTGGTTTACGATCTACTTCTTGATCGTAATATCATGTGGAACATCAAGCTCCTCAAGGACCATCAGTATCATCTACTTACTAAGACATAGGCAGGTAAGGTAAACTTTTTGAAGTCAACGTAGCCTGAGCGAGGACTGACCTGAACAAAATAATGGTAATCAAAAGTTGTTCACCAGATGTGAGAGTAGTTATATTATTTCCTGCTCCCGCGCGTCTGTGAACAAAATAATCATCGAAACTTCATCTCTTGCAAGATATTTTTGACAAAACTTCAGTGCCTTTACGTGAACAAGTACTTGTATTGTTGATCGATAGGAACAACAAGTCAAGTGACAATGAGTTGTCAGGAGTTGCACTTATTCGTATTCCTGCAAGAACCCTCTCGTCCACCTTAATGAACTAGTCCAGACGGAAATGCGTCGCTTGCCGCTGTTGGAGATGTTAGAGATTTAGAAACGTCATCTTGAGGCCCCACGCTTGCCGTGCTTCCTCCTTTGAGGAAGGTTTGAGGATCCCTCTCGAGTTCGAGGTTAGTTTACCAGGGCTGCGACGATATGAAGCCGTAAAAGAGGGAACGATCCGCCTTCGGCATCTTCTGGCGCGATTGTGGCGGACTTCACGAGGCAATAAATACAATACGCAAATGGACCGAGAATTAGACTCAATAGCAAGCATAACTTGACTAGTTATACTTACTCTACTTCTATGATCGAATATTAAAGTATCGCTCTTGAAATAGGCCAAGGGTCAGAATGAACATGAAGCTGATCTACATGATAGATATATTAGAACTACTAAATTCATTAGACTTTCTTATAAAGAGGGATAAAAAACTAATTACAACAAGGTGGACTGCTCGCTATGCCTGATTCAGAACAAGATATATTCGGGATGAAATCATACCAGACTCACGAAAAATCTATGTATTGTACCAGTTGTACCCGTAGTGACCTTAAAAATATAATCGTTCGTCTTCTTCTCATTGAATTTTCAAAAGAAATAGATCGATGATGAAAAAAAAATTGTTAAGTTACTAACTACTTGGCAGTACTCTCTGATGAATATTCTACGTTTGCTCCTTGTGAGGCCGTGTCCTCGATCATCGCTAGAGCTGCTCCTGGAACCAACCATGCACACTATCAGAATCCATAAAATGAGAAGAGCAAGTAGCAGCAGCAGGCACAGGGTAACAAAAATATAGCTTATCGTTGAATCAAAAGCGAATAAATGTTCCCAAATTCCTCGCTTGACTTTCGTCTTTTTCCACATCTTCGCCGAGGGCCCCGCTATTGTTAGAGCGGAAAGAAAGAGCAGAAAGAAGAAGAAGAAGAAGAAGAAGATCCTCCACCCTCGCCAATCGCAATCTCTTTCATTTTCATGATCACCTCGTCCTCGTCGGCCGTGTCCATGATTGGTACCATCTTTAACAAACATGATATATCATAGACTTTCAGTTTCAATCTCACGTTTACTATCAATATTTGAGTCTGCATCTTCTATCAGCATTAGTCCTATGAATTTTGGCTCGTAAATTGGGATCATTACCGGAACGACTCGCAGACGAGTCCTCGAGACTGTCATCTCGGATTGTAGCTTGCTCCCCTCCTTTGTTTACGTCATTATCTTGTCCCACGTTTTGTGAAGACGCTGAAGATTGTGGCGCGCTTGGTGCAGCCTCCGCGGATTGTGGAACGCTTTTTGCTGCCTCCGGATCCGAGGCTTGTGGCGCGCTCTCTGCACCTTCGACGACTTGTGGCGCATTTCCTGCGCCCTCAGCGGATTGTGGAGCGCTTGGTGCAGTCTCCGAAGCTTGTCGCGCTAATCCTTCCGCGGCAGGATGACGATCGACTGCTTGTTGCGCTAATCTTTCCGCAGCAGCATCAATATAATTTGCATTCTCGTTCTTGTCCCCGGCTTGTCGCGGTAATCCTTGGTCTCCGTCGATGGTACCCGTAGATCCTTTTCGAAGTCGGCGCGACGTCACAGGATGTCGCGGCACGAAAATCGTGATGAAATAAAATAACCACAGCGGTCGGAGTGAAAATAGCGTGCGCCAGGTAAAAGTCATGGTCGTCACGTGCCCACAATGTCGCAGAGAAGAGACTCTATCCGACGGTGTCAGCGAGCATCTGCTCGCATTGAAGAGAAAATAACGCCGCCGAGAATGGCCCGCGTCCGGCTTTCATCCCTCAACATCGTGCTACGTTCCGTCGGGGAGGCGCCGACGCCCTCCTTATTGGCGGTGCAAATGCGCAAGCACGGAGAATGTATGATCGTGATCGACCTTTGTTCGATACGCGAGTACGACTCCTAGTACATTCTAGTGAACCGGTAAATCGATGTAGCGTCATCCAGTCTTCACCTATATACATTGGAGCACATCAACCAAACCATTAACGTGCTTTTACTTCCGCAAGGATGAGCTTCCCCACTAGTGGTAGGCCCTAATTTCTCCAGGAGCAACATTTGTATTTGCAGGTCATGAGAATGACAATATTTTCTTATTCTGACAAGAAAAACTTCACCACAAGTGAGAGCTTCGGAGATTCTCTTGCTTTTCCTTTACGTTTACCTTTTCTCCTGGTACATGTAAGTTGTCGCTTCTGGTGGTCCAGTCGCGTGATTATTTTTTTCTTCTCTATCCCTTCATCTGAAGCAGGTCCCCTCTCTCTATTCTAATATACAGTTGTAAAAACGCCACCTCTCTCTTTTCCTCTCGGCACCATTTTGTTGCATATCTACTCCGCAGGCGTCGCCCGGTCTGTCCATGCCATGTAGGAGGTGCAAAGCCCAAGCCGGTTCTTTGGTTTTCGATGAAAGTGATGACCACCCCATTGTATATATAACTCATTTTCATCATCATAGACTCGCCCAGCGTCAGCGCCTCTCTGCGTCCAAAAAACACTGAAAAAGAGGCGGTTACGCGGTATGTGCGGAGGCAAGTAAGCCCACCTGACAATTTTTGTTATCGGTCCAGCTTCACTTTCTCCTCTAGGTTCGTTGTATGTGCGCAAGATAATTCTTTTCGAGTTGTTCATCATTTTTTCTATCCCACCCGCTGAAGTCGTTTTAAAAATCCATGACACTTTTTGTCTTTTTGAGTGCTATGTGGTCTAAGCATGCCGCTTTAGGGTTTTATTTGATCATGGACGGGTCCTTTCCCAAAATATTTTACATGTTGCTTTTCTCGACATCTCTTTAGTCTAACATTAACAATTGGTCGTGAAAGAAAGAACAGCTCGCGTGAGATCATCGACAGGTCCTTTCTTGTGCTTATTGAATCTCACCGTGCTACATGTGTGGTCTTCATTTCAAGAACGTCTGCTTGGTGCATCTCCTGGTGCCTGATGCGACCGTTACTACTTCTAGCTCTATAAAAATCTAAATCATTGATTTAATTTGTTGTCACTGGATGCCACGGGCCTGCGCTACGAACAACACCTGTCTCTATCTCTTCGCTACGGCCTGATCGTCTTGAAATGATACAACTATGCACTGAGTTGTTCCTATCCTCATTAATAGTGTGTAAATCGAATTCGAATCCTAATAAATAAGCTGTATCTAATTGTTTCTCAAGTTTTCATCAACATTCATTTTATGCTTCACGTACATGATTGCCTTACAATAACTAGTTGTGCATATGCTGCTTCGAGCTTCGTGTCACTATGATCTGCTGATAAATCATTATTCATATTCTAATTTTATGACACGTTTATGTGCCCGGTGTCAGATGCCAGAAATGTCAAAAGTCTTCATACCAGTCAATGAGTTCTGTGTATTTTATTTGAGTCATAAGATTCTTGCTCTTCGGATCCATAATTCTCCTCTAATTCTCCGTACATTTTTTTGTTGTGAGCGGGGTCGCAACTTCAATTTCTGTGAGAGTCGTCACAAATGTCCTCGACGCAGCGTTCGCCACCTAGTCCGACAAAAGCAGATCCTCATCCGAACCTAAAGTATAAGTAAATAATGTTGATTTTTTTGACAAGGAGTAAGATCGAGGACACGAGTAGGCGTAGGAGAATCATGTAGAAAGATAGAAGACCACATTTTTCTAGAAGCACGTTTCTTTTGTTACCAACAGTATGACAGAGCAGTAAAGGTTCATAAGCAAGGCTATGATGTGGATGAACAGCCGTTTGAAGTTGAATGCCAATACCACTACTCACCTATCATCATCATTTATGAGTTACCTCTTGCTTCGTCGGGGCGCGTGCAGTTGAACTGTGTGTTCCAGAAGCCGTCCTCCTGCGAAAACTTGGCTTTGACTCGCCCAGTCATCTCCATACGCAGTTCTTCGAGATCATTCTCTTTCTTGATTGATCGTTTGATTTGTGCGCATCGCTCGAAGATCCCATCGATCTTCCCTTGGTACAAATCCCTCTGCTCCTGCAACTCCAACAAATACCTGAAGGTTCGATGCTTCGTCATGTTGTCGGCGTTGAGTGAGGGAGTCTTGCAGTTGGAGAGGGTACTCCTCCTATGATCATGATCATGTAGACGCCATTACAAGGTGTATGAAGTTGCGTCGACGAAAAGAAAGGTAGAATGTGTTCTCCTTGTTTCTACCCAAGCTCTGTCTCCGTTCTTGTACTTTTAAAGCGAATTGAAGATTCATTTCCGTAGAGGCAAAAAAAGCAACAGCAAGTAGAAGACGATAACTTGATTGATTGATTGATTGATTGATTAACGATAAACCTTTCAAAAATGAGTGAAAGTATTAAGTACTTCTTGAATTTCTTCACGTTCCCGTCGAGTTCGTCTTTTGCCTTGTTCGATGCTAGAGCTGGCAAGTTCGCTCGCCTCTTTTCTGCACGGATAAGCTGCTTGTACCTGAAAATTGGATACTTACATAAAAATATGCAAATGGTGGATCATCAAGAAAGCTGGCTCCATCAAATAAACAAAGCAATAGCTGGTTGGCGTTGATGAAAGCGATCAACATATTTATATTATTCATTGTCATAACATAATCATAATCTCTATGCGATGATCGTGAAAGCGTTAGCGAGCTTTTTTCAAATTTCTCCAAAAACGATGAGAAGTACGTTTCTCTCCACTTGAGGTCGAAAATTTGCTGATCATAGAAGTAATGGATCAACTGTTTCCCCATGTTCGCGCACTCGTCGACATACCTGGAAAGTCGAGGTAATATTCTCTTGGATTGATGCTTGCAAGAGAGTAAAATTGATGTTGATAGTTCTCAGGATCTATACGAACCCACCGACGTCCTCAACACAATATTCAAAACGAGCAGCATCTTCTCAACACTCTCAGAAATAGGTTCATCAAGTAGGAATACGTACTACAAAAACGTGCGTCATCAACGTAAGCGTAAAATTCTCTTATTGTGATACCTTGGATCCTCAATATCGATGAGAGAGTAGGCATACTTTTCCTCACCAAACATTTTCGGCAATGGCCATTTCGTCGAATGGAATTCGCCAGCTTGCAATCCATGCAAATTTCCCGTTGATGCTGGAAGATACCTGAAAATCAGATATGTGGATTAAGCAGAAGTACTTCCGTGATGTCTTTGATATAAATGATCTACAGCTAAAAAACCGTGACTGAATAAAGATCTCTGCTCCTCCTGTACCTGTACTTATCTTTGTTGATGATCTTGATGATATACATTTTGATAATGATTTTGCAGTTACATTTTTTTTTCCCATTTCAAAGTTCGTTGTAAGCAAGGGAGTATATATCTACCTTCTTTTCACGAGCGACTTTGTGGAGAGCCAGTCTGGTATCGGTGGGTGTTCGTTGGCCTTCTCGCCCGGGACGGGCACGATGGAGGTGGACATTTTTCTTTCTAGCGCACTAGGACTACCTTCTCTAGACTTAGAAGAGGGAGATGAAGGGAGGTCTCTATGCGCAACAGTATCTTTATCGTGTTTTTCTAAGATAGCTTGCCATTCAGCTATACGCGCAATTTCTTCCCGCTCCTCACGTTCCAGTTGTCTCAACAGCAATTTTGCGTTACAAACATGTGGCGTTCGAAGTTCTTTCAACGATGGGAAGCGCGACGGAGCCTCGTCAACAGCGACTACACTCTTTTCACGAGCCTCTACTTGACCACGATCGACGACATGATTTTTTGTTCTTGTAGTTGTATTCGAGTTATCTATATTTGTAGTTGCGTTAGTTCTAAAAGCAGAAAGTCCTCGAGTAGAAATGTCGTTCTCTCCACCTTGTTGCTTTTTTACAGACGACGACTCCCGTGCTTTATCACTTTGTTCAAGAGGCGACTTCGAGGTGTCCTCTTGGAAAGTAGAAGCTGCCGCTTTTTTCTTGGAATTCTGCTTCGGCTTGCGCTTGAACAGCTGATCGATTTCCGCGAACACCGTCTCTATCGGTACAGGTTTCGTGCGCGGTTGTCCTGCTTTTGCGCTTGTCCCCGAAGACGCAGATCTTTTCTTCTTTGTAGTCGCGCTATGTTTTGCGGCTTTCGTAATTACCAAAGTACTAGAGGATCGTCGGTGCGACAGCCCTTCATGGTCTAACTGATGATCCGCAGAGGTGTTATGAACCGGCACTGGCGGAATGGAGCGACGATCTTCCGGAATTTCGGGGAGTTTCAACGCCAAAGTGTGCGACCTGCGCGTCGACTTGATTGGTGCCGACGGGTGGGCAGCACGGTAAAGAGCTTGCTTTACTTCTCCAGCGAGGACCACGCTATGATCGTGGTACACGTTTTCGTCCAGAGTACTGACAGGAGTGGTTTGGTGCTGGCGTTTTCCCGATACCGTAGTCGTCGGGCGCGTCCCGGTGCTCGTTGTAGTCGGGCGCGTACCTTGACTTCCACTGGTATGGCTAGTCCCGGGTCGCGTTGTCGCGTTCGTGGTCTCGTCCTCGTGGTCCTCGGTACTTGAGTGCAATTCTAGGCCCTCACCGACCCGCTCTTTAATTTCGTTCGGAGAATTATGTGCAGAGGGGCCACGAACCTGTGACAAAGGAGCAAGCTTCACCACATTGCTCGGTTTGGGACGAGAGGTCAAAATGTCAGGCAAAGGAGCAGTTTCCTCGCCATCAACAACACCAGTTGTATACTTTCCTGCTGAAGATTCATGATCAGTTGAACCAATAGATTTTGATGTAGTAGGTTCACGACCAGCCAAACGAGCACGATCCCCTGCCTCCACCTCGTCAGTCTTCGAATCCTCCTGTAAAGAACGAGAACGAACATCTTCTTCAGCGAAACTCGTCTTCTCGTCCTCTCGTCTCTCATCATTTTTAGAGGTTGAAAAAAACTCTTGCTCGTTGGACATCACACGACGAACATGAACATCAACAAGATCGTCGTCCTGCTTTTTATTCTCTGTTAAGATTTCAATTTCTTTCGAGGCTGTATCTCGTCGTGTGGTAGTTCGAGAAGATCCTTCAGCACCACTCATAGACGGACGGTCGAGTAACTGTTCTTCGGCTCCTATTGAGGTCTTGACAGTCTGGTGTTCATCATCATCGACATCAGCGGCTGGGTCTACTTTCATACCTCGAGGTCGAAGCAGATCTGCACCATCACCATCAACGTCATTTTCACCGGTAGAAGGATCTCCCTCTTCCAGCTCCTCCATCGACGACACGAGTAGACTGCGGTCGAGCAGCTCAACACCAAATAATACCTTACTTGGTTCATCATCCACCTGTTCACCTGCGTTCATGTTGGTCCCTACATCCGCAACTTCGTCGTCCAAAGGCTGTGAGTAGTCCGCCGAAGACGCGCCGCCCGCTCCTGCTGCGGAGGAGCAGTAATTGTTGTCCTCGGACGACGGTGTCGCGGTTGTCCTTCCTCCGGTGGTCCGCTTACTGGCATCGAGGCGCTTTCCTTTGTTGTTATGCACGCCAACAGAGAAATCACCACTTTCAGGTGGAGCAGACAAGTTACCATTTCCGCGCTGAGCTGCTGCGGCGAGAGCATTGTTCTCTGGAAAAAACTCCTTTTCGAGTCGCAATAGCTCCGTTCGCTCTTTCACAGGCGAATACCGCTCTTCATGTTCGGACCCTCTACCACCTGCTTTGCCTGGTGGTGGAAGTGCCATTCCGTCGCCCTCACTATTTTCTGGAACATTAAAGCTGCTGTCCTTTACACCTTTAGCCTCGGTTTGATCAACTTGTCGCCGCACTTGCCGCAAAAACTGCTACTTCTTAGAAGCGTGATTAGGCAGTTGTAGGACAAAGAAGTCATAATTGTAGTTTCTCAGTGATGTATTTGTGATGATCGACAAAAAACTTATATTGATTCATCTACTTACTTCATTCCATCATAGATGAGTCCCACCTAAACGAAACGCCGTTAGAGGTGCTCCTAATAAATTGTCAGTGTGGCAGGCTCCACCTCTGATTATTCAAGTCCAAGATTATCGTGCAGAAAATGAAACCTAGTCAATGACAATTTCAAAATTTCTCCTTCTTCTTGCCTTAAGTTTTTCCCTGGTATCCGGATAAACCGAGATGAGGCCGTACTTCCGAAATTCCTCTTTCTCACGCAGCCACTCAGACTCGTGCTCGATGAGGACCTCGACCGAGTCCTGTAAAGCCTTGCTCGTCTCCTGAAGCAGATCCTGTGCTTGCGTGTGGGGCCGGTACAGATGTCGCTTCTCCTTGTCACTCATTCCCGCAGTCTGCCCTCCACGACTTCCGCCTCGTGATCCGGGTGGCGCCGGCGACCGAGCTGGGCTCCTTCCGCGCTTGGAACCAGACCTAGTTTCCGAAGATGAACCTCCCGCCATTGTAGTCGTAGCTATCTCGATAAAGAAAAATAAAGGAGGATTTTCTTTTTATAATTCTGAAACAAAAGTTCAGAAAAAATGAATGATGTGAAAGAATATCAGTACCTTAGTATGAGCCTACAACAACGACCTACAACTTCTTGCTGGTCTCGTCAGTGGATAAATAAAATAGACTGATGTAGACACTTCCACTGGCCACTTCTTCTTGTTTGCTTCAAGGAAATAAATTCATTAATTCGTATTAAAAAAACTGCAACGTTCCCACCCAAAAAATCCCAGAAGCACGAAATATGTCTCTACTACTAGGAGCAGCTTATCCCAAAAGTAAGCCTCGGTATCCCTATCCCAATTTTTGAGGTAAACTACCTCTACGTCTACATGAGTCATGAATTATAAGGAATTAGTTGTTGTATAAGGGAAATTTATGGACTTCAAAATGGGTGATGGGCACCTGGGGGCACACGTGGACCTGCTGAAACAATAATTGTGGGATGCATATCTCGACGGTTTGTTATGGTGCTTGCATTAGTTACCGTATATTTTAAAAATAACGATAAAGTCTAATATGTATAAGATCTAGAAGATACATATCATTATATATTTATAAATATATAAAGTGGTCTCTCGCATGAATCGCTGCTAGCCTGTCACGACCTATGGTGGAGGACATCAAGTTTCAGATTTGACCTGCTTCGCTACTAGCACAGCCACAGAGTTTTATCAAAGGAAGGCATACACGACCGCACTTTTCCCGTTTGTCTACCTCTCATGTAGAGTCGCATCCTGATCCTGTCACTCAGGACAGAGAACCTCAGGAACAGATTTGTCTCCTCCAGAATGGTCGATATTACTCCCACCTACCCCTTCTATTGTAAGAAAGTGGGCTATTCTGATTCCCGTAGACAGATCAGAACTACTCATACACTCAGACACACATTAAAAATAAGGCGAATTTTTATGTGCAGCTACTGGACTCTTTTTCTATTGGATGCATGCAGCTCAAGCGGTTTTCTCAGGAAAGGATAGGATTTGGCTGGCCTCGGAGAGGTGAGCGTTCAGGACTATGAAAACGCCGAGAAAGAATCTACTTCACTACACCGAGCTGTGCTTGAGCTGCGCGCGAGGACCTCCCTGTCTAGGAAATACCTAAAATGCTGCAACACTTTGTGAAGAAAGCGCTTTCTTATATGTCAGATAGACGAAGTTGTTCAACAGCTGATGTCCATCATGACTAACGGGACATCATGATACCATGAACGCAGATTATATGTAGTAGGTGTAGGATCAAAAAAGGATTGGAAAAAGAGAAAGGCCCATTTTATTAGTCATCGAATCTCCGCGTTGTCTGCACATGATGAGACCGTCTGCCACGTGTAATTTCACGATGACGGCGAAAATGTCATGATTTCAACCACTAGTTGTACTGCTACTCTGCAATTCCTAGTATACTACACGCCAACTAAATTTCTCCAGGTCGTCCGAAGGTACGAGATGAAAATGGACGTGGACCATAAAGCATGCAGCAATATATCAGTCGAAGTCTGCCATAATCAGTTTTCAATATATTTCCTTACTCATACTTACTGAACTGTTCATAGAAGATACAAGAATTAGTACTTCTTAAGCCATGCCCGAAAAAATCAAGCTCCTATTAACAGCGAACTGCTACTCCTCCTCCAACGGATAGTTATAGAGATACTCAATTGCGCGACAGTCCAATAACGTTCTGTAGTAGTATGCTTGAATAGGAAGAACAACGAGGATCTTTGTTACTGTTTTTGTTTGTCAGCTCCTTAATAATCATGAATTCTATGACGAGGGAGTCCTCGCGAACAATCACTATTTACTCATCTACCGAGCCTTTAATATCGATATATTATTATTGCCAAGTATTTTAGTATTAGTAGCTTGGTTCGTTACATGATTATGCACTAGGTGTGTGATTCTGCTGAGCAACCTGCAGGTGTAGTTGAGGAATAATGATGACTAGTGTCTATGAATAGAATGCGATTCGCAAGAAGTAGATATTTGGGCAACTATAAGTTCAATAAAGGCGATGCTCTGTTGTAGGCTTCATTTTTTGGGGTATGGTGTCTAAAATCTTAATTTGTTCGTTAGTATAGGACTGTACTTGGCAGTCCGCTTTTGCCGGGTAGACCGCGGCCGAACCCAGTGAGAACGGTTGGGCGGGGAGCGGTAAATGTCTCATCGGATCGGAGACGTTCACGAGCCATGTAGTGAAGCGGTGCAGTGTTGGGATTCAGGTCTCTCCTCGGGTCAAAAACATTCGCGCTCCCGCGTTTCGCGAGGTAATCGGAGCTTCTCGCAACACACACGATCGGCGCCGCACAGTGGTGATGGTTCACCCGATTCGTCCACTTCCCACCGCAGCTGCGAGCAGAGGGGGCCACCTCGACAACACTTGTTTCGACGCTTCTTCCACCCGACATGAAGGATGCACTCTGATGTGCGTGTTTCAGTAAGTTGAGTAGGTGGAAGTCGTTGTCAGGGGTTCGATGCATGATTTGTAGCATCAAAACTAGATAGTGCAAATGGGGAGGTAGAAAGAGGACATGGCTTATACTACAACCAACGGTAGGCAAGCGCTTCATCATCTACATGCTTAGGCATACAAAGACGAACATGTTGACTTGCATGAGGTTCAACGAGGAAGAATATGAAGACGAAATGAAGTCCACCATGTAGAATCTTCAAACTCATTCAATGCTCATCATGTTGCTCTTGCTTCTGATTCCACCTAAAATGAACTGGGTACCCTCCCAGCACGGTTCGCTGTCGAAACTGCTCTGGGTGCCATCACTTGGGCACTCTTTCGTGGGCCGCCGGCTAAGGACGTGCGTTCATACTCGTCTGAAGGGTCAAGGATACCTCTGCTACTAGATGACTTGTCTGTACGCATGATGGTCTTTGGTTCGTCCACGACCCTGCTCGACTTGTCGGGTAGGACGCGGTAGCTCTGCGTCACACTTCGTGCGCAAGTATCCCGATGCAAGGAAGCACCGTAGTGCAACGCCTCCTTCTGGTCACGGACACTGCGCTTCAGTCTCTGTTTGTCCCACGTGCGATCATCGAATGGACTCCACCCCCGTTGTTTGTAAAGTGTTTGCTGCGACACCACAGTTCGCGGACGCAGAGCGGCGCTGCGTTCGCCCAACTGCGACGTGCGCTGCACCGGGACGACCGCGCCGCCGCTTCTCAGCAGTTGCTTAGTGGTGCTCTCGACGACCGGGAGAGAGGTGAAGCTGCGGCGCGACGCAGCCAAGTTTGCGCGTTGCACAACGATGTCGTCACAGTTCAGGAGTAGAGGCGCGAGCGGGCGATACGACTCGGACGACAGCCCATTGCCTGATCGCTCTGTGTGCGCAGCGGTAAGAGGCCTGGTCATTCCTGCTGGATCAGCACTCGAGTGTCGGTCTGCAGAGGGTCGAACAGCGTAGCCTTCTTGATCCCGTGTGTCACCCATTCGCCTCGTCGTGGAATCTTCAGTGGATGCCTGAAGTTCTGCCACGGCTCTCGAAGAACATTGATGTTCTCGTTCGCGGTTTTCCTCCGGTGCATCGACGTAATCTGGGCTCGAGCTAAAGTTGCCACTCTGTGGTTGCATGCTCGCATTTTCATCCCCTTCTCCTCGTGGCGTCGCTGTGACTATCGTTCGTATTCGTAAGGCAGCATGCTCCTGGCGCAGCCATTCTCGCTGCGTCATGTCCACATACATCAGATTCGCATACACACTGTCATAATGAGACGACAGCACATCCCGAGTCGCAGCAGAGGCAGCCTCCGCGTTCGCAGGAGCACAGCCGTGGTGATACTTCTCTGGCTGATTCACCAGCTGCAAGCCTAGATGAGGTCCCCGGTGCGGCGAGACCACGACAGGCTCCTGACCCGCTGACCACTGCGCATCCGATCGATCCCTTTTTGGTCGCTGTCGCTGCCCAATCCTAGTTCCAGTTCCGAATCCTGGTGTTTCTTGCACCTCCACGTGCAAACGCTGCGGCGCTAAAATAGCTGCCGGTGGAAAGACGACCACTGGTAGCGTCGCATGCTGCGATTCTCCACTATTTGTATACTCGTCAATGTTGTTGGTCGTGGTTGGGCGCTCTCGTCTGGTAGTCCTACTCACAAGCTCGGGGTGGTAATTTCGCGATGTTGACGTACTTGGAATCGATGCGTTTGTTTCTCTGAAGTCACGCTTGTGTCGAAGATTCCCTGATTCCACCGGTAATCCTGCTACGCCGTACGATGAGCTAGAACTGCTTTCTTCGAGTACACCAGAGGCAACACAACGTATCTTTTCACGCACTGGAGCTCCAAATCGCGGACCAGCACCCAGGCGCCGACTTCGGTTTGCTTCCTGCAACATCGCAACGTCGCGCGTCCTATCAGTTGCTCCTTGCCAAATGTCACGCTGAGAAGCCATCGGTCGGACTGCTAGTTCCTGTGCCCTATATGCTTGTGCGCATCCGACCATGCGATCTGCACGACCTGTCAGCCGCGGCTCATCCTCCTGGTGGTGAAAGACTTTGGACATGGTGGTATGCACATGCTGCCTGCAGCGGTACAACTTCGAGTCGACGTTATTATCTCTGTCGCCGAGTAAGAGATGTTGTTCGAAATTGCGAGGACTGTACTTGAGAAACCCTTCATGTTTCCCCACTGACGGTGAGCTTCCGTCAAAAACTTCAGGCTTCTCGTGTACGGCTAGCGCATCGCAGTCTTCAGCAAGTCTGTCACTTGCGTTTAAAAGTGAACGCGCGGCAATTATGGCGGGAGGGATTCCTCGTTGTACGACAGTCATTTCCACTTCGCTTATGCCACTTCCAAATGGCCGCTCTGCATCATTAACGTTGCTCTCCCCCGGTTCCTGGTGGTCTGCGTCAGTGCTAGGAGCTGCGGCTACTCGTTTTTCAGTGTCAGCATGTGCACTTTCTTGATGTGCTTCGACACGTGTCGTCGTCGGCTCACATCCAGAAGGCGGAGACAAAGTCGACAAGTCATCTTGCTGTCCATCTACAACTAGTCGTCTGCTACTATCGGCAATGTTTGTGCTTGAAAGTGTAGGCGTCCTTGATGATCCCGACGAGAATTGTTGTGGTTGTGCAACATGTTCGATTGGAGTCCTGGTTGCCTCAAGCGTATTCGGTGGTGGTATCAGCGTGATGCTCGGAAGCTGGCGACGATCTCGCACGGTCGCAAAGCCGTCGAAACGAGCAAAGGAGTGACTATGCTGGAGCAAGTTTCTCGACGTGGTAGTATCGTCTTCGTTCTCCCCCAAGTCGATCACCGGCATCGTACTGCTGTGGCCGCGACACATGTGTACAGTCACACTGTGCTGTACACTGCGCCCATCGCGCGCAGCGGAATTGCACCCCTCCACGGAGAGCCCGCGCACCGCCCAGCACTTCTTGCAAACGTAGAAACCGCCCGCATCCCCACTGGAGAGCGAGTTTGGGCTGTTCTCGCAGCATTCGAGGCAATAAAAGTTGTCGTTCCCGACTAGCGGAGTGATCGCGCAAAAGCCGCACGAAAGGCCGAAGTGGACCGGCTCGCGTTTTGAGACCAAAGCGTCGTACCATGAAAGTTCCTTCTCAATCAGAGCGGCTTCGGCATAACGGCCCACGCTCCGCAGAAACGCGCGGTCGTCCACCTCAAGTTCGAAACGACACATGGGACAGGTGTGCTGGCGCTTCAGCCAGTCGGTGCAACAATCGAAGTGAAACACGTGCCGACAGGGCAAGCCAACAACCTCCTCGTTTTTCGCAAAGCTCACACGACAGATGGCGCATTCTTCTTCCCACGCCGATACGACTGTGGTTGATGGAGCCATTGCCCCACGATTCTGCTGGTGGAGCAGCATCGACGTGCTGGCTGCTGCGGTTCTACTACTTGTCGTTGTCGTCGGGTTCACACCATTGTGATCGAGCACGCCAGTACAATAAAGCTCTTCCTGGTAGTTCTGATTAGGACCCGTGCTGGCAGTACCGTTGTAGCCAGCTGCTGCCCCCGCTCCTGGACCAGCCGTCGACACGGAGAGAGCGGAAGAGACCAAGGAGCCCCCGTCACCCTGGGCGCGGTAGCGATGAATGAGCAGGCTGCTACCGGTTCCAGAGGGCACGCAGGAGCGCATATGATTCTTCCGCGGTGGACTTCCACACAGCCCCGAGCCTGAGGATCCTGTGGAGGACGTTGCTCCGATTGATCTGTTCCGTGATGTAGTTCCCGTTTCTTCACCACCTCCAAGCAGAGGTGGAGCTGGTGGCCACACAGGGGAAGACGAACCTGCGAATGTCGCTCCGACACCTCCACCTGCGGCGGTAGTTCCGTCAGGTCCTCGGTCCCGACTACCTCGCCCGGACCTTCTTGTCGGCCACTCCGAATCCGAGGCAGAGGAGATGGCCCCTTCCGAGCCGGACGATGCAGGGAGACCTCCTTCCGAGCTAGAGGTCGTCTGGAGGTGGTCTTTTTTCTTCGGTCGTTGCCCAAAAAGCGTGTAAACGTACCGCCTCCCTTTGTAGGGGACTGCCCTGATGCTGTCAAGCAGCTTTTGCGCAGTTGGTACGAACTCGGGTCCGTCCTCCTCGTTCAGTAAGAGCATTGCGGCTGCCGTTCGCTCGAAATCGGCCGCGTTGATGTTATTACTGTAATTGTAGTTGTTGCTCATCATCAGGCTAGTTGTTGTACTCGCACCTCCGTTGTTGTTCACCGTGCTAGAAACTGCACGCCCCGCCCCCGCCCCCGCCCCCGCGCACGAACGAATAAATGGAGACTCCCCCACAACCCCCGCGCCAGTACTGATTGCGGGTGTAGTTCCTGAGACGGTGGAAGCAGTTGCGGTCGCATCGCCGGTCGTACTCCGTCGCCGCTCCCGCTGCTCATGTCTTACTCCGGTTGTAGCAGATTCCAAGACAAGGCTCGACGAGGACGCCTGTGCTTCACTTGTGCCTGCGCTTGAAACATCCGGGGCACCGGATCGTTGACGGTTACGCAGAGGAAGTTGCACCAGAGCATGGTCTGCTCCTCTACCAGTCGGATCAACGGACGCTAGACCTGCAACGCGCGGCAGCACGCGCAAGTGCAAATATCCCGTTATCGGGTCAATCTCCTCTAGTTCCACTGAGACACTCTCGATAAAAACCTGGTCCCCACCTAAGCCGCCGTGATCTGGGTTCGCGCTTCCATCATAATTGTTGTCCTCAGATGAAGTGTGTGTTGGACCTGGTCGCGGAACGTCACGTTCCGCAGCTGCAGCACCAGACGCCGCAGGCACAGCGACAAGGTGGCTGTCTACTTTGTTGTCACGACTATCAACAAGATTGGATTGCTCAAGAACTGCATCGCTGCTCGTCTTTCTTGTCGCAGCGTCAATATTCTGCGTCCTTCCTCCTGCTTCGAGAGGGATGGGCATTTGGCGGACCATCTCAAACGGAACGAGCTCAACCCGATTAGACCCCGTTTCGCCGCAAGAGCGACAGTGGACTGGGTCACCAGCATTATAGACAGCTCTGACGCCGCAGCTGTGGCAAAAAAGGTGCCAGACGATCTCTGTCTCAGCCGTTGCTCCGAAGAAGTGCTCCGCGGAGTTCGGCCCGTCCATCCCCAAGTCTTCAACATCCGCATTCGTCGGGGAAGATGGACGATGCAACCCAGGAGCAGTACCGCCTCCCCGATGAAGAACCCTTCTAGGATCTCCTCTGGTAGGCGTGGTTGGCGAAGTGCCTTGACGACCATCACTCACCAGGGGCCGAGGACAGCCGTCAGCGGGTACGACTAAGTGGTTACCCATTCTTGTGCTAACTCATTCAATCAGAAACCGAATTTTACAATGATATCTATCGCAGAAGTGGTGCTTGAAAGCTGCGTGGACCTTTGTTTCATGCAGTTTCTCAGTCTTCAGACCAGTATTTTTCCCTAGAAGCATTCGGAGATGCAGGAGACCATCTGCATACGGCCGAAAAAGGAGCTCCAGAACGGATTCAGATCATTTTTGCACTAGTTCATGATTGAAGGAGAAAATATAGCAGGTAATATATCACAGTGCCCTTGAAGTACGTAGCGTCATGCGATCCTTTCAGCAAGAGGTCATGCTCGCTGCGCCAAAAAAGTTTAAAGTCAAATTGTCTGCTAAAGCTAAAATAGTCGGGGGTCATATATTAGGTATGAAGGTAGTACAGGCGCAATGTGGCGTAGATGCAACATAGTCATGGATATGTTATGCGCTATGCATTGATGAGTATGGAAAAACCTTGAAGTTTGTGACCCATGCTGTTTTTTTAGTTCCCATTATCAGTGGTTCATGAAGATATAGTGGATGAAGAGTCCCCTAAAATCCTCTATCTTTAATTATTCTTGCAATTTCGCTTGCGCTTCTACCTGAATGAGGCAGAGACAGATACTCATACTTAAAAACCTGACAACATCCACCTAGGTCGTGAGACTACGACCACTAGCCACAAATCACCTATACAATCACAATCTATATTTTTATTGATAAGTTATGATCATTCACAGCAATCGCAATCTCACGTAGCCAGACGAGACATCTGCTGTATTTTTTATTTGGAGAAAGTGACATATCAAAGAAATAGAAAGCAGACCATACTCAGACTTTAAACAACACCTCTTGACGATGAAGATCTCCCATGAGGTGTGGACCTTCCTTGAGGACTATCCACCATGGACACGGGGAATTTTTCATCTGTCTCTCGTCACAGATGATACTTGAAGGCAATCCAGACCGCATGTGCAGACATTAGAGTCAGATGAAATGAAAAACGCAGATACATAGTACCACAGAAGTCACCATACAACATACAGATAGTACTACATCACCTCACTCTTCAGGCTGCACAAAAGTAGCTACATCTCAGCTTTCTTTGAGGTTATTGGCTATAGCATCAGCATGATCAGCTTCGGGACTCTCAGGCATGAAGAAAAGCTGAATTCGTCACGACACAGACAGACATGTTGTTCTCATCTCTATTTTGTCCCCTCGGAAATTCACAGACCCTTGACATTGTAGTTTTCAATTGCGACTCCCTCTCAACATAGAAGTCGTGATAGATACAACTTTCAAAATTTGATGGATAGAGTTACAATAAACATAAAGATCGAGCTGCACTAGCGCAAACCAAAATATGCAGTTGCGGTTACAGATGAAGATAGTTAGATAATAAATATTATTTATCTATAGAAGCAGCTTAACACTCGCATGGGAAGGCTTGGATCAAATACTACTGCAAACTACCACTCATCCCTCCATAAATCTACGGAAGGAATGAAGATCATGAGGAGCACGGTCAACAGCATAAAGGTTCGCTGTTTGACGTCCCTAGACATCCTGCAAGCGAAGTCTGGTGGAATGAATGCGATTGCCTCAGCTGCATCTACTTGATCTCATTCTCGTCGTCGTCGAAGGTCTATCTGCAGGTGCTAGGTCCGTTTTCGTGTACTTATAGACTTCGTTGATGCCTTCTTCAGATCCTCCTGGCTTTCTTCAGTGGTAAACGATCATCATGTCGGAGGAACGTCACTGCAAAGTATTGCACGGGCTGGTCTCCTCTGTGCTCTTCGTCACGATTGGCATCTTCTATTACAACAACACAGAGACGAGAGACGGAGATAATTTTTGAATCGCTTCATTCTTCAAGAGTCGGAAGTATTCTCGACTTTTTTCGTTTCCTGTACTGGCTCCCCCGATCCGGGGCTTACGCTATTATTCTATTTTTTTCTGAACTAATACTTCTACGTGCGGTATGGGAAACGAGGTCACGTACGTACTACCTAGTGGGTATGGGTGTTTCTTTAGGATATTGGAGACGACACAAGTAAGCTGATGATCGCACGTCATCATTATAATAAGCTTTGAACCTTAGATGATAGTCAAGAATCTTATTTTGCACGAGATGAACAGAATCCTTATTACAGGACAGAGACGAGGGCAGCGTGAGGACATTTTTTCCGTTTTTCCTATTTGTGGTGTTGATTGTGTTGAAGTTCCTAAACGGGTGGAGAAGAATGTTTCTATTGCAGTCAAAGTCATGAAAATCTTTGAAGGTAGAAGTTAGATGTGTGGATGAGGAGAGCCTTGACCTGAAGTGAAGTAATAGGAACGTTGGGAACGAAGGAGGTCTTACCCTAGAAAGTATAAGTAAAATAGTAGTCTACTAAAATTAGAGCGCTCGGAGTTAAAGTCCCTGTCTTCTGCCACATAAGGTCCTACCAAGTGAATAAAGAATAGTAGGTGCTCTCAATGATATCGGAACGGCGTTGTTGACCTTGCTTATGGGTGCTAGCTCACCAAGGTCAACATCCGACATCATTCGACAGGAACTTAAACTCTACTATCTATATAATAAATATATTATGGTGTCCCATTTAGTGCTACTAGCCTAATGGCACAATGTTGTAGTATTTACATTTAGTATAGGCTGGTCCTTGTAAATTACAATGTAAGCGAGTAAACCTTAGATAATCAACAAAATCCCACATGAGACGAAACAAGCCTGAACACAGGACAGAGATGCGGCACGCGGTAAATAACAAAATAAAAGATAACTTTGAACAAAATTGTCCATGTCTATTTTGCTCATTACTTACATTGATTTCATGCTTCGAAATTCACAACGAATGATAGCAGCTGAAGCGAGAAAGAATGTCTGACACCTGGAAATTCTTCTTGTCCAGAGTCAGGAGCATGCTTTCTTCATCTTCATCATCGCCAGGACGCAAACGGCGCTGGCATCTGCGAGGACACCACGAAAGCACCATCGCATATATTGTAAAGTAGAGAACCTGATGTTTCGTTGAAGATCTAGTAGTCGATGAAACGACCCAGATGAAGTGTTTAAGTTTATATACAGGATAACGTTGAAGGCAACTAGCATAGGAGAGAATATCTCAACCTTGCTTCTTCGACTGACAGTGGGGAGCCGGCATCAGCCGACAGCCCGGAGCCATTGTCATTCATATTTAATTTTTTGCAATGTCATACGCATGGCCTTGATAATTCAATTCGTGGGGGGTCTTCGTTCTGCAAGAGGGTTCTCATTTTCTCTTCTACAGCGTATAATTGAACATCTTCAACTTCTCGTATTCCGTTTCTGTATCTTCTGAATGTTGTACAAGAAGAATGATTGAAGGGTACGTATCTCTGCCGTACAAAATTTTTTGAACAACCGACGAAGTACTACACCAGCCAGATCGAGGTCGAGAGGTGTTTTAGACTCGCAACTCGCGTATTGCTTTGGACTTGAATCGTGGTAGACTTGGACTTGGATCGTGGTAGAGTAGTTACGACCTTGGCGGGGTGTAAGATATGACAGAACGGGTCGACGATCCCCTGCCTCACCGAAGAGTCTTATGTCACTCTTTTCTTCTGGTGGTCGTCAAGCTCCAATCAACTCATCAATTCCTACTCATCTTCACCACGTTCTTGATGACTCAGACAACGTCCACGCAGGAGCAGTGTGTCCAGGTATCATGATGGGGTTGCTCACTGCTGTGCTAGTGCTTCAACACTGTGGAGGATGGTAGTTCCACGCCATCGCGGGGAAAGCTTCCAGCTGCAAAAAAATGAACATTAACATTTTTAGTCCTGCTGATGATACCGTGGTCGGTTCTTGTGAACAAGAAGATTCTCCTTAAGTTTACATCACGCGACATCAAGAGGCAGTAGAGCGGTTTCCACTCTGGCACATTTTTGTAATCGTAGGTACTAGCGTGAGTCTGAGTTTGATGTTAGACTAATATTATAAGATATATTGTTGGGCAAGATCATAACTCTGGAAATATCACGAAGATCAGAAGGATAAAGATCAACGAAATGACCAAGATCGCCAGGCAAAAGGTTACCGGAGCACTATCCAAACGCCCGACGGGTTTACCGTCGCGCGGGTGTCTTCGGCTTCTCCTCTCTCTCTCGTATGTGGCTCAAGCCTCCCAACACAGTCAAGGACAAAGCAACACAGGAAAGATCTCAGAGATAACCTACAGGCCTAAACGCATATAGTTCCAAAATCAATGATCAACAGGCAAAGGACCTTCAACGTATTCAGATAGCGGAAATGATGAATGTCCATAGCTGTAATCAGGTTCGTAACGTCTTGTCAGTTCTGACCAATGACGAGTATCGATGTAAGACGATCGCACGAATCAATGACGATAGCATAGGCGTTCCTATATGAAGCACGTGAAAGCTTCCCTATGCGTCATGATATCCCAACGAAGAAGCTGAGACTTCCTCCTTGCAACCCCAATGAATATCCACAGGGATCAAAGCAGCCAGAGGCCGTTAGTCTCAGGCTGTGAGTGCAGTCGTGCAATCTGTATCGAACTCAAGCGCTCCTCACCGAAAAACTAGAGGCGACTTAAAAGTCTGCGTTCGAATGGTCCAACGTATATAGTGGCGCGTTACACTAAAAATATTATAAGATATATTTATATAGTGGTGTAGCTTGTTAGACTAATATACCTGTTGCCATCCGCGGACCTACTTGGGAACTGATAGGACTTGTTGGAGGTGGCACAACCTAAGGAGAAGCACAAGCTAAGGAGAAGGACTCCTGGAATCTTTCTCTATCTTGCATTGGTTGAATTCCCTTTTCAGCATTTATTGTCCGCAAAACTAACTACAACACAAACACTTTTAATTTCAGTTTGTTGAATCCGCTCCCGACTACAGATGTGACGAAAACGAACAACATACGAGAGAGCATCCTTTATGTAACTAAGTTGTAAAAAGATAATTATGGAGCTGCTTGCAAATTGAATTCTTTGCTCTAGAAAAAAAACCACACAAGTCTACTAAACGGACTTTGTGGAATCGGTGATCGTAATATTCTAGGTTGTTACTACCAGTACACAAAAAAAAAGAGTAAGAGTCATACAAGCAAATGTCGACGAATCGAACGAAATGACAGTCGTGCAACATGCTTGATGGGTGTAAAAGGACATGCCGAATATGCGCCACTGAGTGAAACACTTTTTAGGGTTTCCAGCAGTGAACTTTCTTCTAGCATTGCTCACCATCCTTCTTGGCTAGCTTGACGTAGCATCTGCTTTGTCTTTCTACTTATTTCATGCTGCTTACCCTTCCATACAACTGCAAGTTCAACTTCCTCGTTAGTTAATAGATGTAAGTTATATGAAAGGCAAAATGGGTAGCGCAGTTGAAGACCTTGTTCCGAAAATCAATGACGAAAAGCCTACTGACGATGAACAAAGGACCATGCACAACGAGTTTTATGTGTCTCACGCGAGTTGTGAGCGGGGGGGAATGAGGTGAAAGAAGGAACAAAAGATAGGCAAAGGCCTCTTCAAGACAGACTTTCATTATATAAAAGACAGGATGAACAATAACGTTTGGGAAAAGGGCAAGGATTGTCGACGGAAGGGTGGGGGATAGACCTGCGCGAGGGTTCTTTTCCGAGCAGGTATAAGTGGTTCTAGGATAAACACGAAGATCTATGGGATTGGCTACGGCTATGCAGCTAAGGCTATGCAGCATAGGAAATCGAAATGTAGAGAATATGTGATACTCTTCTCCAGTGTCCTCGAAAGCATGCTAACAATGAGGAACCACAAAGAAGCAAGCCCGTAATTTCCATTTCGTTTATATGATTCTGTTCTACAACCAGCTGCGTTGATTATACTTACTGAACTTGAAACTTGTTCTGGAGCCCTTTTCAACATGATACTGATCCATCTTCTTGTTTTTTAGCCCTCTCGCATCCGACCTGGCTCGCTGGTCGTCGCAAAAAAGTCGCCTTCCACCCGCGCTGCTTCTCACCGTTTCTTAGAGCCTGTAAAATTTCATATCTGTTTCTCGTTCCCCGTGTGCCAACTTGACCGACTTACTTACACATTTAATCGAGACTCGCGTTGTCTTCCAATAAAGTCCGCTCCGGCCACAAGAGAGGTGCCTCGGGACTTTATTCAAGATAAATCAATGTCTTCTTAAAAAAGATGCACCACTGCATACGCCCACAAACGAAAATCAAAATGATCCACAAATCAAAATGAATTTTTAGACAGAGCCCGAACCAACTGCACACTTTCATGGTGGATAAACATATGTATGATGGAGTAGATATGAAATGTCCTGAGATCATGCCATAATGCCAACAACTTGTATCCTATTTCGGATGTCGTCGAAATAGCGTTGCAGGTCCGCCACTTCCTGGGTCTGGAACTCCTCAAAGAGCTGCCTCTGCACATTTTGGATCCATTCTATGTTAGAAATAGAAGAAGCTTCAAGTTGATTCTAATCAATGTAATGAATGTCGCTTCAAGACCACGCTCAACTGCTTGTCCGCCCCTTTTCTTCCTAATCTAGATCTACTTGGGAGTGATATTCTAAGACCATCGATGAACAATGTTTGTACTAGTGCTAGTCCGAGTCTGAGAAAAAATATCTTTTAGCTACCCTTGACAGCGGAAACGGGTGGTAACGAATGATCATGGATCTACTTCTTAAAACTCTCAGCATTGATTTATTTATACAAATTTCTTTAAAGTCATCGTTCTTAACAGTCCGCGTTCGCTGTTCGGAGATCATCTCGTCAAGCCACTTCTGATCCTGCGCCAGCAGCCTAAAGTCCTGTAGGTTCCACTCTACTTGTCGCAGTTGCTCAAGCACTAAGCATTCCGGTAGTAACCTGATGTAATAGTTCAAGTTTGATTTCAATTTCTAGTTATTGTCATTGTATAGCAAACGAGAAGGCTCTCTACTGCAGTGTGATCCGTAGGTTCTCGTCGGGAGCTGCGGACCACTATTAAAGTCATCTGATGCTATTACGACAACCCCTCTGCAGAACATGAATCTTCAATCGCACTGCGCTGAGGAACCCTACAAGCAGAAGTGTGGAGTAGAGCCACCTCGTTATAAGAAAAAAGAACCTACTACACCTCGTAACGAAAAAGAATTGTTATTGTAGCACCAATCATGAATACCTGAGCAATTCTAAGGCCTGCCTTTCCTCCATAGTGAGTGTTTCGTTCTTCTCGAAACCGATTTTGGACAGAATCGCGTATATTTTTGGCCGCGAGTCTTGGTCTACTTTCGCCGCAAGGTCGAGGACCTTGGTACTACTCGCTGGGTTCTGTAACTTGTGAATCGACAGATCCTCAGCTTTAGCTGTTGCTGCTGTTGCTGCAGTGCCGCCGTCTGGTGCGTGATAGGTGAAGAAAGAGGAAGGTTAACTTAGGTTACTGGGTCGATTGTGGAGGAAGAAGATCCTTCAGCACAACGGTGAGATATATGGTGAAATAGACTCTGCGACGTGTACGTTCTGAACAAATAATAACACCACAAAGAGATGTAAAAGTATATAGCTCTTGTTACCTACTTCCATCGCGACTCCTGGCTCTTGCGGTGGCGGTGGCGGTGCTGCTAAGGGGTCATGCTTTGGATTCAGCGGGAAGTCTAGGTTCTGCAACACACCCTCTTTTGTAACCGCTTCCGCGATGCTCTGCTCCTCACCCCAGATCTCCAACAGAATCTTCAGCCCACCCTTCATGCTCCTACTATGAAAGAAACAATGACCGTGAATTAAGATTGATTAAGTGTAAGAAAGTGTAACTACTGCAGCTAACAAACCTCTGCGTGATGTCTATGACTGAAATTCTCAGGATTGTCTTAGAGTAACCCTCACAAGACACGAGAAATGTAGAGTTGGAGGTGACGTTCTTCCCAAGGTCTTGTCGAAACAAAGGCCACCTTATAAATCTTTGTAATAGTATCTCGTATAAGCTAGAATGAAGTCCGACGTTCGTCATTTTTCTATCTTGCGCCACTTTATACTGCATCTTTTTCCTTCATATCTTGGCCAAAAGATGGGCCTAGACGGAGAGACTTTTGAGGCTTTGACAAAGGTAAAAGACAAAGATAAGAGACAAAGGAAAACGACGATGAGCGAGTCGTTACGAAGTCAGATTATCTAGGGCCCGTCTCTGTCTTTGTCTCTGCGCCATCCAACCCGTCAACATTTTTTTTGATCATAAACGCAACAAAGATAAGAAACTTTCGCAGATCAGCACTCACAAAACTGCCGCAGTAGCAGAGTCTTCATTTCGCATCACGACTGAGAAAAGCCGGCGCTTATTCTTTTATTGAAGAGAAGACGGCTCGCTTACTTTGATAGGCACGGCTCTTCGGGATGGCATCAGCGCACTTTTTAAATTAATTGCCAGAAGATGGCGCAAATTTCCTAGACGTATGACGCCACTGGCCAGCCTCAGGCCCCACGAATCTTGTGAATGTCTTGAGGCAATACACTGCCGAAATGTGTGTCATAGCGTTCGCTATTCTTTCCATGAAATCGGGCAAGAGATTGCCCCCAGGCTCAGACTTTGAAAAAGTTAGACTTTAATTTCTTAAAAGTCTGAGCGTGAGTGTAGTTTTTCGCTCGATATCTATTTGCGTTGTGTTCTGAGTCTTCAACTGTGGCCCGCCGAGATCATAACCAGAGGAGCGCCTGGCTTCCATAAAATGCAGCAGTACTGACGTCGCTGCTTTTTTTTGGATGCATGTCATTAATTAGCCAAGTTTCACCCACTGACTGACGCCACCGCTTGACTTAATAACTTGCCAAAGAGCTTGGCCCCCTCCTTCTCTTATCAGTGTCCTCCAACTTCAGCAAAATGGGGCGCAGCGCATAGTCTCCCGCTGCTCTTTTTTTACAGTCTTCGCTTTGCCTCTAAGTCTGCGCACTCCTTGGCCCAGTAACTTAGTGAGCCTCTAGCCAGCTTTGCTCTCATGCTCACAGTCAACAACCAGAAACGTGTCACCTATGAGTTATAGAATAATCAACAAAGGCGCCACCCTCACGCATTTAGGCGCTTCGCTTGCTGTCTTTGCAGAGCATTGCCAAACCGGGGAGAGTGTGAATATAGAACCACGGCGCAACTGGCTAAGGCGTCGACTTCGTGCGCCTACTTCTCGCCATTATGTGAGCGAGCAGCTTTCCTTTGTTAGTAACTTCTCCCCATACGCTCAAGCTCGTTAGCTCCTCGCCAGTCAATGAACCCAGCAGAGCGAGGCACTAAACACAACGGCTAGAAATGCAAACTGCTCGCGAAATCGACACAATTGCACCGACATAGCTGGCCTCTGGTTTTCTTCACAATCTGCGAGATACGGCAGGAGAAATACCCGCTGGCGCCAGAGGTTCTTACTGTGCACGCCGAACAGTTTCCGAAAGCGTTCAGCGTCCGGAATGAACGGGAGCAGGCTTACAAGTCTCTCACTATTTCGATCGGCGGCCTTTCCACTAAAGCAGGGCAAGCATGAAAGTCGGAGAAGTTTGGAGATGCAGCTACAGCAGCAGCCAAGCTCTTCAGCAGAGCGCGGCCGTGGAATGCCGTTACACAGCTGGCGCGCTTGTTCGGGACTTGCCAGGCTGATGCGTTTGTGACTGACTTGGGGGCGCAGGAGTTTGCAACTGCTGCGACGCCTACTCCAACAGCTGACGAAGGAAGGGCATTCACCTCGCGGCGTTTGAAATGGGCACAGCAGCGCACTGCCACCAGACAACATGAAGAAAATACTTCGCGCCGCTTCCTCAGAAACATCTAAAGCGCCTGGCGAACAATGTCAAGCACGACAGAACTAGCAAAACCATAGAAAAAACCCCGCGCCGCTGCAAAAAGTTAAAAGCCCGAGCACCAAAAACCTGCACAAAGAAAAACGCGGCGCATGATAGTGCGTGTGAAGCATGTCGGGGCTTTCTCATAAGATTGCGGCCTTTCTATGGAGCAATCGAAACCAAGCAGATTGCGCAAAAGATGTGCCATCGTAGGACAAGACGCCGCGGGTGCTTCGTGGGGGCGGTACCCGTCGCGCCAGTTTTCAAAGGTGGGCGCCTCGAATGCTCTGCGACGTCATCCAAGGCCGTCGGCTGGGTTTTAACACCTTACCAGGCTGCGCTGCTGATGGGTATTGGGCTGGAGAGCGAGAAGCTGAAGGCGCAGCGGGTAAGATACTAAAAGCCTCGAAGAGTCAGGGCGAGCCTTAGAAAGAACCGGCGAGGTTCTTCAGTACTAACTTCAGACCTAGCAACCTCTCCCGGGCAAGTTTCAACTATTCTGCGCGCAAAGCTCTGCAATATCTTCGGCTTTGCCGGTCTAAGAACTACTCTGCTGCTTCTGGTCCACATTCTGAAGAAGGCACAGGCCCAAACTCGGACGGTGGCGCTGGGTCAGGTGATTGCGGTTCTTTTTGTGATGTTTGCAATATCTTCAGACCGCACCAGTTTCGCCGATAATGGCGACCACCGTAAAGCATAGCAAAACGGCGAGCGTTTCTGCTCGCCATGCGCTCGATTTCCTTAATGTTCGGCGGTCCTGGTCCAGTGTGCACCGTAGTGAGTTGGCCCATGTCTGTCAAGCGATGCGATGCGCTCGCTTTTGCTATGGAGTAACTTGCTTCGAACGTCGTGCGTTATATTTTCGCTAAACAGCTGCGGCGTGGGTCAGACAATAACCGCAAAAGCGGCGCGCACTTGCTAAAAAAGAAGTGGGGGCGGCTCTCTATCGCTTCAGTTTCGTAATCATCTTCGGGCGTCTTCTGTAACAGCTAGAAACGACCCCGAAAGGGTTAAGCAGCTAGAAAAAAACGCGCACCGCTGTGGCTTTTCTTATCGGCGCTCAGTTGTCGTTTTGTCACATGGTGCGGCGCAGGCGTCTGCCAATCTCTATCGCCTTCCGCTTGGCTGCAGTGAAATGCAAAATAAGGGCTCAGCGTGTAAAAATGGCGCGCATTTTTCCCGAACTATCGAGCTCAGCTATCGGCAGCGTCGCACTTTTTCCGCAGTTCTTTCCTCAGTGCTCTGCTAAGCTATTTAGCATAGTCGGTTTTTCCGTTCTACCTCTTTCCTCTACTCTCTAGCTTACCCCCTTGGTCTAATAGTTCTCCACTCTCATCATCTTTTTCGACTCCTTCATCTTATACGAGACAAACCGATCGCACTTAATAAACTTAACAGCAGCGCAGGGATGTCGTCATCCCTGCGCTAGCCTGTGATATCTATCTATTACTATTTCTACGGAGCGGTGGAGCTTGAGGTAGTACAACGAGGAAATACAATCAAGATGAGTAGAACTCGTCCTGTCTTCATACTTACTACTGTTCCACTGCACGAAGAGGCTCGCGGCATTCGGGTTTTGCACTAGATCCGCAATGCAACCCACAGCTTAGAGGTTCATTGTACTTTTTGTACTTTTACTGCGTTTCTTACGTATTCTGCTGATGCTGGATTTCGATTCCATTTCTCCATCAGCGACGGCAGGGGCAGCGTAATGCGTACTACCGGCTACTTCTCGTCTCAAAAAAGTAGCGAATGCGATACTTACTAGCGATTGTCAGTCTTGAAAAAAAGTTTATTGCACTTAACTAAGTGAGAAAGTCTACAAGACCTCTTTAGACGGAAGGTATAGATGCATTCTAATTAGTCAAGTCTACTCGCTCCTCCATAAAGAAGAAGTGAAAAACATTTGCCCATAAATGATGTGCCTGCGCAGCATTACTGGTGCCGACTCCAACGCATCGAGCAGGGCAAAAAGTCCAGCATTCTTCAGGAACTTCTCCTCGTTTTATGAACTAATCTACAGCGCTCGTTGTAATTTCTTTGACGTTCATGTACTTCAGCACCATCACTAATTGATGTATCGTCTTCTTCATGCTTACAGCTACACTTCATTTCTCATGCGAATGATAACGATAAATGTATCTTCCCCTGAGCATTCGTGGATTGGGTGATAGTTTCGATACCGTTCTAATTCTTAAGTTACTTCGTCACTAGGCGGAAAAAAACATAATACATGTACAGCTGGAACTGAATCTATAGTGCTTGTCCCTTAAATTCAGAGTGTCGCCAACAATCGCACACCAAACACAGTCCACCACATGTAGCATGAAGAAAAGACGATCTTGCAGCTCGCCTTGCGGATTCCACTTCACTTCGATCGCGAGTGTCTCCACCTATAGGAACTTGATAACTCATAAAAAAAATCGAGAAGGTTAGGAGGTTTAGGTGTCACATGTCATGTCATGCCCTGCGAACGCTCCGTGTTGCGATCATTACTCGATCACCTAAGGAACTGTATTACGTAGAAGTTCTAGATAGCTAGCTCCTAAGTAACTTATAGTCAAGCGTTCAGCTAGTGGCAAATTCCAGTTTTTAGACTTCACCGAGGTGGCCTAAATGGGCAGTATAACTGCAGGTTTTTGATGAGTAGATGTTATACTGCAATTACAGCGAGTGTAACAGTACTTATGCACGAGGAATGCATGTTGATGTCGGGACGAGCTTTTTAGATGAGACTCGACAAATGTTACTTATTTGATAAGATAGGACAAACAAGCAAAATCGGTTCACTGATCTCAACCTTTAGTGTGTATAATTTACGAGAATTATGGCCCCTCGACGCAAGCTTGCCTGATGTAAGTAGAAGATGATACCCCTTTGGCCTTCCGGAATCTCGTCGAGTATGCCTCGTCCTGTCGGCACAAGCATCCCAAAATACTGCAGGATAGCTGCCTTAAACTGAAAGGATTGGTCCTGTTCCCGAAAATATCGAGTAGAACGTCCACCACGTCTAAATGAGAGGCGTCCAGCATACAGCATGGCGGGATGTCAACCTGCTCGAATCCTGGTATGATGTTTATTTAGAGGTAACAACTAGTACTGCTACCAAGTAGAAAATCAAAATGTACAATGATGTAGAGGATATCGTCCGATGGAAAAGAGTTGGTAGTCTAATTCTAGTTGCACTAGTCAAACTAGGTTCAATTTCATCAATTAGCACGTGTATTCTGCACCAAGTGCTGAACCAGGACAAGGCACCTCCAGATTCGTAATTGTTGTGATAATTCCTTGATTTTTAAGTAAGTACTTAAAATCTAAGTGAAAGTCGTACTCCCACTGCGCCTACTTAGGCCTCCACATCTCCCTCTGAAAATTAAATTACAATTTATGCAACTGATCATGCAACTTCAAAAAGTACCATCAGCCTTCGTTGATGCTAGGCAAGCCCTGTGTAGCAATGTCAAGCACGCTTTCTGCAAATCCCGGTCCTGCGTCGTTTGCAGTAGCCTAACGACAACACCATTCCCGTCCGACTCTAGGTATGAACTTGGACAATGCGGAACCTGAAGGCGTTGGATTGGTGAAAAGGTCCTTCCTGAGAGAAAACCTTCAGTATCACATGCGGATATGGTTCATACTCGAATTGTCGAAACAGAAATAAGTTCAATGTCGTGACGTATCGAAGTTGACAGTGGAAAACAAATCATCTTAATAACATCTTGCCGTTATACATTGGAGAATCATCAACAAACACGAGATACATGAACAGCACAGCCACGATGATCAATCAAAAACACAACAGAAAATGACCACAAAGACCTACCAGAGTAGAACAAATCATCTAGTTAGACATTCTTGTAGCCATGTCTGACAAGAAATAGAAAGTTACCACAAGGAACAGCACACGCATCGCCTCCAGTTGGAGTTTTTTTCGCTGATCGGGTGACCATTGTGTCTGGAAGGGGTCGAGGCTCACAACGTCCAAGTATCTCTGAATTAGACACGTAGTACTAGCACTATGGTGGGCGTTTCAATCTCTGTGAGTAAGCTGGTGTTGAATGGTGATAGATATGTAACGCTGTAATCTTCTTCACCTGAGACTAATTAGAAAAGCATCTATTGAGATTGACTTTGATTATTCGCTACAAGAAAAATGCTGTGCCGTAACAACAACATCGGTACGAAGAGGAACTTCTCTATGAGTTCCGCGCACAGGGATGTCCCCGCGGTTTCTTAGAGCCATGATCGGTCAAAGAAGATTGGCATCATCTCCCTAAAATTATTTGTTCCGGAGCCGCACACACAGTAATTTCTGTTTGAAGCTAGTAGCACATGATGATAAAGGCCTTTCTATTTCATTTTTCTAACTCCAAGTAGTGCAAAAAAAAAGTTACAGACGACGAGATAGAAGCTACTATTTCTGCTCTAAAAATGGAGGGTAAAGTGGACTTGACTCGAGGAATCCTGCCATAAGTTTTCGCAACTGCGCGCCACGTTAAAATCCTGAACTCCATGTCCTCCAGGCACGTTGTGAGCGGAATAGGCGCTTTTCTCTCCTCCGAGTCTGCTCGTAACTTTAAAGCTACAACGTGCTGCGGAACATCTACAACTAAAAAATATATCAACTTACTGGTTTCCGCTCTAGCTGAAAGATAATATTTATAAAACCCATCCGAGATGAAGAACTGCTCTATCTTTACAATCTGCGTGTCGTGGTCAAACTTACTTTTCTAAGTACTTCTTCTAGGAGATGGACGACGACGAATTCGGTGCACATAATAATTTTCGAGGCAAGAAAATGGTTGCTGGCACCGTGGAGATGGATTCGATTTCCTCTTCAAATATCCGCCCACTAATGAGCATGTCCTTGATCGGACCCTCAGCCGCGTGCTTCAGAATGAGACACACGAGCCCGCTTTTCGCCGCTATATCGTGATTATCAGGTCGAGCAAGGATAAAAACAGTTAGAGGTTTCGTAAGAACGTGTACTAGCTGAAGACTATACTAGACGGTTCCGTGGTGCAAGAGGGATTAGTAATTCTTGTGAATCATTGCGACTACCTATATTCTAAAAAATCTAAGTAATCCTTAGTATCAAGTTGTCTGAAAGAACAAGTATGAGTAAATGAAAATGGAGCTAAACAAAAATAACGAGACCAAAGAGCCCAAAGCGCAAGGGCAAGCGTCAGCAATTTCATAAGATTAGAAGTGCCAGCATGTCATTTCGGAATATCTTGTCCTTGTACCGGTAGCCTTCATGCAACACTGTTGTGAGAAAAACCACGAAGGATTCCATGATATTCGTTTCGCCAAGTGCGGCAGACGCATGTTCCCGGTCCAGTTCTAGGACATTCCATAGAATCTCCGCAGATATCAACAGCACATCGGACCCCAATAGATTATTTCGGATTACCTGTTTTTGTCTACCTCATGGGATCAGTATAATCCACAAAACTATTCATTGCCCTTATAATAGTACTACAATCGTCATAATCACAACCGTCGCCGTCGTAATCAATATCACGATGAATAATTGTTGGTGAGGTTTGCACGATGAAGATTAGAGGAACGTACATGGTCTCGTCATGCTTGCATAAGTCTCATAATTTCCATTTCTTTCAAATATATTTAAAGCGAGAGTAGAAGTGGTACCGCAATGAGATTCGAAAGCAGTCCGCAATTGGTAATTTGCACTGCCAGTGGTTGGAATAGACTCATGTCTTTGAGAGCACCCAGCATGATGACGAGTGCTTCCGGGCTGTGTTCTATGCGAAAAACGCGCGCGATTTCAGCTATAACATTCGTTTGCTGCAAAAGACGCAAGCTTGGTGTGCCTGTGTACGCCACGTTTTGAATAACGGAGTCATCCGCGCCTTCCTGCACCCAATCATCCTCGAGTCCGTATCGTGCTATCGATGCCACCATGTAAGCTATCTGCGAAGTTGTTGGAGAGGGGTGCTTTTTGTCGTTGTTGTTCGCATCGATCAAGTGGAAACCCTTGTTTATGTTAGTACCAGATAATTACTGAACGGAACATGTCTAAAAATCATGACTCAACATTCCGTTTCACTTTATCTAGAAAAAGTCTCCTCACTCACGTCTGTCACTTCATAAGTAAGTCCTTTTTAGATCACCTTAGAGGCCACGCCCTCGAACAATCAACCTCAAGCAAGGATGTAAATAAAGACTGTAGTACCTCTATTCTGATCATGTCTTTTTGTGGATCCGGATTGTCTGCAGTGGGCTGGGCGTCTTGCAATATGCTGATGACGGCTGTGACAAAACTCGGGAGCCATTTTCCGTACTGAAGCAGGTCCTCGGTTGCACAGCTGCTGAACGGTTTTCCTCCAATCTTCGCCACGCCGCATATTGCTTCGCACCACTCTCGCTGGCCCTTCTTCCATCTCTGCCCTAAAACCTCCACTAGCTCCACTAGGTATTGCAAGTGCTTCAGCAAAAACCCGTTGGCGCATTGCTTGCAAATCTTTGCCACCTGACGTGGAAATATCAATGGGTTCGTTTGTAGGACCGAGAGAATGCTGGTGCAGCAGTAGGATAAAATATCAAGAAACGTGATAGACGCAGACGCTCGAAGATCCACGATTACTAACTAATCCGTTATCGATGACAAGAAGTTTTAGCATTTCCGATTTCTTCTACTGGCTCGCGCGTGATGGATTTTCTCAATCATAGCACCACGAGATGGTCTTGATTCCAATTTCATTTTTTTCAAGACCTGCGGAAGTACTATTCCCGAAATAAAAACAAGTAGCATATCTCTTCAAGGAAATCAAATTTAATACAGCTTTTATGTGTCGGTCGACCACGTGACTTGTGTGCTTTGAGGTAAGCAATTCGAGTACTGCAGGAAAATCGATATCTTCCGGGAGCTCCCTTACCGCGTTTTGGATATCGCGGAAATCCATGTTTTGAGCCGCCATCTTGTCGTCTTTCAGATGGTACTAGGTCTCAGTTGTACTGCGAGCTCTGACTCTTTCTGTAAAAAAATTATCTGCATGTGGCCCCTTTTTCCTATTTCAACGCGTTTAGTAGGCGCTGTAGGTAGCTGTTGTCTTACCGATGTCGGTGTGACTTAGAAAGCCGTTAGCAACCGTTTTCTTCAGCAGATGTTCGGTAGATCCAGACGCGTTCCGCTCGTCTTCGAGGCAGGTAAACCGCGATGAAAGTGTTTTTCGCTTTTCAGGAGGCGATGGAATCCGTGGTCGACGGTGTAGAGACCGGGTCCTAGGGTTCCTGTGTTGAGGGAAGCGTCCCGCAATTCGTCAGACAGGAGTAGCACGACCGACGAAAAGAGAAAAAGAGACAAGAACACGTACTTAAACGCGTGGTCGGTTTCCGCTAGACGTGTTGGCAATTCTGCCTTCGGTGTTGAAAAGCGCGAAAGACAGCCAATCTGGACTCGCTCGCAAAGATTCTAGCTTCGTGTCTGTCTGTTGGTTGCTTAGGACCGAAGATGATTTCCGTCGCTAAAGCGAGTCCTTCCGCTACAGAATCGCTGCAGTCTTCGTGCAAGTGCTGATGCGAAGTAGACATGCTCTGCCCTTCTCTTTGCCGGCTCCTCACTGGCACTACCGTTTCGCACCGTAAGCGGAGGGCAAAGTCCGACAATCGTCTAGCGACGCAACCCGTCTGCCTTAGTCGCGAATTGAAATCGTGAGGGTGCGGGCAAAAGCCCGCGGCGATTCATCACCCATGAGAGCGCAAGCGCAACAAGCTGTCTAGCTTTAGTAAGATTACCTCTCTTCTTAGTCACAGATCGTACTCCGCAAGAACCGTTCTCGCAACAAGATCTTTTCACTTTTGACTTTTTCGCTATTTCAGATTTTCAACAAAGCTTTCAGTCCATTGAGTGGTATTACATTACTTCATCGGGGACATCAATCCGACCGTTGGTTTTCTTCTATAATTTCTTTTGTTCCCTCTTTCTCTTTCGACTTTCTCTTGCAGTTTTCTCGGTTTTTATTCTAGAAATAAAACCGAAAAGTCAACAGTATCTTTTGTGTTTCCGAAGTAGAGAAGATGTAAAGCCAGGTCTTCCGGTTCACATCTGTTTCTGTTGCCGACCAATACTAAAAAAACCTATCGACATACCTCTGCGCGGTCTCAGAGTTTCGCAACAAAAATATTTTCATTTCCTCGCTCTTCAGGCAAGTGCAAAGCATCATCGAATGACAACCAACAGCTCCGTTGGATGCTGGTTTATTTGATACTTACATGCAACTAGGGCAAAGAAGTTGCACATAATCGAAATTGGCATGCACTGAAACGAAAAGCGTGTGGTAAGGATGAAACAATCTCATATGGACTACCATAACCCCTATGTTCTAGAAAAGTCAACTTCAGTTACAGTTTTTTCGTCTTCCTTGTCTTCCATATACCTGGTTATATATGGAACCTCATCCCAAGGCCAGCGCGTCGGGCCCCTGCAGACCCTCTTTGACTTTTCTCATCTTCTATCAATAATCTGCACACAAGAATTTGAATAGAAATTCGTTCCACGCCTAGCTGACGGGCAGGAGCGTCTCGTACACCACCTTGTAAACCTTATTCTCAAGGGAAATAGAGTCGGATGTCACTGTGCATTTGTTGAGACCACCACCCATCTTGTTTTCGTTACATTTTTTACTTTATGGTGGTGTTTGCGATATCTCCAGACCGTAAGAATCTACGTTACAGTCAGTCCTCTACTTCAGAGAAGCCATAGTCCCAATCGTCTTATATGTTCATCAAGCATAGGAACAAGCGATGACGTTGTCCACCATATTATGACAAGCGGGAGCAGCTCGTGACAACATCAAAACTTTATCATATAGTACTTAAGTAGATGCGATCTTGCTACTTCAGCTTCTTCAGGCACAAAGTAGAAAATCTTAATGAGTCAAATTTTGTTGCGCGCTCCTCCTAGACTTAGCCGTGCGCTTAGTGACAATTTGAGTTTCATGTTACCCATGCATAGATATATACTAGAACGAAGACGTAACAGTCTACGCAGGGTGAAATTATGTAGGGACGATTCTACCGAAATGGGTTCGCTTTTTGCAAACCATGGCCCTTCTGCAAAGCGAGCTTCATTTTCTTCGTAACCCAACCGAGCCGATGAAGCTCATATCCATGCTTTCGCAAAGACGTGTCCAAATCTTGTTCCCACAGAGAGAAATGTTTGTCTTTGTCTACTTCCTCCTCGTCATCTCCTGATTCACGTTCACCATCGGAATCGGATGAAGAGGTGGATGATCTTCTAGTTCTATCATCAGGAGACCCACTGGTGCCTGGTGATGAAGTTGAGGTCCAAGCGCGGTTAGCGACCAGTACGGCCTCTCCAGATTCAAAGTCAACAGAAAGCACGTCAAGGACCCCACTGTGTCGGAGCAAGATCGTCCTGACCCCGCTCTCGCAGGCCTCGCAGCCCATGTTGTCAATCACGTAGTGGAGCGTCTCGACATCCGCACCCCCACTCATGTCCGGGGCCACGGCGGGCACCCACGTTTTGAGCTGCGTACTGGTATGCAGGAACCGAAGCAACTCGGGTAAAAACATCAAAATAAGTGTAAGAAGCGTTGAGCGGAGCAATGGACGGGGAAATAAGGGTCTAGTCCTGCTTTTAGAGGAAGTTGAAGAAGTACTAGCTGTTGTTGTATTACTCTTCGTCCCGGACACTCCTCGTCTAGCAGTACTAGGACTCGGCGAGCAGCAAGAGCCCAAACCGGACAAGGTGAAACACCATCGGACACCGAGGTAGCCGAGAATCACTGTCCTGATTTGCTGCCGAAGGGGTCCGATCGCTGTGTTGAGACCGGCACAGCCGATGTGCACCACATCATATGCAGAGAGCAAATTGAGAACCAGCTGTATCAGGCAGCAACTAGACCCAAGTAAGCCGTTCACTAAAGGCATCACAAGCTCGTCCTCAATGCTGCTTTCCCTGTTACCGGTGTCGTCGATGCCATTTTCACCGTCAGTAGCGTCCAGGATTACAGTTTGATTCTCGCCAGCACTTCTTCCGCTTCCTGGGTCCGTCTGGAGAGCATCGATCACCATTGAAGGGAAGCCTGCATCTGATACAGCTTCTGCTATTTGACGACCCAAAGCCGATGTCTCATCTTCTTCGCCGTTCTCGGTTTCCAGAAAAATTTCGACTCGCCCGGCTTGCAAATCCACAGCACTTTCTAGTTGAAACTGTTTGGCTACTACACCCTGGACAGCAGTGACGCAAGCCACACATCCCATTCCCTCTGTCTGCAAGTGCAACGTGATCGAGGACTGTGATGATGATGATGATGATGATCTAGAAGAAGAAGAGGTTACGTTTTTTACTACACTACGGCTTTCCGCCAAAGCGCTTATTTTCGAATCTTCAACGCGACTTGCAGAGCGAAGTAGGCCTCGTTGCGAACGCCACATCAGCCTGAGCTCCAGGAGTTCCGGAAGGAGCGACAACACACTTGTGAGCGCCGTCGCGATAATAGCCTGCGGAAATTGCTCTGCCCATTTCTCGATCGCGAACCACATGCAGAGCTGACTCACTATCGTAATAGCCAGAAAAAATGGTCGCACAGGTCCCAAAACCGTGTTGAATCCCGCACAACCTACGCTAAACGCGTTCAACAGCAGTTGGAACGCACAACAAGCGCAAGAGTTAGAGCGTGAAGACAAGGAAAAGATACACTAGGTAGGATCTTCTATTAAGTAACTGCAACTTGCAGTTGTGCTGTTGTACTGATGAAAAGCAGATTGTACTAGTCTGAACTTGCGTACTGCTCCTTGTTGTGTTAATCAAGTAGAAACAGGCTACAAAGAATTGTCACCACTTCATTTCAAGTGGGTAGTTGCTACTGGGCCGTTCCTAAAACATTGAATTCTATAATTTTCAGCTCCAGCAGTACAGATAAAAGTAATTGTTCTAGTCCTGCATCATCCAATGACCATAATAGACAGCAGGGAGAGCAGAGAATACCAAGCCAACCGGTGCACCAAAGGCTGGAGAAGATCTTGCTGGATATAGTAGTAAACATCCTCGAAGAACTCGCGGTACTCGGGGGTGCTGCGGACGACATATACGATTAGCATGTCCACCAGTATCCAATACGCCAACGAGATCAACTTCCCATCCTGATTGGCGAAGGAAAACAAATGCTTAGACTTGTTTTCGATTGCAGGTTTTCGAGCAGGGCCATGAGGCTTGTCGCCTGGTGGCTGCTGTTCCAATGTCACGGTCATCTTCTGCGTGAAAGAAAGTAAGGGAGACAACTTTACGTGGTGTTATTAAGAAATGGCATATCGACTGGCAGTCAGAGTCTTCTGGACCTAAAAACCAAGATTCGAGACTTCTCAGAAAATCTTTACTTGCCATACGAGACTGGAGATGGAACATGATTCTTTAATATGAATTTGGATGGCACAGAAATGGAAAACAAGGAGGCAGAGGCCAGAGCATGAGCCTGTTTCTCATACAGGATGAGCGTCCCTGCGACATGATGGTCTCTAGGCCTAGATTGATCGCGGCTAGCTACAAGGACTCGTGCTGGTACTCATATTTCAGTCGTCAAGTCACCACTTAGACTTAGTGCTGGTGTTTAGTCGTTGCACAGGATTCTACCATAATCATAATGACGATAAAGACGAGGACAAAGTGAGAAACTGGGGACAACTCGAGTCTGATGTAGAAGAACAATTTTCCGGCATTATCTACATGGATTCCAAAGTTGTTCACTCAGGATCCTCGTCACTCGTTATCCTCTCATATTTCTCCGCGTTTACCATGTGCAAGATTGATCTATTTCTTTAAGTGGACTCGCACAGATGGTGGACCCATGTGCAGTGCCTCTTCTAATTGCGTTTGCATTACTGCAATGAAAACAATATTTGTGTTTGTCAGCTCTTTCTCCAACACAAAGGTACAAAGATGAGCATCGCCTGTTCTAAATCGGGAGAATGCACATGGATATGACACTGACGAATACTCACTAGAACAACATAGATTACAAAAACAGATGGTGTCGTGGTTCGTTCTAGATAGAATCCAAGTATAGTCATGATCACGAAACTAAGCACTGCGGCAAGATCTTGAATATTTAAGTCAAGACGAAAGACACCATAACTGTGATGGCTGGAAGGAATTCACCAAGAGCTGCACAGAAGAAATATTAGAAGAAGATGACCTTCGTTTTATTGTAACGAATTTCTTCATTCAGTTTCATATATTAACTACTAACTACTAGAACGATGACTAGCGACTCTCGTCAACAGACTATGTTCATTTGTAACAGCCGAGACTGAAAAGCAGCAATTGCCACTAGCCTGCACACTCGGAGGACGTCCCCTACGACCACATTGCACAGTCCCTGCAACATAGTGTTAGTGAACCACGACTATTTCATCAAACATTTTCCTCGGGTGGATATGCAGCGAATATTTTTTGCGACTCATAATTTGGATACTCTATCCAGCAGTGATGAATTCGTTACTTCTACTTCTTGTTCTTTTGATTGTTGTATTCATTGAACATATTAAAAAGAAGCAGCATGTACGCGCCACATGAAGATTGAAGATTACCCATTCCTATGCGAATGAAATCGTATTAATTTTGCTGTCATTTTTGACTTTTCTAGTTTGTCAGAAAAAGCAGTACCAGTTGTATGCACAGACCATATGAAGCGTAACACCCATGTTGCTGTACAATCTTAGAACAGACTAAGAAAGTATAAACGAACATCACCCCAGAACAGGAACCTTCTCGATCCAGCTAAATGACATAGCAGAACCATAGATACCCATAAAACTGCAGGTTTTTACCTAAGAAAAATCTCTCATGGCGATGGTTGAATGTCATGCATTCGCATACCAATTTCTCTTGATCAGAACATGAATGTGCTACCTGTAGCCAGCTTTTACACACTACCAATTTCACCATCACGACGAGGATCCTTGTACGTGAGAAGCTACCACTTTTCCTTCGAAATTCATGTTCTCGGCGGACCAGATTGAGAAAATCAGCAGAGCAAGACTGTTTGATCTCAGCTTGTAGCAGGGCCAGGACATGGAGGGAATGAACACATAACAAGCTGAAGCACGTTCACGTCTTCCACGGTCGGAAATCTTAATACTGAGATAGAGAGATAGAGAAGCAAAAACTGCACATCCTTGAGCGGAAAGCCGAAGCATCTCCATGCTAGTCCGATGCTATTCACGAGCGTGACTCTGTTCATGGTTTGCATCTGTCTGTCTCTATCATGCATCTTTCACTTTAGCCTAGAGGCCCAAGTTGCAAAAGAGAAACAGCTGCGGAAATTGTGCTACTAGAGATTCTTATCGAAGTTACAAAGCAAACCAGGCTTTTCAGAGTTCTCTCACCACCAGGAGCAGAAAGCGTCTCACTCAAATGGCCTCTCACCCTCAGCCTCTCTCTCGATGTAATTCCTGATGCATTCTAAGCACTTTACTCTCAAGCTCCGCATTTGTGAGGCTGGTGCTTTTTCCATTTTCAAGCCCCTTATGCTGCTTTGGTATTTCTATTTTGTAACTCTTCAAGCAGATGACTACTGCGACCACTTCACCGCAGAAGCGATTCTCGATAGCTATAGGCGTCACCATCTTTAGAAACTGGACTACACACCCGAGGACTAGAAAACCAGAATGGTAAAATAGAAAAAACTGCGTTAATATTTAGTTCACAGATCAGAGGAGAAGACATAAGACACAGATAGTGTTAACTACTTTCAGTCCCTTGATGCCTAGCTCCCTTTCTTCTGTTTTGAGTTTCTTCCAGGTTGTTCATTTGAGTTTAGAAGGTTCCTGCTTTGTCTCTCTAATGATTCAACTCAAATGGTTTGGATGTTTAAAGTATGATTAAAGGTGCTACACTTTCAGGGTTCAAAGGTTCCTTTTGTGGGAACAATGGGTTTTGCAATTAAAGAATAAATAAACTCTGAGTCATTCTTTAATTCCAGAACCCATTGTTCCCAAAAAAGGAACCTTGTAAGGCAGATCCAACCCTGATGACAAAGTGCAAACCGGTAATCTTCAGATCTTCTCATGAGCAGAACAGAATCAAGAAGACCCAAAAGAGGAACCTTCTAAACGTACATTGAGAGCTTTTTTCTCATAAAATAAGGAAAAGAGTTTATGTTCTTAAAATGAACGGGGCTTCTTTTTTCTCCTCCATTCACACCAAAGCCTCTCGAGCATTCCGGGCTGCACCTTCGACCCAATGGGGCAAAGACCATCAGCCCTGTCCATCGTAGAAGCCGGCACGCCCTGGATTCTTACGCTTTCCGCATCTACACTCTCGCGCACCCATAAGGAAACGTCTATCGCCCAGTGGTCTTGATTCCCCAGCGGGAAGCCACGTGTCCGTAGTGAGTCTAAGCCCGGAGATGCCGGCCCATCTAATGGAAACTAGAAGAAGCCCACGATGTCGCTGACGCAGCACCATCCTGCTGTAAGATGACTTCAGTTTTGCAGAGGAGTAGCTCGATGCTAACGTTAAACAAGAGGCATAAAGAAAAAGGATAGACGTGATCACAGCATCGGTTTCTTATCCTCACTAATGGCAACGCACACGCGCACGCACTCAGCCACGAGTTGTGCATAAGTAACTTACTCACTTACTTCCAACGACTATTCACTACTGTGCTGGACTATCTTAACCTTAAGCCATCCCTTGTTGTGAAGCTTCACATCTTGATCACGATCTGCATCGAATCCATTTCCATTCATGAGTGCCCCCACAGTCCCGGGCTGCCCGACGTGCTTCACTCCGTCGACCAGCATCAAGACTGGCTGCAAGATGAAGGAAAGAGATGAAGAGGATCTCTGTATCTAGGGGGCAAGCACCTCCCTACCATAGTAAGAGCCGGGCATAAGGTGATCAGTCGAACGCTTCTACAGCCAATGCATACGATGCAAACCAGGGGAGAAATGAGCTATAGGCTGAGGTTCTAAAGATTTGAATTCTACTTGAACAGGAGTAGGAGATGGAGACGATAATGTTAATGTTAATGATTGCCATTTCTTTGCATAATATCACCATACGGAGATCCAAGGACATCGACACCCAGCCACACGACCACGCATGCCTGCATCTCGAGCGGGAGCGCGATTGATTGCACATAAGATAAGGATCACTGGTCTCGTTTTGAAAATGGAGCGGCAAACGCAATTTGATTTAGTTGTAGATCTAGATCAAAATAGGACTAGCATATGCATCCTTTCACAGAGCCTTAGCCTTAATTGCGGCCCCAGCAAATGCTTTAGATCCACCGCGTGCTACAGCTCGCCCGAAGTGCGAGCGGACTCTGTCATTTGTGTATGATACTAAGATCATCTTTGTTCATGTCGCCGCGCGTTGCGCCCGGATCTAAGTCAGATTGTCTCTTTCACCGAAGCCCGCGCTCCTTATTCATCTCACCCCACCACTATCCCCATGAAACTGGGTTGTTGTTTCTCCGCGCAAGGATTCATGCGTCTCCCAGTGAAAGGCTCTTGAAGTCCATGGCCGTTGTGGCCCCGGACTGAATGAGCATCGGTATCTGGAGCAGCTGCTTCTGCCTCCCGTCTCAAAAGCCCACTCATCTGCCAACCACATCGAAGTGCTACTATATAAATATATATCCCTCTCCCCAGCGTATAGGAAGACATCGATCACTTCCCCAAGCCTCAGCCTTGATCTCGATTCTCGAAGTCGAACGTACGCCCAAGCACCAATAAGCAGCATTCACTTTCACTTTTCACACCGGGCACGAATCGGCTGCAACTAGCTATAGGGCTAGGGCACACGCCTGCAGCAGTCAATACATATACACCGGCTCAGCAGACTTCCTTAGCCTAGGCATACAGGCACCCCTGTAGCTATAATTGTGCCATCACCTGCTGTCGCTGCTCATCACGTCTCCACTCGTCTATCGGGTCAGATGCCAAAGCTGACAAGCCGAGAAACTTGCGGAAACCGCCGGTGACGCTATGTCTGGGGAGAGATATTGCCCAGTCGATAAAGCTGCATGGGAACAGACGGCCGCGCGGAGTCGCAGATTATGTAGTAGCCATTCTGTTTCTATACTTTCGATGGTCGAGCTCTATAAGCGAGTGACAGATGGAGAATCGCCATAAGCAAAGAGACACACATGTAACAAGCATAGCAAAAAAAACCTCATGCCATCTGCTGCCACTGCAAAGCGAAACTGATTCTGAAAGTGAAACTGAATCTGAGAGCGAAACTGAATCTGAAAGCGAAAGTGAGTCTGAAAGTGAAACTGAGTCTGAAAGTGAAACTGAGTCTGTATCTGAAAAAAGGACTAAGACACAATAAGAGATCCCAACAGAAACAAGTCAAAGGTCATGAAATTGGAGTTGGAGACGGAAACACTTGAGGTTTAACAGGAGGAGCGAGTAGCCGCAGAGAGCAGACTCATCTGTGTGACAACTTCTATCATGCAGCGATGTTGAACAGAGTTAGTACATTCCTGCGTCTTTCTCTCACACCGATCGCACTCGCGCAGACGACTTCTTACTGTGTGCCATACGCGTTAAGAACGCACATTGTACGATACGAGTATGAGCGCTTGCACGCTTGACCCTATTGGACTACGCACGTTCATAGCCGGACGATTGATCTGAAAACAGAGCACGGACTCAACCGAGGCAGCAACAGCATGCCAACTGACAGAAACTTAAGCATCTCGTCTTGCTCTTGCGAACCGATGCTGCGAACAGATTGACTCAGAACGAACACTCGCTCATGCACGACGGGAGCTACCAGAAGCACCACTAGGCTCGACCACCAGTGGCATAGGGTGCCCGCAGGTCAAGACCTCTCTATTATGTAGGGCCATCTCAACGCAAGTCCATGCGCTTTATCATTTCACATGCTCGAGTGTTGTCGTGTGTATCCATGTCTCGTGTGTACCCTGCATGCGCTGGACTTGTTAAATTGAAACTTATGTGTACAAAAAAAACTCGTTGAGATGTTGTCACCTGGTCAACTATTGTTGTGTTCTTGTCTCATATCCATATATGAAAGAAAGACTGCAAATGTCAAATCCGAGTAATACCCCCTCCCGCCCGGCAATCCCGAGTCCCAACCCTAAACGACAAGCATGTTAATCACCCCCCGCATCCCTAAGATACACATAGCATCAATGAGAACAATCAAGCTCGAATAGAGTTGGAAAAGTTCGAAACAAGGACACGTGCCATCATGAAGAAACTACAAGCCACAGCCAGGGCCAGGCGAGTGAACTTCAAGGGCCTTAGTATCATCACCTTAGAAGAAGAAGAACAAGCTTGAGTAGAATGAACAAAAGCGAATGAAAAGGCACTCCCTACATGCATCCATCCTCGCTAGTCCAGAAACGTAAAGGGCGGGACTCGATTTACATCTACAATAATGCGACACATATGGAAACAGACAGCCCCTATTTCTTCTGCTAGGTCCTGAGGTCTCCGTCTCGATGAAGAGCGGCGGATACAAACATTGACCAAGAGACGCCCCGTAGTACCCGATAACGGTGACTTTCCCCCCAACTGCAAAGAATACAGAGCAGGAGGAGTCACCAAAAAAGACATGACATACTGCCAGGCGCTATCATTCGTAGGTCCAAACTACTAGTCCAAACAATGTGCAAAAGATAAATAGATCTGATAGGCCGGCATATGTTCGTCTCCATATGTTGCAAGTAGGACGCGCAGAGCTCAAGCTGTAGCTGGTACAGGAAGAATCAAGCTCCACGCGCATCTAGAGTAAAGACTAAAGAGGCTGAACCTATCTAGGAAACAATGGAGAAGATTATCCGTCCCACTGAAGAACAAAGTCAACAAGTAGGAGACCTCTTTTCTACCTGATGACTCTAAGTAAAGATCTGCCCGAGCCCTGCCCACCCTCCCCGACAACACATGCATCCTGAATCAGTACTACTGAACCGTCGTCCCCTGTTTACATTCTCACTCCCTATACCCACCAGATCCCCTTGCGCCAGTGCCTCACCTTCTAAGAGTAGAAATAGAAAGAGTGAAAGATTGGTCCTTAAACTTTAAAGTACTACAGGAGACGGCGTGGATGAAAGCTACTTACTGCGATAAGTATGACCATGAGTATGAATCTGTGTGGAGATGGATCTATTTCTATATGGAAACCAAAACTGACACCCGGCAGCGAGAATGCATGGATTGCGTAAACAAACCTCCACTCCGCCCAGGTGTCTCTATGGACGCTATCTCCCTCTCTTTCACCTCTAAATATTCAATACATGTAGGGAGTATTATTACTATAACTAAAACAACAAGTATAGTAATCATGCATCTCTGTAGCGTCTAAATATGAAAATAAATATGAAACGTGTATGCCCCAGCGTGTTCATGCATATGAATATGATGGGCGCACGCACCGGCCTAGACAACCGTCTACTTAGGTGAAGTATCCTCCTGGTTGACACTATATTTTTACCAGCCTGGTACGTGCGCCCTTTTTCAAAAATTATTTAGATTTAAATTTGTACAAATCAATTTAAGTTTCTAAGTCTTTACGATGTGCCTTCAGACGGCCGATGGACCAAAGAGAGGAAAGAGTGTATTATTAACGGATGGAAATCTTGCAACTGGTACTAGATCTAGACTGTAGAACCATCAACCCGAACGACGTCGCACTAAGCAAGCAAACCCCGCTACTTTTACCTACGCAACCTCCGTCGACAGTCTAATTCTAAATATCGTTGCTGATCCGAAAAAAATCCACCTAGAGCCCAGTCCCTCCCTTCCCCTGCTCGCACACAACACTTCCAAAACCCCATCCCCTGCTTCTATCCAAATCATTCTGTTCAACTTCACGGTCAATATTCAATACCAAATACAAAACTAAAACAACAAGGGACGAGGTGAAGGTGATTGTGATTGTGTACGAAGCAACGAGTCCTAAATGAGTGAATAGAAATTCCGTAGCGTTTTACTTAATAAAGCGACTGCCTACTTCATTATCTAGACTAGCCTGAAGAACCTCTTCCATCGAAAGACTTTGCCCGAAGGCACGACACTTCCGCATAGCGTCTTAGCCAAGACCCGCAGCAGCAAGCGCAGATGCCTGCGAGTCTTGGTTTTCCTCCATCTTCTTCTTCACGACCAGGGGCATCAAGATGCAGCATCGCAACACCGACGCCTTGCCATACATGCTATCGTAAGTGTTGTTGCTGGTGTAGTCACGGATGTACGGAACCAAGTGCTGACCCACCATCTTGTCGTGCAGAAGCGGCGAGGGCAAGGTGTTGATGGACGATCGTTTCGGCTTCATGGGGGTGCCAGCGTTACTCTTCGTCTTCTTCGAATCGTTCATCTCGTCCTCTTTCTCGGCCTCGTCCTCCTCGTCGTTGCCGCGCTTGGAAGTCTTCATAGACTTCATCACCGCCTTCATGGCGGCCTGCTTCATCTTCATCGAGTGGTTACCGGATTTTTCTTCCTCTTCACCTGCAGCATCATGGTCATCCTTGGCCTTTCCTTTCATCGGTTTCGACTTGGAGTTGGCGTTTCCTTTCTGCGGCGACTTCGACGGAGACGCAAATCCTCCAAGGAGGTCCGGATCGAAATTGACGTGCATGTCTGCACATTCCTGTGTGCTGAATTTGCGGTCGTCGTCCTTCGGCACGACACACTGGATCTGCTTCTCGGTATAGCGCAGCGATGGAGCTTGGAGTCCGGAGTGGGCGAAGCCGAACTTCTCGGCCAACTCGATGCTAGCCGTGCAGATGGTGTCGAGCATGCAGTCGTTCTTCGGCATGACGTTGAGGTAGTTGCGGCCGTAGAAGTCTTTGTAGACATCGTAGAAGTTGACGATCACCTGCACCGGATAGAGAACCACCTGCGTATTCGGACGGTGTGCCTGATTTGGAACACCTCGAAAGCGAATGGCTCGGGACCGCAACTGGCCTAGGCGTGGACCTTCGATGTTACCCAACGGCAGAAACATTCCGATGGACGAGGCGCTCAATTCGAAGCGCAATCCAGCGTATCCCTCGGCGATATGATGTCGCGTGTCGATCATCAGTGAATCTCGCGGAAGCTGATATGAAGTTTAGAAAATTCATATGCTGCAGATGAGTGAGTTGAGGTTGACACAAAACGGAGTAGGAGTGTGAAATGTTTGAGAGGAGAAGCTGCGTCTGAGCCTGGGGCTTTGATTTAGATTCATGTTTAGACTTTTTGAAGTTGAGTAAGATAGAAGTAGAACTTGATGGGTTTCTCTTGTAGTTGTAAGAAGATAGTAAGAAGCACAGGCACGAGTAGAAGATGGATCCCAAAAGTCTAGCCAAGCACAAAATCTAAAACAAGAAGAGGAGATTGAAGATAAGGAACTGTTACCAAGACCAACCCAAGAATTAGTCTTAGACTACCACTCTGCCCTCCGTTTCCCCATCTCGCTTCGCAAGGCGCACATACGCTGGTCGTTTCTTGCCAGGCCAGAGCATGTCGACCAGGTCGGCGCTCGTGTAGCTTTCGTCCTCGATGATGGTGTACTCAGAAGCGTACGCCTCGAGCGCCGGGTCCCACACCTCCAAGACACCACGATCGTCCTTCATCTCACGGAAGGGCATCGGGCGTTGGTTCTGTCCCTGCTCCTTGCCGTTGACGTGAGACAAGCGACGAGGCTTCTGCCCCGCCACCTGCTTCACGGGTTTAGCCTCATCAGACCCTCCTTCTCGTTGTTCGGCAACCTCAGCTGCGCCGGCGAGCGCTTCGTCAATGGCCTTTTCCAAGGCCTCGTCCTGAGCCGTGATATCATGCTGGTTTTTTTCCTCGTCCAGGAAGTCCTCAGCCGGCTCCTCCACATCGATGTTAATGCTGATTTCAGCATCTTCCTCTGCGTCTTGATTCTCCTCCTCTTCCTCCTCTTCCTCACTCTCCTCTTCGCCCTGCAAGTTTCAGATTGATGATGAGGGAGGAAGGTTTGCACATTGAGTTTTGGGCTGAGTGTTGGTTGTGAGGCGAAAGCCTCGAAGTTGCTCTTTAGGATCGAGGAAGATGGTGGAACTTTCAAAAGTGAGGGAGGAGGAGGAGTTTTCCTTTTCTCTGTAAAATTACACTTCGCTGAGATTGGCTTCACCTTTACTATTCTATACATATCTACTTCTCACATCTAAGTCTAAATCTAAGACTAGGTCCAGAATATAGCACACAACTGCGGTAACGAGGCGAGCCTGGAATTCAGAGCCAGTAGATACAGGAAGAGGTGAAGAAAATGACTGGGAGGCTACACGCCTATACCTAGACCTAGAGTTTAGGCTTATACTTTCGGATGGAGTTGGATCGACTAACGTAACGTCAGAGTTAGAGCCAAAAGCCTAAACCTAAAAGTAAAAGAGTATCTGATTCTGAGTCTGCGTCTCTAACTCTATCACTAACAGTCTCAATATCTAAATCTAAAACTGGAGTTTGTATCTCTCTCGGTAAGGATAAGGAGTAAGAATAAATAGAGTAGAAGTAGTACCTTCTTCTTCATCATCTTCTTCTTGGCCATCTTCATCTTGTTTCTCATGGCCGCGGTCTTCATGACTTTCATCGCAGGTGGGGTCTTGTCGGCAGTGGAGGAGCGTGCACCAGCCCCTTTAACCGGCGTATCTGGAGGAGCAGTAGTAGAGCCAGGCATACGCGCTCCCATCTTCTTGTTGACTGTCGTCTTACCCGCAGCCCTCCTGTGCTGCGCCTGCAAAATCTTCTGCCTGTTGACATTCTTCTCCATCGCCGCGAAGAACAGGAGACTCTTCTTGGAGAACAGTTTGAGCTTGTCTCGCGATTCTGCAGGTGGATCGCAGCCAGACTTCTCGACGGTGCCCTGTGCTGCGCTCAACAGCAGCGGATTCCGCTCCACCAATTCCGGGCGCAAAGCCTCCGGACGAAAGCGCACCTGCATTCCGACCGACGGCTTGGTATCCTCGTCCACGGACCGGATGTTGCTGCGATGGTTGCTGATAGCACTCATGGAGCCAGGTGCTTTCTCGAAGCCCTCCGGGATGAAGCTCTCCGCGAATTTGATCATCTTGTTGAGAATCATGGTCGCCTCGGTGTCATCATCTCGCTCGAATAGCGGCAGTTCGCCAAACATGTGGACGTACTTGCCGATGTCAGCGTCGAGCGCCTCCAAAGTCTTGGCATCCTCCTCCGTCTTGCGCGCCTTAGCAGCTAGATCGTTTCGCTGCTTAATCTTGGCACAATATTGCACGATCTGTCGCCCCTTCCTCTTAGCCTCGGCGTGGTCCAGCAAATAGATCTTGTTCAAGAGGAACTTCTGAAACATCAGCGCGTCGTCGTTGCTCAAAGCAACGTCGTAGCCGAAGCGTAGTAGAATGTGGTGAGCAACGCACTGCTCCTTCTCAAAGTCCGCATACTCACGTGCCCAGGGCGCAACGCAATTCTGTGATAGTGGGTTCGAAAAGTTTGAGTTTGAGACGAAGACAGAGTGAGACTTCTAAATTTGAGAACTGAGAGAGACAGAGAGTGAGAGTAGAAGTAGAACAACAACAAGAAATGAGAGGAACAGTTACTCTTTAGAATATCCATGACACAACGTCAGAAACTTGATGAAGCTGGCGACCGGAAGGACTCGCATCATTAGCATTATCATTATCTCCATCAAGATGAGAAAGTAAGAGCAAAGGGAATCAGTGAGAGTAAGACAGAAGGAATGACGAGCAATATTTAGTACCTTCATATAAGAGAAGACTGGATTGGAGTCCGTTTTCTCGTCGTAGACGCACTGAACAGAGTACTCCTCGGATAGACTTCCCTTCTGGAAAAGTCCCTGCTTGGCATAGGTCAGAACGTTGTTGACATCCTCCGACGTGCAGCCCGGATACACTTCCTGCAGGGTTTATTTTTAGATTTAGATTAAAAGACTTTAGGTGATAAACGTTATAGAGTAAGTCTGGGTGGACCTTGTGCTTGTAGTACTAGCACAAACAGTTTGGATTTGGGTTATATCACAAGATCCACCGCGGCCATGAGGTAAGAACGAAGCTAGTGCTAGAGCTAGATCTAGAACTAGATTCTTGACGTTGGTACTACGCACGAAGTAGGTTTATGCTAAAGACTATCCGTTTACATTCTCACGCTGAAAGAAAGAATAGCTGATGCTTAAGGATGTAGAGAAGATTCTAAATACAAAAAGATAACTTACTATACCGACACTTTCTGCGCTCTGGTTTTCGGATCTTGCGACTTTAGCTTGTCGCAAATTTTTGGCACACCTTGCACCATCTCGTGGATCTGGGCTTTCAAGCATTTTTCTTCTTTATTGCCCAGAGCTACGTATAGCTCCAGTGCTTCCGGGTGATCCAAGCACTCGCCTCGAAACTCGCGCAACTGTAGGTAGATTGAGAGAGAAACAATTTTAGTAAGAATAAGACAACTTATTCTGTGGCGTCCACTTTCCTATCATGATTCTCCTCCATGTATTAGTACTCCGTTGACCTAAATTGAAATGAAGACTCTAAATTATCTAAATCCAAAGCAATGTAGAAAAGGTGTAGTACAACGACGCGAGCCGAATCCAGTGCGGTCTGGCAAACGCCTTGACCCTTGTCAGACAGGATCTTGCGCAAAGCCGCAAAGCGGTTTTGTCCGCGCAACATGCCAAACTTCGTACCGGATTCAACGTCATCACGGAAGTAGATGTGGTTCGTGTCGCGCGAACCACGCAAGCGGATGTACACCATGGTCGTGGAGTCCTTGGCGTACTTGCGGTTGATGAACACGTTGTACAGCTTGGCCTCATTCTGCATCGAACGAGGCGCATTGCACTTCAGAGTGCATGTTTGCGCGACGAAATCCGGCGTCGGCGGCTCCACGTGGGGCGCTTGAAAAGACTTCTCGAAAAGGTCCGAAGGTTAGAGAGGAGGAAGAAGAGAGTAACGATATGATGATGGAACTTAGCTGAAATTTATCTAAATTAGGACTCAGTCAAGATGTACACACCTAGAAAAATATGTCTAAATCAAGACTAATGTAGCTGCATCATAATCGTACTCGTTGCGATCAATGATCCCATTGTAGAAGTCCTCGACCCACTTCTTCGTATCGGCACGGGAGGTGGACATCTTGATGATCACAGTAGGTTCACCTGCTGTACTGATCCTCAGAGCTGTAATTTTGTCTCGTTGTGGAAGGTTGTTGAGTCGTGAGAATCTAGCTATAAGCTGGCTCGATCAAGCTTGAAGCGGATCTGTTGATGGTTTTGGGGTCGGCTGACCGAAAAGGTACAACAGACCAGCTGGAAGCTTAAAGCTGACAGCTTGAAGCGGAGATTGCGGCTACAAAGTTGGTTGGTGAGAGAGTGATAGATGATGTTGATTTAGCAGCTGAGCGCGAGTCTGATAAGATGAAAAACGTACAGTTTCCGTATCAACTAGATGTATGCACATAAGAGCAATGACATCATTTAGAGACAAACTCAGACTCTTGCATACTCATCTTGCCAAAACTTTCAGGGAAAGAAACATAGGCACTCACGCCTGGTTTCAGTATAAGCAAAAGGCTTTCCTTTGAATCATTTTGATGGACATTTTGTCTCTCATGAAAAAACCTATACTTCCCTCAGCACTCAAAGAAAGCAAAAAAAGCCGGCATCTCACTCTTGTACGTCCTAGCCTCCAATGGTTTTCAGCATTCATGCCTCATAAAGCAAAAAACTCCTCAGCTGCTCTCATGACTACAAGAAGACTCCAAAAAAAGGAGAAACATCTATCATCTAAGCAGATGCACGGCACATTCACAGGTCACACAATGGCACTGGGTCATCTGCTGAGTCGAATGGTTTTCGTCTTACTTCTTGTCTCATCTGTGCAAAGGCGTCAGGTATAGAAGTGAAATCTTGAAAGCATGTCTGGCCCAGCTCTGCAATATCTAGGGTAATGTCATAGGTTTTCAACTAGGATGCAAGTCGCTAGCTCTATCGTTATGAGCAGCATCTTGTTGCACCTCAATCTAAGTAGTCAAGTACTATACGCATCTCTGTGCAATAGAGAAATCTGCTATCATTCTACCTACTAGCTAGCTCCTTCATCAGAAAGGATTCACTTTTTCTACAAGCTCAAGCTCAACAACATCAAGAATCACGAAACCATAATTAGTTCTGCAAAAACGTCGATAGATACAAGACCAAGAATCTAAGTTGCGACTGCGAAGTAAAGCCATTGAGTCCTACTAGTTCACGACGATGATCACAAGAGTACAGAAGCGCATACTTTGTAGAGTGTTGAAGGGTATGGATAAGATGATCATAGTGCATTCTATAGTGATTCTAGCTCTCGGAGTAGCAGTAGGATTCATTTGTAATTGCATGCGAAACAAATCAAAAACAGGCGCAGACTGCCTGATAGTTCGTGTAATTTTACCTATACAATTACATTTCCAACTAGATGCACACTATGGAAAACTATACATACGAAATCTAAAGTCTGCTTCTACAACTTCTACTACTACTTTGAGTTTATAAATATTCGGAAGTACATACACCACGTTTCATTTAATTGCAAAGACTTGGCTGTGATTTGGCGAGTAGATGAGAGCACAACTTCTAGATTTAGATTTAGATAAGCAAAACCCAGAGACAACTGCAAATGTAACACCCCACGTCCATAATGAGGATGGAATGTGATTCCTCCAGCTCCATCCGCAGCGCATGCCTCCACAAATTGCGCTATCTCCGCATATGTGACAAGCCTGCAAAAATCGAGAAAGTCTCCAGCTCTGCTTTCCAGCGAACAGCTTCGGCAGCAGCCTATACCTGTATAGATGGAAAGATTCGAAGATATTTCAAGGCGCGCCTCCCGAATGCTTCGTGCTAATTGTAGTGGATAATTCAGACACTTTTAGTTTTAGAAATCGTGTTCGTGACGGGATGACCAGATAGAACTAACACTAAGGTCCACCATCATCGCAGTAGCAATAGAGTTAAGAGCTGTGGATAGGACTAGAAGCGTCGACGTGTGAACATGGGCGAATGAGCCGAGGGCGAGGACAAGCTCTACCTCTAGGTCTAGCTCAAGGTCAAAGAACTAACACAACTAAAAGGATTCACTACCACGTCCTCTTAGTTTAGCCAAGATATACCCTCAATCCGAGTCGCAGTCGCTGCTATTGGACCCTTCATCCTCATCGGATGAGCTCGGGTCTCCCTCGTCAAAGAATCCGTCAGGATCATCAGGAGTTTGTGTGTCCTCCGTCTCTGACAGGTCAGACTCTGAATCACCTTCGTCACATTTCCCCTTGCGCCCCTTGCGTGCCTGTCTTAGCTTCCCTAGACGTTCAAAAGCGTACTCAGTTGCCTTCGCCAAAACATCTGAGCCACACACGTTCATCTCCTGCCCCGTCAGGCGAGATACTTCGTTGCAGATCTCGCGACGAGTCTTCTCAATGCCTCCTGCTGTGCACGAAGCAACGATTCGCCCGATGCTCTTGCACGTTGCGTCAGGCTTGAGCCTCCATCTAGCCCTCTCAGCATCTCCGATGTCTTCGCTGATCATTGTAAGTGGCACTACTGCCAGCCACTCCGGCTTCATCGGCTTGCCCTTCTTATCATTCGCACCCCGCGGAATCGTGAGGTAGATTACAGCAGAGTGTTTGTCGATTTCCGGCACCATCAGCTCCTGCGGAATATCATTGTAAACCTTTTCTGCTCTTGTGCCAGCTTTCTGCGGAGATTTGGCAGGTGAACGCTTCCGACCGTCTGCTGCCTTCACCTCTGCCCCTGCGTCCTTCTTCTTCTTGCTGCTGGCTCGAGGTGGAAACAAGTCACGCAGCGTTACACTGAAATCTGTCGGGTGGCTCACACGAACCTTCCACTCTGTTCCCGTCCAACGCGCATCAACTGCCTCAAAGCGCTCGTAGTGAAGCACTACATGTTCACGGTCTACTTTTTCGTCCTTGCATTTCGCCAGAAGCTGCTTGGTCTGCAAGACTCCCTGCACATCGTCATAGTTTGCTGCGGCAGATGCGTCACGTGGTGAGGAAAATTCTGTCACTAAGTCGTTGGTTTCCTGATCGAAGAAGATGTCCTCCTCCTTGCAAACCTGCAATACCTTCCCATTGAAGAACCAAAACTGATCCGGCCACTCGACGCGTCCATCGAAGTCGCACTTCACTCGAAGGATGTCGCCAGCACAAATGTTCAGTTTCTTCAGGAGCGCACGAGACTGGTCTCCCTTCATGATGCCCCGATCTACTCGAAGTTTTGCGCGCCGCGCAGCCTCAGGCTCAAGTCGGTGCGAGTTGTGAACTCGCATGTACTCGAGGTCACCCAGAGCGGCTTCCAGCAAATTGCCTGGCGCACGCGTCATGTCGGGAAGGCGTATCTTGCTGCTGAAGCGTTTATCTTTGATAGAATACAAAATTGAAAACGCTGTGGGTGAAAGCGTCGGGTATCTCCGTATGAGCAATCGATTCGCAGCAGTTGCGACAGAAACGTTGGGTGCTCCTCTTTTGATGTGGGATGTTGTAGAGTGGAGCGATTCTGCCAGCTGATTCTGCGGAACCAACACGTAAAAAGGAGCTGCAAGTTCACACCACAGAGCGTCAGTTAGTGTCGTGGCGGTACCTGCTGCCAAAAGACCTAACTCGCGCCGGAATTCAGTCCGAACATCAACCAAGAAAGCTGAAGTGCGTCGTAGCTCTGCATCATTCGCGACCATCAGTCTCTTCGCAGCAGAAGCACGTTTGGAAGCATCTTCATCTTGAAGCAGACCTTGTAGAATCTCAACCAGTGGCCGCCGCAAAGACGCCTCGCGAAGGTACATCTCCCTCTCGGCTGCAGAAAGAGCTGTCATGAGAACTACACGCTGCTCCGGGGTCGCCATCGCAAAAAATGAAGAAGTATGGTCTACCCACCACTGTTGGGAAAAGCACAGCAGGTCGTTGACGTACCTCTGGAATTGGATGCGTGCCTGCACTGCCGCCTTCTGGTACTTGTCCAAAATGAATTGCGTAATTCGTAGCAAGTGCGCAGCTGGTTGAAGAAGGTTGAAGAACGGATGAAGTTTGCTCCTTTTCGCAGTAGGGAGAATCTTATGGAAGTTCTTTTTGCCGCGGTTGTTCGGATTGAAGTCCTTATTCTTGGAAAACTTCATAGCTGCAGCGACAAGATCAGTCTTCTGCCGGTAGATTTTGTTCAGGGTCTCGTAACTACTTCCCCAACGCGTACGAACAAACTTCGGGACCCGTTGTATCTGCAACTCCTTGTCCTTCAGAAAGTAGTAGTCGCAGCATCGTCTCCAAGATTGCACAACTACCAAGAACGAGGCGGCGATGCTACTTCGCATCTTTGAAAGAGCGATGACGTAAAACAATGCTATCACTGTTAGGATCAGGCCGGATATCGTATGAGTCTGATGCATGAGGCATGCCGTCCACTCACAATAGAAAGGTGTGTGGAAGATATTCTGGTCGATGTCGTCTCTCTTGTCCAAGTCTTCGCGCATGTGTTGCAGCTGCTCGTAGATCTTAAAACTATCAGATGCTATCCAATCCTCACAGCCATTGTCTGAACAGAGACAACTAAAAAGGCGAAAGTTCGGCGTGCACAGCTCCCGATGACTCACTCCAGGCATAGGCAAGCGAAGCTCCCGGGCACTTTCGTAGAGATCTTGAACGAGACTCATTCCGTTGCCCGCCGTTAATCGAGTCCGAGGGATGAAGCGCTCGTGGATCAGGGTCCTGGTGCCATCCGGCAATATCTTAGCGCACACAACTGTGAAACACGTGTTCAACACCTTGAGATTCTCGTAAGGCGTAGCGTCTGTTGCGATTCTCATTGCTAGAATAGGCAGTCGGCGCCTGTTTTCCTCCGATCTACCTCCCGTACCAGTAGCACTAGCCCCGCCTCCAGTTGCAGCCGCGCGCGCAGTCGCACTTGCAGTTGCTGCTGCTGCTGCACTTGCAGAAACGTCGCTGCAAGTAGGTCTAGAACTAGCAGCAGCAGAAGCACCAACATCAGCGCCAGACAAAAAGACATCGTGCTGGCCAGCGACTCGCGACGGCGCCGTGCTCCTCTGGGCGTCTACTCCCCGAGAGTTGTTGTTGATTGTCCCCGCAAACGGTTCACATGATCTAGATCTGGACTTCATGGCAATTCCACCTCCACGTCTTTGACCGGATACGCATGGGCCACCTTCTTTCGATGCTTCGCAGATGGTCTTCTCCAGCGATTGCCCGCTGTTATCGGCGCCTGCAGGTGCTGAGGCTACTTCTGGGTCTGCGTCTGTGATTCTGTGGTCGGATTTCGCTTTCAGATTCTTCTTCTTGCTCATCACTGGGACACCCTTTGCGTTTTTCTGCCTCTGTTTGTTATCAGCTTTGTTTCTGCAGCTCGAACTCGAACTCGATTTCGCTTTGGGGTTGCAAATAGAAGCCTGGTCAGGAGAAGACAGGCCGGGACGTGGACAACCACTAGTTTTGCCTTTAGCTTCGTTTAGAAAACCAGTCGGCAGTGGCACACCCAATCGAACGTCATGATCCGCTCCCGCTGTAGCATCTGCGCCTGCAGCCCCAGTTACGCGACCATTTCCAGGAGCAGAAACGAGACTGCGCTCGACGTCGTTATCTCGCGAGACCGGGAGGCCGGACAACGAAGAGACTCTGCGCTGCGGATTTTTCAAGCCTCCATTCCAATAAGTCACTTTTGCGCCAATTGTTCTCCCTCCTATGCTCTTCTTAGAACCAACCACGGCAACGCTTGATGTTGAACCTCCGGCGACTGCAACAGCAGACCCGCGCCCGCTTCTGCTCACAACGTCTGATGGAGCCACAACTAACGTAACTTCACCCGCACGCTTTATCCCTTCCACCAGCACTGGTTCTCCCACCTGCTTCTTCGTCGCTATTTCAAGGTCGTCTGCAAGTGATCGAACACCCAACATAGAGGCGGCAGTTTGCAGTGCAGATTTTGGTCTCGGGTCTGCACAGCGGCTGCTATTTGAGTTGGAGGCCGGATGTGCTTCGAGAGTACATTGCAACTGCGATTCTCCGCCTGCAGGCAGCAACCATGGTGACTGGGCATTGTTGTTGGCCTTTGCTGAAACTCCACCAGAGACAGAAACATCTGGAGCCAAAGGCGCACGTAGTGAAGCAGTGGCCGTCCTCACGCCACGACCTGACACTGATCTGTCGGCTGCAGAATTTTCGGGACTAGCACTAACGCCGAATAGTTTGCTACTATCCTTCTCCTTATACTTGTTTCCTTTTTCGACGACATCACGTTCACGGCGCAACAGAGATGGGTCTGCACTTCTAGATCGTGTTCCGGTTGGGGCATCAGCATCGTCACACGCAGGCACGCCTGCGCCGCTCTGTCCATGTGAAACGCCGCCTGCTACTCCATCTTCCAGATCGCTTTCACCAAGGAAAGGAATCGCAGCGACTTCTGCTGGAGTCAGCCAGAAGTCGGACGGCGCATTTATCGGCGTGGAAATCTGGCGCGCGTACTCCAAACACGAACCTGCAGTACTCAGGTGCCGCTTGTTGACATCTTCATCTTTATGCGTTGTCGTCGCGTGGCGACCACGATACAGCCCACGAGGATCTTTGCCTTCTTTAAATGGTTTGCATGCGTCCTTCGGTAATTGAATGCCCATGGAACCTGCAAGCTCAGTTGCTAAAGCAGCAGCGTGTTGGGATTGTTTCTCGATTGACTCGTGATGATAAGGCAATACGCCGTCCAGTTCATCATTCAAGAAATTTCCACTCGTCAAAGCTGCCCGGGAATTATTGCCATAAGCAGAGCCAGACTTCTCTACTTTTCCGACAAGCGCCTGCAGAAGCGGATCAATATCAACACCCAGATGATGTCCAAACTCATCAAATTCAAAATCAGCACCCGTTGCGCCGTTGCCTGCCACTGCACCTGCAGCTGCAGTAGCTCCCGACTTATCATCTTGCCGAGTGCAGTCAGCAGTCCGAGCGCCACCTGCTGCCGATCCGGATCCTGTATCCAACTTGCTTGGAGATGAAGCTATCACCTCGTCCCCGAATATATCGATGAGGTCGTCCAAGGAATTCATGCGAAGAGCATCTTCATGAAGCGTTGACTTCTTGTTCGTGCCTGCCGTGCTTTTCGACTTCGGCTTTGCCTTCGCCTTGCCAATTAATTCAAAATAAGCCTCCTCTGCTGCAGCATTATGGTCATAGTCGTTGTTCTTAACGGATGCTGATGGAGGAGCCTTGTCCTGGCCTGAAGACTTCACACCTTTCTTCTTCAAAGTCTTCTTTTTTGATTTCATTGCTTTCTTCATCGCGTGTTGCTCTCGTCTGTACTGTTTTCTTCTCGAAGGAGTCTCTGGCGCCAAAATGTCGTCGCCTCCGTCCGAACTGCTGCAAAAAGAACTGCTCCCTGGGTCCGCACCTGAAACACATTCAGAATCATCTCCGCTAGCAATTCTCAGACCCGCTTCTTTCGGCGCGTCAGGTTCAGGAGTAAATACTGTGCTTCTGCTTTTTTCTCGCACGGGAGTGAGGAGGCTTCTGCTTGCTTTGGCAGAAGCACGCGGACGCTTCAGCGAAGCTTTGGAGGACGAGGAGCAGAAGATGTCTTCACCCATAGCGTCGGCTTTCTTCAGATGCGCTGCTGCCGCCGATGAAGACGACGCACTTCCACTTCCAGTCCCAACAGAACGACTAGCGCCACTAGCTCCAAAGACATTCTGCAAACCTGAAAAGAGACTCCCGAATCCGCCCGCTGCAGCTCGCTCACGCTGTTTCTCACGTTCTTGCCATTCCTTGAAGAAATCTTCGCCATCTGAAAGGGGCGCGGAGTCCTGACGCTGCGATTGCACTTGTTGGCGCGCATGCCGTGGCGGCTTTTCGTTTTCCAGAGCAGTAGATCTATTCTTCCTCGTATCCGTATCGTCGGTAGATCTGGCAGGAGGGAAATACCCAATGCGTTTCACAGGGTTCATCTTGGACGTAGCGCCAGACGCTGCGGGTGCGTTTGCAACTCCATCGTACTGTTTTGAAATTCCTACTCCTGACGATCCTCCTTTGTCATTTTTGCTCTTGAAGATGAAGCGGTCTGCATTTTTAGACTTTACTTTCGTCTGAGCGTTTTCTGTTGCAAAAAGATCACGACCGACCGCTGCGGAGTTTGCGTCTGCAGCTGGCACTGAAGCACTGTTTTTCTTCGTACCTCCACGCGTCGTGGTGGACCTCGATCCGGTGTTGCTGCTGGCGGCTCCCTTGCTCTTCGATAGAACTTGTTGCTTCGTGCTAGCAATCGCAATCGACCCTGAGAATACGCGTGCGGGTGCGCCAGAAGTAGAAGAAGACGAACTATTTGTGGTGCCGGTGGGACCAGGTTCAGAACCAGCAGAAGCACCAGCTCCAACAGGACCAACCGCAGACGTACTTGTCGCACAGACAGGAGCAGACGCTGACGAAGATGTGGCTGCACTTGTAGAATTAGTAGTAGTAGTAGTACTAGTAGAAGTAGATGGATGAGAACGACTATTAATAGACGATGACGCGGAAATACTAGCACTAGAATCTGGAACGTTCGGAGCGCAGCTTCGCATCAGATCATCCCAGCAGATGTACGGCAACATTGCTCCTCTTCCTGACTTCGCACAATCGAAAATCATCATGCGTGCTCTGAGTTGTGCAGCGAGTATCAGAAGGTCAGCCATGGTTTTCTCTGCCCTAAGAGCATACATTCTACGACGAGCGGCCAACAGATATTCGCTTCGTTTTGCGACCTTCGCTGCTTCCTCCTGTGCCGCATGCAGGGCTTCAGTACTGCCTGCCGCTGCGGTCGCGCCTCCGTCAACGAAAGTAACATTTGCAAACGCCAGCAGCTCGGCCAGCTCATTATTTGCGAAGAGCTCACAGTTCTCCATCTCCGAATAAGACGGGTCAGTGTATTGTAGAAACTGCTCAAACGCCATCTCCTCCTCTGTCATCTCCGACACGAGAAGTCCACGGTTCGCGGCTGCGACTCCTTCGTCCAACTTCAATCGTTTGTGCTCGTAAAAGTTCTCATAATGACCACGAGAAAAGTTCCACAGCTCTACTCTCGAGGCCGCCGGACCCCTGGATGCACCTATTGCCCACTTGGCAAAAACGCGAGGTGCTATGTTGGACCACTCGCAGAAATCTGTATAGATCGTTCTGTTAGCGGTCGGCTTATCCGAGTGATTACCATCGACAAGCGCGCTGCCGCCCCCAGAGGTAGCGCCACCTGCAGCCCTCTTGAGACTCCTGCTGCTTTTGCTTCCGTTAACACCAGAATCTTGTTCTTCTGCGCCGGGATTTCCCAATAAAGCCCTGCTTTCTGATACCGTGCCCGGAGCTGACTTCCCTTTTGCTGCGTCCTTCGCGTGCTCAAAAACAAAGTCAAGATCTGCATCTACATCTGCGACGGGATTTAGATCCGGATCTTCAGCCGCGTCTGCTCCTCGTAGTGTGGTCTTCATTTTCATCCTCCTCCTCTTCACCTTTGCTTTAGAAGGTGAAGCCGGTTTTTCGTGTGCGAAGTTGTGGCCTTCTAATTGTTTGATGTGCTCCTGTCTTCTTTGCCGCTTTTTGTACTCTGTTCTTGTTCTTCGGATGACTTCCTCCTCCTGTAGTCCTTCAAGGGCCATCCTGCCGTAGATGTCTATCCTTCGAAGCGAAATGTTCTTCGTTCGCTCCTGCAGCTCTGCTTGCTCGTGATGAGCGATTCGCTCCAAAAATTCGCGGCGCGTGCCATCACCATCTGCCAACTGGTATCGCTGGGTAACAAGATGAAGAGCAAAAGCAGCGACTGAACGCTTGCCGTCACCATTCCCGGCGATACGGCCGCACACTGCATTCAGACCAGAAGAAAAGTCCTTGTAGCTTTTCTGCACCGACTTGATGCTGAGAGAGAGCTGGTACGGAGCATTGTTCCTTCCTCTTCGTTCGTTTGGCGGTAGCGCATAGCCTTCAAACTCCTCCTTTATTTTGCTAACAAGTTTCTGTACGTCTACTAGCGTAGTCGGCCACGGCCGGAACATGCGACTGAGATCATCAATGTCCATTCTGCAAGAGCGGATCGTCTGAATCTGATCGAACAAAAGACGACTCTGCTGCTGTTGATGTTGATGATGTCAAAACTGGCAGGAGTGGGCCACTATTGAAGTTGAACTTGAAATTGAAAATGAAATCCAGCGGGACCTCCAGAACGTAAGTCGGCGAAGTCGTGTGAGTGTGAACTTGATCTCGCCAAAAACCCGCACGGAAACGCATGTGCAAACGCAAATGCAAAAATCCGCTAAACCACTGTCCAACAAGTTAGGATCTCAAAATCGAGTCTGGCTGTCCGTTTCCAGGGCTCGCCCTTCGGACGTCCGTGCGAGTTCGAGTATATGGTAAAGTTTGAGTATGTGCATGTGGAGGTGGTAGCGATTGTGGTTGTCTAACTGCAATTGTAAGCGTAAGCGTGGTAGTGCAGCTTGGATATAGTCTATAGCTATCACTATACTCCCACAGGATCCTTATCCTTTTACTTAAGATTTAACTTTAACATTTAACTTTAACATATCATATGCTATAACTATTGCCAGAACTGTAGTAGTGGCAGTGGGACACAAATAGAAACGTGAATTATTGAGAATCCTACTCCTGCTATCGTTACAGGAGCAGAAACTTACAGACAAACCTAAATAGAAAGAAATCCTATATGTGTTTGGAGGGAGGTAGAACTAGAAACACCGGCAAGCGTCTTTGTTGCGTGGAAATGGAGTAGCAGTAGTATCTATATCATCAAAGATTTCTACTCCTTGCTTTAGAAAAAACTAGTACTAGCCTCGACTCTAGTCCAACGGAATAATCGGCGATAACGACAGAACACCACGAGCACGATGTGCCGAGCGACGAGAACTAACGAGATTAGAAACAAGAGCGAAAAATCTGCAGTATGTCGAAACCAGAGAACATAGACGAGCCTGACTCGGAGAACGATGGATGACGATAAGGCCATGAAAACGACTACGATTCTGGCAGAGCGAGAGCAGGAGAAATAAGTAGGGCGGCAGCGTAGTGGACGTCGAAGCATAGATCACGTTCAGCAGGTTACTCGCACCAGAATCAACACTAGTTCCAGAATTAAAGTTAGTCGTAGAAGATAAAGCAAGGTCTGAGCCTGAGGCTGAAAATGCAGACGAACAGCGCACAATAAACAAGGAGGGAGAACTAAGTAGCAACTGAGGAATGCGCCCGGACACGCATCGGCGACGAGAGGAGCAGGCTTTGAGCTACTGAACACCAAAGAAAAAGGCCCACTTCGATAGTTGAAACAGACACGCGCACACGACAAGGAGACGAAGGAACGACATCGACCACGACCGAGTTTTCCGATTCACGATAAACAGGGCCAGCTTGTAGCAAGAATCTAAGAGCAACTAGCTGGATCCCCATCTCTGCACTCCACTTTCGAGCGAGTAACGAACTAGGTTTAATGTTGATGATGTTCGATGGAATCAGTTGAAGTTACGAAGTCACTTTCTATCTACTTTCGCTAAGTAATGCTCTTTTCTGCTCCTATGGGGTTTATAATTGCAAATGAGTTAATAACTGAAGTACCTCAATTTGGCAACTGCGAAACGACTTTTCTGCAGTGATTTTCTTCTTATCAAATGAGCATCTCCCCCATGAACTGCCGGAACAAACGAGGTGTCCCAGACTGTTAATTTCCGGAATCCCATGGTTCTGCTGATTCATTTAGCTGGATCGAGAAGGTTCCTGTTCTGGTACAATGTTCGTTCTTATAAGAAAGTTGGACTACTTTATTCAGTAATACGGAAGATCATGAACCTAGCTTTATACTATGCATTATCCATACCAGGCTAAAGATCTCCAGCTGATGGAGATTCCGCCCGTAAACCAGAGCTGACCGCAGGTATCCTCGACCCAGTCATGGTCGATTTCCCGAGTATTTCTGAACCGATTGCGTCAAGGGATCCAGCAGGTTCGTCAGTCTCGGTCAGACCTGATGTAGTACTTTTCATGTACGTCATCTTTTTGCGCTTTGCGGTTGAACTGCGGTATTTCGCGTGACCCTTTTGTTCCCCAACCAGCCCGTTAGTCGCGCTCGCGTCACGGGGTGCAATGACACCACCAGGGAACGAATTAGAGCTGTCGGCAATTAATAAATCTATTCCCTAATCAGGACGAGCTCATTATGTTCGTTTATTTCAACCAGAATTCTAAAACTAGGAAGAATGAAAACTGAAACAACAAGGGTGCTCATTTGGAGAGGAATATAAGAATTTTTATCGAGAGACCACTACGTAAGAGAAATCGGGCTGATTTCAGCTACTTTTCGGAAAATCTCGCCCATTCCGCTATTGTATCCTTGTGCCTTTCGATGTGCGCACATCTGATCGAAATCCGTTTCGTTCATGTACTGCAGTGTCCGTCCCCCTAAATGTGGCTGTTCTTCTGGACTCGTGTAAGATGGTCGTCCAGGCTGCACGTACGAAAAATCGTCGTCGATGCGAGGATGGGCAGAAATATACCGCTGTGGCAATGGCCCGGAGACAGATGTCGAATCGAAAAACATGCCGATGATCGGATATCCGTGGTCCGACAATGTGGCGCCGAAAATTAGAATGAACAGCAGTTGTGTTGATACAATAGACACACAACGGAAAACGACCAGCAGCAGCCCTAGTAATTGACACGAAACATCCTACTAAATCAATTTCAATTTGTGTGAATCTTCTAATTTTCAATGATTCACTCAGCATTTCGATGCCATAAAATCAGAGTACTATCAGCTGGAGCTGCTGTGCCACTTCTATCCGAAGATGCCGATGCGGTGGAATGCCCTTTGTGATTGCTGCAGCGAACCTCAGGGGCCTCGCGACGCAGCGTCGTCTGCCTGCCATCGAACGGTTGGAAAAACCAGTTGTCTAGCTGCGTCTCACGCTCGCAGGGGTTCCCGATGACCACGAAGTAAAGGGTCTGCGTTTCGGTAGCTGACAATGTCACTGTTTTCGAGTCAACTCGCAAAAAATCTTGGGTGTCACACACACAAGGCCAACAACAGTAATGCAAAAAGCCGAAGCGTGAAGAGGCTGACGTAGATGATGCTGTTGTATCAGAGTTAAGACCCGATGTTGCAGTCGAATCTCCCTTTTCTAGAGCGCCAGGTTCTTCGGCGGAGCCTCGGTGTTCCACGTGCGATGCAATTTCAGTAGCACTAGAAGAAGTTGCCGATCTATTCTCACCGCTGCCCAGTCGTTCTTGTTCGATGAAAAACAAGCCGTCGCGTTGTTCCGCAGCTAGTTCAGGCACCACTGGTAGCACTAGCCCGTAGCGGTTGTAGTCGTTCGGACTTACGGGCGAGCCGCTAATAGGACAAAAACCTGTGAATAGTTCCTGCAATTTGTCAAAGGTGCGAATTTTTTCGCCTGGTCCAAAATTCTCGAACAGGTAGGAGGACCAGAGGTGTGACGCGGCATTCCGGTTCCCGTACCGAAAGACCTTGTGATAGTGTCGATGCAGGTCTCTGGCTGAGTTCAGCGGTTGCGCGGCAATAAACAACGGTAGCGGAACTGAAGAACTTGTAGAATCTTGAAGTCCAAGAAGTCGCACCGGAAGTAAATATAGACTACTCGTCTGGCATTGGAGGACCCACCACAGAGCATGACTGCACACTAAGGCAAAGAACGAAGGTCGGTTCGCGGGCTTCACCACTCGACAGCTTGGTAAGCGGCTGTACTTTCCTGACAGTGCTGGTACGCGAGGAAGTACAAGTAGTGACGCGAAATTCGATATCATTGTCATTTTCTTGTTTCTTCCAAGACCAAGAGGGTAAGTTACGGTAACGTCTGTAAGTTGATATTCTAGAAATCAAAATCGACTCGAGACAGAAAACAAATCGAATGAGAAGTAGCTAAAAGTGACTTACCGACGCTTGGAATCGACGTCTTTGATCGATAGATAAATGAAATCGAAGGCCGCATGGAGCGGGAAAACCTTGTCTAAGTCTATATCATGCAAGTGGGTAGTAAAAATGCAACGAAAACAGCTATGGTCCAAGAACATGGAAGGGCTGTGGCGTGCTGGGCGGGAACATCGGGTAATTGGAGGTGGTCGGCTGTCAGATCACAATTATGTGGTGCCTGATGCCGTGAGCGCACATAGGATAAGCCTCGTGTGAAACCATTTCTTTTACGAGAGTTTTTCTTCTCGAAAACTGGAACAGCATGAACATTGAAGCCCCATCGTACTTAGAGAACGCCTATATTTTCTTTTGCCCGCCGACCAGCATTCCAGACTAGACTACTAGACGGACAGAGGTCGTGAGCTCTGAAGACTCCCCAAACATGCTATGCTTATGGTGCGACCCGCTGCCCGCCGTAAGCCGAGTGTCGAGTGAGGACATGGAAGATTTGAGCAAGGAGTGGTAGGGTGGGAGGAAAAAAGGGAATGGCTGAATTTGCAAGGGTGAATGATGCTTGTCGACTGTCGAATGGAGAATGGCCACTGGGAGATGAGTGCCCGCGTGTAGGATGCGCGGCCCTCTGTGAGTGGGTGAATGATGGATATTCCCATTGACTAACTCGCTCAAACCTGCTTAAGCAAAAAGCCATAATTTACCATCTTCTCTAGAAACTGTAGTCAAATTATGAGTGACGCTCGTGATTAACAAGAAGAGCGATTTCTCTCGTCGTGCTGGCTCCTGTGTAGTCACCTTCTAAACTGCAATCTCAATTTTCTCAGACATGCTTCACTCGGAGACCTCGTAAAGTGGGAAAGCCAAGAACACTGGACTATCACAAACAAGACAACAAATAAATTGTAGCATTACCGCCATGCGTTCTTAGCAGCATCATGCACATGCTGATGCTTGCACGGAAAATATTGTGAATGTAGATAAGTTTGAGTACTTGTTGATACACCATCTTCATCATGTCGTAGCTTTTACGCTGATGTTAGGCATGAACGAAAGATTATATGGAATTGGAAAAAATCAAAGCTAATTCAAAACGTGACTCCCGGACCAAGAGGCAGCGAGAAATCCTCACCACGAAGTTCCGCTTCCGGATTGCTAAAGAGAAAAGCTCCTTGTTCTTCCAGCTGAGCTGCCACCTTCCATCGTCACGAAAATTGTAGCTCTCAGTTGTCATTGCTAGTCGCATCTATGCCTACCCTTTTCCTATGATCTTGTGAAAGTCGTGACCGCACCTTCTCTTAGAGCTACCACTTTCGCATCTTCCTTAAAAGTGTACTTAAGCGGTGATACCTTCATCTCGGTGTCAGGCTTCTTTCTAATCAACACAAGCAGAAAATGTGACAAGAATCTGAATGATGAAGCCAAAGATTAGTTAGGACGGAACTTAGTATAGGATGCTTTACTTCTAGTAAGAAGGATGCCAGGAGCGGTAACCCCATCATCTAGCGGTAGCCTTAATTCTCTGGCGTTTTCTTTGTTTGCATCTCTTCCTCTAGCTGCCGCATGAAAGGCCCACGCTCAAAATCCTCCTTTATCCTGGCGAGTCGCCGCTCGTCTTCGTCGCTTAGTCGAAAGAACCAAAACATGAACGTATGAATGGGACGGTCGTCCTAAATGTGAACTCATCCGATTCTAAGCCTAAAACCTAATGCCCTGCTCGGCTTCCGTTCTTCTAGAAGAAGATGATGCTGTTTTCATTACCAGCCTAGATTCGGACTTAGAAGTTACCTCGTCCAGGAGTTTTCATGCTTAGGCTAAAATAGTTCGGTATTCAGTACAGACCACGATTAATTTTACGTTTCCGAACAACAATGAGAATGCAGGGTACCAGCTACTTCGAAGATCACAGCTATTAATATATATTATTAATATAAATCTGTTGCTACTGAAGATCAAGATTTTTCAGACCGTACTTCTTGTTATACTTGTTACATTGCGCAGACAGTAGTCATAAAGTTTGGTCCCATGATGAAGATAAGCAAAACCGAAGCCACTAGAATGCTCGGCCATGGTTCCCTCTCGAACACCGTCCAGTCAATGTTCGGAAAAAGCGCGCTACTGGACGTTGTAGTTGTCATAGTCGTTCGAGTTCTTGGATCTTGTGAAGGTATTTGCTTGATAGATAAGTATTCATCAAAGCCGAAGGAATCTATTACAGCTGGTTGTACGACACAGAACAATCAGAAATGCAGCGTTTGGTATTCTGACACAAAAAAGAGAAGCCTCCACAGAAAAGGGTGAACCATAAAAAACGATTGGTTTTCTTTCTTTTTCTACATCGTGTCGAGATTTCTAGGTCTCTCTAGAATGGACGGCTTCATCTTTACATATTTATTAGTAGTTTTAAGTTCTCTATGACGCCTCACTCTCAAACCGAGTCAAGTGTTTGATGTATCACGATAAAGTCATGGTTGTAATTTGGCTGACTAGTTGTAGTTGAGCAGGCAGAAGATGTCATATAACTTGTGCATGTAAAAAATCGTCCATGGATGTGCCCTCTCTCCTCGGATTCTCCGCTCTTCTTTGTATCTCATCATTTTGCGTCTTTTTCATCATGATCATGTCTCCTCATCAAGTGCCAGTCAATGTCAACCCAACTGCACTGGATTTTTGTATCAGTATCGACGACAAACTGAGTCAACGTCAAGAAAGAATATAGACATACAAGTTAGATAGTACACAAAAAAATAGTAGAGAAGACGAGCAAATGGTAACTATCTCGACCCCATGAATGGTGGACTCTCAAAAACATCTGTTGTTAGTAAGCAAGTACAGTGACTCTATCGCGCTCATAACTCCAAGGGATATTATCCGGCACAAGGATGTTGTACATGGCTGTGGCCCTGACGATCTCCCAGTCGTTCCGCAACTTGTATACCTGGATCTGGACACAGAGACGCGTCTTTTCCTATATAAATATTTATATATATATAAGACTGCCAAACCGCACGAATCATCAGCGCACAAAAGGGGATCGATTCATGATCATGATGCACAAGAATAATCCTGACTAAGACGCATCATTGTTCCTTTTCTACTTTCATCCGACTCTTGCTTCCAAAGCAGCAGCATGATCAGAAAAAGTAGAAACGACCGCCGACAAGACCGCAGAGATCAGTCAAGGGTCAAAGTTACCTTCCGAATCCGAAAGGATTCTATTTCTTCTGCCAGGAAGCATGCCAAAGAAGTTAAAAATATCAACTGCTACTTTACCAGTAGGGTCGCTGTGAAACGAGGAACTGTACATCTATTCAGTGATTCGGTGTTCGAAAGCGAAGCTCGACTCCTCATGATACGTAAAGCCGTCACACTAGATACTTACACAGGAATCAGTCGGACATTTGTGTGTCTCAAGCAGGAAAACATGACATCATGGATCGATACAGAATGGCTGGAGGGCGTGAGGCTCAGGGAATGGGGAATCATCTAGGCCTAGCAAATGGGGAAGACCAAGACGTGTCAGGCATCTTTCGAAACAGCATTCCATTTCGATCTCATCAAGCAAGAAACAAGTCTGCGAGGACTAAGTTTCTTCAAACCAAAAAAATAGCGTGGTGGTGCTTACTTTATCTGTATCGACAAATTCATGCATCACGATTTATCAGCATGCATCTCCCACCTGTCGTCGAAAATGCGGTCTGCCTCGGCGATGATGCTCTTGAACACATTCGCAAGAAAACTTCTCGGATTTTCAGTGCCGCGAACGCGTTTTTTTCCTTTGTATTGTAAATACCAGTGTGGCCGCTCCTCTTTTCCCAGCGACTGCGAGCCGACCTTCCTGTTCAAGTCAGCCGTATTCCAGCAAGATCTTGCATTCTCGTTGCGCGCCTCGTTGAGCCATTGATGCAAAAACTCGTCCTCAAGCTTTTGATCGACTGCAAACTCGCAAAGAACGCCAAATTCCTGTGCCAAAGGGTCACCAACCCCATACTCGTCCGCACGAATCAACCACGCGGCGTCGCACCGAGCTGAATTTTGAACATTCTTAAGATAGATGTCGTGCCTTTCATCATTCATCTTCCCAAAGAAAGGAGGGACGCCGTAATTTATCAAAAAGCCATATTAGATATTGTTTTCGTTCGAAGGTATAAATGTAAGCATGTCTCATTGTTAGGCAAAAAAGGAAGGAGCTGTTGCTTCCGGTTGCATCTGGCTCTCGGATAGAAATTCTAATTGTCAACACGTGCTCTAAAAAATCTTTACGTTGAATTCAATGATGTGGCGTAAAAAAGCGCGAGAACAAAACGCGGAAAGAAACCTATCAACGAAAATCAGGTTGAAATACGGAGTAGCGTCCGCGTCCCCAGCTGACGGTGAATTTCCTTCAGCACCGCAGCGTCCAGGTTGAGGCCAAGAGCGTTTTGCGACTGAACATGGAAGCTGCCAGAGGCAAAAGCCTTTTGCTTCTTTCTAAGCTCTTTGATGTTCGGGCCATCGTCGTGCACTGGCGTAATCAAGTCGAGCAGCTCGTCGTCCTCAAAGACGAGAGGGGCATCGCCATCAGCATCCATGCCCGAGTGATAATCGAATACCCAGCGGTCATTCCGTGCTTTCGCTGGCATCACCAAGATGTTTTCGTGCGCATACTCGTAGCCACTTGGAAACATCTGCTTCATTTCTTGCTCCCCGACAGCCTTGTATTTCTGGAAATTCGTCAATAACTTTGCGGGATTCTTCATCACCCCTATCGTCCCACCAAAGTAGCGCCCATTGCGCTTCCAGATGACTCTATCGGGCGGCAGCTTCTGCGTCATATCAGGCGCCACCTTCGGACGATATGCGTTGCACGCGAGTCGCACAGGTTGGAATTTCTTCACGCTAGGCAAGAAGTCAAGCCCAAACCAAATTTTCTTCGCAATCGCACGAGCTTCAGACTGCCGTCCTTGCCTGATATCACGGATGCCCTGGTGCGCTAGTCGCCCGAAGTCTGGAAAGCCGGGCGCTGTGTGCTTGAGCCTTGTCCACTTCTGGAGCGACATCTCCAGTTGCGTTGCCTCGCGTAGCTGCAGTGCTGCGTCAGATGCAGCCGCCGCGGACCGCTCACAGAGCTTCTTCAACAATAATTGTTTGAACTGCGGCAGTGTACCCGCACGTTGTGAGAGATCCGACAAAACCAAAACATTTTCCCATGGTACCGAGTAGTCGTCTGTCAGCGTAACGGTTCCACGCTGAAGAAAAGTCGCGCGAATGATTCTCGCTTCGTCGGGAAGCGCGGAAAAGTCGGCCACGCCAAATTTTTGAACCGAAGGGGGCAGGTTGATCCACTTTTCTTCTGGACAGCAAGTCTTGATCACGCATCCCGCCTTACTGTTCGCAAAGCGCATCTGCACAAAAGAAAGCTGATCCGCTACTTCGGAACCAAAGACGTGGCGCGCCAGTCCTAGGCTCATTTCGGTTGCACCCTCAGAGACAAGGACCCCTTTGTCGGCACGGTCCCCTGCCTCCCGCGCGAAGCGAGAGTTGCTGCCATCGCGAATTGCGTCTGCCGGAACAGGCACCTTGGAAGACCATGCTTCCGAAAGCGTCAGTCGCATACGGGCAAGTAACTTGCCACTTTGCTGCAATTTCAATACTGCACGCTCCGAAAAAAAAACTCGGCAATAAAGGTCTGCTATCGTAATATCGGACAAACCTGGTCCGGATTCGGCGAAAAAACACACATTGACAGTGTCAAAACTAGACGCCCCTGCGGAAAGGCATGGTCCACGCGCTCCTCTCGTGGTGGGGGCTGACAGAATTACGTTTTTGTACTTTTGCGCGAAGTGAGACTTAGCGGACCTACTGCCGTTCTTGGAAAGCATTTCATGCACAAAGGGCTCCGCGGAATCTCGATCGTTTTTCAATGAGAAACAGCGCGCGTATGTCATTCCGTTGAACTTGACGGCTCGAACTCTTTCGATTTCGTCTGCGCTGCACAGGGGTACGACCACGAAGCGGCGCGTTCCGAATAGGGACAGCAAGTGTCTACTCTTTTTCTCGAAACAACGCGAAGCCCGAGCGGGAGTCACACGATAGGGTGCCGCATCAGTCGCAGCTCCAAGTTTGCCACTGCCCGTTTCCTCTTGGTCACGCACTAAGTACATGTAAAAGAGAATGGAGGCTGGCTCTGCCTCGCGGAGTCTGTCCCGTTCTGCTTTCTCCAAGGTCGAAGGCGCAGCATTAATTACCGCCTCAACAAATTTTTGGTATCCAGTTTTCTCCTCTGGATCGTCACCCGGGCCCCCTGGTGCGACAAATGTAGTATCTGTCAACGCGGAGAAGCTGGGGAGCGAATTCGTGGACTGGTCATTTGACGTGCTTACGCGCCAAGAAGATAGATCGTTCTCCTCATGATCACTGTCGGATTGGTCTTCTACCCCACGCTGGAAAGAGCTGGAGAAATCCGCAGCAGTAGTGCTCAACATTGTCGGCTCCTCGACGATTGCTGACAACGCATTCTGAGTCGCGACCGGGTTAAACGATGGCACAGGAATGGTTTGCCGAGAATCCGTTGCAGGAAAGCAGGCAGTAGCAGAGACAGGGTCGAGAGGCGGGACCGCTGTGAAACTCGGTACGTTTTGATGTTGAACAACAACAGCCGACTCTTGCTGAAAATGAGGTTTGCCCACCTCTCCTACCGGATGATATTGAGTTGGTGGTATTGCAGACACAACAGCTGGAGTCCCAGGAGCTGCGACACTTATGTTCTTGTAGTTAGGATCCAAAAATGCAACATGTGCCGTGCAGCAATTAGAAGTATCTCCTGACAAGTCGCCAGCCGCTGAAGCAGTTTCATATCGGCGCTGGCGTAGAGTGTGCTCCAAAGAAGACGGCTCGGAACTCGGCGGCGGTATTGCCGACTCCTGCTCCGCTCCACGCTCTTGCGTGTCCCGAAATTTCATAAAGCGTTGCCACAGCCGATTCTCTGGACAATTCGGCGATTGCCATGGTTCTATTATGCTTCGTGCATGGGTACCAAAAGGTTTGTGTACATACGCAAGTGGCGCATACATCAAGTTTTCTATGGCCTTTGAAAAGCTCACTTGAAATCCGCGGTGCCACTCTCCCATTGTTGGTCCATAGTCCCCCAACCGCTCCAAATACCGCTTGTTAATGCTTACAGTGATACGCCATTCCTGTTCGGAGCAATCCGTGAACTTCAGCTTGGCCGATTCCCACTGGCGATGGACCATCTTCATCTTGGGTATTATTTCAGCGCGCGCCGCAAGCAGCTCGAGTTGTGTCACGGGTCTTACTACATGGCCAGACGCGTTCTGGCTGTGGAGATACTCGCGTCCGGACCAATTTACGTGTGTTCGGTCTGGCGCAGCGTCGGCATTGTGGACAAGCCAGTCTCTCCTCCGAATCTTCCTGTCAACTTCACGGACAAGACCGATGAGAGTATCTCACTCAAACAGGGTGAGATCTCGAAAATCTACGAAGAGCCCAACGGCGTCCGTGGTTCCCTCCTGGTCCCGCATCGGTACATAAAGTGTATATGTCATCGGGTCCTTGCGTCTTGAAACACGACGCTCAGCAGCAACTGCCAGTGCAAACAGAAGGCGGTCTAACGGAATGTTGTAAACATCTGCAAGCCGGCGTAGCGCTTGCAGCGCTACACCTTGGACGCGTAACTCGCGTCGAGTTGCAAACAGCGATCGCTTGCCTTTATATGCATGGAATCCGCGCAGGGAGACACGGCTACTTCCGCGAACTTCGATGTCTCCGCGCAGCGTCGTCAGCAGACGCTCTTGCAGAATCTGCGTAGACAAATGGGCCCGACAACCGTCTCGCATTCCTGAAGCCAGTGCACCTGCTTCACGAGAAACGAGGGACTGATACATCTCGAACAAATCGGTAGCCAGCGTCTGCATCGTCACAGCGTCTGCGATTGCATGTATCGCGGAAAGTACCACGAAGGCCCTTTTTTCGTCTTTTGTCGCTATAATCGCAACCTTTAAAGGCGCCGCACGACCCGAAGCCGCCAGCCATTTTTCCAATCCGTTCTCGCCTGTCGTCCAATGACCTGGGGTTCCCTGTCCTCGTTGAATAAGGTCCAAGAAGTCCTTCATCGCATTTAGCTTGATCGGGCACGGCACCAAGTTTGGCGGGTTCCCGTCTGCATCGATCGAATCTGCATGACACCGCGGCCAGACGCTCTCCCATGCAGATCCCGACCAACCCAAGGAAAGCGCAACAGGTGCGGCCTCGCTGACGAACCGCAAGTATGCCATGCCTTCGTCCATTCGGACTCTGAAGAATGCAGGGAGTTCATGTTTTGCTTTTGAATCTCAATGTGACGTGTATTCTGCGAAAGGAAAGACTTCTAGATAAACTCTTCTCGCAGGTTTAACATACGCGCTTAGAGGAGGGCAATGCTTCCGTAAGTAAAAAACTTGAACACGAAAAGCGTCGAAAGAACATTAACGAATGAAAAATTATATATTTATAAGTACCTGAGAAGCGGGTGGCGCTGCAGTAAACAAAAAAACGCGGCGTTGAAGTGCTCAAGATTGAAATTTTGAGGATTTTGAATTTCGTAGTAAGAAAGGCCCATAGGTCTACATTGTGCGGCAACAAACCACAAAGCTGCGCCTTGGGTCTCCAGTTGGCTCACCTCTATTGATCCTCCTTGAGCCGTTCCCGCTTCAACACCCACGTAGGCGTCTCGAAAAAGGAGCGGAGTTTTGGCCAAACCCTCTCGCGCTCCCTCTTTGGCATAATCCCGTACAAGAGCGACCATCTCGCCGGCCGTTTCGCATTGGAATGCCAATGCAGCAGGAACGGAACACGCCAGCTTCTTTCGCAGTTCATTGAGGAGCGCCACTCTGTCAAGACTGTCGAGATGCGAGAGTCGCGTTTCAACGAACACTTTCCTGCAGAGTCTCCTTTCTAAAATTTCGGCGACTGCATGGTCCTCAGGATCGGCGAACGGAATCAATCCTGCACAACGTCCAGCTTCTATTTCTCCCGAGATTGGCTCACTCATTTCCATAAACTTCGCAATTTGTTTTTGTCTTCGATCGGTCGACATGACAAAGCATATACGCTCATTGTCCAAAAAGTACTTTTCGTACTGCTCCTGCTCAGACAGCAACTGTTCGTCCGCCCCGCGAAGGCAGATGATGTCAGGGGCGGCTTGCATCTCACTACCATCTGCGGGCTCAATATTCTTCAACCGTCTGCAAACCGCGTGCGCCAGCTTTTCCAAGCACTGCTTGTACCTGTCAACATGATGAAAGAAATCTCAACCTACACAAACATGAATATTGTTCACTCGCGTCCTTGATTCAGCTCGAGAGCTACCTTGAGAATATCCGCTTATGTAAATGATTGATGATGGCGAACTTTGAGAAAAAACGGTACCAGTTCGGCTTGTCTTTCGCGTAAATCGAGATGATACGCCACTCGAGCATCAGCAACGCCAAGCCACGAGAACGAACCAACCAGAAGCCAAGGAACAACTTTGCCATTGCCCACGCTTGCAGCGACCATCCGCTGATCAAAAGAAAGCTGTCTGCCGCGTGCATTTCGTAAACAGCGCAGTCTACTGCGCACGACAAGCTTACCAACGAAAGTGACGGGAAACTTTGCTCGTCATGATACATCCTGTTGGCCAGAGAACTTCGGAAATGGCCGACGGGTTTTCTCATGTACGGATCCGCACTTGGGTCCCACCGTTTGCAGAGGGCCCATCGATTTAAGATCGGTACCAGGACAAAATACAGCGCGACATCACCCAGAATATTGAGCAGTAAAGCCATGCTGCAAATACTGCTCATAGGGGAAGATAATCCATATACGAACAGGGAGCCGATCGCGCGTGTCACCACCGCCATGGCCAGGCAGTACAAGGGATAAACTTCAGCGCTTCGCTTGCCATTTCTTCTGCTATCGTCCTTCCGCCTCGCCTCGAATTCTTCAATGCGGCGCTCTTTCGCAGTCTGCTCTACCAACTCTTCGCGCAGTGCCTTTTCGGCGAGCTTCGTCCCGTCTACCGAACGCGGTAGGTCTTTTGTGCGGAAATGCAGCTGAATCCGATCCTCCTCATCCGGATCTCGAGGCATCCGATTCAGAATGGCGGAAACAAAGTTGGATCCTCCAAGGCGCGGCACGGCCTCCTCTCTAGTGGCATTTATCGCCACGCCATCTCGCTCGACCACGAAAAAGTGATACGTGCTGTCGCACCTGACGAACAAAGTTCGTATCAGGATGTCAAACGTGAAGAGGTGATTGGTCGTAGAGGGACAATGCATATTTTGTTGAGCAAGCTCATTCGACCTGTATTTGTAAGCGCCACGACAGAAGGCATATTCTTCTATCAACTACTTCTACTTGCATGATTTTTCATTTTTCTTGTAAAAAGTTTTTTACTATTTAATGATGAATGGACTTGCTTGCAGGTTGTTGTAATTTCACTGCCTCTACCCTGCGTTAATAACGCACACACAGGAGCTAAAAGGGGAAGGGGGAGGTGCAGCTGCAGTCATGAAACATTTATTAAAGTATTTTTGAGAGTATTTCAAGCCATCTCAATACGCAATCTAAGTCTATACGAATACCGCAGAAGTTGGACGTCCATATGGGGACTCGCAGTTTTTCGCGCGATCTCGTCTCGAACCAGAGACAGGTCGAGGTATTCTCCCCGAATCTTGATCCGAAAATTGTCGCGGCCGCAGAGCCTCAGTCGTCCATCTTCGCAGATTTCGACCCTGTCCCCCGTGCAGAAGTACAACTGCTCTTGTAGTTTACCTCGAGCAACAGGCACACCTTCCAGCGTCCGCACGCGCTCGCACTTGTCCGACAAACGGACCCAGGAGGACGAGTTAGGAAGTATAGTCTTGCGGTCGGCTTCGAAATACCCAGAAGAAACAAGGGAGCCTGCTACATGCAGTACTCCATGTCTTCCCGCCGTGTCATCCTCATCGACAAGTATTTTCGCATCCAGCTGAGGCGCTGCACTGCGAAACAAAGACTCTCGACCTTCTTCATAGTCAGCGACCAAACACAACCAGTACTCTGTTGCTGTAAGCAGATCCAGAGTGCGAACGCCTTCGACCTCGTTCACCGCCTTGGCGTAACTAGGAGGTAGGGCCTCTCCCCAGAAAATCAGCGTATGTAGATCGTGCAAGTAGCGTTTTCGGCAACATCTAAAACTGTTGTCGCAGACTGCAAGATAGCGCTTGAACGCGGCTGGAGCGAGGCCCATGATAGAGACGCGCGCAGAGTGCAACCCGCGGAGCTCCTCTTCTGGGAGAGCAGTGCTTAGAAACACACAAGTGCCACGAAGCGCGAGAGCCAAGCTGATTTGGCCAAGTGTGCTTGCAGCCCAATAGGTATGCGGGCTGCAAGCGAGCCGTTCTGGGCTGTGCCTGTCGCTGGCTAGATCAGAAAAGAAAAGCGCCGGGTAGTGATCCGACTCGTGCACAAACATTGCATGGGTGATGGCCGCACACTTCTCAGAACCTCGTGTCCCGCTCGTATGCGCAAGACAAAAAGGAAGCCGATTTTCTATACCAACTGTTCCGAGAACGCGAGCTGTGTTCCCACACGAGGTCGGGCTCGAATTGTCTTTGTGGTACGTTTTTAGCGCTTGCTCGCACCATTCGTGGGTGATGTTGATATCCAACAACAGTTCCTTCCTTATCTGCTCTCTGCGTTCGCTAATTTTTTGTCGCATTTTTGAGTCGTGCCCATCTGCAGCCCATGGAACCAGACAGGCGGTTCCGCCCGTCCTGCTTACTGCCACAAGAAGAGGCAAGAAGTGAATAGATTGCGGTCGTAAATCGATTCCAACTCGAAAAAATGAGACTGCACCTCTAGCTACATCAGAAGTTACAGGTCGCGTAGCAAGTTGCAACTCCTGCTGTTGGCACAGAGCCACGGCAAGATGCAAAGATCTGCTCGCTAACTCGCTGTAAGAGAGCTGAGCAGAACAGGAATCGCCTTGAAATACCTCTACACAAATCCGCGACACTTCTACTCGCGCAATCTCGTCGACTAAGTTGTGAAAAAATCGCGGGGAGCCTTGGTGCTGCACTTCTCCGCCTGAAGAAATCAGCTCGCCTTTGAATGCACCGTCGGGCACTTCAGTAGCAGAAACGGAAGGTCCCGTACCCTCGTACCATTCTATGATTCTGTGCGCCGCATTCCGAACAGCTCTAAATGGGCACATCGCCCAAGATTTTGATTCGGGTCGCGGAGCCCCGCGAGCTTCTGCCGCTGCCGGAAAAACCAATTTTCCTTGCGAAACTACTGCCGGTGAAATCGTGCCAAGAAGTCCTTGTGGATGCGACGAAGATGGTGCCACGTTGTCAGAGCGCAAAGCCTGTGCAACGTCTGCATCGTTGCTTTGTGGCGCCGCTTCTGATTTCTGCGAATGAGGCACGACACTCGCAGATGGCTCTGTCGCTCCTCCACTAGCGGCGCCTGGTAGAGAGTCGTCCCAGCCGAAGGGGGAAACACCTATACTTTCGCGTTGGCTCGCGATCGCGTGCGGGTTTGCCGGCGCTTCACTAATAATAATATCGTTTCCACCATTAAGAGCGCCGCTCGGGTCCTGCATGCGATCTCGCGGAAACGCCCCGCCCACATGGCTACCAACATCTTCAGCTGCAATAACTGTGCTACGATCTGACTCTGCTTCAAAATCTCCAAAGATTTCTGCGCATGGCGGGAACGCTGGCGCTTCTGCAGATGTGGGCGTCTGGTGGCTCGGGACGTGTGCAATTGGTGGTATAACGCTTTCACGTTTGTCAGAAGCGCCTCCGGTATCGGCAACAGGTGCGATATCACCTTGCAGGGGAGTGCCGCCCAGGAGGTGGTGCGCAGGTGATGTCACGCTGTTTAGAAGTGATGGGGGAGTGGCGCTGCAGGTGCAGGCAGGGGGATCTGTTCCATTATCAGGCATGACGAAGGGCGCATCGGCAGCTACATTTGGCGGAGCTACGAGCGAGGGCTTTGCCGGCTGGACCTCAAATGTCATCGGCGAGACGCCCCTTGATGCAGTCTCATCTCCGGCCGGCTGCCTACGAACAGGTGTAGATGCGGTCTGAGGCCGTGTCGGTGCAGCATGACCGACATTTGGCCCTGCTGACCACTGCTGATTGGAGAATAGTCTTCTTGCCCCGTCCAGCACAGTTGAGATAACAGCCTCCTTGTTGTTCAATAGTCCAAATATTCGTTCGTCTAGGGTTCCAATCGCGCATAAGTAGTCGATGGTAACTGGTTTGGTTTGTCCAATCCGATGCATGCGGTCTTCTGCCTGTCGGAGAGAACTCGGCTTCCAGTAGAATTCTGCGAAGAGCGCGTAATGCGCCGCGATCATAGTCAAGGCCTCGCCGCAGGCAGTGATCGACAGAACCGCGGCCCGAATTGCAAGTCTCTCCTGGAAGCCTTGCACGCACTTTTCGCGCTCTCTGCTTGACGTCTTACCATTGATACGCACGAAGCCGACGCCGCTATCCTGCAAAGCCTCCACGAGTCCATCTCCCACTAACTCATGATGATGAAAAAGGAGCATCTTCGCGTGTCGCGGATCCTTACTCTTGCATAGCTCCATAACCTTCGACTGTGCGAAGGGAATTTTTGCCACTGCGGTCTTTTTATACCGTGCCATGACATTACTGTTTTCCGGGAGCTGCTTGGTCAGCTCGATCGACCGATCGATATCTGCAGCCTCTGCATCCGAAATTTCCAAGCCGTTACTTCGAATAGTTTCGGCATCCAAGAAGCAGGGTATCATGCGCCGATTTTTGGGTGGCAAACGATCCCCCATTACTTCTTCCTTGGTTCTTCGGATCGTGAAGTAATCCAATAGGGCATTGAGCTCCTCACAGCGGATGGATGTATTATTGCTCCCGACATAGCGCATTTTGAAATCGGCATCGCTCATCTTTGGAAAACTATTTTTCAGCGCTGCTCGAGCTTCCGCCGAGGTGTTTTCCATCGGCGTCCCACTCAGCCACAGCGCACCAGCTGTCGCTTTGTTCGACAAGTCTCGCAACACCTGACAAAAATAACACGACACGAGTGCACTTCTCGAATCGAAGACAAGAGCAGGGGCTTCTGCTAGCATCTTCGAGAAGCAGATATTTATAAATCAACGCAGTGCTATTGTAACTCAGTGGAAGTGGCGATGTGTTGTTGTTGCTCTTATGTCAGAACAGTTTCTAAGGTTTTCGGGGGCCGGCTGGCATGGCACGAATGGAACGGTTGGAACGAATGGCAGGCATCCAATCCGGGGCTTCAATGCGCTCCGCCATTCGTTGACCTTTCAGACCTTTGAGAGCGGGGCGCCCTGCGTTTTCAAGCGGTACCTCCCCCGCGGCGTTGTCGCTCTCTCCGAACGCTGCGCACATACTTTGGGAATCCCACTCGGGCGCCCTGCGACCAATCTGCCACACCCTCCACGGCGTTGCGCTTCACACGGCCCACCTCCGTCGCCGCTCTCCCACGGCGGCGGCGCGGTGGATCAGCTGAGCACCCTAGGGCGGCGGCCGCATGCTAAATCACCCGCCTCGTCGCAGCATTCCTCTCGTGGAATTCCGCGGGGGTCATGCAAGTCCACCAGAATTTGCGTGGCCCGCGCGGTAGTTCCAAGAAAGAAGCCAGCCCTCCGACGGTCAGCCGCACTAGGGTAGGGCCCGCACTCTTTAGAGAGCAGCCGAGCCGGCTTCGTTTCTGGCTAGCTCCCTTACCATTTTGAAAATGGCAGGGGGGCTTTCCGTAGAATTGCAGCCCTTCGAATCCCCATCCCTGTCCGCTTGTGCCAACGCCAACCGCGCCATTCGTGGCACTTTTTGGCTTCGTTGGGTTGTTCCAACCGCGTCATTCGTGCCAACCGTGCCAACCGCCATTCGTGTTATAAACTGTTCTGTATATGTTGTCAACGTTCTTCATCGTGATGAGCTGATGCTAAGTATCTAATGCAAACCGCTGCTCCACGTTTTTCATTTTCTCGCGCAATCTTGCTCACAAAACAACTGTCAAGATTGGGTACAGTGACTTTACAGGCAAATCTGACTCACATATAGAGACTGGCAACTGCGTTTCACACACGTGCAGCTGCAGTGTAAAAGAAAAATCCTGTTACCTGAGACCGCTGAGCCTGATCGTTCTTGGCCTTATGAGCCTCGTCGACGATCACCATTTTAAACGGTTCGCCGTTGCCTTGCTTTTGTAGCTTCTCCTGTTTTGCGAGGTCGTGCGTCATTATAACGAAGTCAACGCGGGATACGTTATCACTTCCCTTGTCGATCTTTTGCTTGTTTACTTTGTTTCCGAGCCACTTGTCAAGTTCCCCTTCCCAAACAGCGAGCGCGTTTTTCGGACACAGCACCAGAACGGGCCACTGGTGACGAAAATAGCACGCGGCGCAGAGCGCCTGCACCGTTTTGCCAGTGCCCATATCATCTGCTAGCAAACAACGAAACTCCCGACTAACGATGAAATCAACGCCACGACGTTGAAAATCGTTCAGATTCTTGTGGTACAGCTCGTATCCGATCTCTGTGGCTTGAAGCTTCCGGGCGGCAGCCCCTCTCAATCGTTTTTCGTGCTCATCGTGTAGAGATACAATCCACCGTGGAAGGGGACAGAATTTCACTCCTGCTTTCCTTAAGCCATCGCAGACGCTCCGATGCTCCGCTATGGAATATTCTGAACCATCCCTAGCCTCGTCACCGTTTCTGGCGGGGCCACGGAAGTGGCCCAAACGCGTCAGCTCAAAAGCAAGCGTCATTTAGCTTTGAGGTAGCGCCCGTACGAGACCTCAGGTTGCTTCGTGCTCAGATAACCCTGTGGGACGTCGTCATTTTGAAGCCTGCTCCATTTCATGTTACGAAAGGGAAATCAACCATTTGACGGAAAGAGACGCTCAAGCCACTGGCACGAGGAGTAAAAATTGCATGCTTTGTCCTCAAGGGTCGCCATCATTATGAGCCCTGATTCTTGACAAACCACCTTGTCACCTGCCTCTAAGCAACATTAATGTATGTAAAGAGAGCAACATTAATGATCATGCAACATTAATGATCATGCAGCAACATTAATGATCATGGAACGAACCTTATCACGGGAATAATATGCCCGAAGAGGGCATCCTCTCCCTGTGTCGTTTCTTTCGGATCATTACGGTAGACAGCCAGCACAGTGGACGAAGATGCGTTTGCTCCAGATACACAGTCAAGGCTCGTGGGGACTTCCAGCCGCCATTTTCCATTTCTTTACGAACAAAGCAATCGCACAAAAAACCTAACGGAATCAAGAACAACGTAGCCGTGGTGCAAAGGTCGGCTTTACGGCTTTCGTACTTCAAACACTTTTTTTCCAACTCAACACAACCACAGCAAAGGCAAATGAAACGAAGATACAAATGTTGATTCTGGTTCTTGCATCTTCTTAAGTACAAAGCTGCCCTTCTGCAGCTTCACGCCCAACTGTGGCTCTTTGCCTTATTTGCTAACTTCGCTGATGCTACTATGCGTACTATGAGCCACTAATCAAACCCTGCACTACTTCTACTATTTTTTTGTATACATAGGATAAGTATTCATGCGAAAAAGTAGATCGAAGAACGAAATCATATTAAGGATTCATTTTGAATATTTTCGACGTTTTTCCTGTGCTAATGTTGATCTTGATCGTGAAAATAGGGAGGAGACGAAAATAAATTTGAAAAAAAATCAACATCATGACTCGTCATTCCCCAACCAGTACTTACACCAAAGGTGAATTGAGCATTGCTGGAGCCTAAAGAGCGATACTAAAGTTAATACACTCCGTCATATGTTTTCAGTCGTAGATATCAGATATTATACTTCTACCTGCACTGTAGTAGTTTCCATTACCGCAATAGCAAAGGCGGAGAAAGAACATACAATATTCTCGTTGTAAGGGTAAGCCCTCATGAAAAAATATCATCTTCTTCCAGCAGGCGACGTCTAGCTCATGGGTGGGGTCTCAGATTACCTCTTCGGGTTCGGATACTCATCAAAACACTTGCTACATCTGAAAATTCCGCTGCTGGTGCTCCCGCTTTGCCTGGGATTCGATTAAACCACTTTCCCAAGTCTGCCCTGATAGTCCCTTTATTTTAGGTCCGAGTGTGTTTGCGCCGGTGGCTGGTGATGGTGAAGCCGCCTCTGAGAAAATACTCGCAATGAGAGGGTCGCTCTCTTCAATCCCGTAACGCTCTTTACTTGGCCTCTCCTTCACCCGGAGCTCTGCCGATCCTGCTACAACACTATTCGACGTTGACGAAGAGCTCCTCCCAACGACTGGGACTGCAGAAGAATTTATATCTTTTGAAGTTGTACTAGCATTCGTGTTCTCCTGACCCTCCTTGTTTGCAAGTCGTTCACGACCACATATTTCGTCAATCACATCGTCACTCGCGTCTTCCTGCCCGGCTGCAGTAGGAGAGGTTTCCGTTGCCGTTCTACTGCCTGCTCTACCTTGCGGATTGAGACGCTCGCAAGCTTCTGCATCGTCGCCCATCGCAAAAGCTGCTGCCGTGACCTGTTTTGCACACTCAAAAGTGCCTACTGCGCCGTCCCTTGTGTGCCGCCCGCAAGCCTCCAGAATTCCACTTTCGTGAAGGTAGGTCGCCGCGGCCTCAGCCGTGTGGAAGGCCTCAGTTGCCGCTACTGAAGATCGGGATGCGACTTCCGACGCAAACTCAACCACTTCCTCGCGAGTTGGCAGCTTCTCGTTGGCTCGCTGCAGTGCGCGCTGGAAAACAGTAGGCTCCGGTGGCGCTTCAGCCCAGAAAGCCCTGCTGACGGGCGGCAGCACGACTCGCGGATGGACGAGGGGACCACTCGAGACAACTACAGGAGACGGCCTTGGCGAAGCGTGTGGGAGTAGTCCTTGTTGTTGTGGTCCTCCTGAGCCTGACGGTCCGAGAAGCAGAACAGGCGTTCGAGGCCTCATTGGTCCTCCCGTAGCCACAAATCCAGGTCGTGGCGACATTGCCATGCGTCCTGGCGTAAGTGGAGTACCGATTTCAGCAGGTACGCTGCGTGGGGTCGCAAAAGAACCGCCCTGCTGCATCGCTATACTTGTTGCGCCGCTATTTGGACGTCCTCCCTCCTGTGCTGGGGCCCGCATGCGCACCACTCCCGGGCTCGTCATGAAAGTCGTGGGTGAAGCAACAACAGCACCAGAAGCCGCACTTTGAGTCGTTATCGATGAGGTTGGAGCCGAAGATGCGTGGTCCTGCGAACTAGAGGATGCTCCCTGGTGTTGGTTCACTACGGTCGAATTGCCAAGTGGTACAAGTTGTGTTTCTTGTGGTGATGGACCCTCATCAACTGCAATAAAGCGTAGCTTGGGAGGACGGGCTGCACCACCTGTAGTTGAAGGTGATGGTTCCTGTACTATACTGTTGGTGCTGCTTGTTATGTTGTCTTTCTTGCTGGTGCCGGCGGTGCACGCCGTGCCTTCGAAAGAGCCATCTTTTGGCAGTTTTTCTGTATTTCGCGTAGTTGCCTCCCCTTTTTTCAATGTTGAGGACGATGTTGGAGATGTTCCGACAAGCTCGACCTCTACCTCCTCTAGTGCTTGTGCAAGTTCTGGCTCTGCTGCGTCGTCTTCATTGACTTTGTTGTTCTTGCGGGAGCGGGCAGAGTTCTTTTTGGCTTGTTTCGTTGTTGTACTCGGGTCTGTCGTAACAAGTCGTACAGAACCAAAACTTGGTATTTTGATACCTGTTACGCCAGCGCCGAAACTCGCTGGCGGAGTTTCTGGAGGGCGCTCGACGAGCGTCAAACTTCTACCTCGTGCTGAAGCTGAAAATGGCAAGTCGCTGTCATCTACTGACGCACCAAGTGGTTGCGCCGATCTTCCGTTGCTAACTACTGTGACAGCTTTCATTCCTCCTGTTTGAAAGTTCGGTAGCCGTACACCACCTATGCTTGGCACGCTCGCGCTGCCGTCTGGCGAACTGCCAACGGACGCTCCCCGCTGTCCCGCTCTCTGTGCCATGCGGCGATCAGCTACCCTGGTATCAAAGATGTCGCCACGCAAATCAAAAAAAGTCTCATCGTTGTCAGTCCTCGTCCCTGTAACCGTATCCACATTTGGGTCTTGAATAAGCTGTCCATCAGCAGAGGAGGAATACATGAAAGACTCGTTACGACGACCGCGCATCCTCGTCGACGGTGGGCACTCTGTTTCTCCCGGAGAAAGAAGCTGGAACTGCGAAATCTGTAATACGGAAAGCGCAGATTTTCATGATTGATTTCATTGTAGCTATGTATGCAGATACATCATCGGTTGACGAACAAGGTGCAATAACATATTGTAACCGAGGTGGCAACATGACAGCATGCACCGATACGTCATGCCGGACCAGAGTGGTATGATAATGGAAGTGGAAAGTCAGTAATTATTAAGGAGAAAGAAAAGAAGGGTATCTACTCAAACAATTAAACAATCTAGTAGAATAGCTACCTGACTTCCCTTCCCCCCCGAAAAAATCGCCTCGAGTCTTCCCGCCTTGGCACGGACTTCCGCCTCAACGGAACTCGCACGGTCTAAGAAAATTCGTCGTGTTTCGAGGGAATGGTCCGCCATAAATTGTAGTTGGTTGTGAAGTGCACGCACCTCGTCGTGCATACCAATCCCCTTGAAAAGATCGACTACAAGTTTGCCCTGCGGAATCTCTGACACAGCCCGTCTAGAACTGCCTTTGCCACGCGCAGAAGAGCCCAGAAAAGACCCAGGTGCAGCATTAACCGGATTGCTCTGCGCCATTGCGGCACTGAGTTCGCTCATTTGGCTGTTCGAGAGAGCGCCCGCTTTGAAAAACGTGTTCGGATCCATGGTGAGAACGTTCACATTATTCTCCCGATCTAAATACGTGGCAACAGTGTCTTTCAGGCTCAGCGGCTCGTATATTTTGATTGTAGATGAAGTTATCGGGGTCGTGCAGCTGTTTTTATTTGTAGTCTGCGTCAATTCCACTTTTTTCAGGGAAGTTTTGAGGTTAACCAGGAAAGCCCCGTCGGTGGCGTTTGATATTGCGTTGTCCATCTGCTCGACTGCTGAATGGTCCGCCGCAACACTGCTTTGGCGGCTCTCGGCGTCTCCTTGCTTGCCCCGCGCCAAATTGGGAAATTCAAGCAAGGGCGCTTCACCCTTGGTCCATCCGACATGCTTGGCTTTGAGGCTTTGGGGAATAAACGCGAGCAAGTGGCCAGTGTTCATGTCCATGTCCAATCGCGGCACTGGTCGATGCGGCACGTGCACGTTGCCGTCGTGGTCAAAGTGAAAGCCCGAGTGCGAGACTGGTGATTTGCTTGACGCAGTTGGATTTCTTGTCAGGTGCTCGCTCAAGGAATTCAAACTTACGTTCTGAGGACGCGTATTGATGTCGGACCCAGGCTGCCGCTCCACGCCCGATAACTGCAAACCTGTCGACAGAGCTGGTGCATTTAACTGTTTTTGAGATCGCAGCATGTTGGAGCGAATGTCCGAGTGACTCTGGACAGCAGAAGCTCGTCGAACTTGCACCGATCGAAGCGATCCCGAGGACTCTGAATTCGCACCTTCACCTCGGGTTTGATTTGCCCCTCGTCTGATATTCTTCCTCGTGTCTGGCCGTCCGCGATCAGTCCAACTTCCAGATAGCGATAAACGATTGTCCAATGTTTCGCAGTCACCCTCATTGGTATTTCCAAAGCGCACGAAGCGTTCCCGTCGTGATCTTTCTGAGTGCCGCGCAGCTACCTCACGCGCCAGCAAAGACTTCCAGTCCTGTTGGGGTAGCCTCTGTCCAGTAAAAGGATTCTCGGTCACGGCCATGAGATCATGATTGTGCGGCACGCTCTCCTCGCTTGCAGCTTGCGGAAAGCGAGAAGATTTCTCTAGTATTGTGGAGGTTGTGGCCTGCTCCGCTGCCATGGCATTTTCCAGGTTCAAGACAGGTACAATTGCAGGCGCAGCGACTGTTGCCACAGGGCTATTGAGATCCATACTGTAGGGACTCTCGTCTTCTTGCTGTCCTGCAATTTCCTGCGGCCCTCTGGATGCCCCTTTCGATTCTCCTCTAGGAGACGGAGCTGGACTTCTCGACGGTGTGCGACCGTAGCTGCTTGTGCCCACGCCTGATCCTAGTAAGGTGTCAAGATCCAAGTGCACACCGCGCGCACTTGATATGACTGCGTGATGTTCAGGATCTTCATCTACTTCAGGAGCAAAACCATGATGTTTTGGTAGAGCTAAGACTGGAAGATGCGGACGAGGTGTAGTTGTAGCATTGACTTTGGCACCTTCTTTATGTTTATCCTTCACCGCCGTGAGTTGTCCCATGAAGATTGACGACGAAGTACTCATATTTAGAACATTATTTGCATTGTTGTCATTTCCATCATGCTTTGATTCGACATTATGGTTTTGCAGTTTATAGTGTTCTAATTCTTCACGAAAGTGATGGCCCAAACCGGTACTTGTCGCGTGATGCCCCAAGCCCGAGCCGCTTGGAGTGCGCAAATGCTCTCGCTCTAACGCTGGGATGGATGTTGGTGGTCCGCCCTTGATCATCGTCTTCGAGGCACGCCGCTGTCGCATGAAAGTATCGATAATGTCCGTCGTGGAGTCCGAGCCTGCGACTAAAACCTCCTTCGACCGCGTGTGGGAGTCCTTATGAAATACGCTGTCTTTTGAGGGACCCGTACTACGAGCAGCACCTCCAGGAGGGCTAGTATTCTTCTTGTTCACAGGAAGAGGGGGGCTAGTATCCTTGTTTACTCTTTGTAAAAACAGTTGTTCAACCGTGCCCGCCTCACTCCGAGGAGAATTCATCTTAGACAAAGACAACGTGCCAAGATGGAACTCAGACGAGGACATCAGATAACCTCCTGCTGATGACATCACCATGTCTGAAATGTCAATAGCGCTAAGCAAGCTTTCCCCTTCTGTTTCCTTCGTAATATGAGCATCGCTGGTCGTGGCGTTGGGCGCGTTACGTTGCGCACTTCCCTTTGAGATCTTCAGTGGCAACATACCTGCAGCACTCCCTTTGCTACCAGCATGCTTCTGATCACCTGTTGAGGTGACGAAAACCGTGCTTTGTCCACCAACAGTGTCTGATACGAATGCTGAACCACGACCGCGAGAGCCTATTTCTTCCTCTTGCTGACTGGCCGTACAACTGCCGCTTATCCTGCGGATGGCCTCCACCGTAGATGTTGTTTCCAGCTCGTACGCATTCAAAACAGGCTTTTTCGCATTCACGCCAGTGGTCGCGTCAAAAACGATTCCTAAAGCCTTGATTTGCTCTTCATTCGAAATTTTTGGCTTTTCTGGTACCCGAGGCAGTTCGTGAGGGGCGCACCCGACCATCTCCAGCGCAGCTTCCTGCTCTAACGGCGATAGAGCAGAAAAGTTGTCATCCTGGACTTTCTTGTCCAAACGAGGACCCGGCGTCTGCCTGTTTTTGTTCATCGATTTGCTTCCAGAAGTATCATTTTTGTTACTGCACGCCCCGTCGAGCATATCCATGATCTCTTTATGCGCTTGAAAAATTCGCATATGAAGGGGCATCTCCGCAGCTGGATGCTCACTTCCAAGAACTCCATTTCTACCTGTAACAGCATGATCTTGTTCTGACGACCCCGATATCAAGTTCATATTTTCTGACAATGGCGCGTTTATTTTCGGAAGAATACCCTCTACTTCGCCTCCTCGTGCACCCTGTTGACGAGAGTCCGGCAGTAAGCCGCTACCTCTACCACAGATTTCACACCGGTGTCCATCATGGCCATCGTGGAAACAAGCTCCATGTATCTGCTTGCCACATCCGCTACATCGGAAACACTCCGGATGAAAGTGCGCCTCTTGCGTAGGATCCGAATCCAAAGGCGAAATAATCTGAAAAGAAGAGAAGGGGAGATGAGATGGCTAAGGAAAAGGATGAGAATGAGGTGATCATGTCATTTCCAAATCAAAGGGTTTACTCAGCGTCACCGTCATCATATATTAATTTTCGTTGATGAAATTGATAAATAAGATATATTTACAAAGAACATTCCATCTTCGACAAAAATATCGTTACTTAGACTTAGTGTTTATAGGAAAAAAGCATGTTAAGTTATTCCAAATCCAAAACTGAGACAAAAATCAATAACAAGCAAAAGACATCCCTTACCATTTCCCCTGATATGGCACCACCGCACACGCTGCAAGTCGGAAGGGCGCAACCTTCGCAGTAAATTTGGCCGTCTGGTGTTGCCACGTGATGCGTTCCCGTGATGATTTTCAAACAAGTGACGCATCGGAAACATCCGCGATGAAAATAATGTCCATTTTCGTGCACGATGTGTTCCACTTCATCTGTGTTAATGATGTGTTTGCACCGAAAGCAATAGATCACCTCTCCTGGTCCAGGACGTGCCGTTCTTGGAGTATCAATCTCGGAAGCTGCAGTAGATCCACCTAGACGAGGAGTCATCACACCCCCTGCAGGAGGAGCGAAAGGGAAGACCGAGGAAGACCCGGCATGATCTCTGGGGGTAGCACTGGCGGAGGGAGCCGCCGCCCTGGACATTTCTTCCTTGCTCGTCAAACGCCCCGCCTTTCCTCCTTTCCCTTCTTGCTTGCTCCCGAGAATGAGACCGAACATGCTTGCTTGGTCGTTCTCGTAACTGTTACTGTAAGGTACGCACCAGGTGGTTAAAGAGCACAGTAATACGAGAACGCTGGTGAAGGATCCAACAAAGATCTAGCTTAGACATAGAAATTAATCACAGACCGCAACTAAAAACTATCGATAATTGCAACGATTGTTTGATTAGAAAAAAAATTCAAAGATGTGGGGAAAAAATGAAAAGAGGATGAGGTCTTAAAATGATCGGAGCAAAGAATAGACAACGGGATCAAGCTATAAATTGAATGGAGCTGAAACATTAGTGAAAAGTTCTTGAAAGACAAATTATATTGAGAAAGAATATATCTCCTGAAATACAAAAGCAGCACTCTTGTTTTCCTACCAAAACACTCAAAACACATCCTTTTTACATAGCAGACACTTTTCTTGGAACTTCAATTCTTTTTCTTGGTCGACTCAACAGAGCACAACAAACAGACTTCTGGTGTGAGGCATAGAAAGATCCTGATCCATTATTCGCCAAGAACCTCTTCATGTTCATATCATATTATACTCTACTAAATACAGATTCAGAATGGACATCTATCATAACCGAGATCGCAGTGAAACATCTCTCTCGCAGACAGACGATGAAAACAGATAATCATAATCATATTTGAGTTTTCAAAATGACTCATTGTTCACCTCTCGTCAGTCAATCGAGCGTCAGATCTTGACATGTTTTCTGAAGAACGACGAAAGAGAAAGACTGCGCGAGGTTTCCAGTTGAGAATTCAAAGCTAACACAACAAGGGTGGATCTCTAAATGGCGAGAAGTTCCACGCGAGGTGTGTATGAAGGAACAAACCACTTTTGGTCTTGTTTGCTGATGTCCTTCGTTGGAACTAGTTACTCTAATGTTGATGTTGTCGTAGTCACCAGAATGATATATGTCCTACGTCTTCCTTCTACACCTTGAAGACCAGATGCTCTCCCTGAATGAAGGTGCTGATGGGTGCAGCAGTGTGTCAGCGCAGACTTTTTAGAATCCTCTTGCCGGTCCGTAAAAAGAGATGTGCTTTGCAGCCCCGAGACGCTTGCCGCTGAGTGCGCGAGCGCAGAGAAAAGCAGCCTGGGCGGTCCGAAAAGCGGCATATGCCACTCCAGATCGGACAACGTTGATGTCAACCAAGGCACTTGGATCTTGCGGTATACCTGTCTTCAGGAACTCCTTGAGTCCTGTGGGCGACTCTGGTAGGTTTACCACCAGGAGGCGAGTCTCTTCTCCGGCTTTCGTTTTCGACGAGTCTAGGGTTGATAAGAAAGTTGTCAGAGCCAGAGGTGGAGGTAGGAGATATAAAAATTGTCCCTCTAATATCATGTATCGAGTTGTGCTCATATTTGTTGAGAGAGGGTATGGCTTTTCTAACTGATTGCAGCGTAAAACCTCACGCTTTCCCCTTCTTCATGCCATTCCTCAAAAATGTCAGAGTAAATCTAAACTATATATTTATAAATGTCTTAAATAATACGTCCAAGGCATGGCTCCACATCGAGTTTTTCGTAGATTTCGCAGTTTTTTATTGACCCCACAGGTGCCTCAAAATGTACGGCAACGCCATCTAAACGTTTACAGCTCAATGCTCTCATCACATGCTCGCGGTCCCGCGGACTGCGAAACAGAACGAACAATGAAAGAGGGGTCTTTTGGAGGAATAAAATGTTTCGCGTGAAAAGAACTCTATCGGAATCGGGAATCCAAAACATCGAAAGCTAATATCTTCTTGTAGTTGGCCTTAGAATCCTAGAAACATACACATAGATACTTTCTACCTACTTAAAAACGTGAGTGCTTAGTATTCCTTTTCTCGTCTTCCGTCATGATGATGCTAATCTACTCGGCGATCTGCCTAAGATTTCCCCGACGACTTCTACCCGCTAATCTAGCTTGTTGTTGGGTTGTTGGTGGTCATTCGACTGCTCCTGATGTTTCTAATGTACCGCGGCAGTCTGCTGGTTTGCTATTACTTGTGACCAGGGGTTTCCGTCTAAGGCGTCTCATCTTCCGTCATAAACGAAACGAAGGCCCAAGCGTCGCTTTCGGCATTTCTTTGACGTCGATGATCGCTGTTGAGTCTCGAAGTCGCAGTGGCAAGCCTGTCTGTAAAAACTCACGAATTTTTGCGACAGTCCATGTCGCAGCATCACTAGTTGCATACATCCGACAAGGCGGAGACGGGCCAGTTTGATCGAAATTTCGAATCACCGCGTTCAATATGGCTTCACTCGAAACCGCCGCTGCGACCTTCGTCGTACTTCCATCCTTTCCAGGTGGAGCACAAGTCTCACCGGTAGAACTTCTCTTAGTACTACTCCGACGCGGCACCGGTACAAACGCGGCCTTACCTCCACCCGAAGATGAGGTTTCAACGGAAGATTTCGATTTTCGACTACTAGCATCGGCAGATGCTGACTCCTGTGCGGCTAGGTCTGCGGCACGTTTCGCCCATAGTCGCTCGGCAGCAGTGAAGTCGTAAGTAAGTACCCCGCAAGATACGCAAGTCTTCGCGCAAATACGACAGAGACAAACGAGACACTTCACCCATTGTGGACAAGCCTTATTCGATACGGATCAAACTTGCCGATGACTGAACCACTTCGAAAACAAATATCAATTTGAATCCAACAAATTTTGATTTCATTCGCAATAATTCAAATTCAATTTCAATCGAAGCATATTGAAAATCAATAATCTGTAACAAGTTCAACATTTTTGATCAAGGTATCAGACACACAAGACACGCACGTCCTTTCATAATTAAATATGAACATCAGCTTAAAGTATTTTACTAGTACGGAGGGAGGACTGCATAATATCATGTGCCATCACAAGAATTATATCGGGAAATGATATACGACCGACTTACACTGTGCTGCCAACCAAAGGCACCTTTACTGTACCGCCAACGACAGAACACTCAATTCAACACGGAGATCGGTGCGATCGAAAAGACTGAAACCCAAGGGTAGATGCAATCCCAAAAATTCAGAGAAACTTGGTTTCCTTCGACACAAATGCCAAAATAAGAACTTGCGTAATGAATTCTACAAGTTTGGTGACAGGGGGGTGACGAGTGGGGTTATGGCTCTGCATTCATACGTCAGGCGTTGGGACAGGGTACAATTCTGCCTGGTGGGCGCGGTGTTACATCATTTTTGGATACAGCAGGCACAAATCGGAAAAAATATGAATCTACGTGACGAAAAGGCGGTGTTGTTCCAGGTTCAAATATTGCCGCGGTTTCAGCTGCTCTACTTAATTTTCACATCATCATTGCAGACGCTCTCGACGTCTCTCCCTGTAGCAGAATAACTACGTGTACAACATAGAAGATACCACTCACAGAAAGATTCATGAGAAACGACCATCGCACTGCTCATTCAGATAACGAGTTTTCCAACGTTATCGAGCTCTAGAACTAGAAGATACTTGTACATGTACTTTATTTACGAAATAATAATCCTGACGGTATTTGCGCAATAAATCTATTGAATTTCGGTTTTCTGCGGAAAAGAAAATTACAGCGCTTGCGCGGTTTGCGTTTGAAAAAATCAATAGAAGACTTCGACACAATATTATGAAGACACGGAAAAGAAAATGAAATCACAAGTGGGACTTCTCAGCTGCAAGCGTGGAACAACCACACGGCAACATCACCACCACAATATCATGCCCTATAATCCGACAAGGCGCTGCAAAACTACAAATGCACATATATTCAAGAGAGCTGAGAAGAGGTTTCAAACTTGTCGAAGAAAACTAACAGTCATTTACATTTTCGTTATGGTACATGTTCTTGTTAATTGCTAGGTCAAGGAAAAGGCCTACTTAATTCATTTAGAAAGCCGGCACAATTTTTGCACCCGGCGGAGGCGGCCCGATAAATGGCCCGATCAACCTACGGGCCGGTCTCGTTAGAACGTTTGTTGCAAACACGCTTGCGGAACTCGTTGCCTCTTCTGTGCCCGTGGGTGAGTGACCTCTCTTCTCCAAAACGCCTTTCGTCGACCCACGGCGCAGTGGCGCTTTGCTCCGTGGCTGCGGGCTCGGAGTTTGAGTCACATCGTCCTGCTGCTCCTCTTGGTCTTGCTTAGTACTGCTACCCTGTTCCTCACCACGAGCCCCACCACGAGATGAATGTCTTCTGTGTCGTCGACGAGTGGAACCGCTTCTCAATCGAGCGCTTCCATGCATGTCCTTCCCCTGATTACCACCAGCACTATTTTCGGCATCATCTGCACCAGAACCAGCACGATCATCTTCATCGCTTATTTCGGGGCTTCCTCTGCGGCTCCGAGAAGAGAACTGCCCAGTAGCAGGGGCCCGCTGGCGCGAGGCGGTGGTGCTCCGCGAAGAGAGTGCCTTTCTGCTGCTCGAGTTACTCGACCCAAATCCTTGTTGTCCGCTTCTAAATGCAGTCCTGTGTTCCTCTGCGTCCGCTAATCTGTGGCGCCCTCGTCCACCGTCTGCTGCGTTGTCCGCCTCTGCCTCGTTCATTTCCTCTTCATCAAAGCCCTCATCATAATCTTCGAAGTGCCGCTTTGAGCTCGTTGGTTTTCCACGGTCCCGACTTCTGTTGGAGCCCTTCGAGCGTCCCCGAGACCGCGCACCGCTATCGCCACGATGACTATCGACGTCCCTACTTCCGCCACCAAAAGTGAACTCACTACGATAGGAAGAACCAGATGGCGGCTCTCCTCCGAGGACACCTTCCCGCGGTCGCGGACCACGATTATTGTAGTATTCGTTTTCTAGTAGGTCCTCTTCGTCCCCTGAAGATCCAGTAATGTCGCTTTCGTCATCAAATCTACTTCGAGCCGTCCTCGAAGTCCTTCTACGTGGTGAAAGACTTCTTGTCCTATGTGTTCGACCGCTTGAGGCGCCTCCACGGTAAGAGGACTTACTTTTTCGTCGTTTTTTGCGACCTCTCGAACGCGAAGAGCTTGCGAACTGGTGCTCATAGTCGCCATGGTGTTCGCCAGGAGCGCCATTCATAGCCGCCATATGCTGCGCAATCTCGTCTGGATGCACAGAATTCGGATCGACTTCCTGGAAGAGCCTTCCGTCGGGCGCAAAAAAGGTTACTCCTCCATTAATGTGATCTGCTGGTGGAAGCTGCTGGTGGTGATGTTCCGAAAACACTCTACTTTCGTGATGCTGATCATAAGTTGGACTCGGTGTCGGACCCAAACCAACTCTACTAGGGCCGCCACGCTCGCGATCCGCAGTGCTCTTGAATGTTGAGCTTGTCACATTGTAGTCGTGCGGAGGCGGTCCAGCACCAGGGTGGTATTGTGGGTGCACCCGCGGGGTACCCTCTGCTGGAGGTTCCGCTTCTCCATGATCATAATGGTATGGGCCAATACTAGTTGTATGATGCTCAACCGTGTGAGGTGGAGCGCGGTCGTTTTCCCACTGTGCCGAGCTTTGCAGCCAATGCCCGCTTGTGTGCGGATACCTAGGTTCCGCAGGACCAGCGCGTGCGTACTGTGGAGGTTCATAATGCTGCTGATGAGAGGGTTGATACGCAGCATGATGCGAGGACGATGAAGCATGTGGTGGAACAGCCTGCAGTGGGGACGCACGATAACCGCCTACGTACGAGTGCTGGTGATGCGGGTGCAAAGGAGAAGGGAGTGTTCTTGTCGTGGTAACCACCTCTTCTGTTGCGTACCTATCTGTAGGGTATGGTGGTTGTACAGGCGGCGCGGCCGCTACATCTTCCTCGGGAGGAATCTCAGACGCGAAATTCGTCGCCGGTAGTCGCGGATAACGGCGGTGTGATCGAAGGTGCTCCGGCGGAGGCACGGCACGGCTATCACTCTCAAATGTGCCGCCGTTCATCCGCGGCACGGGTGCCTCACGTGCAACGGGCGGCTGTGGCTGGGCGGTCGTTGTCACAGTCGTTTCTTCGTACACTGTTTGTGGAGGGTGGTGCGGCTCCCCAGAGCTCATCGCGTCTCTACCACTATGTTGGGCACCATACTCAGGCGGGTACCGCCTTGGCCCTAAGCCCTTTGTTCGTGTTTGCTCCGACGACACTGGTACAGTAGCCTCCCGTGAAGGAACAAAGCTGTGGCTATGTTGATGTAAGGTCGCTGCAGAAGGGCCGCAGCGAAATGATGGCGCCGCCGCCTGGCTGCGTTCATCCTCCCTGGTCGTCACCACGAGTCGCGGCGGCGCCGAAGCAGGTGGGCCCCGGGCCCCTCTTAACGGTTGTTCTTCCGTGAGGTATTCACTCCGGAAACCGTTAGTAGGCGGAGCTGGACCGGTGGCAGAATGAAAGACGGGCGGCCGCTGCGGCACAGCAGCGGTTTGAGGCAGTCTCTCCTTGCTGGAAGTGCTGTTGTATGAACCAGATGACCATCCTGGTGTCCGCGGAAGCGGTCGTGTGGCTGTCCGCGTCGTGGTCGACATGACCTCGCGGTGCTCCTGTCGAGGTCGTGGAGCTAAAGTAGGCCCGCTCGTAAACGTAGTTGACTGGTAAGTCTGAGGTCGCTCGTCCCGTTGCGGCTCGTGGTCGTGGTAACTGTTCACATGCAGAGCATGCGGTGCAGCCGCAACAGAAGGCTGCGAGACTTCAAACGATTGCGTCCGCTGTGGCAGCATGCGTGTGACTTCCTCCTTTACCGCGTGCTGTGGCGCTACAGTAGTGATCTGGTCCACGCCGCTCTCATGGACCACTTGCTGCGTCGATCGCGGCAGTGATCTGACCTCAATGCGTTCACTTTGAGCACTCTGCGGCCGCTCCTCGACGTGACGTCGCGTACTGTGAAATCCACCTCCGCCAGTGGCTAAGGGCCTCGTTGTTGTTGTCGTCGTCACACTCCGACTGAATGCGTCACTAGGCGGCGGAGCAACCGGTCTACGAGTTTCGGTTACCATGTGTTGTGGCTCCACAGCTTCATAGTTTGGCCGCAGAGCGTCTGCCAAATTCATTCTGGTTGTCGCTGAGTGGGCCCCGGATCCGATTGGTATCGCCCTTTCTTCGACTGTAACATGTGTGGTACCTCCACCATGGGTAACAGGCGCCGCCTCTCGCCGTGCAGAGGTCGTGTAAGTGGGCGATTGATGAAAGCCAGACACTGGCGTTGGCCGCGGATCGTTGTAGCCTCTGGTGTATCCCTCTTCTACCGCAATCCTATCGGAGCTTGCTAGCCTCGGTCTCTCTCTTTGCACATTCATGCCACTAGTGGTATCGTAACGAACACTGCTCGAAGACAGAGCGTCTGGGGTGTTGTAGTTCTTTCGCGGCAGTGCAGGGTCGCGCTCCACAACGTAAGTCCGCTGCACTATTGGAGCTCGGTCTGGTACAGCACGCGAGCTAAACGTAGTCATATGCGCAGTTGCACTGGACGGCGCCAAATTATGATCGTTTTCCGCATGTTCGCGTTCAATGTCCTGGAAGTAGCTACTCGGTATCGCTTCGCGTCTGTCAAAGTGCGTCGTTGAAAGGATAGGTCGTTGTTGCGGACACACCTCAACTCTGCGCGTTGTAGAAGACGAACTCGTACTCGTATAGGGAGCAGGTTGGTTCTGTTCTTGTTCTTGATGTATTTCTCTATCGTGGAGTCGTGGAGAGCTACGCAAAAACGGAGGCTGCGACTCTGGCAAAGTCGTTGTTGCACCCCCTCCAGCACCAAGATTACGAGGTCGATGAAAATTCGTGGTACTCGACGCTGGCATCTGTGTTGCCGTTCCCCCAGCTGTTCCTAGAGGACCGTGATTTCGAATTGAGCTCTTCGAAGTAGTAAGTTGCTGGTGTTGCTCCCGTGATCCACCTCTTCGCGACGATTGCAGGTAATCGTACTCTTGTCCACGAATTTCGGTGGTTGAGGTTGAAACCTCCTCCACTACAGGACGCATCACGAAGCTTTCGGGTGGTGCAACGACAGCGTAATGGGCGCAGCTAACGGTTCCGCGGCTACCCGTTGCAGGCACGTGACATTCTCCACAGATCGGCGCTTTCGTCGTCGAGTTCAGGTAGTACTGGCTCCCACCTGATAAATGATTGTAGAGAAAATAGTTACGTGCCTGTAGAAATAGCAAGTGGCAGACCCACAGCCTACTTGTCTGAACATGGAGCAAAAAATCAATGTCCACCATCGGCTTGGTATCAAGAGGACAATCAGACATTAGAGCTCACATAATCTTAATCCTCAAGGAAATTTTACGATATAATAATTTTCTTTATATTGCCATCAATGCAATCCTCAAGGCAAATATCCTACTTTATATTAAGTACCATCAATGATTTTCTTGCATCGATCGCAGTGCGGGTTCGCGCACGAGCGGCACAAGAACCCATCCTCCCCGGCTTTGTACTTGTGTTGTATGGAATGCCCGCACTTTATACACCGTAAGCATTGCGTATGGAATTTCAAATCCACACCTTCTGGGGTCCGCGCGACGCACACCGTCCCCAAAATTAGATTGCGGCACTGGTGACACTGCGGTAACGCGCACTCTAAACACTGCGGTCCGTCCTCAGTCGGCTTATACTCTTCGCTGTCCACCTGTTGTATAAGTTCGATTAAGTCACTGTCGAGTCTAGCTGTGAGGACTCAGGATGACTTGGGCTTAGGGATTCACTTTTTGGACCCGGAGGACCTGGTGAATACTGATAAAAGTATGATATATTCATTCTCAAACTACTCGTAATACAAGAGATACATACCTGTTTCCCACAATCAACACAGAGGAAGCACTCCTCGTGGTATCGATCGCCCGAAAGACCTTCAATTACAAACGGCACGCCGGTTGGTATGCCGACACCGCAACTGCGGCAAATGTTACTGTCTTGATCTGCTTCCCTCCTGTCAGCGACCCCATTCACGTGTCTCACTGCTTGTCCGCTCCCGTCACTAGGACTCGGCAGTAGCTTGTCACCTCGTGCTCCACCGCGCACAGCACTAGCTGTGCTGTAGTTGTTCATTATCCCGTTCCCATCACCTGCACGACTGTGGTCACTGACAGGACAGCCGGAGCAAACCACATCGTGTCTACTTGATGTCATCTTAGTACTGTTCGACTTGGATCTTCGGCTTTTACCCACATCTACGGACCGCAATAATTCGTCTTCTTCGTTTTCAGCTGTGGCTGCATCATCAGATTCGAAATTCATATAATCTTCGCTATTCGGAGGTTTTGCGCCGCTTCCACTCAATCTTGTGGCCAGAAGAGCATCGTCATCGTCTCTGTGTTTATGATCTGCGTATCTGCTACTGGTGCTTTGCGTTTGTGTTTGGTCATTTCTTCTTCTTCTGGAAGTATTTGCTCGTCGTGGATCTTTGTTCGTCGACTCTCTTCTTGTTGTAGTCAGCATTTTGCTGTGGTCTTGCTTGTTTTTTACCTTCGTCGAGGAACTGGCATTTCCATTTTTATCGTTCTCGTGGAACAAAGTCGCCCGACTACCATCGCGACGCATGGACGGCTCATCGCCTGGTGATCCTTGAATGAACGAGTGCACGCTACGACTAGCCTTCACAACGCGCTTCGAGCTCGACGATGCGGGCTGCGGGTGTCTTGCCGAAGTAGAGCCCGAAGACGGCGACGCACGATCTACTGTTCCGGCACCTCCTCCTCCAAGATGCTGGGACGACAGCAACATCAGATGCGAAGTATGTGATGAACCGTCGCTGCTTCCGCGAACCGGAACTGGACGAGGAAACCACTTTCCGCGGCTTGTCGTAGCACTGGTTTGGCCATTGATGGCGCTAGAACCGCTACCTACGCCGCTAGCTGGCGGAAATAGTAAAGACGGCGTGTCGCTGTCTTTCATCATATTCATCGAAGTTACACCTCCACCGCCTCCTGAGGAACTTGCACCACCTCCAAAAAGGTCGTAAGTGTACGTTGAGGTCGTCGTCGCGCCAGGGACTGCCGCAGCACCCATCAAAGACATTCCACTGCTAAAAGGGTTATGCTCCTCGTCTTGACCGTTCATTTTCCTATTCTTTGTGTCCGGCTTCGTGCTGAGATTCTTAGTCCTCTTACTTGCTCCACCAACATCGAGGCCAAGCCCAGGAGGATCTGTACCGCTCGACTCTTCTTGGGAGGAAGAGGAAGCGACCACACCTTCAGGTACCGTTGACGAGGATAGACGTCCGGACAGATGCGAAGACCCCGTGGGGGACATCCTTCAAAACTAGAAAAAGATATTTATCGAATTGATTCTAATTCTTATTGAATCTTGTCGACGATCTAGTGACTTACAGCAGCTTCTAGTTCTACCAAATCGTAACTCAACCTAGATGAAGAAATGAAGCAACGAAAGCAAGCTCAGGACGAAGTTACCGAGACTGACGAGTTAGTAAAATTACATCACATGTGGAGACCGATGGCTATAGATTACAGCAAAACTATCAAACACGCTACTAGAAGTTTTGGTAGGGGGACATCGTGCTAACTTACCCTATTGCCTACTTTTCTACACCCAATGCCTTCTAATTTTGACATTGGAAGACTATGCCTATGAGTGACCGTCGAAACTAAAACCTTTACAACAGACACATTTCCCTGTTCCCGTCATCTCTTTTTAGATGACCCATGTTTTCTTTTTCTTCAATTTTTTCAGGTGATGGAATTGACGTCGTGACTGATGATGATCGACGCACGGCCTACAAATCAATGCAGCAACGAAGACCTCATCGTAGCCAGATTTTTACCACCAGCGATAAGACAAACTGCACAAGCCCGTCGCATCAAGATTTCTACAGACATCAAGGTGTGATCTTTTCAGCTCCTACTACCGTCAGAGTGGCGTAAAAGCAAGTACCGAGAAAGAGTCCTGCGGAAAACCTGCCCGCACGGTTCGCAACCTCCCGTTTGCCGATGTTGTAGTACTTAATTTAAATAGTTCCAAGCAGTTGTCCAACGATCCTTGTTCTCTAATTTTTTCCACTAGGTAACCGAGTGGTCTATTTACAAAAGCCAATATTGTCGCGATGGACAACATTCTTACACGTGAACGGACGCGACGGTGACAACATGTTCTTGAGAAGATTAGATATACATAGCTGCAAAAACATTCTTCTACATCACGAGAAATCGAGGATCTTTGTTTTCGTGTGACTTCAACATTTGTTCTTGGCAGGTGGAGCGGTCAATGACATTCATCGTCTGCAGCGAAATGAAGGCAGGTCTCGTCATGCGTTACCTCACATAGCTCTTTCTTTCTCGAAATCAACCTTCAGACTTCTTGAGATCGTTTTTTTTGTCACCAAGTACGAAAACTACAAGATGGATGTTCATTCATTTCGATGATCGGATAAACATAAACCTAGTAAAACAGCATCATAGGTGAGGCAGATACTACAATACTCAACCAAGAAGTGCCGAAGCTTGTTCTTACTCTTTCGAGGGAGGTCTACCCCCCCGATGGAGCTCGAGGATCGACAGTTCTTGTCCTCACCACATAGACTTTACGAGAATCTCCATTTTCATCAATTTGGACAATCCATGGAGAAGCACGATTTCAAGAGAGAACTGCTGTCGTTCTCATAGCTAGTAGTCGTGGACTCGTCCGATCGAGGAATCTAAAAAAATGTAAATGTAAATTGTTTGGTACTAGTACTCAACCTTTTCGAGTTTCTTTTTTCTTAGGTAGGGGGGCTCTACAACAAGTACTAGTACTGTTCAATTCTTAGAATTCAAATAGATAGTAAACCTCTGGGGTACTTTGGTAATTACTTAGTATCACAAATAATAATGTGGGTACGAATTTTTGTGACTTCAATCTTAAGCGAGCGCAAAACTCATGTTTATTTATCTATCATCATGTCCACTCGAACAATCATCTCAATCGAGATTTACTATGATGTGTAGTCATCGATATAAGGATAGCAATGCGAATGCTAAACTATCTAATGATTCAAAAGTATTCACAAACTCTTGCTTCGAATATTTCTGGTGCTCCTGATAATACCTATGTATACCTAAATAAGTTTTTATAAAAGAGGAGCTGAAGGATTCTAGTGGGGGCATTGTTACCGGACCGCCCCTACGTCCTCTAGTGTCTAAAAGCAATAGTTCACATCGAGTCGTGGGGAGCTCCAGCATGAATGTTAAATGGACACGAAAAGGCGCATGATCTTCAGGCGGTAGGCCGTAGGTCGTCGTCCGCGCATGAGCTTCAGGTGGTAGCCCACGGGTCGTCATCCATCGCGGCATCATCGGCACCCAAGCCTAAATCCGCCAGATGAAAGGGGCACAGTGCAGAGAAGTGTCGCAATAGAAGAAATTGAAATTCGTCTAACGAGTATCATGTAGCGTGGACTTGGACAGGAAGTGGTGCTCTCTGCAATGAAGCTGTTGCCACACGCTCTAGTGCTGGCTAGCCTCTGGATCTCCCAGATAAAAGGTGTGAGTCTTCAATACCTCACATAACTTTCGGCGCCACCTCCACCGGGTGTGCGCTCGGCAGCTTGATTATTAACTGGCGTCGTTGCTCGCGGGGTGAGAGCGCCATCCGACGCGGGCCGCGCAGTTCCGTTCGCTCCTTGACGGGTTGCCGCGGTCGCCGGGTCTCTTGGCAGGATCAAATTGCCGAACTCGCGTCTGAGCATCCGCACAAAATAAAATGCCACATTCATCAATCTTCCCTGGGGTGTCACTTCCAAGGACGTGTGACGCGCAAAAGCCTTGCTGCTCATGGCATGCAAGTCCAGAAGGGTAACCAACTCGGCCGCCTTCTGCTCTATGCACACTGCGTAGTTCTGAAAGGTCTCCTGGCATAAGGCTGCGCGTGGACCCTTGCAGGATATGAGACGCTCAAACATGCGATGGTACAACTCCTCTTTCCACGATGTGGTTATGATACCAAACGCATCCACATCCAAAACGGCCATAATGGCTGCAAAATCGAGACCCATCCATTGCGAGTGAAAAGTGTTGTACACTTTCTCCTGTTTTGCCCGCTTCGCGCTCTCCCTCTGCGTCTCCTCACGCAAAATATGAAGAAAGTCGTGGTCGCGGGCGTAGGAACAAAAAGAAATCGAAGTCTCCCGATATTTATACACATTCACTGACATGCTTTAATATGATCATGATCACGGTCTTCGGGTCTAGGGGCTTCTGAATAAATTCAAATTCCAAATAGAAATATCCGCCACTGATATCAAGAGGTACAGGTTCCGTTTCATAATTTTTGGCCGCAGGGTCGTTCTGAAAAGGTGGTGGCATCTTCGAAGTGAGGTCACAAAGGTCGTCAATTTCGCACAAAGTGTCTGCGTAATTTTCAACTTCGGAAAACTCTTGCAAATACGTCGAAATACCACGGCGACAGAGCGCTTTCAGAAAGCACTGTCTTGCCCTGACCCATGCTTCATCTGTTCCGCTCACATACAATAATGTCTTGGCAATCGAAAAAAAGTCACCTGATCATGGCAAAGCGTCGGGGAGAAAATAAGAATAGAGATGAACTATAGATTCTAATCAGTCTTCGTTCTAATGCATGGGTGAATAAGAACGACAAGGACCTCCATCTTCAGCCGAATTTACTACAGACACTGACACACATCATATGCTAAAAAGAAGTACGGCTCTGTTGCAGCTTGACGTCGTCTAAACCCGCAGCGAAGGCCAAATCCAGCTGTTCAACAGTCGCGGTTGCTATGAGGCCTCGGGGTAGCGGCGTCGAGGTGGACGAACCACCAGGTGAACTAGAGGTGGGGCTTGTCGCTGCTGCACCTGGATCTTTGTGGGGATCTCGTACGCGAGGGGGCAGCGCTGGATCCTGCTCGGATGATGCGGTGACGCTGGCGCTCGAAGCGTTCGTCTGCCCAAGTGCAAGTGCGCTGACATCGGCTGCGCCCCCGGCTTCTTCGGTGAGGATTGAGACCGCTTCGCGGTAGTTGTGTAGAAAAGCGTTGAAAATGTGAAGAAAGAGCTCCGTCACGGAGCGCATGCACCTGAAATGCGTATGGGCCTCGAGGTCCTTGTTAGTTGTGTTCTTATGGTCGGTCAGCAAATTGTCGAGAAAAAAAGCCATTTCCGGTAGCAAATTTGACCAGTAGACGTTCTTTCTCCGCCGTTGCACCTCCGTAAACACCGGCCTCCTGGACGAGCTGGCCGCCATCCCAGGCATTGGACTTGACGGCGCTGGGTGTGCGACATCCAGTTTTGACGACGTGCTTGACGACGTTCCTCCTTCACCTCCAAGAGGTGCTGCGCCTGCGACGACACTCTCCCGTACTTCACCCGCACCTGCTGAAGAAGAAGATACCCCAGCAGTCGCTGATACAAAACTAGCGGTCCTAGTGGGCAGTTGCTGCTGCGCCTCTGCTTCAGCTGCAGAACCTGCATCTGCGAGCGAAAGCGTACTACTGGAAGCTGCTGTCGATAAGTCGGCGACAGAGGAACTGCTTCCCACTGCTGTGCTCCCTTTTGCTGGAGCCAACACCGATGAGCGGGGACCCGCAAGCGGCGACGCTAAGGTGCCGGAAAGGTTCGAAATCGTCCGTACTAGACCTCCACTGCCATTTGTGTTGCTATACACCATTTTTTCAAGCCCGTACCACACTGGAGCTTCACGGCTGCGCGCCTCACTCAGCTTCATGTCTGGCGATACTGCCACCGCGCCATATATGAAAGGAAACATAAGGCATTTTAACTCAATCATACCCGAAGCCGCACGACCCTCTAAACTCCTAGATCATCTACCTCCTCTGTCTGGTAAAAACACGTCTACGGTAGATGTGTTTTTACCCAAATCAGGTGCTTTTACCTTCCAAAATCGCAGCTGCGTTTAACCATGCTGGGACCTAGATCTAATCAAGTATTCAAAAAGGGCCACGCTTACCTGCGAAATGTCTGCGTATGTATGAGTAACAGTAATGATGTTCTAATCGTAACATTGGCGTCGATACTGCAACCGGCAACTGTGACGGACCCGAGGCTAACAGATGTCACGTCACTGCATTGCGTGAATACGGCAACCATCGCTTGACAAGAATCGTATATCATTGACCACTCAGTCAAAAAATCCTTTCCGGTTCCCCAGGTCTCCAAGCGAGCTGAAAAAAAAAACAATAAGCCATAGGCCAACAGAGGTCTCGTGAAAACTCTGCCTCTAAGTATACACCAAGGACAATTTTAGTTGTAAGACCAAGAAGTATCAAAATGATGTCATATGTCTCCGATCTGACCTACCAAATCAGCTTTGAGACCAGACCCAAATGTCCGTGTCGTCCACCTTAAAACCACTACGTACTACCATTTGATGTTGTTCCCATGAGGAAGAGGAATGCGACTATTTTTCTTATTGTCATTATATTACACGTACTTACATAATCTATAGCCAAGCTGATTATACTCTCATGTTAAGAATCAAAATTAATAGGTCTTGTTTAGTCGAGTAGACCTGTCCTTCATGAGTACCTCCGCCAACGCCCTGACCACGTGCACTGACATATCTTGGGTCTTTGGGAACTCTGTTGTCGAAATCACTTTCTACTTCGCGTTCCATCCCACTCTCGAAGAACTCCCTTTGCTTTCTCCTTTTCCACGCATTGCTGCACATCCACCAGGAATGTTCCTCCGCAGAAGAGCCGCGAATGAAAGAGAAGAAAGACTGACAGATGGGGTCGACAATATTTCATAAAATTAAGCTGCCATCTCTTGGACCTGCTGAAGGCGTCAAGAAATTGTCTCAAGAATGAATACGACTTGTATACATAGAATCGATATAGAATGAATACGACTAATACGAAGCACCACGATAATATTCACATGCACAACCGTGACTTAGTACGTAGATACAACACCAAGAATCCAATAACCTAAATACTACTTCTAAATCCACTTACAGTACGACGAGCAAAGCTTTACACTTCCATAACTGCATTGTCTCGGTGATTCCTCCTGCTTGGCGATGACACCATCAACAAATATTTATATAGGCGTCGACCATACCTGAGAGACGTTGGAATCGAAGATAAACTGGAACTAGTTCTAGTCGTATGCTTCATCATGGACATGGACATCGCCATGGGCTTATCTTATTTCAAATTCAATCATTCCGTACTAGTAAGATTAGTTTCACGGCCTGCACCTGCTTGTAAAGGCTGATCTGTACTAGTGAGGGATGGATCTGAATATTTCATTTGCTTATATATAAGATGAAGAGCCGATAAGAGAAATGATAATACCCAACTGCGTCTAAAATCTCGCGCATAGGCCTGTACACGAGTGCTGCGATCCGCAAATTCGCGAACGGATCCTGTTCGAGTATTAGAGACTACAAGTTCCTCGGGAGGAGTATTTTTCCGAGTCTATAGTGGGAAGGAATGTTCAACAGAATTTTTCGAGACTGCCGCATGTTTGAGGTGGTGGGTAGTTGTAGTTATCAACGTGCCAAAGAGTACTTGAGCGTGTCTCCACAACTACAACGTCTACTGTTCTTCATGTTTTACCACGACCACATGGGCAAGAGAACTAGGAAAACCCCCTGAAAATCTGTTTCACAAAATCAGCAAACTAGTACTAATAGTGCTTAAATGCTACTTAGGTCCATACATTGTCCCCTCTGTGATCTTGTTCAGTCTCTGCATGTAGTGTCGGACCACCAAATATGCCCCTGTAAAAGCCACGAAGACTGGCCTTTTCTGGATCGCCACCGGAAGCGTCCAACATTGCACGCCAATACTCCGCAGAAGTGCCTACTAAATGACAGTCGGCGGCTGAGTAGAAAAAAAAGGAACAGAAGATGAGTGGGCATATATTCATATTCATCTATACATACAAGAAGTTGCTAGTTCAAATCGATCCGAATAAATAAAGCCAGTGCAGATGTTGTTGCGGCGGGCACATTAAAAATTTTGAAAATTAAACTTTTAAATTCAACGAAGTTGTAATCTACCTCACCAGCGGCCTTACAGTAGACTTAGTCAGGTTTCACTTACATTTGTTCAAGATTCAAAGCAAAGGAGATCAATACGGCCTAGGCTTTGCCAACCGCGGTCAGCCTGCTCCCCAGGAAATCTTGATAGGAAATTCTTCTCTTGCTTCACAAAGTCTGTCGCTGGTTCCACTTTGTTCACAAGTTCATGCCTCTCGGAGCCTGGAAGTAAAAAAGTACGCCACCAGCGAAGATATACCTTTGTTGATTTCTTGTGTTTGTCAAGTATGAATATGAAATACTGCTCCCTGCTAATACTAATCCTAGGCATGTTGGTCATTTTCATTCACAGGTGATCAAGTAGATTAATAGTAATACTACTTGTGGTACTCAGTCAGAGAAACTCAATAAATTTGCAGTTATTCCTAAGTACTCGTTATTTCGAAGCTGAGACTTGGTGGCACTTCTTCTAAATGTAACTTACAATGTTAATTGTAGGAGTCTCCTTTCTGGTGGTCCACGACCACATCTCGGGGAAACCTTATTTACCATTTCTTTTCTTCGGCTACAAAGGTAATTCTGGTTATCTCGCAGTAATAAATCTAGTTAGCAAACAAGCAGCTCAAAATAATTCTAGGTACAAAAACTTTGCTATATTCGGGTCCACATATATTGGAGCACTCCTTCATCGCCTGGAAGGTATTCAAAATTGGAAGGCCGCTCTTTTTATCCACTTTTGGTGATGCCGTCCAATGCCCCCATAGCGGCAAAGGACCACTCTGGTGCGCATACGTTAACTCTTCGTCCCGGATGATCCGCAAAGTCAACGTGCGCGGATGCCGACTGGAATTCAAAAAGTAAGTTCTATCTAAAGGACTCATCAATGAGTTGTATATATTATTTATAAATATAATGAGTTCACGTTCTGGTACTAGTTTGTGACGAATGCTTACGCCTGTGATGATACTTACGTCGACGTCCAGCTAATCGCATTGCAATCATGATTATCAGAATGGCGACATAGGCCGTCCTCGTGAGGTCAAAGTATACTTTTCTGCATCCGCTCGCTCCGTAGTCGCATCGCTCATATGAACGTCCGAAGTACTGGATGCCGACCCCGGCCTCGTGTTCAAGCCTGAATCAAACAAATTAATAGATTTAGATCATGAGAAAACGCGTCAAAGTCAAAGTGTGACTTACAATGGCAATACTAGTGTAAAATCTTGTTCACACGACCTACGCCTCCAATCTGCTGCACTCTTTTCAAGGTATCAAAATTCCTACATGTATCTATTACCGTTGCCAGCTCTTGTCGAGAGGGTTGCTTCCGTATTCGCAGGATAAAATCGGTTGAACAGCCTGTGCGTAGCTTGTGCGATATTTCCGACCTAATACAACAAAATACATCGTGATGATACAGAATAGAAAAGCGGGGCCCTTCCTGCTGCATGAACCAGTTTCCATACCATAATCATCCCGAGGCTGAGGGAGCCGTAATACTTCATAAAAAGAAAGGAAAAGATGAAGTACTGCATAGGAGCTTTTCTGATTCGCTACTGCTCCTTCCTCTTGGTCTGTCTTCGTGTCTGGCTCTTCCTGGAGTCGACTCCTCTTTGCTGTCCGGGCTTCATGGTCGCCGGCCGTGGAGGAGGAGAGCGAGTCCTCCTGTTTGTTTTGCTCCTTTTTTTCGGTGTCTTCTGCTTTCGCTTCCTCCCGCGATTTCAGCCATGGGCATGTGCCTCTATCGACGGCGGACGCATAGGACGTCCCAAGGCCCCTCGACAGGCTTAGAGCTACCGCGTTCGCATCCCTGTCCACATCCTTGGCGTCTTTTTTCCCTTGTAGGAAAATGGCCAAGGATGATGCTGAGGATGCCGATGCTCTCTTGGTTATCTTAACAGACTGCTCTCTGACAACGACTTCCCATCTTTTGAGGTCACCAGCGATATTGCGAGCTGTGGAATGCCACGCACTTTTTCAAGTTCCAACTTCACATCTTTTTCTGCGATAACCCACTCCTTGAAGTCACTCGATGCGTGTTAGAGTATGCATGATGGTGTCAACTGAATCGATCATCAACGAAACGAACTGTTGGTGTGAAATATTGAGGGTGCTTTTAAAACTCCACAGAAGTGCCATGTTGCAAGAACCGCGAGTAGAACTAGAAGTGCATCATCAAGTAGAAGATGCTAAAACGCAACGACTTTTTCATCTAAATAAACTTCATACGTTACGTATATTCGGGAGAATCAACATCAACAACAACAAATGTATTAATTCTTTTTCGTGAAAATAGTGAAACTACGTCTACCTCCACGGTAAAGCAGAATTTAGCTACATAGTTCATAACTTCCACTATTGTCTCTTGTTTTTTGCGCTCGTATGCGAGAATCCTGAGCGGCATTAGGACCAAACTCTAGCCAAAAGGTTTCTCCTGATTCCGCGTCATAGATAGGCACCGCGATGCCAGACCTCGCCACCCTGGCTGCGGTCATCATCTCGTGGCTGCGAACCCGCTTAATTTTCGAAAATTTTCACAAAAAGAGCACAATCAAAAAAAGAATGCTGCAGTTACTTCACTATCATGAAGATCGCCGGTATTATGATGAAGATCGCCACTACCATGAAGATGCTGGGCTCCTTCTTCTATTGGGTGATACTACTTTCGTCCACACTTGAAAGGAATGCTGTGCGTCCTCTTCTTGACCCTGGTCCTGTCTTCTACTTGTCCTTCACGATCACAACTTGTGCTGATTTGAAAATACTTGAAGATGAAGTAGGTCTTGGTGTACTGTTGTACTAGTTCTAGTGGGTTTGTTGTTATTGTTCTTTTTCATCCTCTCGCAATCGACTCTGGAAGCGTTCTTGCAGCTGCACGTCGGGACTGTGACTGTGACAGATCCATTAATAGAGCAGAAGCGTATTCCATGTGTGGGGAAGATGAAGATCCACATCGAAGGTAAAGGTTTCGTGGGAAATATTATTCTGGTGGAGGTCGTAGCACGATTTGGTTATGTTGATGTTGATTATTCCTGTGTAGCGCTATTTGGGCACGTCGTGGCATTCTTCTTCATGCCTGGAAAACTCGACCTCGTTTACGTGGTTTTTACCTTGTTTCCTGTTGGCTGAATGAACGCTCCTGTGATGGTTCTTGTGTACTACTACTACTCCATGGAAAATCAGGACGACAGGGGTTTGGTCAGTCCAGCTGTGCCTACGTGGGTCGCGGAAGAGAACTAACGACGGCATACGCAGAAGACGAAGAAGTAGCAGCGGCAGCAAACGGCCAAAGATTGAAGAGCGCTCCTCTTCGCTCCGTCCGCCTAGGCACGTCGGGTTTTGAGCCTCGTCACGCAAGCACAATCACAAGCCGCGGGCAACAACAAGAGACGAGGCCGCCATCTTTGCACGCTAAAGAAGGTGAAACCTGCTCATCAATCTCACTTTCTAGTACTACCTAGACACTCAATCACACTCATCAACAACAACTTTTTATCACAAATGCGAAAACAGCCAACTATTTTAGATGAAGCAAACAACTTTGATTTGGATGAATAACAACATTACTTTCATGACATGTGTCTTTTTCGATATTTATAATATCGGAAGATCAAGAAAACACTACTGGTTACTAGTCTATGATCCAATCTGGAGTGATGTGGAATTGATGTTTTTTCATTGGTCGTGAGGATGACCGCGTAGCCTTTTGCATATCTAAACTAGAAAAGTTTATTCCTTCTCCAGAATTGGCACGCAGGGCCGCTGGGCGACCCCAAAGTGCCTCCCCTGCCAAACATTTCGCCCACCGTGCTCCCACCGTGAGGCCGGGATTCAAAAATCGCAGCGGCCTCCGGGCGCCCGTTTCTGAAGCCGCCCGGCAGAGTAAGCGTTTGAACCTGGGATGCGCAGCATCAAGCTGCATACGAATCCGAGCCCCCACTAACTCACCCGCCCGGAAACACCCACCAGCAGCGCCGCCCACTGCAGCAGAGCACTGCACACACCCCGGCGGCACTGCAGTGCATGCAGCAGCGAAGCATTGCAAGCAGCGAGAACGAGGCCACCACGCGCAGGACGAACGCAGCGCCGGGTAGTCCTTGTCTGCGGCCCTGCAAATTGAGCGTGACGAAAGCAGCGGGGCAACGCCATATGCGCCCGGTGTGCGCCAACCGTGCCCCTCATGGCTGCCATCAAGGATCCGCCCACCGTGCCCAGCGTGGCCGCCCAGCGTGCCCACCTTCCCACCGTCTATAAACTATTCTGCTATACGTTCAAGCTGTTTCACCTAGGGACAACTTCGAACTTTCGTAGAGCCGCATTCTCATCATGAGACTACGCATAACACTGGGAAGCGATGATGGCGACTATCACTCCAAAGGAGCTAATCATACCCGCTGGGAACTTCGTAACACACGTTCGCACTGACTTCTATCTAAATGAAGTCGTGTATATATGTCGGAAATAACAGAATGGCGAAACATTTCTGAGAGGTAAAGCGTGATAGATGAAAGCCATCGATCTCATTCAGTGTCGTTTGAAGACTGACCGCTTTGTGTGATCACCTTCGGTTATTTCGCTCTCTTATTGTGTTCGGAAAGATTTATGCCGATGACGAACAACGAACCTTGTAAGGCAAGAATCAAGTAGATTCGGTAATGTACAACTTGTCATAGCACGTACTATTGAGGAGGTGCTGTTGAGAGAACTCTGTCAGGGAGATGGAGAAGAGTAGGAATGAGGTATAATAGATGCGAAAGTTTAGTAGACAGCAGCGTGGGTCCTGCTGAGTCTGTGTATTAATTTTGATCGGAAAAAAAAGTTAAATCCGTGTCCAGCGAACATCTGTCGGTATGGAGGTCTTTGTTCTACGAGTTACCACCTAGATGTGATGTGCGTAACCGCAAGAGAGCTCCACGGTGAGTAGTCAAAAGCCACACGCACGGTTGTACATCGACCTTCTCACGACAAGAACTTGCGAAAGTCTGCGTTCGACATAGGCTGGTTACTAGTCGCAGCCCCCTCCTGATGCTGATCTACCTCCATCTGATCAGAGTTAGTCAACTCTTGGAGCCCCATAGCTTCGCTGACGAAGTTGGCTTTCCCCTTTTTCCCGGAACCCTTCATCTGTGAGTTCTTCTTGCCTCCAACTTTGGCGTTTTTTCCGTCTTTACCGTTACTTGCCTTGCTATACCCACCTTTGTCTGACTTTCCTCCAGATTTTGAAGGCTTCTTGCCTTTATTCCAATGCGAGCCGTTGGACTTGTCACCTTTGTTCGAGCGCATATTTCTTGTATTGCCGTCTTTTCCTAGTTTACCGTTACTGGCGCCTTTGCTGTTTGAACTTGTTGCGGTGTTCCCATCTCCTAGCAGTGTTGTTCCGCTTGACATCTCAACGTCCCCGCCAAGAGGTCTATTTTCAGTACCTGCTCCCGTGTTTGACTCCGCCCCTTCTGCAGATGATGATGCCACTGCTGCCCCCGCCGTCGCTCCAAAAGAAGAAGACGTAGCAAGAGGACCAGGAGCAGCACTACTAGTACTACTAGCACTGCCGCTCCCTGCCGTTTTCGCTGTCGTGATTGGTCGATCCGATCGACTCACCTGGATCGTGCGTCCATCTAACATGTTGCCTGCCGTGCTTGCTGTAACAGCGGCTGTTGCTGCCTCTTCGTCGGCGAACTCCACATACGCAAAGCATTTACTCTTTCCTTTCTCGTTGCGCATCAAGGCCACTTGGTTGACAGCTCCAAACTGCGAGAAGTGCTGTTGTAGGGCCGCTTCCGTAGTCTTTTTATTCAGATTCTTCACAAACAGTGTGAACTTCACCCGAGATTTCAGCTTATCCTGCCCGCGCTTCCACTTCATCTGGTCGGCCAAAGTACCTGAAGAAAGTTGGGATTTGGAAGATGATACACGTTCCAGGGGTGGAGGTTCCCCCCCTGTGGATGGAGCGGTGGTGGCGTCCGCGCGCCCTTTTTCCCGCGGTGGTGACATGTAAGGACCTCCGGGGACCAAGGCGGGCCGCAAAAGGCGGAGCCGGAGGCCCCTGGCGGCTCTCCGCGTGTACCCGACAGGCGTCCCGAATCTTGCACCTTATCAGGCGAACGGCCTCCGGGGGACGAAGGCCGCCGAAGGCGGCCACGGTCGCGAGGCCTGGCCCCTTTGGCCCTCGTCCGCCACCACCAAACGCCCGGGGGGTTGAGGACCAAAGGCGGGGAGGAGTGGGGGCAAGGCGTGCCCGCCTGGGTTCTATCGGATACATGCAGCACGGCGAAAAGGGTCAAGCCTTGCCACCTGCTTCGCTCGGAGGCCTTTCACCTCCCAAGAGACTCCCCCAGTGAGGAACCCGCACCCTGGAGGCCTGTAGGGTACACGCAACAAGCCGCAACAAGCCAAAGGGGGCCGAGCCTTGCCACCTTTGCCACCTTCGGAAGTCTTGCACCCCCGGCCTTCGGTGCTTGGACGGCCACAGGGATGGGGGTTCTGTAGGGCCCAGGCAAGAAGCGGGAAGGGGTCGGAGGTGGGCTTTTAGAGGCCTTCCCCCATCCGTCCCGCAGGAAAAAGGATCCGGGGCGGGAGGCCCCCCCCAAAAAAGTCAGATCGGGGGGCCTTGGCCCCTGGCCCCTGGAACATACATAGACATCAACATACTTACGACTACATCAGTCAGCAACATATCAATCCGATTGAGTCGTCATCTGCTGGCCTTACGACTTGTAAGTCAGTTCCTACGAGGCGAAAATAACGAAAGTCAGAGATGGATTTATTGCGGACATCGAAAAAAAAGTGCAGCTTATGTTTGTCAGTACCTGGCGCATTGACTCTCAAGGGTGCGTACTTCAGCTCGTGAGATTTCATCGGAATAGATCGCTTGATTTTTTCGATCTGCGGTGGCAAATTTTCGTTCAAAGCTAGCGCCGTGTCCACTGCAGAATCCTCGGAGAACTCGACAAACGCACCGCCTTTCTCTTCTCCCTCTTTGGGAGCCAGAAGTCGCACATCGACGATTTCCACAAAAGGTGTCGAGTTCAGATTTGCTGCTAACCATGAACGGACATCAAAGCCAGCTTCCACCCCGCTGATGAAGACCTTCCGTGGCTCATATAGAGCCTGTGTTGGCTTCGAAGGCGCTGCAAACAGCTTCCTGGAGCGAAGTTCGAGACCGTTCAGCTTTTCGCAGCATTTTCGCACGTTTTCCGGAGAATCGAAATCGAGATAAGCCATACCCTTTGGATTCCCGTTGAAGTGGCGCACCACGCGAATCTGCTCAAGACCGACAATCTCCTGCTGCGAGATCACTGCATCCAGCTCTGCCTCGTCGACTAAAACGTCGATATTCCGCACAAAGACGGTGCGGTCCGCTTCTACAAAACGCGCAGCCGCATCTGCACCTAAAGTGACTTGAAGATAGTGGGCCCCGCTCTCGGGCTTCGGCTTCTTCTCTCTTTGGCCTTTCTTACCCTGTTTTCCGCGACCCTTGCCATGGAATCCACGTGGCATCCGCACGGCTGCGTCCTCAACTTCCATCGCATCTTCGCCAACATCGGCGTCCATTGCGTCTTCACCGTTGCCAAATAAAGCAACGACAGCACTATTTTCGCCAGTCTCGGGAGCACTTGTGCGAGCCCGTTTTGTGGCCTTCGGCTCGCCGTTCGACTCGACATCGTCCACTGCATGATCAGGAAGTCGCTGAACGACGGATGAGGAGCTGCTAGAAGCAGGCTCAGCATAATGTTGGTCGTCTACACGGGCACGCTTGGCTGGTTGTCGCGCATTCTGCTGCTGTGCTTGTTTCCGTTCCCGCGCTGCCGCTTCCTCCGCCTCCCTCGCTACGGCCTGCATGTGCAGAGAGGTCGCTTGGAGAATATCCGCGGCAGAGCCGACTTCGCGCTGAAAGTCTAGAAAATCTTGGCTCAGCTTCGCACTGCGCGTCTCCTGCAAAGCAAATTTGTACAAATCGACAAAAGCAGTGTAGTCTGCACCACGATTCCGTACGCTGTGGCGGATAAGACCGAGCACTGACCACCACCAGTGGTCGCTGCGTCGAATCGATGCGCATGCTTTGAACATCTCCTTTGCGCGTGACGCGAGAGCGGTCGTAAGCAAGGCAAGCCCATAGCATTCTGCCTTCAACCACGCAAGGTAGACGACAGGTAGCATATCAGGTTGCTTTGCGAGTTCCTTCACCTTTTCTCTGAAGGTTTCCGTCACAAAGGTTCCCATATCTCGTCCTGTGCCGGACGTCTCGTGCAATAGGCGCATGCCCTCGACGCCAAACGGCGTAAAAGGGTCGTCTGGACTGTCAGGCCACAGTTCGTCTTGTGGGCCAGCTTCTCCGCCCATCTCTTCCTCGCCACCAATAGCTTCAATTTTTGCCTGTATCTCCTCGTTGTGTTTTCTGCAGACATCCTGATACAGCTCCTTTGCATTTGCTAGATCCTCGTCCGCGGCTCGGGGGTCGTTTCGGAGCATATCAACGAGTTCAAAGGCAACCTCGTCTGGCCGGTCGCTGACACTGCGGACTAACCTTTGCATGGCCGCTAGCACAATATCCCGATTCCCGTCCGAGAAACAGTAGCGCAGACACCGAAAGGCTGTACTGGCAGTGTGCAAGTCCATGGCGTCGTCTCCAGTTTTCACTTGTTGCAGCCCCAAGACATCCGAAACCAGAATTTCCGTGTTAGCATAGTTGAATGCCTCCACTCGCATCCAGTGTGCGCGCACGTCGTTGAGGCACCACGAAATGGCACCGGACAGCTGCTCCTGCAGCTCCTCCGAAAGCTGAGGTTTTGTAGTTGTGACAGATGATGAACTGACAGTGCCCTCTGCTCCTGCGGGCTCCAAAAACCGTCGATAAAGAGTTCGCATTTGCTCGGGTTGTCCCAGGAGCCGCCGTGTCACGTCACCATAGGCCTTCAAAGCTGACACAAAGCGCGCAAGCTGATGCTTGACTGCTAAGAGCTTTTTTTCTGATGCAGCCTCTTCATCGTCCTCGCTAGAAAGCTGTGGTGCGTCATTAAGTAGAGATATTCTCTCCACAGAATCTCGCAGACAGCGTTCATAGATCGAACGCAAGGGCGTCGAGTCGTGCTCGCATGCCGTGCCTCCGTCCGTGCTGATTTGCTCCAGCAGTGGTGTCCACCGATCCCACAAGGCCTCGTACTCTTTTGCAGATGAACTTTCCGATGATAGTCGTACTCCCGTTAGGGGACAGTACCGCAATCCAGAAGTTCCTCTAACTTTAATCGCCCGCTCGAGTATCGCAGCAGCACGCTTTCGGTCACCCATCTTCTTTTGCACGAAATCCGCGTATTCAGCAAAAAGTGTACAGGCTGGGCCTCGATGTCCGCTAGCTGCGACACTCTCACAACAGCGCAAGTAGGCCCATTCAAGACGTTGCACGTCTTTGGTTTTGCGCTCAATGGCAAGCAATTCTCGTGCGACATCTAGTGGAGGCCGCGTCTTTTTGCTGCCTTCTTTGTTGACTAATATGTCAGAAGAACTACTAGCAGCAGCAGGCAGACCCAACGCATTGCGTGTATCCGCCTCACGCAGTCCGTTCTCCATGCGCACTAGTTCATCGAAAACTCTTTTGCGACTTCCCCATGTATTTTCTGCCTTCTGGGAGAGACTTCGCGCTGCGGCTTTTCTTTCCTCTATTTGCGCTGGCGGAAGCGCAGCCGCTTCCAACCAGCGGCCGTACTCCGCAAGTACCGCTGCTAAATGCGGACTGGGTATCTGCAACTGCCGCTTCCACAACTTCTCTACCTTGTCCCGCTCTGCGGCAAACTCTGTACGATAAGCCGAAAAAATCTGCGCACCCAAATCCGGGTCGAGCGCTAGGACACCTAGCGCATGCTCAAATACGCGCTCGACCTGTTTGCAGGCCTCCTTTGCCTGGGGCGTGTCGCTAGTGTAGATGTCGCTTGCGCCTCCAACGAGCTCTCGCACGGCCGTGGCATAGCGGATCCAGAGTGAAGGTGCAAAACTAAGTACTGCTCGCAAAGCGGGCTGGAACAGACCTTCTAGCTGAGAGCGCATCAATGTTGCATCGGCTTCCGAGTTTCTCATGTTCGTTCTCTCATCTTGCAGCATGAGAAGAGAGGCTACTTCTTCGCTCAGAAAAAGCGCAAGCTCCTTCTCCGTTAAGTCGCAGTGCTCGGTGTAGACGCACATCGCTGCACGAATGGCTCGCTGGTTTCGCCGCGTAGGATCTTGCCGCAAAGAACTCAGGAGTTTGCGCGAAGAGGCGCCCGATAACAGGTCCCAAATTACTCGCGCTTCATTTGCTGACTCCACTACATTGTCACCATTCATCCTTAATATCCTTGATGGTAACGAGACACCGCCAGATGACGATCCGCCAACGGCCTGACCTGTCTTCCCCTGGTCTGTCGTACTTTCGCTTGCCCGTAAGACGTCGCCGACTAAACTGCTCAGAGCAGACGCCGAGAAGCGACGGCTAGTCTCCCGGATGGCTGTCAGCGCCTGCCATTGCTCTTCCGCGTACTGTCTGCTCACAGCGGAGACGCGCTCGAAGGACGCAAAGAAACTAGCTGTCTCTATCGGTTGCAACGAGTTCATATCCCTCTGAGAAGATGCCGCAGGGCTGCCCAGGATCATACTGCTCTCACCACCCATCCTTGACCCTCCAGGAGCACGACCCGCCATGTCACCGTCATCGGACGATCCACCATCACTATCGTCGTCATCACTCATGTCGCTATCGTCAGAACCGTCAGAATCTGACACAAACATCTGACCTGCTCCGATACTATTGCCCGGAACAATAGCCGGTAGTTGGGGGCCTACAACTCCACCAGATGAAACCGCAGTCGTCTTTCGGTGCGCAGTCTGTGATACTTCGACCTCCTCGTACTCAACCTCAGCAGTTTCCCGGTCATTCTCCTTTTTAGTCTGTGGCGCAGCATCGTCAAATTTGACGAAGTTAGCGCCCTCCAACGAGTTGAAGTCGAAAAAGGACATTTTTTCCTGTACTTAATACCTTGTAATATTTCTGCATCTACTATGCTAAATCATATAATCACGCATCACTTATGCCAGTCGAAACAAGAATAGAGAGAAGGCGACTGTGTCATACTAGTGCCCAAAATTGGTGGAGGCGGCTCCACCCAAAACGAAATAGAACACTAATCATACATGTTGAGTAAAACAACACGGGAAAAATGTTCGTCACCTGCTAACCCCTGATTACCCTACTGGATGAAGAAGCTCCCTAAAAACAATAACTATAACAATGCCACCTTGATTTCAAGAGTAATCAAAATGAAAATCTTTGTTAGGCATTTCCGTAACTAGTAGTCTAATGAGTAATCCAAATCCGTGTTAGGCATTTCCGTAACTAGTCTAATAAGTTGCAGATGGCCATGCGTAGTTAGTACGACAATTTTTGGTAGCATCATGAATGGCCGCGCCTGCGTGAATTGCAGTCTGAGTAGTCAACGGAAGGAGGAACACCAAACTCTTCAGACTATAACTGGTTCCGAAAAATGGATCATGATCGTTGGCAATAGTACGATGCCCTTTCTCTAAAAAACCATTGTAATTCCACAATGTGGTTCTCTATTTGGTTATCATTTTCGTCGCACCAGCGTTGTCGGTGGACCAAAACAAACCATCAGTTTTGATATGCGTGTCTAAACCAGTCGGGATTTGAGCGTTTGAAAAGTCTATATTCAGAGTACAGCAGCCTACGCTTTTTACCACGATTCGTCCTCTCATCGCCGCGAGCCAAAATTAACTTGTACAGTGTTCTAATTTTCATTCCGAGACTGGTACTTGCTTGTAAATTCTGATTCTTGATGAAGATATTACTTCACGAATACATCATCTGCGACAACATCATTTTTCAATTTTACGTCTACATCCTTCGAGATTTTTTTCTTTTGTTTTGCATGCGCTAGCGCTTGTTTAGGATAATGAAGAAACATCTTACTCCCACCAAAAAAAAGGAGCTATTTCTGAGTCCGACATTAACTATCTAATCGGTATCGGTATCATAATTTCTTTCGAGATAAGCTGTTTCTCATTCTTGTTTCTTGCTAATGCTATTCATTGATTAAAGCGAAAAATAATATTTGTACATCTAACGAATTCGGATCCGAACGTATGCGAATGAGTAAAAACACGATTGATGAATATGCGTCCTTACAAATATGATCGGGACACGCCCGTCCCAACCATGAAAAGAAAGAATTGAAAAAAGTTAAAACATTTCATTGTGTGTGAGAAATAGAATGAAGTTTCACGAAATCCATTTCTCTTATGGTTATCTTTCTATGTATAATGAGTATGTCCATGTAGCAGTAGCACGACCACGAACAAGGTGTAATAAAAAAATGAGATCGACGAAATTTTAGTGTTTTGCACTCACACAGGATTGCGATTGTTTTGCGTAAGTTAGTAGTCATGCTCATGGCGCATCAAAATCATGATGATTAGCTTTAGTCCTGGTACATTAGAGCCATTCTGTTGGCTTTTGCGTCGGGTCCGAGACGGAAGTCTGACTGGCTGAACGTCAACACTTCCGAGAATCCTTCTGCAGTTTGCGGCTTCTCTGCGTACTTGAAGAAGGTGTGAATCACCATCGAGGGGACCCTTTCGCGCTTGAGACCGTGTGTATCTGTCCCGGGTAGCCGCGCGCGGACGTGGTTCATGTGAAAACAGAAATCTTTCGAGACATCGAAATAAACGGCTCGTACACGATCGCACTTCATCTCCTTCGCTAAGGCAATCCAGTTCTTCCGCTTCGCTTTCTCCTTGTTCTGGTTGTCAATGATCACCGACTTGCCGTTCTTGAGAGCCTCCTTCGCGGCAGCTTCGCACTTCGGCACGGTCTTCAACTTGTCCTGGTTAATCACGACATAGTCAACAACATTGTTTCCTTCCAGCATCTGCGCAGTCAAGGAGGACTTTCCGGACGCAGGCGCTCCGACAAAAACAATCATCTCCTTCTTGCCTAAATTCGCATCAAACAGGCTGTTCCGAAGTTTCATGCCTAATGGAGAGGTTCCGGTCTGGGCCGCCCCGTTGGCGAGATGATAGGAAGGACGGAACGAAAACGTTGACTCCGAAGGAACGTCATCCATGGCATTTTTATCCAGGTTAAAAAACCATTCGGGCAGTTTGAACTTGATGCCGACATTTAGCGCGAACTTGAAGTCGGTGTCGGAGAAGTCCTTTGCTCTTGCCTTGGTTTTCGGTCGCCCCGCGGCGTCGCCTACAAAGAAAGAGCCGTCTACAGCATGCTGAATCCCGGACCCGTTTCCGAAAAGCAAATCCCAGCCCCCAACACAGGGTTTCCGGTAAATACTTTCGCCCGGCGATGCGCAGAAGCAAACTGTATCTTTCAATGCGGGACTCGTCTGACACAGAGAATCCCACATGCTTGCGATCTTTGCCTTGATGTCGGTCTCTTTCGTTTTTCCCTTCTCGATCCCACCCTGCATGGAAAACACGACAATGCAGTCGTAGTTGTTGCCAGTGATTAATTCTGCCAGCCGCTGGGGGACTTCCGGCATGTGCGCAGGAGTCGGCGCCCACTTCCAATCATTTGCGTCTTTGGGATGCTGACTGCCACTTTTGGTATTGATCAACGTCCAATCCATATCGAAACTGGCGACTCGTACGCTCGAAGTCTTGTTCACATTCATTATTAGCGCAATAAAGAGATATTTTTCCACTAATTATCTGGGATATCCTAGTTTTCTATTACGTGAGGAGATATATCTATCATCATCATGTCTTAAAACCGTATCGGGAAATAAACGCAACTACGCACTAACATATTACGCTGTGAGTAGAGGTAGAGGAACAACAATAAACAAGTGAAGAAAGTCAAAAAATCTATTATGAAGCGAGTTGTGCTGTAACTTTAGATGTCGCATTACGTGCCCAACATTGAAGCAGAGAAGCTGACTGTTGTCAACAGAGCGCCATTGTCCATGATCACTAGCTTTCAACAAATCGTCTCTAGCAGAGGCGGGAACTAGGTCTGAAGAAGTAGTCGCACCGCCAGAGGACGAAGGCACCGAAGAGATTGAAGCAAAACTTGACATAGCCGCAGAAGCGAGTGAGAGTGAGGCAGACTTCGGTGCAGAACTACCAGAGGAAGTTTTCGACGATGCAGCAGAAGAAGATGTCGCAGAAGTTTTTTGTTTTTTCATCGGAGGTGGTTGATCCTCCTGCTCCTCTCCCTCTTCCTCGCTTTCACTTTCTTCATCATTTCGGAAATCGACAACGCAGAGGAGTCTAGGCCGCGTCTGCTTCGTATCGTAAACCACATACTCATTGTGCAACAAGTAACCGCTGCTCGATTTGTTTTGCTTTTTCACATTTCCGGTGGGCACGTAGCAACTGCTCGAAGAAGTAGTTGATTTCAAGTCTTTGCTTGTCACATTCGAGAACTTTTTTACGGTTGTAACTTTTCCGGCATCTTCATCATCCATCTTGACCTCTTCCCAAGAGAGGGGTCCCTTTTGACCAACTCCCTTGCACGTGATGGCACTTTTGTGTTTCGACACTTTGCTAGCTGCTTGGAAGTCTGCACTTGTGCAGTCCAAAGTCTCGCCCACTGCCACCTCCTCCAAAACCAAAATAGCCCGATTCTGTGAAGATGTCGAGTAGGCGTGACAGTACTGCGCGCTTTTGGAGACGACATCGGCGAAGTAGATGCCTTTGCCAAACATGTATCCCGTCGACGGCGCCTCTGGAGGCGCAATTTGCAGACCCTTAGACAGGATGCCCATCCAATTGCTCAAGCGGGAGCCGTGCCACAAAAGCATACTTATTGGAGGTGTCTTAGTTCCCAGACTTTTTTTCAGTTTTTCGAAGTCTTCATCCCTCTTCTCCTTGGTCACGAAGAAGCAACTCTCTAGCTTCAGTCTGCCGGCGACGCCAGAATGGTCCTCTTTGTTGTGCGTCTCCGAGAGCATGCGTTTCACGAGTTGGAACGTAGAGGAATTCTTAGACACAGGAGTCAAATCAACATCCAGTTGATCGTACAGATTCGACAAAGCATCACTACTAGAAGTCGTAGCCTTCTTCATCGCTGCCGTTTTCATGGCAGTAGTAGGTTTGCTGTTCAAGAGCCGCATTGCTTCTGCCACTTGCTGAAGAGTGTCGATCAACTCGAGCTTCTCACGAACCTCAGCTGTGGTCTTGATCATGCAATCCTTCAATTTCTTAAATCCGAAGTTGTGCGGGATCACTGTGAAGAATTCGGAGTTGAGTTGCTCCAGTTTATTGCTTGCACTAGAACTAGTATTGCTAGTGTCCTTCTTCATCGTGGTAGTTTTGGCTTTCTTCATTGGCGGAGCAGCAGCATCGTCCTCTCCATCCACAGCATTGTCTCCTTCAGCCTCGAGTAGAGCATTGATCTGCTGCAACAACTTGTACCCCTTCTGCACCATGGAGGTCGAGATCTTACCTAGGGGCATCTTTTTCGGATCAAAACCGCACGAGGAAAGCTCCTCCTCCATCATTTTCTTATTCGAAATAAGCGATAGCAAAGAACGCACCGATGGATCAAGACCTCCTGCTCCACTTGCTCCTGCGCCATTCTTGCTCTTGCTCGTACCATCATTGGCTGCATTCGCATCTGCCAGATCGGTATCGTACTCTACTTCGATCAGGCTGTACTTCCCCTTCTTCGTCTGGAAGGACTTCGGGGTAGCAACGCAGTCATCCCACTTGTTGCCGGTCTTATCTTGGAACTTGACAGCAAAATAGAGCTTTGCCATGTTGATGTCGGCAAATTTTTTCGTTTGCGTTTGTCCCGACACTCCGACCCTGCCCCAACGAGTCCAAACCATGTATCGATCTTTGTCACCTTTTTCTGCTTCTGTCTTCTCGAGCAGTTGCAAAACGTAGAATTTATTGTTGTTGCCACCGATGTCGGCAAGATTCAACAAAACATCATACACTGCGTCCTCGCCTTTGTCGAGAACCACAGTAAAGTCGCTCCTCTCCTTGTTTTCGCTATCCACAGGCACGTTTTCGCGCTTGCCCTTTACTTTCTTGACCCGCACAATGTCAAGCTTGTCTTCAGTCGCCCCGCCTGCTGTTGCGGCAGTAGAAGCCGTTGAAGAGGGATCGCTTCCGTTATTGTTAAGAGCAGCAGTGTAGTAGGAGTTGTGGTTGGCGTTTTGCATCTCCTTCTGCATTTCCTTGCTCATGTCACCGTTCTGTAGAAGGTACTGCATGTTTGTCTTCGCTTTGGTGAACTGCTTATCCGTCAGTACGTTGTCCAATCCTAAGTGATAAAAGAGGTTGTAGTATTTCTCTTGCAAGTTTCCGTACTTTTCGACCACGCCTCGCTCTTTGTCTCCTAGGTTGGCGTCTTTCTCCTCTTTCTCATCATCGTCCAGCTTGTTCGTGAGCAGCGGATGCAAATGCTGCACCATAACTTCGCGGGCTGCGTCGTTGTAGCAACCCATCAACTTGCGCTCGTCGTTGTTCGACGCGCTCTTCACCTTTTTCACAAATTGGGTCTTTACAGAGTTGTAAGTGGACTCAAACTTGCTTTTCGAGAACTTCTTAGTCTTCCCAGCTGTTCCAGTTGTGGCCTTTTTCATTGCAGCAGCGCCTTTTTTCTTTTTCATCGCTGAGGAGGCAACGGAGGGAATATTTGAGCAACTGGTACCCCAGGAGTACGCCAAGCATTGAACTTGCTCCAGCAGTGACGCGGATTCGAAGGCGGCTGCAGACAGAACCCCTTTTTCGTCTAGAAAATCTCGCGCATTCTCATGAATGCTTGTGCTGCCCGTGCGGCGCAGTTGGAGGTTGGTGTGATCAACAACGTTGTTGCTCTGAGCTACTGTGTCAGAAGATTTTATCGAGGACGTGGAGCTACCTCCTCCTGCTCCTCCAAAAGATGTTGTAGATGAGTCCTTCAAAGCTGCCTTTGATTTTGTTGTACTCTTCATCGTTGCCTTTATCGTATCAGCAGCCTTCTGTACCGCTTTCTTGATCTTCGTCGCAGCCGATTTGAAAAGCTGTTGGGAACCTGAACCCTTTGCAGAAGAAGTAGGAGATGCAGACCCTTCTGAGTGACACGCAGATCCTGTAATAGGAGATGCGTCCGCAGTGCTTGCAGATGCGCCGGACGAGAGAGATTGATCATCGCTTTTATTGTCTTCATTTTTCAGACCTTCGAGACCACCTCCCTTGAGCTCTTCGAGCCAAATCTTACCAAGTTGTCCAGGCTTTTTCTCCACTTTCGTCACTTTCAATTTTGTTCCAGGGACTAAGATGCATTCCTTCTCTGACGAGTAGAGGCTTAGAGCGGAAACGTCCAAAGCGTTCTGCGACTTAATCTCTAACAGGGTGGAGTTTGCGCCGCAGCCTGCGGCAAAGTTGTACGCGACATTTTTATCGACCGTGGTACTCGAAACACTCCACCAGGTGATCTCGCTCCCCAGCTTGTACGTCTTGCTCAAGTCCACAGAGACCCCGCGCCACACGGTTTTGTTTGCTTGCGGCTTGAAATAGGAAAAGGATTCTAGCAACTGGCGTAGGTAGGGGCGATACTTTTGGATCTTTACAATACTTTCCGCACGAAGAGCTTCGTTCAGTTGCCGATAGACGCTGTTGCCGGTGTACAGACAAATGGAGGCGTACAAACTGGCATCCATAGCGGACGTCGGTTTGCCTGCCTGCTTCTGAGCTAGCGTTTTCCCAGCGTTGTCCGACTGCGTAATCGCGCCTTTGTTTGACACGGATCCTGCCGCGGCTTGCAGAGTCGGACACAACGGCAAGGACATGACACCCGCGAGAGGGGAGACCTAAAATTGTTAACAGAGTAAAGCGATTTCGTATGGCGGTGCGAATGTCAGGAGGTGTTGAATGAAGTGGACTAAGAACAAGGAAAGAGTCGTTTACGTTTTATACCATCGTCCAAATACAAATTGTAGCATTTGATGAGATTGGCTATTCTCTGTATTAAGCCGCGTTCAGCTGATTGAAATTCCAGTAGGTACCTTCTTCAGTTGAACTGACATGTCATCGAAACCCATGCGCAGCATGAATTCCAACGACGCTTCCTTCTCCATAATGAGGTCTTCGGTATCGATAGGCGGCGGCTTCTTGCGTCCGGAATTTGTCGGGATCAAGGTGTAAAATTGCGACGACAACTCCGCAATCTTTGTACTATCTTTGTTTTTGTTTTTCTTCTCACCTTGCAAGCATTTCCGAAGCTCCGCCAAGACCTCCTGACCCTTGTGGATCTGAGCTTCAGTCAGTTTGCCGAAAGCCTGCGCACCAGCAGTACCCGCATTGTTTTGGCTAGCGGCGGCGCCGGACCCAGTACCAGCCTCGTCTGCATCGTGTTCTACATCCACGAGCATGTATTTACCCGTTTTTTTCTGGAACGAAGCGGCAAGAGACTTCAAGATTCCGCTTGCGTCCTCAGCATCATGGTCTGGAAAAAAGGAACCCGTTTTGTCTCGGAATTTCTTCGCGAAGTCATTCTTTGCCTTGTTTAAATCACTGCCAAAGGAGCTCAAATTCGATTTTCCCGGCTCCCCTACGCGACCCCAGCGGTTCCACGTCGAATACGAGTCCTTGGAGGTCTCTTTCAGTAGCTGGATCACATAGAACTTGTTATTATTCGAATCGCCATCAATGTTGGTCTGGTTCAGAAGCACCGAATACTCACCGTAAACGGTGTACTCCCCCGCCCCAGTCAGCTCACTGTCGACTGGAATTTTCGTCATCTTGATGTTTCTTATTTATTATTGTCGTTCTTACCTATAAATATTTATCCCAAGAAGGAGAAACACCGAAGAAGAGAGAGATTTCTGATTCCGTTCACCGATTTCTTTGTTCTTGCTTAGTAGCATTCTTTACCAAAGTACTAGATAAGTTGCTTTATCTGGCATGCTTTAGATGCGGCGCTAGTTTTTAGTCTTATTTGTTCTATAGAGGGAAATCAATTGTACACACTCACAGGTAATGATATGAAGGTGACATTAGTCCGACTTTAGGGAAAGAAGGGAGAATCAAATTGCGAAAAATGGTGGAGGGAATATGACGAGGGATAATTTAAAAACCAGAAATTCTATTTTATCTTGTAGTTCTAGTTGCGAGAGAAGCGAGCCTTATTGTTTCAAGGGATCAGCCTAGGGATAGAGGTGAAAACTAACCGGCTGCTTTACTTTAGTGCTTTAAGCGTCGCTGGACCTAAGAAAGCCCCAACCGTAAAAAAAGGAAGGAGCCAGTCAAGATTTGCAGCACGACTCTAACTCATACGGGGAATTACCAATTTCCTGCTATGGGAGGAGGGTACTCAAAAACTCATCAGTTTGACTTTTTGTTTATTTAGCTGCTAAATATAATCAAGCCACTATCCCAACTCGCCACGTCATGTCTTTGTTGTACTCAAAGTTTGGGTATACACTCCCAGAAGTTTCAGTACAGATGCTATTTTTATTCACTCCAACCAGAGCCATGAAGAGCCTCAACAAAAGCAACGCGCAAGCAGAAGGTAACTCAGAAGTTCGACACTTAGAGAAGCAAACCTTATTAAAATCTAAGACACGATGTGTACTTTCGTTGTGCGCCAGCTGTTTGTATTGGTTTCTAGCTCTTGGTGCCTTAAATTATGTCTATGTATAAAAACGATGGCTCTATTTAGCTTTGGTCCTGCGTGGTAGGTAATACGGATACAGCGCAGTTTGGATCGTATTAACGATTTAACGCTGAAAGGCGTAGCCTATGAGTGCTAACATTATGATCTTCAAGCAAAGACCTGTGCCGACGTTGACGCATTTAGGATCTGACACGGGGTGATGAGCTGCTCTCATTTGTCACATGTCTTTAAGAAGGTCACTCGTCTAAACATACCACAACACATTTTTGCTGCAGAACACCAATTATTAGTAATATAGCCGTCCACAACATAACATCCAACCGTATATTTCCTCAAACGGAACGAAATTAATCTTTCTCTCGTCTTTTGGTTATTTAGGGCCTTGCTCTTTCAACTAAATCTTTACTTGTTCTGTGCAATAGCAATTTCGTGTTCGGCCAACCAGTATGAAACTTCCAATTCATTCAAATCTAAGTCGTGGAAAAAGATGCTCTTTTGTACACCGTAATCCTGATTTTCTGTCCACAGCTCGTCCTCTGTGACTCCACCACATCTTCTTAGATTTTCACTCAGACTATCACAAAATTCTTGAAACTCTGAGCGAGTGGAGACTGATAAAGAAAAATGGCCACGGAACGTGCGATCCGTCAAAAGACGTAGAAGTCGATCGTGCCCTTGACATGGTCTGCTTGAGCTTGCACTCGCTTCCGGTGATGGAATTGAGGAGATGAGCATGATCTGTTGCTTCTTCATTTCGACGATATCCTCTGGTAATTGCAGAAGCGCGATTTTCATGGATGGATTCTGCCTATGCGCGATCATCCGGATGACTTTTTCTTCGTGAAACATGGGGTCTCGTGGTCGGAAAAGAGTGAAGTCGAGCATCTCTCTGTACCAGCAAACCGCCCTGTCAAGATCTTCCACCCCCATCGCAACATGGTCTATGGCCTGAAAGTTATTCTTTCTTCTTGACGTGGTTGAAGAGAACTGTCTACAACAATCGTCCCTGTTGATGTTTATGAAAACTGTTGTTGTTTCTCTTCGTCGTCCTGTACAACATCTTTTTTTTTCAAAAATTGATGTTGATATCAAGAGTATGCTCCGGGTAGTGCTAGAGGTAGGGCTTGTAGTACATTTGTCGAACGAAGTGGTTGGCGTCACGCCGCTAGCTGTCGTGAAGCTACGTGACAGTGCCTCAGCGATTTTTCTGGGTGCAAGTTCGTCTCCATCTACCCACCTGCTGCTTGTAGCAGGTGAGATAAGTCGCGTGCTCGTGCTATAGAAGCGACCTGATGGCAAATAAATCCCCTTCATTATTGGAGGCTATCTCCAGATCTCTTCACCTTATGCAATGCCTGCACGTCTTTTTCGTCACACAGCTTGAGTTACGCTTACAGTTGACTTCAACATAATGATCCATGTGCCCAGCAAGTTCCTGTACAACGCTCGCTGTCGCTCTAACTTGACTTCAAGTTGTAGATGCCATTGTTGAAAGGAGCAAGTACAACGTACTAAGGCCTTGCATCAGATATGACAATGACAAGAACATGAGCATGATGCAACCATCGCCGCAAGTAGCTACTTTCCAAGTTCGTTGTTAGTCAATCAGCTTCAGCAGGTCTTCATGTCGAATAATACGTTCCTGTCAGAGCGTCCCCAAATCCAGAAAAAGAAACTCCCTTCTAGCTTTCTTAGACTGCTGTTCTGTTTCTTCTTGTTCCTCATGGTTTTCGTCTCCGGTTTCATCCACGGCATTGCGCTTGCGTCCTACTGCGTCTTCCTTTGATCCGGCTTGATCCGCTGTTGGTCCCTGCTGCACTTCACTCTTCTCCTCTCCCGGAAGGTATGAACAAAGAAAAACATGAAAATCCTAGTAGAAAATTATGAACAAAATGCCATCTCCCAAGTCATACATCAAAAGTACTTAATCTTGGTGCCCCTGATGCAACTACTGCACGTAGTCAGTTAAGAAGCGATATCACATACAAGTTCTGAAATACCTTGTAAGGGCTACCACCTCACCAAGACTATTGAATAAGTTTCAGAAACAGCCTCTTGCCGCGCAGTATTTTTTTGATCTACCTTTTACCATATGTATGCATAATTTCTCCACATCCATGGCGTCTTCTCCGCCTTGAGGCTGAGTGAAGAATCCGTTTAACGCGTGAGCCTGTCCGACCACGACGACAGACCACGCAAGGTGGCACAAAAAACGCATCTTGCAAGCCACGTTTTCGTGAGATGTCTCTATGTCTCCTCTGGTTTGACTTTGACTCCTATTCGAATCCTTCTTCGCAGGACGGTGGATCTTGAGACTCGCGACAGACAAACAGTAAGATCCTGTTGTCCGTTGAGTCGCGAACAATTATTGCAGGTAAACACCTACGAGAGGCCATTTCAGGCAGTGGAAAATGCTTTGCAAGCTTCTAGCTTGAAATTAATACAATAACCCTTGCATCCGTCAGGCTCAGGAAACATAAATTAAGGAAACATATTAAACAAGGTGTCATTAAAGAAATCATAAAAAGTTGTACATTTTCACATCTCAAACTTTTTTGAAAAGTGTGTCTTTCTTACTTCCTCTTTCTTTCGACCCCGTTCCCCAGTTATTTAACGACAAGAGCGAATCCCTCGAGTTGTTCCTGCAATGGTAGTCACGACTATCGCTGGGCACCAGTAGCGCCGTTCAACTCCTGAACTTCTGGAGATGACTCCACCCCATAATCCGATGACTCCACCCCATATTCCGATGACGCTACGAAAACTGACGATTTTTTGGAGCTGGAGGACGAATCGAAAAAGGAGATGGAGGAAGCAGCTCGCGGCAAAGGCGTAAAGTTTTTGCGGATCCATCTCGCAGAGACAACTGCAGCTTCGCAGTCGTTCAAAGCCCGGTGATTGTAATCGGCGTGCGCTTGTTGGTCCTCGCGCCACCTCTCACGCATTTCAGGCCACCAATGCCCTAGGACTCCCTGTACTACCGTACTTACATCCCAAATTCGGTGAGATAAATGGCGATAGACCTGTGAGGTGTTTCGGAAAGAATGCATGGAGTGGCAAAATGTGGCTACTAGATACATAGCAGGTGCCAGGTGGGACGTTTTCAACGAATTTTTGTAAAAAAACTTCAATTACGTCAGGCATTTCTGTCTTCAGTATTTCTCGATCGCATTGGACGCTCATCCCCGCGATCGGACACGCTTGGAATGGGCAGTGTTCCTCCAGTAATGATAGAAGCGCACGCTCAACCTCCGCCCGAGGCTTCCCTTTCGTCATCATGTCTGTGAAAAGCCCGTTGCCTCCTTCGTGTCCTTCCAGTGGTGGAAAGAGACCAACCAGTAGTTCTTGCTGTGCCTTCTTTCCTTCTTGAGCATCCAACCTTCTTCGTTTCGAATTCTCACCTCCATCCACTGCCAGTTTTGTAGTTTCTTTTTTATCTGTACCGTGCCGTCGTGCTCTATTTTCATCTGGAAGTTCTGAGCCCGCTTCCCCAGTTGCGTAAGATGAGGGGGCTCCATCTCGGAAATTTTGCTGATGAAATTCTGACAGGTTCTCCAGATACTCACGCGTGAACCCCCCTACCTGCCAAGCACCGCGGGCCAGCTCGTTCAGATCCTTATCGGTGATGACCACAGCAGCTTCTAGAATCCGTGGAGGGTTGTTCGCTTCAGTCTCTACTCGATTGGCCCAGTCATAGAAACCGCAAGAAAATTCCAAGTCCAAAAAAATCAAGTTGTCACGATCAGGCTCCCTTTTCTGCTTCTTGTTAGTCTCATTTTGCAACTCTTCTTCTGCTAGAAGTTCTTGGTCACGGGACTCATCTTGAGGATTACGTTTCCGTGCCACGCCGTTCGGATGCGCAACCTTCGGGTCCGCTGGCGCTTCATGTACCTCCATTTTGCTATCTTTCCCAGTACAACAAGCTTTCGTTTAGTATGTTAGATGTCTTCTACAGAAAGAAGACAAAGACAATCATACATAGGAAAAAGAAGATTTTCGAAGATTTTACATCTTCTTGTTCGACACAGGAATTCCGAAAGGGAAATATACAACGATGACTGATCATGTTCACTGGGTCTTACTCAAGCTCACAATCGGCGTAGTGTGATCACGAGTGCTTCGAATGAATCCTCCAAGACAGCTGATCCACCGAGTTCGAGATTGAACTCCGTCCGCAAATTTCCGAATCCCTGCAAAACACAAAGGGGAGGTGGCTCCAGGTCCAGCAGCGGCTGAAGCTGAGCTAATTTTAGAAGTAAATAATGCTTCGTTTTCTCTGTCCACACTATTATAAGATACATTGAGCTTCGAACAAAACTACACCTGTACAGACTTGCCGGAAAATCATTAAAAAAGTCTTGAACGGATCCACCGAAATCTAGAGGCAAGCGCAGAAGTAACAAACTACATGTGCAATATTACACTTCTACAACTAGCGTGCGGTAATATTAATTTAGTGTCAGCTTTCTACAGCGCATCCGTAAGAGAATTGAGGAAAAAGACTCAGACTAAGAACTGCAACTATCCACGACTACAACTGAACAAGAATCCTCTTGAAATAAAGCTCTTGAAGAACAACATCAAAGAGAGGGTTTCTATTTCACCATTATTCTGCCGCTGAAGATGATCCCACTTGATCAGGAGCGGCATTTTCCCTAGTATATGAGCTAGACGTTCGCTGTGATTTTCTCTTTTGAGCCAACACTTCATCCAATGGTAGGCGACACAGAATGAAGGCACCCACTGCGAGAGCGACGACGACCCAAAGAATGCCGTAGCGTACTGACGCAAACTGTGACATCACGGCTACAACACAAGGACCAATCCAACTGCTGCCCTTGTCTGAGATCGCGTACAGGGCAAAGAACTGCGCCTCAAGACCGTGCGGCACCAGGGAAGAGAACAGTGCTCGCGTGGTCGCCATCACCGCTCCGAGAAGCATTCCATGCGAAAATCCGAAGAAAAACAGAGGAATCAGGCCGAACTGCAAAATGAGAAACGCCAAGACACTAATTGCGATGTACTGATACAGTAAAATCAGCAGGGCTTGCTGCAGGCGCATCGAAAAGCGTTCCTCAAAGAGCCAGCGGTAGAAGCGGACCCCAACCATATTGAAGAAGACTACCTCCACCAGAATGACACCAAGCCACATCGTCGATATGTTCAGCTCCGTCTGCGCGTAAATGATGCCCACATTGATGATGGTGCTGTAGCCGTCACTGAAAAAGAAATAAGCGATCATGAAACCTCGCAGCACGTGATGCTCTGGCTGAAAGAGCATTCGAATGGTCCTCCACGTCCGCTTCCAGGAAAATATCACTGCAGAAAACAGGTTCACCTTCGTAGATCCACCCATGGCATCCACCCACTCCTCCGAAGACTCGAGGTCGGGGCCAGCGCGCTTCTGGAGCCCCAAAACACACCGTATTCCGCATGCCAACCACACGAGAGCGCACCACGCGCTGCAAATACCTAAAATAACGGCCGAAGTCTTGTCTGCGTAGTGGTCCCGACTGCTATCCTTTTTCGGTGCTGTGAAAAGAAGCACTACGCTGACCACGACACAGGCAAGAGCGGATACCAAATAGCCATAGTAGAAACCCATCGTGGAAAAGTGATTGCTTATCGACTGCTCTCTCAACGTCAGCGGATCTGCACTATCATCCGGACTTGTCGTTGTAGCAAGTGATGCCTCGGCAATTGCAGCAGGTTGTGGTCCTGATGTCGAATTTGGATTTTCATCTTGTTCACCCTTGCAGTTTATTATGTCGATGTCCTCGTTTTTGATGTTAGTCGGTGTCTGTTCCTGCTGCTTCTGGATAGCCGTGTACTCGGGATGGTTGCGAACCATCAGAGGCAAGTAGGCGTTGTAGAAGACGATGGAGAGTCCATGAAAAACTCCTGTGAGAATCATCAGTGCGCTTGCCAGCCACCAGGTTGACGAATCGAAGCAGAGCAGAAAAAGAAACGCAAAAAGCACTCCCACGACACAACTGCGAAAGAGCAGTCGATGCCGATTTTGCCCGAAATCAGCGTATGACGAGAAGCTGATGTAGGCCACCGCCTGACACATGACACCTACACCGATCGACAAGAATGTGACGCTCGCGGGCGTTAGATTCAGTAGGTCTGTCTGCAATTCCACGTCGTCCTTGTCCACTCCTGCCTTACCCGACACGGGCTGGCCGTCTTTATCGCAATAATGAGGCGTTTCCTCGCTCAACCGTTCGCAGGCGTGCCACGTGGTTAATCGAACGGTCAGCAGTGCATTAAGCATGGCCATTGCGGGAGCTCCGTAAACCGAGGTCCCGATGTCGTAGACATACCACGACCAGATCTCTCCATCAGTCGTCGCTGGCTGCTCCTCCTCGGGGGCAACGTGGGAGGCGCGCTCCGCTGTGCTCCGCGAGCTTGGCGACACATCTTGCAGTGACGCGATCGAACCCGTCCCTGAAACTTCTGTGGAAGCCATAATTAAATATCCTCTCTTTCGTGTTAGTACTGATTCTCATGTATCCACAGCGTTGTAGAGAAAATGACACATCAAATGTCCTCGCGGTCGCAACACGTTGACCAAGTCGGCTTGGGACGATTGCATCTTCATGAGGATTACTCATTCATTGTCGCAGATTAGTAAGCGTTAACAAGAAAGTCTACTACGGGGATTACATCAACAAGATGCTGAAAAGGACGTTTTTATGCCTCGCTCGTCGTTCGGGAGATCGGGAGTAAGATATTCCGCACAGAGTCAATCTAGAATCACAAAGATCTTCTCCTTCTTGGATTTCCTGTACAAAGAAATTATCAGAAATAAGAAGCGAGTTCTTTTAGTTTTCAAACAGCAAAAATTATCAGAAATCACAACAGTTCTTCGCTCTGTCTCACACCAACCACGACACACAAGTGTATCATTTACGTAGAACAGCCTACACCCTCTGTCGTATGGCATTATGGGACAACTAAGTGGTGACTTCTATCCCAGCCGCAATAAAACAAACACACGGCTTGCGCCTGCGCTTCCCAAATATAGATGAACGAACTATATCAAGCAAAAATGATCAAAGCAGAAAAAATTCCGCCCTAGGTAGGGGATACCTGTATTAAATTATGAGATTGAGATGTGCTGTGAGGATATGAGATGGAGGCATTATCGCAGAGCGAAATGAAAAAACCTAGTATCATGTACTTAGTTGTAACAGTGACGTTCCTTCGTAATCACGAGAAGCTGAGGACTTCTTCATTGTACAACAAGCATTTATGTAAAGAGAAAAAACTAGAATGATGGGGATCGAGTAACATTCTCAATTTTGAAATCCTAGTTCAACTCCACCAAAAAAATCTTTTTCGTATTCAATCACACTTCATGTCGCAGAATTCTGCAAAGAGAGTGTGAGGATGCAGATGATCGCTAAACCAGCACTGTAGCTTCGCCTCATATTACATTCCGCCGATGCGCTCTCGATAGCGTCACCCGCAAGGAGCAGAGCTTACCAGGAGTTGTACGCCTTTTTTTCAAGGATCGAGGCTTCCAGTCTTTTTTTCAAACGCCTCTTTCCACACGAGAGGTTCACTACGTGAGACGTTCGCGCGGCAAAGAGGACATTGTGCGCTCATTTTCGGCAGTATTTGCGACGCAGAGCTCGTGGTCGCAATGATTTGGAAACACTCGATGCACAACGTTTTGTGTTGGCAAGGATAGGTTACGACCTCCACTGGCGCACACATACAAGTCTGGCACAAATTTTCATCATCGATTTCCAGCAAACAACTACTAGAGGAAGATAACGTTTTATTTATAGCAGAAGTAGTCTTGATGACGTTCCCATTTTTATCACCGACACCTGTACTAGACGATGTTTTTCCACTTCCTGCTCCTCCTGTACTAGAACATGTTTTTGTTTTATTTGAAGCACCAGCTGTCTTGGCTTTTTTCGTCTCCTTGTAGCTATCTGATGAGTCAGGTCTTGCTGCAACATCATTATTCTTTTCTAACTCGGTCTCCTCCTCGTCTTGCTGAAGCTGAAGCTGAACATCCTGCTCAAGTGCGACTACTTCCTTGTTCTCTTCTTCTTCTGGAGGCATGTTACAGAGCAGAAATTTCTGATTCCAGCTGGAGTGGACAGAGCCTAATTTCAACGAAAACATCTCATCTTGGGCAAAATCTAGCAACCGGCGCGTCGCACGATTCTGTTTACTAGCTAACGAAGACTCAAGATTGTTCGGTGCCTTTGAAGACGAAATACTGGTCGTACTTGCTGTAGTTCCTTTGACGCTTTTACCACTTGCACCGCCCAACAGAGCATTGCTTGCAGCTTTATGTGTTGAAGAGGTGCTAGAAGTTGCCTTTTTTGTTGCACCACCCTTATAAAGCTGTTGATTCGCTGTCGATGTGGTCGTGGTTGATGGAGCTCCTGCAACTCCTCCGGTATTGTTCGAAGAAGACGGTGCTTTGTATGTCAACAACGAAGTTGAAGCTCCCCAAGAGGTAGCTCCAGTACTTGCCCCACTTGAGGACGTTGCACCAGTCGCGGTACTAGTACTTGATGTTGAGACAGGAACAAAATCCGCGCCACCTTCTAGTGCTAGCATCTTCGCAAACTTCGCTTTTGCACTGCTCGATGAGTCTGAGAAATAAATGCTGCTTAACCCAGTATCATTAGCGCCAGTGCTTCATCAACATCGGCTTCGATATAGACTTTTTTACTGCATGAAACTCGGGGACTTGGACTCCCATTGATTTCACTAATATACCAAAGAGAATCCGAGTCCTTTACTTTGCTCAGGAGATTCAAACTCTTCATCTACATGCTTATACATAGACAGGAGTAGGGCATCTACAAATTGCGAAATAAACTAAAAGACGAGCCATAATACTGGCACTCAGGCCCTTTTTACCGGAGGATGAGGAGCCGAATCCAGAATCTCCGAGAGGATCCAATGGATCCAGCGAACCGTCCATGCACAACGCGGGAGAAAAAGGAACTGAATTCGCAAGGGACCGACTTCCGTTCGATCGCGACGTAGTCCAGATCCCCTTTCGCCCTTCAATATGCAAATCGAAAACGACCCAGCTCTTCAAATAATCAACCCAAAGCAGGAAACTGTTTGTTGTAGGCAGTTAGTTGTTATACAACGCGCGACTTGTTTTCTTACATATACAACGTAACCACATGTTGCTAACTTGTTACAGGTCCCGTCTTACTAGAACATTATGTATGAAATTCATCGCATTAGATGGCCACAATAGTAAGGTAAAGAATTTCCGTCAGCTTGAAAGGCATAGGCATAGGAAATAAAGGCTCTAAGCTGTCTACTAACAATACCACTCGATTTCAGGAGTCGCCATGAAGTCTGAAGTCCAATCGTTCTCGTTTTTTTGAAAGCGTATGTCACAAGAAGCATGCTTTCCGACTGCGATCCACGGTTTTTTTCTAAACTTTAATAGCTGGCAATTCTGGTTCCATATCTGAATCGCAGGGGCCTTGTTCACCTGGGATCATGGGACGAAAATACAGTATAGATGAAACTTGACGATAGACCTCATGAAGTGAGTTACTAGTACTACTAGCACTAGGTCAATCATGTCTATGTAGAAGTATACCACTTCCTAATATATACATCGTAACACGGTAGAAACTCGACGAGTTCGAGTCGAGAAACTAATTGGTCGGTACAGCTCCTACAGCTGGATTTCCGACACAGAACTTCTATTAATTCTGATTCGAATTCAGTGTGTTCAACGTATTATATATAAATAAAATAATGCAATTTATTGCGGATGGAGAATCAGAATTTAGAAACGTGACTATCATACTATTAGAAAGGCTCGCCGACGACAGTACTTTTTGGAGTTCCTTCTGACTCCCGTGGAGAAGGGCAAGTGCGGGGGCGACCAGTTTTTGATGCACGATAGACGCAAGCTTTGTCTTTGCTGTCGCGTGCTGCGTGACGATTAGCTTGTAGAGTGCTTCGTACTCTTCGCACCAGGCTTTTGGGATGCCAGTGATGTCGTTGAACTCTGCCTCTGTTTGTGCAGCAACTGCGTCAGCAGTAACCTGCCTTCCGAACTTCTCCGACTTGTTTTCGAGAAATTTCCGTATTTTTCGTAGCTTCTCTGCGAGAGCCTCGTGCATTTCTGTAGACAGACCAGCGTCAATCTTCTTTTGCCTTTCAGCCTTTGTCATTGTCGAAACTGGCTCGCCTCCAAACGCTTTTTCCATAGCGCTGGCGAACTTGTGACTATGCCAGCCGCCAAAATGATATGAAAGTGGGAAATTTTGATGGGAAGAATCAATGTGACTAATTCTTATAATATCTGATCTCTTTGAATATGTCTTTAGAACAGTCAGATTACCAAATTATCAGCAGCATTATTTTTCATGCCGATTTTATTGTAACTTCTGCAGACATATACTAGCGCAAATCCATGGTTATATGGAGCCTGCGACGACCGACAAGAAATACTGACCAACATCTAAGTGATAGTATAAGTAGAAATCAAAGATGCTGATGTTGCCTCCAACTGTTCATACACCCTTTGACCCTGCGCCTTTGCCTCCCGGTTGCCACCAAAACGAGGACGCTTTCGGGGTGAGCCCTGCCAGACTGCTCGGTCCACCACTCCAGAAAGAATATGGGCCAGGAATGCCGGACACCGAACCGGAACTTGCGCTAGAACCACTTGGTAGGGGCATACTCAATTGATCCACAAAATTCTGGAGTCCTTCAAGTGTAGCAAGTGGGTGCGCTAAAAATGTGCTGGTTGAGGAAGATGATGTCGCTGTAGAAGTTCCCGCTGATGTGGATGTTGTGGATTTCTTACCCCCAGACTTGGCGGTGCTTGTCGAGGACGTCGCGGCAGCTTTCTTACTACTCGTCGCGCCTATGCTGCTTGTATTGACTTTTTGCTTCGCTGCCTCGATTGCCGCGGTCGTAGAAGGGGACAGGCCCTTTATGTAGTATGTCAGTTTTTGTAGATCTTTGTGCGCTTGCTCAATGTTATGCGCCAGAGTAGCATTCTCGTATTCCATCATTATCGTATCAGTAAAGGACTTTGGTTTGCATTTCTTCTTGTCCTTCTCCTTTTTCGCATGAAGAAATAGCTCGAATTTGCTTACAGATTTGTTTTTTATCACTTCCATCTTGCTACTTTTCCCATCAGCCTTCTTGTCGTTCTTTTTTTTGTCCTTGGAAGAAGTTTTGCCAGTCGCGCTGCTAGTGTCCGCCGGAGCCTTGCTGCCAGGCCAACTACTCTCCGGTGACACTAAGCTAGCCATAAAAGGGTTGCCGAGCAAGTTCGCACCGCTTGCTGAGGCACTCGACGATCCACCCAATGTGCTACTTCCAGGTGGCAGTCCTGCAAATACAGTAGAAACTGGTGGAAAACTACTGACGAGAAATTTTGGCACACTAGAGGGCTTTCCGCCTTTTTCTTTGGAAAACACTGCCTCCCATGTTAGAGGTGGGGGCACATCGCTAAAGGATCCACCTGCTGCTGCCGCCTTGCTAGCCGCTTTACTTTTGCTTGGCGCGGGTCCCTTTTTCCCGGCTTTCAATGCTTCAGCTTCCGATGCAGTTTTGCTTTTGACGAGGCCGGTGTTGAGTGAGATCGGGCCGTAGCTTCCAAACATATCGGTACCCACCAATTCTCCCCCTTCAGGTAGCCCGAAGGGATAGCTCCACGGCGACTTGCCCTTTGGCAGTGCAGCGCCACCTTTCACCATAAAGCATTTTACTTGTGCAGTCTGCATCGGCATCCCCGACGACGTACTTGCGTCCTTCGCCAAAGCAGATACTCCGGAGGACTTGCCCTTGCCCTTAGTTGATTTAGCACTTTCATTCGAGTTGGAAATTGAGGAGGACGCCGGAGCAGGAGCGCCGCTCGGCAAACCAACAGCAGGTGTTGACCACCAGGAATTCGCTGATGAAGTGGCATTGCTGTCAAGCACAAAAGGGTTGGCAACCAAAGCGTTTCCGCCCAAAGGTAACGAAGGGTGTGCACCGGGCGGAATATGGAGCGTGAAGGGAGCCCCTGCATTAAGACCATCTCCTGAGTGCATGGGAATCCCGGACGACGAGCCTGTTGGTCCGGCCGTTATACTCGCTGAGGTCAGGTATGCCGTCACGTGACTCCCAAATATCGGAAGGGACACAGCATTAGGCGGTGCGCCTGCGCCAGCAGCTGTTCCACCACCTCCAACTACAGCACCGGGTCCCGAGCTCGATGTTGTTGAAGCAGATTGCTGTTGTTGTTGTTGTTGTTGTTGTTGTGCTCCACCTACTGAACCTGAAGCTATTATCGGTATATTCTCGTTCAACAAGTCGGCTGGTGGCACAGTGGCGTTGCCGGCCTTCGCGACCGCTGCTGCTGCTGGAGCGGACGACGTTGAAAAAGACCCTGCAGCGGGCGCAGAAGATGTGGACTGTATGCCTGCATCGACAGGTTTGGTGGCTTGCGCGGCGGGCTCCAGACCGAGTGTCGCGTCTATTTTTGCCTTTAGTACTTCACCTTCCACATCCGCCTCGTCTACGCCTAGTAGAGGAAACTCGCAAACCAGCGCTTCCAAGTCGTCTAGAAGTGAGGGGTCCAGCACACTGTCCTCAGCCCACAGGGCGTCCAATAGCTCGTCAGGAACGTGGCCGTTCTCCTGATAAGGGCCGTGGATGAATTCCGTGAGCATCTCCTGCAAGTAGTGGCCTTTTGGCAGCTCCGCGTGAATCTGCTTCAAGATGCTGTCGACAGTTTTCTTCTTACCCTTGTCCGCCAAATTTGATGTTGTTCCTGCCAATGGTGTAGCTGGAGGAAGACCCAATGCCAATGACCCTCCATTATACGGAAAACTTAGTGTCGCTGTTGTAGCTTCACCTTTTCCGCCAGCCGCGGAGGTTGTTGCGTAGATGTTGCTGCTACTAGCAGAAGAGTTGCTGAATGGTGGCACTGGTGGCAAGTCAGCATTAGGCTGCACTGCGAAGTGATGGACCGTTTGGCACTGTGAACAGTATTGTCCAGCACTTCCGCTGTTCGTTCCAGAGGCGGCGTTGTCGGCAGTCGCACTGCTTGACGATGTTGCTCCATTAGCTGCATTTTCACCTAGACCTATCATATTAGTAGCAGTAGAAATTATTGAAGTGTGAGCCGGATCTTTAGTACTACTGGTCGCGCTAGCCTTGTTGTTACTTTTAAATGATGAAGTTGGTGCACTTTTGCTTTTCTTCGCCGGTGCTTTGCTATTGGTAGTGCGTGCCTTCTTTTTGGCTGTCTTACTCGGTTGAGGTTCCACCACAGGGTCTGTCTGTTGCTTGGATGTAGCGTTCGCAATCTTCTGATTGAACTCGGCAAGCGTCGTACTCTTTGTCAGCGCATCTTTGGCGAACGCCGACAGTCCGTTGCTCGAAGCACCGGCGGAGCCGAAGGGGAGAGGATAAGAATTCAACGGCACGGGGGCCGCGTTGACAGTCATGCCCGCTGCATCTTCACCGATACTAGCACTCTTCGGCAGCGCGTTAGGGAGCAGTGCACTCGGAGCACCGCCGCCAAGAGTGGAACTGCTCGGACCACCCGCAAGAGCGAACACAGCTACGGTACCTTTCGTATTTGCATGTGCACTCTGCTCAGCCGCGGCAGCAGTCCCAGCACCTGAAGATGGCTCGGCACCGGGAGCAGGTGGACCTCCGCCGAAGAAGCAGGGTGGATGGTACAACGGACTCCACAACTTGCACTTAGGTACCACATCGCCTCCTGCAAAAGATGAAACGCCGGATGCCTGCGGCGGACTGCCCGACGATGAGGTCAAAGCAATGGACTCCCAAGACGACGACGTAATGGATGATGAGGACTTGCTCCCTCCGGCACCTCCTGTCGTGCCTGGAGGTCCTCCGAGTGAAACAGCAGCTCCGATTCCACCTCCGATCCCTCCTATGTTGGCTGATGAAGGTAAACCTGCTTTGCCAGCAGGCGCAACATTCGTTGCAAAGCCATAGGGATTATAATATCCTCCTGCTCCACCGATTGCCGAAGAACTAAATAAGCTCGTACTAGCAGTCGCATTAACTTTACTGGAAAAGGACGATCCACCGTTATTCGTCGACTTGTCCTTAGAACTGTTTATCGTCTTGCTCATGGAGAGAAGATCCTTGTATTTCTGTTTGTACTTCGTTACAGCGGTGTGTAGCAAGTCCGTAGCCTGTACAATGATCTCGGGAGGGAATTCAGGTACTGCCACTAAGCTCGCTAATGAAGGCGGTGGCGGTGGCACCTCCAGAGTCGGCGTAGGCGGCTCCTCCTGCAAGTCCATTGCATTGCCAACAACCTTATCTTTACTCGAGGTCTTCGGTGGATTATTCTTCGTTGAAGAAGAGGACGCGCTGCCTTTTTTACTTGTTTTTCCCGCCCTACTATTTTTAGCCGCACTCGCACTAGACTTCGTTCCTGTCTTGCCTGTGGCCTTTTTCACCGCTAGGGTTGTACTAGAACTTGTTGTCTTCGATTTCCCGCCGTTCTTCGCGGCAGTCTTAGCGGCCGTCTTAGAGGCCGTCTTGGATGCCTGCTTCGAGGCCGTCTTAGATGGTTGCTTTGAGGCCGTCTTAGAAGCTTGCTTGGAGGAGCCCGATGCTGAACAACCTGCAGCCGACTTCTTCCCAATCTTGGCAGCAGGCGTAGATGCTTTGCTCTTGGCGGAAGCCACAGTCTTGCTCGCTTTAGTGGAACCCGCATTCTTCGGCACGGCCTTCTGCGCCCCGGTTCCCTTGATAGCAGCTGGTCTTGAAGAACTCGCGTCAGCCTTTTTGGTCGTCTCTTTGGCAGGTTGTGCTGCGGGTTTCTTCCCTGCTGCGTTTTTGGGTCCTGCCTGCTTGGCGTCCTTTTTCTGAACCGCCTTGCCTGGCCCCTTGCCTGTGATACTGGTGGACGAACACGAACCTCCACCCGCGCCCATTTTATCGTCTCTCACCTTAACAGTTAAACTGAAATCTCATTGTCAAATCAACCACGAGTCGACAATTAAAAAAGTCTGAAACTGAGCAAGGACGTGCTGACAAAGAAGCGACGGACTCGACGAGATCAACAAGAAATACAGATCAGACATCGACATGCCCCCCGATCCACTTCGGCATTAATCTATGTCATGAAAAACTTGTCGCTCCAACCCTAAGTGAAAATTGGTGACCTGCCAGTGAGACAATAATCAAGAAAAAACCGCGTATGAAGAGCAATCATCTTCAGAAACCAGGACCAACAAGCGGGCGGCTTGTAGTGGTTGTAGCAAGTTAAAATTGTCTTATCGTGACCACAAGAAACCGCGGAGTTCCCTCTCATATTCCGTGGAACAAGGGTGGTCATTTTTCTTGCGCCACTATCCTCAGATCCTCTAGGCGAGTCTGAAAGTAATGGGAGTACTAACCTTTGCACCTCCGAGATAAAAACTGCAATCAAATATTGATTTTTTTTTGCAGGTTTGCTCGCAAATTAGAAATAGCTCCGCGATGAGCCGATACTGAAAAAATTGTTTCGGACTTCGTCAGTTGTATATTCTCAATCAGAAACAGAATCAGCTGCTGCTCCTTCTCATAATTGAATTGGAAAACTTCATTCAAAACATCCTCTTCATCTTGGATCTTCATTTCTGTAAAAGCGCGAACAGGTACAAGAACATGAAAATTTGCATCAAAGCTACTCTTCTACATCGTTAGATTTCTGATGTTCAGCATACAACAAGAGGTGGAGGACAGAAGCTGTGAATATCGTCTACTGCGTTGTTGCCAGGAACGCAAGTTTTCTCTTCCATGCGCCGTTCTACGAAGTCATACACCCGGCGGCAATCAGCGGTCACGTGGCGTTCTAATCCGAAATTCTCTAGGATATCCTCGAAATTCTTGCCCGGGCCAGCGAAGTGATACAGAAGTGCAGGACTCTCGAGCCGCCGCCACCCGACGACATGATTCATATCAACGTACCGCGGGTCAATAAACTCCACGACCTTGCTACTACGATTTCCGGAGGGACCTGAGAGAAGCAAACAGGGTGAATACTTACCACACAAGCATACGCTAACGCTACAGCCAAGCACGCACTGCGACAAGCCTTGCCGGGCGGGGTAAGACGCGCAGCCCAGAAACTAACAGATACAGAATACGCAAACGCGAGGATTGCTAGAGAGGCTACTTACTAAAGAACATACTTAAAAACGGCCGCCGAATCTGTTCGGACCTCTGCTTGTTGTGCTTTTCCTGTTTTCAGTCAATTCAGTTAAGCCAGGCGATAAATGGCTCCCCCTGCGCCACAATATACTTACATACAAGAACACAACCGAAAGTAAGAAAACCCAAACGCGCCCCTTTCTTTGCGGAGAGCCTGCATAGCATTCGAGTGCACCCACGCCGAGAGCCATAGACATCCACCTAACCAGCAAAGCCCAGCCGGGCAGCGTCGCCAAGGCTTAAACTCTGCCGACCGCCCCATCGGGGTGCGCGCGGCTCTAGCGCCTCCGCCTCCCTTCTTAATCCATCCGGCACCGGCCATCTCTTTGCTCCCGGCTTTCAGCAGCTTCACTCTGAAAAGCTTTTTGGGCCTGCAGTCCTCGAGCACCTGGCAACTGTAAGCCCTCACCGGAGTCAGTCTCTACATAGTATTAGCGAGGCCTCAACCTTCTCGGGCTGCCTGCTCTGGCTGCTGCCTCTCTTTTTTTAAAGAGGTTGGCACGCTCTGCCATTGCACGCCGCACATCAGCAGGGTCTGCCCCGCCTTCCTGTGCCATTGTTCTAGCGTGGTCCCCGTGTGCGTAAGAAAGTGCGCAAGTGTAACTATGTACACGAATAAGCTAAGCCGTCGAATTAGAGAGCCCTTGCCGAGAGAGCTCCCGATGGCTTTGAGCCTCTTCTCTTCCGTCGAAGAAGTTATACGATCTGGCTCGGGTTTCACTGCCGCCCCAGCACCGACTTAGTTGGCCGCAAAGGGCTGCCGCGTTTCCACTATCAGCCCGCGTTGCATCTCTCCGCCCGCCTTCAGCTCATAGCAATGACGCCACCGATAAGAAACCGAACAGAGCGACAAGAAGAGCTAGTCCGCCCGCGCACAACTTCAGACGGGAAAACGAGAACAATCGACGGCAGCACCCCCCTCAAGATTTACAGCACGCCAGGCGAGCGCCTTCCTTCCAAGTCACCACACTCCAAGATAAACCGGCGACATTCTCTGGCATCTGCGACGATTAGAATCCTGAACATAACAACGGCACCGGCGCGGTCTACTCCACCCTGTCCCACCTGTACAAGGACGGGCGACGGAGGCTCCTTCTTTGCGCATGGCATTCATGGGGCGCGGGCGTGGGCTACTTCTGCCGCAGTGGCGTTGCTTGCTGCAGAATTTTGCGGAGATCTTACCACAGCTTTGTTCCAGCGAAAGGGGCGTGAACAATCAGGGACCCCAGAAGGAAGACCCAGACCAGGCGCGCGCGCGCCTCTTCCCGGGCCTTTTCACTGGAGCCCTGAGGCCACCGCGGCACGTGCGCTAGGCCAAGACGCGCCGCCATGACCCGTGGGCAGCCTCCTGAGCCGAGTAGCTAGAATGCGCGGCCAATTCTCATTCTCACGCGTGTGGCAGTCTTCGCCCGAGTAGATAAGTAGCAAATGCAAAACAATCTATTACGGCCAAAACCAATCAAGCCAAACAGTTAGATGATTTACCTGCGAATTCCTTCAGATTCTGCCACCAGCACATGGAATAGGCAGCAATTTGATGTGCCCCATTCGCATCTGGAAAAAGCCAAGGCATGCAAATAGAATCGTAGAAATCAGCAGTAAAACTTCGCAAGTCATTTCCGTTGTACCACGCGTTTAAATCCTCCATCTGATCTGGTTGGTAGTTCTCAACCTCTGAGCCGCCTTGTTCACTCGTTTTTCCAGCTGAGGCCTCTTGCCCTTGCTCCACCAAAGATGTTGCTGGCATTTTTGGGGACGGTGGCAACGCGTTGGAAGTAGTCGCTGCGCCCTCTACAAACGACTCCAGGAATTGTCTTTGTTCAAAAGCTTGTTCTACCACCCCGACTACTTCGAGCACCGTCTCATCAAATGCACCCTGGTCGTGTTGGAAGGTCTGAATCCACGAAATTTTGTCCAGCAACAAGTTCAAAAATGCACGACCTTGGACGCTATTTCGGAGCATCGTGAACCCATTATTCAACGTTTGCGGAGGAAAGATGTCGCGCATCACAACATGCTTGTCCGTAAGTGCCAGAATGTCATGTAAAAACGAAAACCGGTCCGGCGACCAGCAGTGGATTAGACACGGAGGAAAAAAGTAGTCGTAGGCCGTCGTAGAAGACAAGCCGATCACATCTTCAATTCGTAAATCTAATGACGCCTTCATCGTTCCCTTATCAAAACTCTGGTCAGTAGCTACTTTCTTCGCTAAGTCATAACTCTGGCACCACATATTGGTCCGGATCGACGAGAATGAGCCAGTCGTAGCTTTCTAGAAACTGGTCTGCCATGTACCATCTAAACCAGTTCGAGGCGCGAAAATGTGCTTTTAGATTGTAATCGTCTGTCGGCATCACGAATTCAAACTGGTGATAGTTCGCATAGCAGCGCCACAGGTTCAGAATTGCTTGATACCGCTCTAACACTTCCTTGGCATTGCTGACGCCTAGAATGATGCCAATTCTCAGGCGGGGAATTACCTCGTGGCTGGGTCGCCGATAGCGGAGAGGTAACTCTGGATTGGCGTTAGTTCCATTCCATTCAACCCAACTGTAATGCTTTGTGCGTGCACCCCCATCTGGCAACGAAAGAGGACGTGAGGTTTCCATTCTTGTTTGGAGCGCAGCTGGCCCCTCTGCCTGAACGCTTTTTAACAAGGCTGCTCGTAACGATGCAACGGTCTCCGAGTCAGCATTGTTGCCGGAACCTCCTTTTATTCGTACCAAATTCGGATGAAGCGACTCTTCTACAGGGCTTGTTCCGGAATCAAGACTTTTCGGGGGCGTCGAACCGCTGGTCCTACTTCTTGTACTTGCTAGTACACTCGTTTCCAGCGCGAATTTCGCTGCGTAGTCTAGCTGCTGCTCTCGAAGCTGCCGTTGTCGCAAGCGCTGACAGAGCGCTTTCCTCGAATCTAGCATGTCGCGGATCTCTTGATAGGATATCACCCACTCCTCTTCAGGCAGGTAATACTCTAGCATCAAAGCCCGACTCTCATCCACTGAAATGTCTGCTCCTGTGATCTTAGGGAGGTCGTCCATGCGGGGACCGTCCAAGCCCATCTCCCGCCCGATTTTCCTCGACTTTATGTGCGCTCCCATGTCATGCATCAGTGCCACCGCAGCGAAGGCATGAAAGTTCTTGGAGGTGTGGTACTAGATCATCTGAATCTGCTTCTTGTCTTATTAATTTATACGTAGATACGTATGATCTTTGGTAATGAAAAACTTTGCATCGAAGTGAGCTCGTACGCAGATCAATTGACGTCGATGCATGTGCCTCGAGTCGGCCCCGAAGAAAACAAAATTACCCTGACTGTAAACACTCCTTGACGAAGAATCATAAACAAATGGTAGGAAGCTCTGGGTGCAAAGACTCATGTCTTCGTTGATCTCCTGCGGCTGGAAGAAGTAGAGGGCGTAGAATATGAGCGACAGAAGGCAGAGCTGGTGGAAGCAGAAGTCCACAAAACACTCGGCTCTCCGCGCCATGCCGTTATCAGCCCAAGTCTGCACCACTCCAGAGCAATAGGCAACTTCTGGGTCGTGGTAGTTGTACTCAGTGGTCATAATGACCAGTTTTACACAGCGTTCGACGAACTTTCTAGGCGACACGCCCGACCCGGCCCGTTCGAGGAAAAAAGGCTCGTCCATGCACATCGCGTGACGCAACAGGAACGGGTTCTTTTCGCGGGTAAAAGCCTGGCCGGCGTCTGCAGTGGACGTGGACGTAACCTGCCCACCATCCGTTTCCGCAGAGGAAGATACTGTTTCTGCATTTTCACCACTCTCTGCGGATGGTCGTCCACCCTCAGCCCCAGTCGCGGACACACCATAAAAATGCTTACAACCGCTGAGACTAGCACGTCCCCAAAACGAAATCCGGCCAAGACACACCACAAAGGCGAAGCGCCATAGTGGCGTTGAGCTTCGATGGCGGGGAGTCAGCATGGCAAGAATTGTTCCATGCAAAGCATACGGTGACCTCCGCCATCAGTGTATTTTCGGAACTTCTTGATCGGGTTCTCTCATTTCTATCCTACTCACGCTCTCCTCTGCGATTGACTTTAGTGTGATCTGAGTGCCTTTCAGAATGTGCAGCAGAGCTTCTCTAAAATGTTGAGCCTTCATAATAGCCAAATACATCAGACACCTAAACAGTCAGAGCTTTGATTCTTAGCTCAGACGGGCTTGCATTCTAGCACCTTCAGCGGCGGTCGATGTATCCCACTGATGCGACCGCGCGTCTCGTTCCACGATGGAGAGCCCCGCATAGCAAAAGCCCCTGATGAACAAATGTGATCTGCGGCTCATCTGACGATGCTTCCTTAGTATCGCTATCAACCAGGCCAAACTACCTTGAATTCGAGACGCCTCAGTTTTGAGGTTGATACACAACAGTGTAGCTACAGGTGGAGGAGGTGGAGGCACGTAGAGTCCTAGCACTATCGGACAGGACGTGGTGACAAAGAGGGGTAAAGGGAGCAGGAGTTGTGAGTCTGGACAAATTTCAACGCGGACGTGGCACGAATGGTAGTAGATATAGAGTTTGAAGTATGGGTTCGACGGTGTTAAGCGGAGTCAGTTCCTCTTCAGTCTCACTGAATACACGACTTTCACTGAATTCTATTTCTATTGAGTCAGATTATCCCCAATAAATTGTCAATCTCGAAGATAAGGAACCAACCACAATATCACATATTGTGGAATTCTTTCACTTTGGATAAGAAATATCAAACTGATCGCCCTCTTCTACGAAATGATACAGACAAATAGAAGGATGATGAACTAGTAGAGTCTTCTATGGCTACCACGAAGTACTAGCTAATTCTGAAACAAGGATGAAAAAACGTCAGCTACGTTAGTATTCAATCTGCTGAAGTAGTCATTGATATCGTTATAGACAATGAATAGAACAAGGATTAAAGATACACGGTCGCCAGTTCAGAACTTAGTGGTATTCGAAGCTCACTCTAAACCCTGAGAATCAGCTTCGTAGTCGTCCAAGGAGGCAGCACGAGATTTTACCAAGTAGGAGTGTTTCCTAGGAATAGAAACATCTCTTGCGCTTGCACCCACTGATAAAACTGTCCGATCACGGACGTGCTAATGCCTCGAGGAACGGTAAGGTACATGCAGAATTCACTCTGCAACCAAACATAGAAGCACTCGTTATCGGTAGCAACGCAAATCTGGCTTGGCAAGGAGCAATGCGTCATCAATTCCCGGCACTTGCTGTAATTCCGGAAGATATATTTTGGGTCGTAACCAACGCGCACGGCACTCGTAAAATACTGCTGCGACCCCTGTGGTGGTGTTTGTATTGATACGAATACGATGGAAGCAGGCTAAATTTCTAACAAGTCAGCTGGGTCATGATAGTGTATGAAATGGCTGATGGCGCTGCTTGTTCCCAGTAGTCAAGCACACAATCGACGCTACCTAGTTAGCTAGCATATTAGTAGTAATACACGACGGCACAAAAGATAGTAGGGCGCGCCTGACTTTCCACCTGGAAAATGAATGTAAGACAAGTGCTCCAAGGTTGTCCCTGTTATAGATGATTTTTGAGCTTGAAGGGGATGTTAAGCACGAGGAATAGAACCAAAGACGCGGCGCTCACCCTCAACACTCGTATGGAGCTAGTAAAGAGAAAGGCAAAGACGAGCTCGCATAAGCTTAGTATAGTTAACGAAACAGAAGGAAAGTTTGGGCATCAAGGTGAGAAAAAATTAGAAATTATACCTCGAGGTAGTAACAGCCATGGATAATATCATCAAGGAGCCAGGCCAACTGTCCCTGAAAACTGTTGCTCAGATAGGGAACCCGCTTCACACCCGTATATCTGACAGGCACCGGACATCCACCCATGGCATCCTGTATCGCGTCTAGCACATGTGTATCTTTCAGTTGCTGTGTGATTCGTCGCGCCCCTTTACTAATTTCCATAAATTGCTGCCCCGCATTGTCGTACGAGAAAAAAACCTAATCACATGTGTAACGTTGTTGTTGTGCCATGGATGACGAGATAATGAAGAAAGCCGACACCAATCACACTCTGCAAACTCTGCACAGCAGGAAATTACAGTCATAATCACGTGCACAAGCCTTGGCAAAAAAAATTTTATCCTCCAATGCCACGGACAGCCGAGACGTACTTTAACAAAGAGTATGCAGATATCCCCTACGCTGTAATTTTCAGTACCTGACAGACATCGGTTCCCGCTATGTAACCAATGTATGCATACGTGAACGCTCGGTCCGAAATACTTGGTAAACAAATCGGAGTCCACGATTCCGTTCCGCGTAACGAGTTCGACGATAATATATAGTTGATCACGCACACTAGGTCTCCTACTTGGTAGGTCTGATGTGGTATTTTTATAGGTAGAAAGATTGATAAAATAGAAATACGTCATCTTACGTTCTTTATCTTTACGTGAGTCGACATGTGATAGACGAGGCAGTGTCGGGGAGACGAGTGAAATGTCGATGCCATTTCTTTCATGTCAATGATGTGAGTATCGTGAAACTAAGTAGAACTCCTGTGATCTTTACCGCTTTCGTTTGCTTGTTCGATACGAGCGCGACGACCCGGTGGCCAGCGATGATAAAGGCGAGGAGCAAGTTTGGGATGCGTGTTGATCGCAATGCCTCTATACAGACATTGCGATGCGCCGGGTCCAGAGGCAACGACTCCACCCCCTCTACCTGTAAAAGCATGTCGTTGAAGCTCCAGCGTACTAGATTCCCGATCACGTGCTGCGTCCCCGAAAGGAGATTCCGTATATCAAGGTTTGGTCTTTGCAACAGCTGACGCTCGACTTCACTGGTCACGATGGTCACGAATTGGCGATACACCCTTGAGAGCAGAATCTCCAACGCTGCGTGCGCCAAATTCAAGTGCGCCGTGATGCAAACCAGAATCAAAGGTCCTTTCTCCAGAAAGACGAAGCGGCGCTGTGCAGTTGTGATACTGCGCAGCACGTCTTTCCCATTCGATGCGTGGAAAAAAGCCGCCATTTTGCTTGCGATCACTTGCAAAACGCCGAATTGCGACACTTCCTCGTCGTTGCCGTACCTCGTGTAGACCGGTTTCCCTGAGAACGTGAAGACGAAGACGTGGTTGCGGTGCTTGAACCACAATGGATTGTCATCCGTCTCCCGGTCATACTTACCGGCGCCCTGCTTCCAGATCCGCTGTGCCCACGTCAGCGGGCCGCCGGTGGCAGAACCAGTCCGCGACAGTGGTCCCTTACCACCAGACGCAGAGCTGGTGCCCGACATTGGTGCGTTTCTGCCCTCGTCAGAAGGTTTTGTCTCGGCTACAGGATCGCTCGATACTGGCGATCGCTTTGGACTTGATGATGGACTCGATGCGCCCTTGCTCCCCTTTACACCTCCTCCAGAAGCAGGAGCGGCTGGAGGACCTGCTTTACTAGCACTCGTACCTACCAATGCGTCCTCCACGCTCTGCTCGCCCGGAGAAACTGAGTCGCCCCACGCCGACGGACTGCTCACCCGTTGGATGATATCACCGACAAAGTCGTCCTCGCCCAAGGTGTCGTGACTTCTAGCAGGCATGGCCACTAGAATGTCACTGCCACTATCATCGGAATGGAAGTCGAATCCTCCAGCCCCTAGTATTCGCTGTTCATCGACGAAGACCTCCCCCGCTGTGGGAACATCAGTACGATCCCACTCTCCTTTGGGGTCGTGCCATGCTTGTTGTTTCTGCCAAAAGTGGTCACCTGTTCTTGAAGACGGTCCGTTGGCAGCACCGGAGGAAGATGATGGAGTAAGCTTCTCTACTTGCTGGCCGGGTTCTATCTTCGGTTTGCTCCTCAAGGAGCTATCTGGCTTCGTTTCTTCGTCTTCAGTTCGCGGCGTCACTACACCAACAACCATTTTTTTCCGCGCACGCTTGCCAGAGCTTGGAGGACTACTGGAAGTTGCTCTCGGGCTAACGCTGGCACTCTTGGGAGTCTCGTTTACAGGTATTGGCGAAGCTGCGTGCTCGACTTCCTTCGGCGGGTCTCTACTCTCATTCTTGTCTGGTTTTAGTGATGATGAACTTTCGGGCCTCGGATCTTCGACACTCGATTTCGAGGCGCTGGCACCTGCTGGTATTGTTTTTTCGCTAGGTGGCTGGTTCCCGTGGTCACCATCGGGCAGGCCTTTCTCATCGTCTGCAGTCGCCTTATCTCCAGTGTCTTCTTCTACTCCGGCGAAGCGTCGACTTGCGTTTTCCTCAAACACCTCTTGAGAGGGCTCTTGCTGTTCAACACGCGCTGCCTGTGCTGCATCCTTACTCTTGTTTTTCCTGGCACGGCGCTTCGCTGCCGCGCTCTGGTGCCCTTTACCGGTATTCGTTCCACCTATTGTGTCTTGCGGACTCTGCGAGTTTGGTGAACTACTAGGTGTCGGACTGGAACTATTTTTGCTTATCTTGCTGCTGGGATTCCAGCCGTTTGTCTTCCTATCAGCGCCTGAATTTGTGCCATTTGCCGACGGAGGCTGACTTGCACTCGAACTCGGTAAGCGAACCGTAACTTCTCCAAGAACGTTAACATCTTCGGGCGAAGCCGCCACTTCTTGCGCCTCAACGTTGAGTCCATTTGGTTCTACGCTGCTCGGCACATCAGCCAACTCTGGATTTGTGTGACTGTCAGGACGTGCCTCTTCCAAGGAGGAGTTCGGCTCATTTCCCGTACTTTTTCTAGGATAGGGAACGGGGGGTGCGTCGTCAGCAACGCTCTCCTGATTTGACGACGGACCAGACGAGTTCTGCTGCTGATTATTTTCTGATCGCTTCTTCCCTCTGCCCTGCTTGCTCGTGGCGGAGGCCACACGAAAACCTCCTGAGTCTTGTCGACTCTCGACACCGCTTGAAGAAGATGAAGACGCAGATGCTGCTCGTTGCAGATCGACGCCTGAGTGAGTACTACTTTCATTTTTCTCGTCTGCACTGCGTGATGTAGACTGCTCAGGTAGCTCTTCGACTCCCGAGGATGGGAGAATCTCCGAGTCGCCCGAAGATGGGACGTCCTGATCTGCTTCCGCGTTGTCATACAGCTTCCCTCCGACGCTCTTGTAAGCGCCAGGTGGTATTGAGGCAAAGGAGTCTCGTCCAGGCGGGATGGAGGCAAAGCTGTTTCGACCCCGCGGCACAGACTCGTCATCCGCAGACCGAAACGACTCGGTCCCGTCCGACAGGTAGTGCGTCTCCGACGGCACTGTCGACTTCGCCTCGTCGCTCCATCCCGACAATGGTTCCGGTGTAGGTGACTGCGTCATCGCTGTTCAACAGCGAGAACAACCCTCAAGAAGAGGAGCGCAAAATCGATGCCAGGAAAGCCCTATTCGACATGACAATGCTCAAGATACGGGGACGCATTCCCCAACGACCGCAAGCACGTCATCATAACGTTAACGTCTTCATCTTCTAGCCTAGTATGCTGACACAACATCAACGCAATAATTAAATGTACGAAGGCAGCCACTCTTCTTTCAGACTACAGGAAAAATCACATGCCTTGTTACATCTACAGCTGATATCTGTGCAAAAGCCTGTGCAAATATTCAACGTTACAACTCACACCGCTTCGAATGTTGGTATAAATTCTCCTACGATATTAACATTAAGGCAATCGTTCTGAATTACGGAGTCTCTAACAAGAGCTAGTTTTGCATGTGCAAATCACGCGGAAGCCAGTAAACTATTGAATTAACATTTCATCCTCGCCTCTAGCACGTCCTTCTCAACTCACAACCACAATACAGAAAATTTCCAATAGAAGCTAAACGCTTATACAGCCCTAACAGACGACGACGAGCCGGCGAAGCAGCCGTGATTAAGAACAATATCTCGCTGCTGTTTTCATTCTCGTCTGATCAGTCACGCACGGAACTGTACAAGCAAAAGATCACGTCACAGGCTTTTCGAGTATTGGGAAAATAAAATTTGGGAACCGATATGTGACTTTATATGTCAAGAGTATGCTTGCTTCATCTCATTCTTATCTGCTGGAAATAAAACCACGGGATCGTCTCGAAGGAGCAAATAGAACCGAGAAGAAGTGTTTTTTTTTCAAGAATAAAGTTCGACGGCAGCACCACCAGGTTGAATAAACGAAAACGCGTAGTAATGTTGACAGCATGTCCGACACTTCTAGAGCAGCCACTACTTTGAGTAGAGCACGCCCTGCCTCTCCAAGTACTCCTTTACCGTCTGCAGACCCACTTTACGCGACAGCGCTTCCTGTAGATACTGCTGAACTTTTTGAGGGATAACGGGCTTGTACAACAGTATGTCATCCCACAAGGGGCTGCCCTTTATCGCACGCGTCATCATCGTGTCAAGACTCAAACCGGTAACGGCGTCAATGCGAGAAGGTGTGGCATGTCTAGATTTTTGCGCACTGCCTGTTCTTCCTAAACCCCCTGATAGATCCGGTGCCTTGATGTCGTTCCTTTCCCTATTATGAATATCAACAGCATCTTCTCGTCCACCAGTGCTCTCATCGGCATTTTTTTGGTCTTCTTCCTTCTTCATGGCACTGCCTTTGTGAAGATCGAGAGACTTTGCGAGCATTTGGTCGAACTGGCCGGCGTCATCATCGCACAGAAATCGGAGCATGGCTTCGACTTTTTGTGATAAAAACGCCTTACCTGAATTGACTTTGAGACCCCAAGCAACAGCCCACCGCTTCAGCTCATCTTCACCAAGAGAATCATAGACGAAACGTCCAAAACTGTCTCGGACAATCTGCAATTTTGCCGCTCCTGGACGACGTGCAGAACTTCGTGAGCCGCTGGCCTTTGCTTTTGCGCTACGCGGAGCCGCACTTTCGCTTCGGTTTCTCTTGTTTCCCGGAGTTGTTTTCCGCGCTGGTGTCCGCGGTTCGGGCGGGACGCGGCTTCGCGAACCCGCGTCCGGTTCCTCAATTGCGCCGGAGCTGAAGGCAGTTGATCCTCCGAAGGCATTGAAAGCGAGGCCAACACCCTTACTCTTCGCTTCAGAAGTAAATGCTTGCTGATTCCGTTGCTCTCCTCGCGCAGACACTGGAGTTCTTTTCTGAAATGCACCTACTGCATTTATCTTGTTTTCCTCGTCTTGTCCTCGCGACAGTGCTCTCCCTCGACTTCTTGCGGAAGATGCCGGGTCGTCCAGATTCTTTCGTACTGCACTCTGTGGTCTGCCTTTCTGTGCCTCTCCATCCGAGCCGGAAGACGAATGCAAGGAGATTATCTCCGGCTCCTCTTCAAATTTTCGCCGCTTCACCCCGTGGCTAGGAATCAAAACCACGCGCTTTTGTGCACGTGTACTTCCAGGCGTGCTCTTCGAAGAGGTGGCCCTATGTAATCGATGGCTATCTTCATCCTCATCTACCGCATCAGGGTTCTTGACGGCACGACCATCGCGACTTGCGAATGACGGAATAATTTCAGCTACAAGCGGTTTTTTACCAAGGACAGCGCGTTGCTGTTGCATTCTTCGCAACAGGTTGCTAGCTGTAGAAGAGGTCGTTGCCCCACCAGAACCAGCATCAAGAACATCTCGTGGTCTATTTTCACCTCCTAGAAGTATCTCACTTTTTCCCGCACCTCTATTCTCATCCATGACGACGTCGACGTTAATAATCGCGCCATCTGTCCCTAAGCGCCCTCCTGCATGTATCGGCGCAGGAGAGTATGCGGGGTTTGGATTACTCTGTTGCGACGCGAACGGATTGCTCTGTTGTGAGATTGATCGTGCCACAAATTGCGAATTCTCAACGCCAAGTTGCTGCGACAACAAGGCTGCAGGTGCTGCTAAGTCGACAGGAGGAGCTGCGCCAATGTGTTGTGGCTTTGCCGAGAAAGCACCAGCTTCAAACGCCGTCGTTTTCGGGTCCAAAATTAATACGGAAGCGTCGAGCCGGTCATCCACTTCAGCCGGTCGTCCACCCGCTGTTGAGTCCACTTCCTGCCGTTCTGCAAAATTGGCGTCAGCAGCAAAAGCACCATCTAGGTCTTGTGACAAGTTGGCAATCGGTCGTCCCGGCTCCTGTGGTCGACGGCAACTCCGCGGCAAAATGAAGCTGCTACCTTGACTCAAAACCGCATCTTGCGACCGTCCAGCAAGAGCACCACTTTCAATAGCCGCTCCTTGTGAAGAAGATACCTGTTCACCACGAGGAGCATCTTGATTATTATTGTCGCTAGCAGGAGCGTGGAGGGCCTCAAAAGCCCCAGCCTCCCTGAGGTGGCCCCTCAGCAAAAGTTGCTCTTGTGAAGACTCATCGTCAGTGATGAAGACGATATCACCTGACACGGCACTGCGTTGACTCCCGCTCATCCTTTGAAACTGTGGTTGGCGAATTCTTTCTTGTAGTCAAGTATTCACCGAGTAAACAAAGTCTTGCATTGGAGTTTAACGCTGCTATCTACCCATGTCATGGTATGTCAACTCTCATCACACATGCTGTCCCAAACACGATCTATCAAGACTATTTCACCTGAAAAAATAATGTATCACACGTTCAAATAGACAAAAGACAGACAATAGTGCGCAAGAAAAGCGTTCTACTCCATTCTTTCTTTTGTTGATTGTCATTTCGAATCAATGCCACCTTTCACGACTTTCGATGTCCTCAACTTTCTAGAAATCGAAAACTTGAACTTTATCCTGCTCAAACAACCTTTCTGCTAGCGGTACGTAGTGTTGCAGTGTGGAAAAAAGTGCTTTGAGTTACATCTTTCATTTGGATGAACACCATCATAGCAAGAGTTTTGCTTTTGCCTGGCTCATTCGGGATTAGTTCTTCTTTCGCGAAAAAAAATTGAATCATGGTACGACATGGGAATGGGGATAAGGGAGGTTCATCGAGAACATATCGTCTGCATTTGTAGTTGTACAATGAGCATCGTCAATCGCTAGAGTCACTGTATCCCGTGCTAAACGCTTTGACTTTTTCTTCTCGTTTTGGACTTCGTTCCCTCACCTGCGCGTCTGCGGTGAGCGGCGCTCTTTTCTTGCGCAGTTGCGGTTTTTTGTTTACGCCACCTTTGCTTTGCGCCGCCTTTGGTTGCACGGCTTGCTTCTCCACGTCCGCCGCCTCAGCGTCTCCGAAAACGTCTTTTTCGGGCTTGTTTAGGGTCCCTGGCTCCATGGCTGGGCCAATCTCTGTCACCAGATCTTGACCTGTAAATGACTCAAGCCCACCTCCAGTGGAGCTGCTAGCCGCACTCCCGCCAGCCTCGAAGTTGCGGAGTTCCCGGTCTATCTTTGCGTTTCTCAGTTCATCCGCTTCTACCTGCATTCTGGCCATGAAGGCTAGATACTCCTCCAGGTCCTCCGCTGCCGTCTCTGCCTCCCTAGCGCCACCACTGCCGTCCTCGTCCTGGAGGATCGCTCGGTCCTGGGCTGCGCTGTATAAAAAGTCTAGAGCCGCTAGAGCCTGGTTAATGACCATGTCGCGATCTCGGCCTGCCCGTTTCTGAATGGCCATCGTCTCCTCAAGCGCCTCCTGCACGCGCATCTGCTCCGCGGCGCTTTCGGCGGCCTGCTGAATTTCCCGCATCTTGTCTGCCGCGGCTAAACTTAGAAAAAAGCATAATCATTGAGAGGTAGAAAAGACGCCAGTAGTGCCCTAGAAGGGGGACCTTCAGATAGAGGAAATGCCACAGTTGTAACTTCTTATGTTCTTACTCCTTGTGGGGTAAATATAAATGTTTGAAACTGCTAGCGATCATGCTAGCTTCTTTTCAATTTCAACATGTGACGCAAAAAATGAAGTTGAAACAATCCCTTTCCATAAATCTTCTTTCTCTTCTTCTAGTAGTTTCTCCCCTTCCAGAACCGTTTGTCCGTGTTCGTAAGCTCGTGAACCACCGCTTTCCATGACGTAACCTTGAGACTTCGGATCCGTCTTGAACGTAAACCCGGATTGACAGTGTGGACATTTTCCAAAGAAACGGTAAATGCTTAGTCCACACTGGTACTCTCCACGTACTCGCTCCATCTTAAAGTTCAACTTTTTACCTGATAGATTGATTGATATTCATCGTGGTTAGCGGACGGTGAAGCTTCATGATAGACATGAATACAAATGCTTGCGTTGTGTTACCTCGGTCGCATGGGTATGAAAGTATATATAAGCTTCACGAGGTTTCTAAGAATTCTTTGCGTTTTAGTGTTGTGACTGTCGTTGTCAAAAGGCTCATGTAATAGGTGAAGCATTGTTCACAAGAAATGCTAAAGTACGTACAGAAATCGTAAAAGTACCTATGTAGACGAATTCGGCACATGTTTCGCAGGTGAACGTGAAGGGCACGATCATGGTCATTTCAATCTGCTGTTTCTTCCATTTGCCCTCTCTTTTGAGTCGCCACTTCTCCTTCTCGTTGAGCGCGCGGACTTTCTCTGCGTCATAGTTAAAGTCATAGTGCAAGCCCGCCGTTGACGTCCAGCCTATATAGGCGTTCTTCATGAACTTCGCGCTTTCGTTCGCCATCTTGTCTACTCGTGAGATTACTCGTCACTAAAACAAGGCAGGGTAAGAACAAGGAAAGGAAAAGGATCAACGGCAGATGAACGAGGCAGACTCTGTTGTAAAGGTCAAGTCTCAAGAAAATAAGAAAATAAGAAACACAGACAAAATCAATCAACACTTTTTAGTCGCGGGTGTCAAGGAAGTCCACGGGTTCCGTAGCACGATAAAAAGGGATGGCCACATATGTTGCCTGAGAGAGACGTCCTTATAGTGACGTGCTGTCAGGACAACTTACATCATGAGCACTTAAGTGCATTGACTTTTTGAGCTAGCATTGAGTTGAACTATGTCAAGATACATCGTCGCGGGAATAAATCGAACAGCGTGATTCATAGCAAGATCGCCTCGTGTGATTCTTATCCTACCAGGTGCTTACCACAGATCCAACATTTTCCTGAGGTCACCTTCCACTTTTGGTGGAGTCATAATCTGACATGATCATTTCTTTGTGAAGAACCGATCATAGGCAACGGAGGCGGACGAACGATTAGCATTCAGCCCATAGCAGCTCTTCTTGATTTCATTCTGCCCACGAGATCAGGATCGCTCGGAACAAGCTTGGCCAATGATCGAAGTATCTTCACTCGTAGCAGACCTGCCCAACACGATGAAATCCAAGATAGATGACAACGAGTCGTGTGTGATCATGAATATCACTAAGATCTGAAATCCATACCTTCCTTCAGTTTTTGGAAAGAGTAGAAACGCATCGGCATCGTCCTCGGTGTTGTGTGCTATCCGTTTTCTATCACACACGCGGGCGCAGTATCATTTTGGGGGTGTCAGAAATTTGTTTGTTAAAGCACCTTCATCAAGATGAAAAAAGTCGGGTCGTCAACGCGATCAGACTCAGATATGTTCTTACACCGGTAGATTATGCCAGTCGATGCCAGTGCGCACTGCTAGAGAAAGGGGCGCAGTGCTTCCCACACCTGAGCTTTCGCGGTTTCTGGACAAGAGCCTGAACCTTTCACAGTGATTTGCGCCTTTTGCTCCTGTCCTTGGAGTAAAATCTCCACCAGCATCACCGACGCAGCTCCCGTGGCGGGTGCTGCTGCCGCTGCGTCGAGAAGATCTTCAACCGTATTACTATTTTGTTCCGCACTAGCATTGCTAACAAAGCCGTAGAGGTAAAATTTGAGCATGCGTTCTTCTGGTAAGAAGCCACTCGCGAGACATTGCAGGTGCACTTTTTCGAGTGCACTCTGCACCAAAGAGTCTAGCGCGTCCAGCTGCGCGGGCGCGTTGAACGCGCGCGATTCTTCTACGAGCACTGGCCACGATGTCCAGGTCTCCTCGAACTCTGCACCTGCAAGCTCGGACTGTCCCGGTGGTGGGACCACAAACCCACCGGGTGCTGCTTTGGATGAAGAAGACGCTGGTCCACCGCCGTCCAGCAGGATGTCAAGGGAAGCTCCCGAAGCTGGCGTGTTGCCAGCAAGGAGATCTCGCGAATCGTCGACACCAAGCAAATCCAGACCCGCGGAGGTGGGTGCTGCCGGTGGTGCGGGGGTTCCGTCTAACAGATCAACCGGTGCTGCTGCTGCACTCGCCATAGTGCCATTGGCCGCAGATGCACTGCTCTGAGGAGGCTGCTCACTGATTGAAGATGTCGTGCCCGCTTTCGGGATATTGGGGCCACTTGGAACATGGCCACCTCGGTAAGCCACTTCCGAACCGTCCAGCAACGTGCAGAACTTGGCGGCCGGCTTTTTGTAGATGACACTAAGCGTGTTGAATTCACGGAATATGCGCGCGTCTACCGCTGCGCGCACGTCTTCCTGGAAGGCGCCTTTCACTCTCTGCTTCGTTGTGCCGCAAATCACCCGCTTCGCCTCTTCTGCATTAGCGAGCAGAAGTCTATAATACAACAAAGCGCGATCCCTCAAGTCCACCCGTTCCTCTTTCAACGCCGCATCCAGCAACTTGCCCAACAGGATTTGACATTCACGTGGGCGCGCGAAAAACAGCTTGGCCGCGGCGATGAGCAGCTCACCCTTGACCACCGGCTCCAGAGACTCGTAGTCCTCGATCAATGGCTCTAGTAGATACGGTCCCTCACTGATCCTGCTCCCAAATTCGCCCAACATCCAGACGAGCGCGGCCTTGCCTTCGCCCGAGCCTTCCACACTCTCCAGGACGCGCTCCAGTGACGGGCCTACTTCCGCAAATTGCTCTGGGTATTTCCTCAGGATATCCTTCATTACTACCGCGGTCTCCGTGACAACGTACTGCGACGCCGCGCCGTACCCATAGTCACCAGATGCGCCTGTCGCAGCGGTGCTGGATGTGTCCCCACCACTGGATCCTAATTGCAGAAGGTCAAGTAGCGTTTGGACGACCTGGCCGATGTAGCCACCGTTTTCGGGACAGCGCAGGGCGATGTTGCCCAAGCATTGAATTGCATGTTTCGAAATTTCGCTCGACAAATCTGTCACCGACTCCCGGATCTCCGATATCACCGTCGCGGCGTTTCCCGGAACCACCAGTAAGCACAAAATGTCCAGCTTTCTTAGAATGGCAATTCTTTTCTCATCATCTTGATCGTTTTCTACTATCATTCGTGAATGTTTCTAGCAACTAGAAGATTGAAAACTTGTCTAGTACGCTACGACTAAATAATCAAGACCAGAGCGCATCCAAACAAACAAATACACAAGCAAGCCAGCAAGAACCAACCTGCCATAATTTCACACGCTTTACGTAGGTAAAGTCGTTCCACTTTACGAAGAACTGTTTGTAGTCCTCGATCCAGCTCGGGATCAACACTAGTGGGTCCACCGATGCGTTCTCGCCTAACATGCGCGATAGCAAGCAGTGAATGTGCGACAATACCGCAAACCCTAGCTCCATCGAATTTGTTGCGACTAGAGTCAACAGTGGCCCTTTAAGCCGTCCTAGCACTTGTGTCTGCAACTCGAGAGGAGCCCTCTGCGTAATGTGCAGAAAAATCTCCGCTACGCTGATGCAGCGATGAAGAGGGAGAGAGGTTCTTCTGGTTCAGCGAAAACTTGATAGTGGTCAGTCCGACAGTAAATTAAACTAGTCGCTATGATGAGAATTCTAAGTGTCCTACAACTTCGACCAGAACGACCACGCTAGTACTAACCTACTGTGAAGAAGCTTGGATATTCCTCGCGGTAATATCCTCTCTCAAATTTGCAGACTTTTTCCTCATAAATGACACTTGCACTGGACTGCTTCAAGAGCGGCTCGAGCAGGTTCATCACGTCATACATTTCTGCTTCCGTTGCTATGTCGTATTTTGTGAGCAAAGCGTGAAGCACGACGCTTTGGCCCCACTCCGGTAGCTGGTTCAACCGGTTCAACAAATGCTCGATCAAAGGTTCCGTCTTAGAAGAGAGTTGTTCAAGCACGGCGACTTATGCTTGTGAGTAAAAAGGTTCTCTGAATTTTCAGATAATCGCTAACTAAAAATAAATATCATTGTTCCACTTCACCGACCAGTAAAATGTACGTGGATGATGAATGATACTACTCGCCCTCAATTAGCAGCCTAGTAGGAGTAAGTAATTTTCATCCTTTCATACTATTGACTGTCATTCCTCCGCAGTCCTTGAGGATTTCTTCTAGAGCGAAAATCGCATTCGTGGCTACGTGACCATCTGGGTCCGCCACCAAGGCGTATAAACGGTCCAAAATTTCATCGCTTTCGCGCACACTAATTGGTGAAAGATGGAAAATTTTTAAAATCCCGACAACCGCAGACTTCCGGACGTAACCGGAGGCGTCGCGTAGCCCATTCACTGCAGCGGGCTCAAGATACTCCAGCATATCAGGCAACTTCAACGAACAGAGACTGCGTAAGGCCAACCCGCGGATGGTTGGATCCTCATCGCGGCAGTCTTTCTGCAAGGTGTTGATAGCCAAAAGAGCTAGTTCACCGTTGCTCTCGGCGTAGAAAAAATGAAGAAAGGCAGAAGGTGTGATATCAAACTGTTCTTCTGGAAACCCTCTGAAAAAAATGTGTAAGGTACTTCCGGAGGCATCACAATTGTGCTCCCTTCTGCGAGACACTTCTACATCTAGATTGATTGATCATGTTTCTATTTAGGACGATCCAAAATGATCATGATATCCTGTTTCATAATTTGTGAGGTAAAGATAGATCATCTTTTTCTGGACGACGTCTTGTGTGTGCGAGGCCATGACGACGTCGCTGAAGAGGCGCGACACATCGATACCCAAAGTCATGTAGGCGATTACTTTCTTCAAGGCATCACGTCGCTTTTCCTCATTGTTGCTTTCGGCCATCACCTGTCGCAGCAACGTTCGCAGTTCGTTGATCTCACCCTTCTTGTCGAAGTAACCCCCTCCCGAAGGAGTAGTGTGCTGCTGCGCATGTGAATCTCCCATTCTTTCTTGTTGTTGCCGGGAGTGGGACGACTTTATGCTAGTACACTAGTACGATTTCTCAGATCCTTGTAAAGAAACAAGCAACGAACTAACAATAAGTGATGAACCTACGAAATTCCCAAGAAAAAGAACCAACAAAGACAGTGACAGAGTAGGTACTCACATCTTCTTATAATGCATAAGCAGAAGATTGAGGCAAAAGAACTAAGCGTCAGTAGCAAAAAGTCCTAAGAATGAGATCAAATGCAAGCGTCTGATTCCGTGACGGGCCCGTCGCCATGCCTGGAAAACCAGGCGCTCTCACGCCCTCTCTGGCAATTCATTCATCTCTGCGTGCATTGGATATGACATTCAAAGAATGTGGTGGTTACTGTTTTTGTAGATGTAGCTCCTGTTCGTTGATCCAATATGCTCCTGCAGGAGATTATATTCATCTTTTTTATGCAACAAAACCGATGGCCGATGAGACTTTTGTCCTTGTTAAAAAGCATTTCCGGTTCAGAATGACTTCCGGCAGTCCTGCTACTGATACTGGTGCTCTGAAAATAAAGCACGTGTTCAAGAGACACACGCACACCGAATACTTTCATATTGCACGAATAAACTTTCTCCAACATGTTGGACAATGATTAGTATTCTTTCTGCTCTACAGGAGAACTGTTGTTGGAACTTTGAAGGAATGGCTGAAAGGCATGCGAAAGAGTAGTCAAGATGGCTGTTGCGATGTCCTTGTCTTTTTCAACTCCGTTGGATTCATTAAAAGAAGTGCCGGTCAAGGAACAATGAGGATGCTGCAAGGCTTCGAAAGAACATTTTGTTCAGAAGAAATATCTTTTGTGCCTCGAGGGTCGTCCACTTCGAAAATTTCGTACGGGATAAAAGGCAACGTAGTAAGGTTTTTGTGGGAAGCAAGTTTGTGTGCGTCGAGTTGGAAAGGTCCAGGAAAATACAAGTCACAACGTCCCTCTCGTACTCGTCCTCACTTCTGTACTTTTTTCGTGAAGACGTATTGGCCGTTGTTTTTTTGTGCCGTGTAATGTTTTTTCAAATGGGCTTTCGCGTCTTTCCACTTATCCGATTGCTTGTCCGCTGCCGTCACGATCCCCAAGGAGCTCAGTAACGTGTTAACAGACACCACCGTTCGCGTCTCAAATAGCCTATCTACCACTTCAGCCACGCTCGTACCTGCACTGGTACTGCTACCTGCTGCGCTCTGGCCTCCAGCTCCAGTGCCAGATGATGACGCAGCTGCCGCCGCAGCTCTTCGCTCAGCGGCGGCTTCCTCCTCTTCTAACTCCATCATACTCAATTCATCCAGCTCCTGAGCCAGCTGAGCAGCGCCTGAGGCGTCCTCACGCTTCAAGATCGACGACAGACGATCAACTGTAATTATTTGTTTGGACTTGGAAACAGATTGGGAAGATTTTTACTTATTATCTATACAAGGCACGAAGAATGATCGACGATCCTAAGATTTTCGTCCTGATCACTTCGTTCTACCTTCGACCAGCTAAAGCAATGAAGGAAATAGTTGTAAGTACATTCAGCCCCGTCCTTTCCTTCCGGTTGGTACTTCGCGTCTTTCTCGGCCGCATCTTCGTCCGCCAGCATATCACCGGCCATCTCCCTTGCGTTTTCGATGTTGTCATCCTCGCCACCGTCGTTTCCCTCATCATCGGAAAACCGGTCGTTCTCCTCTCCATCCCAGTCGTACTCGTCGTCGTCTCCCCTCTTCAGGAACGTGGTTGCCACTGCCGTCTCCGGAACATTGGACTCCATCTTGCTATAGGCCATACGCTCTTGCAACAGTTTCCGCTTTTTCTTGAAGGAAGCGTCTTCCTTCGAGAATTTCTGCGCCGCCCTTTGACTTGGATCCTCTAAGAGGGACAAAAACTTGTTCTCCTCGTCCAGTTCCGCACAACCTGTTCGCACGTAGGGTCTTTTACTCACACTACTTTCCGACGGACCTGCATCACCTCCGAGTAGGGCCCCGGCAGCTGCACCAGCGTCCCCCATTCCGCCTAAGACCCCGCCGACAGCAGTTGACTTGTTCTTCCGCGTCTCATCCCACTCCTTCAGGTCCTGGGCTACCCTTTGCTCTTGCTCCTTCATCTTCTGCATTGCCGCCTGCAGATCTGCCTCGCCCTGTTGAAAAATCGTTGAAAAAGCAAGACTCAACATGAATAGCTCTCAGAGGACTTCTAACAACTAAAACGACTTGTTGTCCGAACAAGCGATGAAAGATGCGACAAAACATCCTGAATTTCCAAAGAGATGAGCACAAAATGAGAAGAAAACTTTTCATGATTTTGAAATAGCGTTGTACCTTGACTCTCTTGTCGAAAGAGAAGGTGCTTCTTGCCGGGAAAAGATGTAGCTCGTCATCTACGCGCTTAGCCAGCCACTGCGTGCTGCTCCCGCTTTTTGTCTTTTTCGCATCGAAAACGAAATTTGGGAAAGCCCCAGACATGAAGGTACTTGCCGCTCCTTGTGCCCTTGGCGATGTGCTGCTCGCCTGCTCACCACGCTGCTTTTGCAGTCCTCTCCCGCCACCAAAGTTGTTCTTATTTGGCGCCGAGGCTGAGTAAGAGGAGGAAGCATCAGATTTTTTCAGGTCGAGCGACGTCATATCCTTGAAAAACAACTCAGCATCGCTACCAAGAATCGGAATCTGCGCTAGATCTGCGCCATCATGGGCAAAAACCCGCACCTTCAGACCCGACGCGAACGCACACGGCCGCTCTGATACCATTGTCGTCGACCGTCGAAGATGTTGCACCGGCAGCAAAGAATTATCTCGGGAAGGCGCAGCGACAATACTACGCACGGGTTTAGCGCCGCCAGAGAAGCGATGTTACTGTACGCAAGACCTAGCACTGCAGCCAAACGCTTCCTTGCTCTTTCGCTTTCGGACGGCTATTCTCAAGAAGTCATTCAGAAGATAAGCGTCAAGAGAAAAAAAAAAAAACTTCCCGTAAGCTCTCAATAATCCTCTATCTGTAGCATAAAAGAAGAAGATGATGTAAAACTTTTGCAAACGAGGACGTGAGTAACTTGATCATCAACACCAATGTTAGCCACAAAGTTGTATATTTTGTTCGGAAAAATCCGTTACATGGTAAAAGAGTTGCGTCCGATGTCGTTCGATGAACGACTGTGGAGCGCAAGGTGAAAAAAATTACGTAGACACACACGAAGGTGACGTGTGATGTTTTGGCTCCTGTTGCAACAGGTTTTGGTGGTAGGAAATTCAAAATCCAATGGCCATTGTCTTAAAAAGAGAAAATGACTGTAATCTTTATGGTGCTGAAAGTTATTTCAAACTCAATCCATTATTTGGAGATCGTGCTTCGCCTCTGTCTGTGATATTCAGCACTTAACTAACCTCCGCGCCCTAGATTAGATGAAGATCAACCCAACCAACATCTCTCGTCTGATTTCAATTATACAGAACCAACGTAGTAAATGCCAGAAAAGTGCACTTGAGAGCGGGACCGAGAAGTTTTTCGCGCATAATTGCCCTAGAGTTTATTGTCGATTTGTTTTGGTTTTGACACCTCAAGGTGCTGACCAGGTTGATTGTCCATTCGTAAGTGATCCTGTAAAAGACAGCATTTCTTTTTCTTCGCTATCGCTAATCGGAGGATCATCAATGTCTTCTATTCATTGTATGATATCTTGGTTGAGCAATTTCGAAAAAAACATCGATCGCGGCCGTGTTGTGTGTGCATTCTTTTAGGCTATGTCTAAGTTTTCTCAAACGACACGCTGGAAGGTGGAACTTAGATAGTAGTATATTTGAAAGTCATAAAGGTAAGAAGTTTGTATTTTTAAGATTCATTGGGACTCATTTGCTTGCCGTTCTGATGAATTCATTGCTGCATAGATGAATAAGTAATAAAATCGTGGTTCGCTTTTGAGAAATCAAGGGAAAATGGATGAAAACAGTTCGCATGTGTGCTATTCAGATTAAGCTCAGGATTATGTTCTCTAATCTTGTTTTTTTCGTTCATTCATGTCGCGGCGGCATAGAATAAATCTTTTCAGCCCAAAGTGATATCTCCTCCCACCCAGGCTCGCGATCTTTCATTTCATAACGGGGATTACACCGCTCGGGTTCAAGCTGGACTGTAAGTAGCTAAGTAATTCATCTGGTCTACAGAAACTCCGTTCAAGTCATTAATACGCGAATTTGAAATGTAGAGGTTTTTTCAGGGAATGTATTCTGTGCTGTAGCGGCGATTTATCACGAGCACCTCTGTAGTTTTCCAACAAGAACTATGAATCTATATTCTCAAAATCTCGAGTCTTTCTCCGAGGAGCAGAGCGTCACAGCCAGAACCTGAACCTAGTGGTCTGCAACTATACTCTAAAAAAGCACATTGCTTATAGAGCTTAGAACAAGTGCATGGTCATCATTTTATGTAAGGAAGTACTTATCATGTCCGCATTTGATAAAAACGAACCAATATAAAGCGATTGCCCTAGCTCATGTAACTATGGATACGATACCCTAGTCTTGGCGTTCGCATTAACAGCTCTCGACCTCCAAAGGAGTCACTTGCCCGCTCGTATCGATCTCAGCGTGTTCTGCTGCCAACAGGTGGGCTCTCGAGAGGCTGTTTCGTCGCTCTTCGGACAAATGGCCACCTCTCAAGACTGTCGGCTCTCTGTTCACAGAAGCAGGGACAGGTGTAGTGTTACTCTTCATCAGCTTACCATTCGTAGTCCTATCCCGCGGAGTCGTGAGCCGCATAGTCTTCAAATCTGCGTGTACTTGTTGCGACGAAATCGGAATCTCATTGCCAATATCGGACTCGGATGGACCTGGAAATCAAAATTTTAAGGCAACTACAGATGTTGAGCTACATCAACGCACTATGACAAATCAAACTTGAGTTTGAAGGGATGAACAAAGAAACGACCTGGCAATCTTCACGAATTCCACCAGAACCAAAGTAGTGCAACGAGCACACAGGCGTGCAATCGCTGCCTCGGTATCCATCTGTAAGTGGTAAAAAAATCTTAAAAATCATTACGCACACTGTACTCGCGTACCTCCATCTCCAGCACCGAGCTCCCACGCATCGTCCACAGTACCGGTCAGGCTTGCTGAGCTATGACTCGCGCTGATACTCTTTGCCCCGTGCCGCTTCTTGTGTAATGGTCTCCCGGCAAGCGCGCGTCTATTCATAAACTTTTTCCGGCCTGACGAAAGCTTGCCACCTGAATTCTTCGCGATCGCCGCCCGCATCGCACTCCTGCTCTTTGCGCCACTCGGTGTCGCTCCGGTTTGGTCTTCGTTTGATGAAACACTCCGAGAACAGAAAGCATCCGCGTTCGCATCCCCTTCCTCGATCCGCGCAGGGAGACTGTCCGCGACTGTTGAGTCACGCTGTCCGCTATGCCCAAGACACCTCCGGACGGCATCTTGCACAAGGTTGTTCACCGAGGCACGCAACTCAGCGCTTACCTCCTCCCGCACCTCATCCCGCAGGCCTGTCAGTCGTGCGTGCGTCTCTTGTCGGTAGCACTTCGCCGTCTCGAGGACTGCGGTCAGCTGCCGATCTACGCGCGAAGCGAGCTCTGCGAATCCCTGCTCAAACGATCTGCTCAACTGCACCGCGTGACCCGTAGTGCTGTCCTCCAGCTGCTTCATTCGTCGAGCTAGCCCTTTCTGCTTCTCGCAACACTGGTCCAGCCGCGCAGACAACGAGACAACGGATAACATGAAAGAGGGACGCAAAGGCCGACGAGGGCAACTTGTTCTATTTGGTTTTTTCACAATTCCGGTATTTATTATAAATATTCTTTTTTTTTTCCCGAGTCTTTAAGAATAAAATGAAGAAGAGTGTGGATCACAATTTAAATCAGATAAAGATTATCCTGAAGTTGTACATAATTTTGCGCAGCGTGCGATCAGAGTCTGCAAACTGTGCGGCTTGTGCTTCTTGCTGTTTTTTGAAGACTGAATTTTCAAACGCAGCGATGTGCTTCCTGCATTCCACTGCTACCTTTCGCTTGAACTCCTGTTCCGAGGACGCGGCCGTCGGCGTCCCACCCTCTGCCGCATTCCTACTTGCCGTCGTCGACGACCCTTCGCCACCAGCGTGAGCCGCACTACGGAAGACTTGTGATGGCACACCGGAAATTTTTAACTGCTCAGGTCCTGCAGCGCCGTCTTTAGCGACGCTCGACGACGACGCGCTCGCAGACAAAGACAAAGAACCTTCTCCGGCGTTTTCTGCGGAAAAAGCCGTGAACGATGTTTGACCCCCTGATGTGTAAATTGTGAGTACAGTCAATGGTTGCAATTCCACCACGTCACTGTGAGTTGCTTCCCGATCAACGTGAAGGTTCTAAATCTAAAACTCAAAATGAAGATCCAAGTAGATCATGAAAGGTTGAGGTAGCGCAACTCACATGGTGATGACGTTTTCGTTTGTACTTGACAACAATCTCGAAGTATCTCTCAAACGTGTGATATTACCTGCTGCGTCTTTCTTGTCTCGTGTTGGAATGAATCGTGTGCTACTACTACCATGCGGCGTCACGAAATTCTCTCCAGCCTCTTCTGCCTCCAAAGCGCTAATCTCGCTCAATGCACTAGCGCCGAGCCCCTTTTGCAGCTCCTTGTCGTATGATTGAAAAGTTGAACGATACAACGCAGCCGGAGTCTGAGTAGCGACAGCCATATCATCACTATCATTCAATCATTTTCATATGGCAAACTCAGCGGAAAGCCCAGAGAAAAACGCAGACTATTTTGGGGCATGCTTTTCTTTATATTTTCCACTTCTCGTGCCCCTTGGACCGACAAGGCTCCCACATTCGCGGCCGCGGCGTCTCTCCTGTCCTTTGCTTCTTTCACTTTCATGGCCTTGCCTTGGCTTGCTGATCGAACAATCCACCCACGCACGGCCCGCCGGCCCCGGCTCGACACGGTAGCTTAGTCTCCCGGTGACGCCCAGGCCCACTACATCCGACCAGCGGCAAGCCAACAACCAGCCAGCCCCAGCTGGCAGTGGCACTTGGAGCGCCGCCCGCTGCCAGCGGGATAAGCAACCACCACGAGAACCCGCACGAGGCAGACGCGTCCCCCTTGAGCAGTCCACGTCGGTGCTCCGTGTTCCAGTTTCTTCGCGCGGTTTGTAATACTCAGACGAGCAGGCCCCCCCTCTCACCCTCGTCATCGCCCGGCCATCTTCTGCACAACGGCGCGACCGGCTGCAGTCCATTTATCAGGTTACTACTCAACAGCCGGCTACTTCTCTCCATGTTCATACAACAACCATCCCCCGCGATGGCAAGGCAGGCCATGCTCACCGAAATGGACGAAGGAGGCGAAGCCCTTAAAGAGCTGACACTTGACGCGGCCCTCGTCGATTACTATCGAAGTTTTCGCCGAGTTCCATTAACGGAGGCCAGTCGAGACCAAGCCGAGAAAGCTGCCCTCGTCCAAAAAGCGCGCCACCGTCTTCGTCGAACACAGTAGCGTCCTCTTGACGGTTAGAGAAGCACGCCCAGGCGCGTCTTGTAGAGCTATCGCGGCAGTCAAGTGCTGCAGTCTTTGAGGCTAGCGCTGCAAGGTACCCGAGGGCCAGCCTCAAAGCTTTCCACTCTCCTGACAGACCGGCGAAGCTTCTCCTTCAGGGTTGGCCCCTTGTGAGTAAAACTCAGCAGGCGCGCGGCATGCCATCGGAGTCCCCGCCAGAGCGTCAGAGTTTGCCCGAGGCTGACAGTGGCGAGACAACCCCAGAGAGGTGAGCGAAGCCCGTGGCCCTTGTCTCCAGGTCCTCTAGGGCCTCCTGGGGTTGGTTCGTTCCTGCCTTGGTATCCATCTAAAAACAAGTGGACAACGTCACTCCCAGAAAGGCACGGAGCTCCTGCCCATCCAACAGCCCCAACGCGTCCCGCTTACTTTTTCCAAATTCGGCACGCCTCTCAAGTGAGCACGGGCCTCAATTCATGGCCGGCAAGTTTGTGCCGCAAGACCCACGCGGAGAGTCTGCGAAAGTTAGAGAGCGAGGCAACTGCCACGAAGGTGCGACCTCTTCGGCCACCAAGACAGACAGCACGGCCTGCGCGAAAGGGCGCCCCCTCTTAGGTGCGAGACTGTCCGCCATTCGAATCCGCTCCACACACCGCGAGCCCTGCGCCTCAGATGCAATGAATGAGCCAAGCCCTCACCTTGCAAGAGCCCACAACTTCGACGCTGCACGCCACTGCCTGACAGACTGCACCACCCCGCTCGAGTGACTTCCGCAGGAAGGGCGCAGGCCGCCCTGGCTGCCTGCCCCAGCTCAGGAATACTGGACAAAAAGCCGCCCGCCTCTGCTTGGGTGTGCCTTGCGCGATGTCACGCGCCTTGCGCGATGTCACGCAGCACACTGAGGCCACGACGACACGCACGCGCCCCCCTGTTAAAATGCGCGGCAGTTTCTCCAAGGAAGAGTGGCCACGGATGTGCAAGCTTTTGGCAGGTCCCTTATCCGCTTCCGCCATGTGCTCCACTCGCGGCGCGCCTATTTGACAAAGCGTACGCACAGGCGCGGGGCCGCATAGTTATTCATCTCGGTGCCCGTCATATGAAGCGAGAGCACCCGCGCCCACGCTCAAAGCAATGCCCAAAACTGGCGGCGACGCGGCCTCTTCAAGATGGTATCTAGACTACTACGGATGACCCCGAGAGCCCTGCTAAATATATTACCTGCGCGCATACTTTGCGAGCATGCAAACGAATATCCTTTTTCATCGCTGTTTCTGTCGCTTTTATTCGCCTCTCAACTTCTGTTCGCAACACAGTAAAGTCGGTCTGCAGACGCCGCAACTCTTGTGCGGTACCTGCAAGAGGACGTCCGGAAATCAGTTGAGGATAAAAACCGATCAGTAGCTTCGTCAAACTTTAACTGCCCAACTAATCCATCTTTGGTCGCAAAGTCTTTTATAGATACATAGCATCGCATACCTAGACTTCTCGAAAGATTCATCATGCAACAGTATCGAGATTCATCATGCAACAGTAATCATGTCCGCTTTTTCCTGATAATCCGAGTACCTCCTAATCGCTTCGAGTCCCTCTGCATGGCATTTTTCAGCTTTTCGGCATCCTCGTCTCTGCCTGCGCGCATCTCCTCTACGCCGCTTCGCAAGGCTGTAAACTCATCTCCGAACATTAGATCATGAATTGAATCTCGAATGTCGTGTGTCCGTCTGTCTCATGCGTGATCGTACACGTACTTAATCTATTGGTGCAGCTTACTCCAACTCCTAGCCTCAGTAGTAGAAGAAGGAACAGTAAGAAGTACTTATACACACCAAAACAATTCTTGCGATGTGACCATAAAAGCACGTCGATTCTTCTTGCGAGATCTTTCTGCGCCGTTTCGACTTCTACGGAAATTTCGCCCTGCACCTCTCGGAGACGGGTTTGTCCGTCATAAAATTCTTCGCGAATTGCGTCGATTTCAGCGTTTACATGCGCCAAGCGCGCGTCCATACGTGTTGTAACAACATCCATCGCGTTCACCTTTTCACGCATGCTTCCAGTGGCACGCTCGAACGCAGCTTCGTTCTCGCACGCTGCTGTCTGGAGCTGCTGCGCTACTTCAGCGCTGAGGTCGCCTCGAATCTGCTCAGCTGCACGTGCGGAACACCGCAAAACAAGCTGTTGCGTCTGCTGTAGAAGGCTTTGTTGCGCGACTCGCAAAATTTCCTTGCTTTGATGCGACGAGCCAGAACCTCCAGCATAAGCTGCAGACAATATTGGCGTGGTAGTTTTAGAAGCAGCCCCTTTTGGACCTGTGGAAGATGCGCTACTCTTGGACGCTGAGGAGCCTTGTTGTAGTAGCAGTTGTTGAGAGAATCCGACTGAAGAACCATGAGGATTTGCTTGGCTTGGCTGACCCCTGGCGCTGGTGCTTCGCCCACCACCCTGACTCGACGCCGCAGATCGCGCTGTTACGCGCGCGGGCCGCAGTAAACTTAATCGACCTTGTGCGCCTTCCGCAACTGCAACAGCAGAGCCCTCTTCCCCACGCGACGCTTCCTCGTGCTGCAAAACTGGTCGCGCCGGTAGCTTCCCACTTCCAAGCTCTGCTTGCTTACTGGTCGACCGCACCTTATTATTTTCTAGTGCTGCTGCCGCTCTCTGTTTATCCATTGAAGTGGACGACGCTGTGTCTCTTGGAGGTAAAGAAGAGCCACCTCCCGAGGAGTCTTCTGCAACCATGGGAGGACGACTCGACATTGGTGCCCCTTTTGCTCTCCGGTCAGATGACGCCCGACGGCTTTGAACTCTGCTCCGCCTTCCAGCCTCGTCACCCCTTTTGTTGTGTTCGCGCACCAGTGCGGACAGCTCATCCACCTTTTCATCCAATGTCGATGCACGGCCTTCTCTCTCCTCCGCAGCTCCTACTTCTTGATGATCATGATGCTCATCACGCAGCGATGCTATCTTCGCCTTTAGTGCTTGGGGATCATCTTGTTCTTCACCACGACTTTTCTCAAAATCGACTAGGCTCAGAGCTCCAACTCGGTCTTGATCTTGGCCAGGACTTCTCTCAAAATCGACTATGCTCAGACCTCCAAGTCGGTCACCAGCAGGCGCCTTTTCTCCTATTTCTAGAGGTTGCCGAATTACATTCCCCAGAGCATCCTTGACCTTCTCCCTACTAGAAATTAGGGTAAGGGGAAGGATGTTAGTGGATGATGAAATTTGGAAACCCTTAATATTTCGACGTCCTGCTCGTCTTCCCTGATGTATTCCCCGAATACAACATCTTCCACTGGAGACTCGAGTGCGCCATAGCTAGCCGCTCGCATCCGCTGTTGGCCCAGAAGTTTCGCTGCAAGCAAGGGAGACGAGTTCGTGTTTGGTGTGGAGATGCAGAAATACTTGGCGCCAACACCGTCTGCACTGCGTGCGCTTGCGCTGCCGGAGAGCGTCCTGCTTCGACGACGAAACATGCCCCGTGTATACGGATAATTGGGGACCCCGCTTCGCTGGTGGGTCAAATTCTTAGAAACACACAGATAAAAAAGCCGCACATGAGCGATTTCTCATCCCTTTCAGACAAATACGACTCCTGAGATTCTTGATCAGCGATTTAACCAGCTAGGTTTTTCTCAACAACAAAATTGGAGTTATTTCTTTTTAGCGGCAAGACATAATCATGTGCCCCACATCGGGTATTCTACTATGGCTAATCGCAGTGTGCTTTCGTCTTGCAGTCGATTTAGGCCCTTTCCGAATTGGACGCGTGTTCGGCAACGCCTTCACGTCGCGCACACTTTCTTGTTCGTTTTCAAAAGCTCGACATATTGCTCGACTGCTTCCCAGCGGCAGAGGAGCAATACTTTCTCGCTGACTACTCGATAGCACAGGACTCAGTAGATCGCTACGACGCTCAAGCGCTCGCCGAGCTTCATCGATCTCTCCTACCAAAGCCTCACAAGATGTGGTCTCCATGATTCCCACTAGTCCCTGTTGGTCCGTCTCTTCTTCTTCTACCTGTTGTTGACCCAGCTTTACCTCAGTTGTTGTTGTTTCCTCAAAAAAACGTTCTTGTGACTGCTCTGGAGTACTATCATGAACGAATTCCGCCTGATCATGATCATCATCATCATCTGTGACATAAATGGCGCGCGCGCGAAGTGGCCAAGGTGCATCCTTGTGTTCCCTCTCTGGCGGGAAGCGCAAGGAATCTACCTCCTGAGAATCGGCGAATTCTGAGTATGCTGCTGGCGTTGAGGTTGGCAGTGCCATCTGCCGTAAGTGCTCCATGGTTGGTTCGTACCCCTCAATACTCAAATCGATGCTAGACGAACGACGCAAGCGATCAGCTGTCACCCCGGTTGATGGGACAGAGGCGTTGGGTTCCTCTCGTGGTTCTTCGATCCTGTACAAGCAATGCGGAAAACCATTACGCCAGGAGGAGGTAACACTAACAGAGAGTTACGACGACTAGCTAGTACCATGAAAATGAGCAAACGGTGATAGTGATGGCAATGATCTTATTGGACCTACAGAATATACACATATTCATGATATGGATATGCTTGGCATTCTCACATTATACTAGTCATTAGTTTTTCGAATTATGAATCTACTACCTGCTGGCCGACGCTGACTCCGAGAGGTTAACGCGCGTGACCTCGACGTAGGTCGGGGCATGACTTGTGATCCGCGTTGCGGCATGAGTGCGGGCCTTTGCTTTTGGCGTTCCGCCAGACACTAAATTCTCAGAGCCAGACTCGCCCGCCGACATAGCTCGATCGCGTCCGCCGCTACGCGGATAGAAATTGACCAGAAGACGCGTCGGCTCACTCCGAATGGAGGCTTGTGTCTCTACTCCAGCATTACTGGCACAACCACCTTTCGACGGCAATGAGGGCGCTTCTTGTCTTGACGGAATGCTCGTACGCGGTTCTTCTTCTTCCTCCCGATCATGACTAAGATTAGTATCAACTGCATAATACTTTGGGTTTGGCATCACTAGAGTAGAAACTCCAGATGAGCTACTAGGACCTAAACCTAGGTCCTCGCGCATACTTGCCTCCAGTTCTGCAATCTCAGACGGCGTGAGTCCGTGCGTTAACTCAGGCGCGAGAAGACTGCAGAATGTAGCTGGCGGAGCTCCTGCTGTACTCTTCAAGGATACTGCAGGTGCAGTTGAACTCGACGATCCCGCATATTGATCTTGATGAGTTGTTACGATTGCACTTCTCGAAGTTGCATATTCATCATCTTGTTCTGCAGGGCCTCCACCAGAGGAGTCTCCTACTCGAAGAGTCGTCGGCTGTCGTGGTCCCGATGTTGGCGGGGCACCACGACCATCGCCTCTAGGAGGCAAACCCAAACCGGCAGGATTTGGATTTCTACTAAACGCTCTCACTTTTGCTGCAACGCCGCCAATTGGCGGACCGCCAGGCGATATTATCCTCGTCATGTGTTTTGCGCTTTTGAAATTTCTTCTAACTCCTAAAAGAGGAGACGAGTTCACCTGAATAGCATTCTTGTCGTTCTGCGTCGCTGTTCAAACTAAGTAGATGGAGCAAAATGGTCATTAGGATAGGATCGGACTCGGGTCACCTTCCATAAGACCAGCCTGTGCTATCCAGTCATTCACCTCTGATACGTCGTATGCAGACAACCACGGCGTTTCCTCTCCCATTTTCGGTGTGAGTATAGGATAGAATAGGAATTGACGCAAAAGCAGGAGCAAAAAATGTAGCACATTTTCTTCATTTGATTGCTTTATATACGACATTTTCTTTTCACATTTTTCCGAACACACGATTGGGTTACAAGGCCAAAGCTCCTCACCTTCCGAAGAAATGATATCGTCTACAACGTACGTGTCGGCATGCTCAAACGAGCGCGTTTCTTAGCCCTATTATCCTGTGCCTCTAGGAGTGCAGGCGTGCACAGGGCAGATGCATGTCTTAGTTTTCGATTCTAAAAAATGCTTGATTTAGATTTTGTGGAAATGACTCCGACCGTGTCTGAAACTCCGTATCATACTCACGCTGTCTGGAGCGCAACGTCCGAGAAAACTTGGAGGCTCGTCTAAGGCAGAAGACAGAAGAACTCGTATCCACAGACAGGAGAACAATTGGAATGCAAATACAGAAGTTGAAAATGAAAGGAAAAGGAATTATAACAGAATGGACGCATCAGGCAAGATGAGGCTGGTGGATTTAAACTTAGTGCTGACTACTATCCAACAAAAGCAATGTTACAATCAAAAACAAGAACCAATCATGATGTTACTTTCAGACGAAAGAAAGTTCAGTTTGCTCAGCGTAAGCACTTTAATCTCAGATGATCTGCTATAATAATCGAGCCTGCAAGAAATTAGACGAACAGTTGTGGAACTACCCTGCTAGTGCGAATTCCAAATATTAGGGATCAATCATAGTAATAGTTTCAAGAAAAATACCAAATATATACGAACAATGAGAATGACTGTGCATGACTCTGCTTAATCCTCGTACTCTTTCTGCTCCGCATCGGTGTGCAGCTTGCGAAAAAAAAGTTCATTTACAGCACGAACAAGAACATTTTGAGTCAACATACTAGATACAGTTTAACATAATCGTCATGATAGTTGCGAAAGGGTATAAATCAAACAACGTCCTCTGGTATGAAGAGGTCCGGCGTTTCATCCGGAAATAGTTTGAAGAAAAACTAACCACATCATTCAACCACGACGAGGTAAAAGCCTATTTACAAATTACAACAAGATACTACTTATGCTGAGAGCGACGCTCGATATACAACGCCAATGTGGTTTTGTTGCTCATCTATATTCAAACCGAAAAATGGAGAAAACTCGAGTACTGCTATCATGACGACGAGCGCCTTCCGAACATTGCGTCACGCTGTCGTGAGTATTGACTGTCTCTGACGGCATCCCGCATGGAACCTGTTTCTCCTGCCGCATATCGCATAGAGGCGGCGCCAACGCTTCGTCCTCTCCCCCCTCCTGGGCGATCGGACGGTGGCGCGAGGCTTAGACGCGCCGCGATGTCAGTGATGTTGTCTAGAGGCTCGTCACTTATCACTGTGGACTGCAACGAGAGTGTGGATACTTCGTGCTCCGGCAGACCAGAAAAAGCGCCAGCTGGTCCTCCAGCTAGAGGATCCCCCGTTTGGTGACCTCCTCTACGTGGCGGCGACAGCTGTGGATGCTGGAGGTGGCCTCCTCTCTGTGGCGCTGGAAAATGGTCGGGCTGCCGCATCTCCGACAAACTGCGCTGCTGCCGGCGCAAATCTGTCGGGGAAAGGCCTCCTTCGGTGCGCCCGTCCATGGTGTAGAAAGAACTCGCAATTCCAGTCGATTTCTGCTCTCGCTTCTGCTGAGCCTGGATGATTTTCTGAGCCGCGCTCGTGGCCGGCCGGGTGCTGTTTCGTTGTTGCTGTTGCGCCAACGTCAGGTTGCTTGCTCCCGGAGGACCATCGACAACGTTATTGTTCATCTTATTTGCGAGTAGAGTTGGAGAATTCAGCAATGCATTGGCCGACGAAGTCGGACTCAGACCCCCCAGCGCGCCTATGCGCTGCATCAAGCCGCCTGGGCCGGCTGCGGTCGGAGACACTAATGCCAGGTCATTCTCCGGCACTGCGTGCCCGCGCTCCATCAGGAGTCTTCGATCAGGATTCAGCATGGACCGAGCATTCATCCCGCTATTCGGATCTCGTCTCCGTCCCTTGCTGTCCACCCCTTGGCCTAATTCGGTCAAGCCGGCACCTGGCGGCAGATCGTCATGACGGCCATACCTTCCACCTCCACCGCCACCATAATGATGGTGATGATGGCCCACATGCCCATGCCCGTGTCCATGTCCATAACCTCCACCAGCATCTTCGTTGTAAAACAGCATGTTCGTGTTTTGCGCCTTCGAATCGTTGAAGTTTTGTGCATAGTCCTCGTCATTCATACACGTTTGCATTAGTTGTACTGTGCTCTTCATTTTCGCGTGTTTGCCCGTGTTCAACTGGTCTATCTTGTCGACGCCACGACCTGCGCCAATCATTTGGTCCATGCGCATGTCTGCTGCCCACGCAGACCGCTTCTGCGGACTACTAGATGCCTCCCGTGGGGCAACGCGGTTCTCATACGCCGGCGTCGTGCCTCGCGCACTCCTACTTGGCGAATACTGCGAGTCCCGTCCCTTCAGCCCCGCATGCCAAATCTCTGGGTTCGCGCCGTACGGCACCTCACTGCCGGGACCAGTGAGAGGGCGCAGCTTCTTCCCCACGCGGTTGTTTTGCTTATCGGAACCACCCAGTGGCAGAGGTTTGTTAACCTCACCGCCTACGGAGATGAAATGGTTTGGAACCTTCGGGGGCGGTCCGTCCGCATTTTCACGCCGCATCACCGGCGCCATCACATTCAGCGTCGTCACTGAAAAGAAGTGGGAAAAACAAAATTTTGAATAACTCCTTTGAACCATGATCTTCGTTAACTTCGTGATAAAGCAGTTCTGCCAGTATCTGAAATTGAAAATAAAACCAATATTGAACAAATGAGAGCCATATTCTACGTAGCGAGTACCTTCTTTGTTTGATCCTGCTGCGGCTCCCATAGCATCTTTGAGTGTACCCTTGCCTTCGGCCGCCCGCTTGCCGATCTCGACGCTCTTGAGAACCGTGCGCTTGACCCACCAGTAAAGGACGGCGCCGCCTAAAGTAAAGAGCAGGATCAAAAACACCATTTTCATGTCCTCGAAGAACGTGGTTTGATCATTTCCACTGGGCGCCTGCCACGGCGGAGCCGGAAGCGTATAGTTCCAGCGCGGCGACTGATAGCCGTTGTCAACGACTCGCCACGTCGTCACGTCGTTTTTGTTGTCGCGCCCCGTGCCAACCTGGATCAGTCCCTTGGTCAGATCTTTAGGATGGTACAGGTAACAGTTGTGCAACCGCATGTGGGGGTCCGTGAAGTTCATTTCGTCTTGATACCGTTTGACAACAAAGGCACCGCAGTCGAAACTGCCTAACTTCATGCACTCCTCGCGGCAGGAACCGGTCGCATGCTCAGCCAGACCAAAATGCCGGTTATCTGTGATGTTCGTCTCAACATCCACAGGGTCGTCTTCAAATCGAAAACTATGCGAGAACCGCACGCCCGAGTACACTGGTAATTGATTGTGAAACGGCGCGAAGAGACGGTCGGTACCTATCATTTGTAGGGACGATGGCGATGCGCAACTGCGTCTTGGTGAATTATAGATATGGCAGCATGAGCATTCACAAAATTTAAATTTATATCAGCTACTCACCCACTGTTCTATCCCAGGTCAGAACCATACATTTACTTTTTCTTCTTCATTACTTAAACTGCTAAAAATGCTAGTCTTATCCTGCACAAGAAATCAACAACAAAGAAAAACTATGTACAATGGGGGTTGATGTAGATTCGCGAACGGACTGGCAAAGGCATATCGTTTGCATCTCTTGGCTCGTAAGAGAGGGGTTTTATCTCTTGACCGCGTTTCAAGTCCGATAACATGTCTTTGCAGACAATATCAAACGACCCGTCAAAATCTGGATCCCACCTGGTAGAGTTTTCGAGACATGAGATGATTACTTCCAAATGCAATTTTGATGCCCAGAACGTCACAGTTCAATGTTCCGACTTCGATATGTTAACTGAACTCTAGGTAGTAGAACCACTACTACTACAAGCTACGTACCGGATAGGATAGGATAGTATAGGATAGGGTGCCTCGACTTCGCTGTATTAAAATAAGTTTTGTACGTCTCACAGGCGCGTTCCGGATTCCACTGGGCGTATTGTCTGGCGTGCTTTGTGAGGTTCAACACGCGATCCAACTGAAACGGAACAATGCCCCGACGCATGAGCAATGTGGTTTCGTACTGTGAAGGCGGTAGAAACTCAATGGTGTCATGCATGAAACCGTTGAACCGACGTCCACCTAGTCGAAGGTAAAAAGGGTCGTCCTTATAGCAATGGATCGGTGGGCTGCGTGTCTTGGGCTCACAATAGTCCCAGACGGCACTGCTCTGGTCGTTTGTGTAGCACCTGATGGTTTGTACATCAGTAGCGATCATTAAATTTACACAAAAACAGCGATAGATCGATAAGTTCGAAGTCGATGATCTTTTGACCCTTTTTCTTCAACGACAGAAATGATAATTGCAATTCTATGTATAAGAAGGTTTATCTCTTATCCCCTTCGCTACCTACTTAGTATTCTGTTCATCTTTTTTTTACCATATTGCCTCGCTTGTGTAGAGGACTTTCCTCGCCACTCCGGGTGACCGGCCGTCTGGGTTGGCGCAGAAGTTGTTTCGGAGCATCGTACTGTAAAGCGCCGCTTTCGTAGAGGAAGGGTTGCTGTTCACAGGATCCCCCACGTCGTACAGTGGGGAAAATTTATGCGCTTTAGGCCACTGTCGGTCCCAGCTCTGGCACATTTCGCCTCCAGTCGTTCGCGCTTGGCAGCCACGATACCCGTTGAAATTCAGGCGCTCCACACAATACTCCGGATGGAAAGATTTCAGGAAGAGAACCTGTGGTATATTTTTCGAAGATGCAAGAGGACAAGCTCTGTATGATCACAGGTCGAATGCCTATGCGTGTATCATGTCTGTGGTGTGGTTGCCAAAACGGTAAGTACGACATGCAGTCATTTTTGATTTTACCAGTAGCTCAAAATGGATCGTCCTTCCAAGAGTCAAACAAAACTCACTGTACGTGGTTCAAAACCAAATAAGTATCATGAGTTTGATCAAATACCGAAAGGTCGTCTGGTTCGTTGATAACTTCCGGCGATAAGAGGTTTACATCCGTGAAATGCGAATCCGAGGTGTGTGGGTGCCCGGTCCTCGAGCCTGGTGACCGCCCTTCTAAATTGTTGTATATCGTCATGGGAATGTGTTCCGAGTTTTGTCCATAATAGTCTTCCAGACTAAGCGACGCGCTTTTGATCGAGCGTCTTTGCAGCAGCACATTCTCTAGGATGGTACTGGTCACTCGGGACAGCCCCTCCGTCATTTTGGCCCGCAGCTCATCCTCGAACAACTCGAGTCGGTCAGGATCGTTCTGGAGATTAGAAGGAGGCAGGATCTCGACATAGAAGTCTTCCTCGATGAACTCGACGCCATCTTCGATGACCAACCGACGAAGCATCTCCTTCTGCTGTGCTGCGTATGATGAATCACGAGTCGTTGCGGCATCTTCAGGGCCGCCCTCCTGTAACTTTTCGAAATAAGTGCTACTTCTTGCTGCCTGCGAAGCAGGAATGGAATCGAGAATAGTGGATGACGGTCTTGACGAGGTTGTGGCTGTAGTTGCAGCTTTTACCGCTTCGACATTGCTTGCCGGCGTTCCCTTGTTCGCATCGCCCACTACGTCGAGTGCTCTAGATTGGTATGAAGATGAGTCCTGCGAACCTGTCGCTGCACCAGTCAGGCCAGAGAACACAGCGCCTGCCGCCATAGTGTTCGCTGGCTCTAGAAGATGAAAATGCTCTTCTAGCACTGATGTTGTACCATACTGACGATCCGGCGGCCAGTCCTCATTGTGCTCGCGTCTTTTCCGTGCTCGCCTAGCTCTACGACGCCGATTTCGGCGGATGTTGCGTTCACGCAGTTTTCTGCCGACTGCATCTTCGGTTCTTCCTAGCAGGTCTTTCTCGTTACCGATAGTGATCTCGCGAGAGAGATCAAACACGTTGTCGGGACTAAACTCCGGTGCGTGATCGGCCGCAGCACATTTTTGCCTTCCCTTCCTTCGAAGAACTTTTGCAAGCCTCTCTGTTGTTGGGTTGCTCCAAGACGAGGTCCTCCGTGGTACGGAAGAGGTCCAAGCAGAGGACTTGCTTTGCTCAGGCGAAGACACTCCTGCTAGTACACGACCAGCGCCACCTCCTAAAGTTGCTGCTCCAACTGCTCCTCCAAATGACGGCGTATGGTAATAGACCGTGTTTTCTGGTGGGTAGAGAAAACTTGACTGCGGGAGGACCGAACCGGAGGGATCGTAAGCTGCAACAGCAGCTTCACCAATTGCAGCTGAGGCTATCGCATCCCAATGCAAGTCTCGCTCAGAGGGCAAGGTGCTCGATACTTCTCCTGTCATTGTTCTGGAAGTGGTACTTCCTAATGTCGTGGCTTGTTGACTATCTTCATTTCTGTTGTGTTGCGTGCCAGGATCTTGAGAGTTCATGTCTGTGTCTGTCCTTTGCGTCTCCCTTCGCCTGAAACCATTGTTCCCGTCCTGCTGCCTGGACCTCCTCGTTGCACGGACGCTCTCCTCTGCAGTAGTAGAATGATGCCAGTCTTCTCCTCCTTGTTTGTTCAGGTTAGCATCAAAACCCGAAGCACTTCTAGACGAATCATGTGAAGATGTTGGCAGTGGCCCCTGTCCTTCTAGTACTCTATACGAATCTGCATAGTCGTAGTGCCCACTGCCCGAGCTGCTCGCACTAGCGGCGTGACCCCGACCCAAGGACACAACCCCGTTTCCCTGTGGCCGACCAAACTCTTCTACGTCCTCGGCAACGTCTGTGCTATAGTTGATCAGCGAATGGTCGCCACCTTGTGCGTGAGCTGCTCGTCTTGACTGCGCACCTGATGCTCTGCTACTCGCGGTGCTACTCTCTATATCCGCTTCTAGTTTTGCAGAGGTTCCGGCCGTGCTAGCACGCGACGTTCCCGCTCGCACTGCAGCATGGGCATCCAATGAGTCTAGATCAGCAGACTGGTATGTTCTCCCATGCTCCGGTGCCGCAGGAGCTTTACTGCTGCTCGCTCCTCTCTCAGAACCTGTAGAGCCAAGAGCTCTCGTATCGGGACTCGGCAACGCGCCGTTCAAACCAGGATTGCTTTCGCGCAGCAGCAAGTCCGCCACATTCGCATACAACGAACCACCGTCTCCACCCTGCAAAGATGACGCGGTCGAAAGCTCAGCCTTTTCAGGTCCTCTCGCTCCTTTTATCGCTTTGTTTGTACTACTAGCAGTTTTCGTTGATGAAGAAGACGCTTCCCTTCCCGTTCCTGCCGACGTCGCAGTGTGCCTCTTCATTCTGTAGACCCGATCTGCTTCTAGCACGCGAAGGAGGCCCTCCGAGCGCACCCACTCCACGCCCGTTACTTGCACTGCCTGCTTCGGCAGACGCAACTGCGTCATGATGCTGTCGCGCACCATGAAGGGCTCGTGCACCCCGATGCGGCGACTCGCGAGTGCTGCTTCCTTGTTGAACGCCTCTGTTGCATTCAGCGCAACGGCTGGCTCGAAGACTTCCACTTTGTACTTCAATCTAAGACGTGCGAACAGGATGTTCATATCGGCCATTTCCTCAGTCCAGGCAGGATCCACGTAGTCGTACCACCAACTGTCTGGGTTGCCTTCTGTGGATATGCGGAATTCCTCCGGAATCTCGCGCTGCTCTTGCATCGCCAGCGACTTGTCATCAACCTGATTGATTAACAGGGTCGGTGCGTGAGAAGAGATAGACTTAGGTAGTCTTGTTGCCCGACAAAAGAAGTAAATCCGAAAACAAATTTAGCGAAGCATCGTAGCCAATACTTAATTTAAATCATCGACGATAAAATGATGAAAATCTCATTTGTACATCAATCATGAGCTTTCCGGCATCCACGCGCCAGCAGCCGGCGCGTTCCAGGAAACCTTCGACGCGGCATGTAGTTATCTTCGGCCACGGCAGGTACCCCGGTTTGCACTTCACCGTACAGATCGCACCTGGTGCAATGCGGCTGCCTTCCCAGCACGGGCGCACAGGATCCAAGTTACTCCCTAGAGGATATCCGCAAGTGATTGCCGTCTTTTTGCGCCAGCAGTCCAGAGTTAGAGCGTCGTGAGCACTTGGAAGAGATGCAAATGCTATGTATTGCTATTCATCAATGACCACGGGAGTGCAAATGATCAAACCAGTACCAGGCTTCTAGAGTACCTTAGGCACGAACAATAATTTGCGTGACACAATGCTTTTCAGATTCAGCATGCATTCGCATCTCTACTCCACTATGCATTTGCATTTTTTCTAGCGTTGTAGTTAGTAGTAGAAGTTAGTAGTAGTATACCCATTCTCGGGGTAAGTCCAACAAAAGGGGAGGGAAAAACTAAGCAGTTAAAAGCCATAAGTAAGCCGAGTTCAAATCTGTGATTTCGATGCCGCTCGCAGCGTCATTGCGAAATGCAGTCCACGGTGGCACTGTAATTTGCTTCCAAACCCACCCATAAATTTTGCACATGCTCTGCACACGGCCGAAAGCGAATCCTGAAAACAAGTCGTCATTTGATAATCAGATTGCATAATAAATTTTTTGTGGTGGAGCAAACCTACCTAGGAAAGATAGAAAAAAAGGAAGAGGTATTAATATATATTAGGACTAGCAAAAACTGGCCATCTAGTATCTCCGTTTATTCTAGGCGCCGCCTGTCGTCCATCTGCCCTGGAGGTCTTCTCATCAAAGGCGGCCGAAGCCTGTGCGTACCTCAGAGAAGTGCTCGGTTCCCGCGCTATGTGCACCCGCTAGTTCGCTCCAGGGTACCGGTTCACCAAACTAGCGCATAGCGCGAGAAATAGGACTAGTATGTATCCCCTTATGCTCTCCATATTCGCTTTTATATATATAAACTGGAGCTAGGCCTAGCATCAAGCAGTAACTAATTAGCAATTATGTCACGGTTTTACCAACCTCGGTTTTGTCGTTTTCAGTGCTACCACTTTTTTATTGTTTCATTCAGGTCAGGTTTTTGCTCATTTTGAGGTCATGTTCTGGCACGAGTAGCCTTCAGTAATACATTCCGATAATCAGATTGCATAATAAATATGTATGCATTGTGATTCATGCCGGTAAATTTTCATCATCTCTATGAATCTACTAAGTACCCAATTCAAGTTTGCACTAATGCCTGTCAACCAGCCTGTTCACAACGTACAAGGAGAAGGATTTCAAGACTTATATCCTGATTCTTTGACGACAAGAAAGAAGATAGAAAGTACCGACTGCGTACGGTTCGGCCAGTGCTAACTCCATACAATGCCTGTAGCTTATGGTCTTCGCCATGTGATAGAGCTTGCGACGTGTCGTGAGGGACTCGCCGACTTGGTTTATGCATTCCCCATAACCGACGAAAGAGAAGCGACGCTGGAGTTCGATTGGGTCCAGGTCTGGGGACCACACGGGATCCCAGCTCCATGGTCGAAATGCGGTAACGTTCATTTTTTAGACTGTTATCCGCCTCCCGTGCGTTCTTGTTGTCGTCCTCGTCAGAGAACGTCGTTTTGATTCAGAAGTACTGCGATCGGAGCATCCAACTTCTTACCTCGCACGAATTCTCATGCGGGCTCGTACGTGGTAGGGGAGACATGGTATTTTGTCCTGAGGTCCGTCTATCTCCTGCACAAAAAAGTCTTTTGTTTGCTTTGCACGCTTTCCACAATGTCCGTTTTCTTCCACTTATCATCATAAGCTTCTGAATATGAACTTCCTTCTAGCACAATTCATTGAGTCATCACGGTAGAAAATCAAAATGAAGCGCCAAAAGCCGGTGTTTCTAAGTGAATGCTGCGAGTACGATTATATTTCGACAAGATCATTTTCTTGAGTTTGTTTCACCATTTTCGTTTCTTTCGACGACGCCTCACGAGTCTCAATTTCAATCGAAAATTGAAAGGGATTCGCTAAGTTCGTTGTGTGGTACTTCCTATTGGGGAGGTAAAAAAAATCACTCAACTCTCACACTCTGTTAGTCTTATCAAGCTCGACTGTCTCTCATTCTCTCTCTCTCTGTCGACTTCACAATGAATCGCTCATCTTTAGTAATTCGCTGCCTCGTCATTTAGTGAATAATTAATTCATTCCATCTGTCACCTCTCGACCAAAGGTGGACTCAACTCTCACAAAGAAAGACCATGAGACAAATGGACATTGAGTAGATTGCAACTACGACGAGGAGTAGACCGAATTTCTTGTGAACGATCGGTGAGTAGGTAGCAGAAGCCTCGAGTGCAAAACACGTAAGTATGTGTCACGAGCAAATACGCATCGGCTGGTGTCATGCAACACGAGCAACAGTTCTTTCATGAAGCAAAGATAACAAAAACATATCCGCTTTTTTTCTGTCCAAAGCTAACAACAATGATCCAGCACATGGCCATTAGAAACTGCGGATACGTGCTGCTAGCCAAATTATTATGATAGATACAACTTCTCCTGTAGTATACTCAGCAAAACTGAAGATTGCAAATAAATTTGAGCATTTTCTCTCGTCTGCGTCGATCTCTAATAAGGGATCCGGATATGGGGATATGGGGCTTCCACAAAAGACGAACCGAATCTACCAAATCCAAATAATAATAAACTGAAAAAACCAACATCCATAAAACCTCAAAACTACACCTCTATATTTGTGGCGGAGCCGACCTAACTAGAAAAAAGACAGACCAGAGGAAGATATAAAAGAGAAAAGGGTAACTATCAACAAGTATCCTAAAGTATCCTGCTAACTGCTAAAACTAACTAAGCGCCGGCGCTATCGTCGTCCTGTCAGCCCCATAGGTCTCACCTACAAAGGAAGGCCGGAGCCCTGTGCAACGCCTCCGGTGAGTGCTCAGCCGTCTGGTTGTGTGCAACGAACTACACCTCTATATTCTTCAAAAATCAACTTTACCCTTGCAAGTAAGTTTGTAAATACTAGAATTACATACACATCAAAAGAACCACTTCTACTAGCAACAGATTGCATGTCCTCTACTCGGCGTGCGATGATGAGTTAGCCAGCGATGCAGCGCTGCCAGATCCTGATCTGTTACAAATGCGCCCTCAATAACATGTACGCCTGACTCAGGTGCCTGCACTATGCTGGGACCATCACCAAAGATCCGAGGGCTAGCTGCACTAGCACTAGAGAAAAGAGGTCCTTGATCGGAGGATGCCTGCGCCTCACCTTCGGCCCTTGCTATAGCCGCACGTGGTCGTCTCAGGAAGCGGCTTCCTCCGCCTTCTGGATGGTTGTAGACAACCATCGGCGAGTCCTCGCTGTTGTCCTCATAAATGTAGCGCAAAAAGCCTGCCAGGCCCCATGCCAGGTTGACCTCTAATACACCATGCACCATGATGCTTTTCCTAATTGCGATGCTCAAGAAGTAGACAAATAGCCGTTTTTATCTCAATCAATCTGAATCTTTATCTTTCTGAGGAGGGCGCGCACAGGGCGTATGGCAATCAGAGGGGTGTGCATTTGACGAGATGAATATTGCAAAACCAATTTTCTTCGATAAAAACGGAATTGACAAATAGACACATAAAGTAAGAGGGAAAACGAGCCGGTTGCTTTACTTAGTGCTTTGAGCGTCGCTGGACCTAAACCTAGATGGGTATGTCTAAAAATCACACTTAACAGAAGACTACAGGAAACGATAGTAAAATAGTTTCCTCTGGCGAATGATTATACCCACTAGTATTCATTCAATACGACATAGTTCTACACTCTTAACATAATTTCGAGGTCAAGGAGAATTAAAATATTGTGGGGGAGCATTCGCGTTCTTCAAGCAAAACGCACATGCAAAAATGCTACATAGGTTGCCAGACCTAAGCGAGAAACCATTAGACTCACTCGCCTGAGTTCATTGGAGATGACGAAATTGATTGCAAACTCGAGGCTGAGGCGGACAATTCATTATGAAAATCGTCATCCATCCATCATGATCTTGGTATCAATCTAGGACTTTAAACTAAACGCAAAACAGGCTGCGAGTGATAAACTCGGTCACGGTCACGCGCGAACACTTTTTCTTAATAGAATTGTTCGAAAAGTCTTCTAAATATGCACTCAGTCGTAAGTAGCTTCTCGTCGTGGGGAAAATATTCATAATGGTATGATTGCGCTCGTTACTACCCGTAGGTACCTCCAAATACTAGTGAATTAATCGAGGTCAGTCCCCGTCAGATGCATTCGCTTCAGCACTGAGGATGCAAATAAGAGTTGCAACGGATTGCGGTGATAAGAGAAGAAAAACGTCAAGAAGCTTATGGACACGAAAACGAAACAAAATCCTTCGAGCATGGACCTTAAAACCTCGTAGAAAAAGAATCGTGCAAGAGGGACAGAAGCGTGGTAAAGAACCGATGACGCATATTTTCATATGGGTATTCTCAGTAAAAATCCTCGACGATATATTGAAGGTAAAATCTAATGGCACTTCGATACGTGCGGTGTGCAAAGCCTGACCAGGTCTACCGTGTATCTATGGCCAGAATCGGGCTTTGTATCTATGGCCAGAATCGGGCTTTCTCATAATGTCGAATATGATCTTGTACCTCTATGCGAAAATGAAACAGAAACTAGGATTTTACCTACAATCTGTTGATTGGAGGGATTAAAGTGGAAGGAAAACTGCCCGGTTATTTCTAGCTATAACACGATGGAAAAATAATAACCGATGGGAACACCACAGGTACGATACTCTTCACGACTATTTCGGATTACACGCGCAGCATTGCGATTGGTAGTGGCCCTGTCTCACTTTGACTCCTGCTCATGCAGCACATAAGCGACGACAGGCCTGGGATCATGCTCATTCTCGAACTCCGGGGTGGTCCTATCCTCGGGCTGCCAGTATGTGGGCTAGCTGGTGTTGCTATATTCTTCCGCGACGAGCTGTGTAGATTACTGTTCCACCCAGGCGCGCACATATCGCCTCGAGGAGCCGTCTCAATCCCCCAACTGCTGCCGCGATCGCTACTACCACCTGTGTCGCCGGCAACCCAAGGAGTTCCTGGCGCCGTCTGCATTCCTCCCGAAGGAGCCCAGTTGACCACTGGCCTGGACTGCGTCGCCCAATGCATCTTTTTCCGGGTGGCATAAGCTAGCGTTGCCGATTGGCCGCACGCCGATGCGGATCTACGTTGCAGACTTGCGCTGCTGTCACCACATTTCCGTCTTTGCTCATCGTCACTTACATACGTTTGCGCAACGAAGGCATCCATATTATGGGTTGGTGAAAACCCGCCTGGTGTCGCACGCTTTCTTGGAGCAACCTTATTGTCAATGTCCTGTTGTTCTAGCCCAGATGAAGTTGTACTACCAACGTCTCCTGTCTTTGCAGCACAACCTTGCCCAGCTCCGGTAATTTTTTCGCTTCCTACGACAACAGATCCTGTATGCTGTGGTCTAGGCCAGCTAGCTACACTGTACTGCTCAGCATTGGCATCGTGTCCGCGAGCACCACTACCAATGACACAAGAGTCAGTAGACTTGTGTAGTACGTTCTCTTGTTCCACCGCACCGCTGCCAAAATTCTGTTGAAGACCCTCGGCTAATGCCAGACGATGTTTGGCAAACGCTAAAAGTTGCAGAGACAGGACACGATGGATCTGCACAAGAAAGGTAAAAAGCAAACGCCGCGCTCCCCGTCCCGTGCACGCTTGCGAGGACGCGCTGGCGCCGGGTCCAGGAACAAGACAACTATCATTAAAGGAGATGCTCATGCGGTTCGCGTTCTTTCGAGGCAGCTGTACACAGCTCGGAATATTGAGCAGCTTGTGTAACTAGTCCAACTCTAGAGCGACCGAAACCCAAACCAGGATCCTAGCCCTATAATTGATCTTCAATCTTTAGTATCCCGGCGACATTCTTGATAACCTGCGTGCCTTAATGTTGGCTCCACCTAGTAGACGAATTTCGTGGAACTCGACTCTAACGGCAGACGTCGCGGGAAACGGTACGCGGCCCTTAAATGCTATGCGAAATCGAGCGGCCAATACACCTCCCGCCAACGCGCCCTTGGTGGCACGCACATACGCGTCCATATAGGTTTCTTTTTCCGAGCTGTGTTGAAAGAGAACATTTTGTGAAACAAAAGAGTATATTAAGGTATGAAGAAGTTCTCTGTGGACTTGCAGTTCTATTTCACTCTTCAACGTTCCGACAAAAATATTAAAAGATTGAAAAGGCCTCGTATAAAGTAAAAGTTGCAAGTTACCTGCCAGAATGGCTGACGCGATCGATCAGCTCGAGAGTCTCGGAGTCAATCGCACTCGGCGGCACATTGCCACCCATGGTTCCTCTTTTTTCATAAAGCCGCGCTAGTTCTGCCAAGGCTTCAGTCGTTTCCACGTAAACCTGGAAAAGTCCGGAACATTGTAGTTGTACCGATATTCTAGACAAGCAATAATTTCGCATCGAGACAAGATCAAAAAGAGCGAGGCAAAGTAAGATTTAGAAAGGCGAAGTGGAGAAAACGACGACTAGATCTGCTTACCTCGACCTCGACCGTGGCCTTGGCTTTTAGTTCCCACTCTTGTCCGACCCCGAAGAGAGCGCGGTAGAAGAAATCCGACGCCCCCGTATAGTAGTCCCCACAGTCGCCGAAGGTTCGGTCCACGAACACCAACTCGGTTTTACCCATCATATTTGCGGTGTCTGCGCTACGAATCCGGAACGCAACTCTCGCCACTTTCTTCGCACTTGGCTTCTCGGTTTCGTCTTCGGCTTTCGCCCCCTTACTAGAAGTGGTACTTCTCAGAAGGGAGAGACCGAGAAACTCCTCCCAAGTGCTCGACACAAGAAATGCAGCCTGGTTGGGTCCTCCTGGATCCTCCTTTTGCTCTGCGAGCGCCAGTCCACGGCTCGTCTTCGGCGCCTCACTCGCTGTTGGAAGATCCATTGCATTTTTTCGGGAACCTGTTGTAGAAGTACCACGACTAGAACTACCTCTACCCACCAGAATTACAGCACTACTCTCCTGCTGGGAAGAACAAGATGAGGGCAGTTCGTGCTCGAGCAGAACGCCGTGAATATCGAAGAGGTTATGCGCATACTGTTCGAAGTCCACGTAAGGAAGCACGTCCACGTGGCAATGGACACCGGGAACGTGGATGCGTCCACTTGCAAGTTGCCGTGACACAAAGCTCGAGGCCTGCCGCCGGCTGAATTAGACGTCTCCGCCATTCATCTCCCAGCTGGGGCGTCCTTGAAGAAAAGTATTGGGGAGCATTTCGCTGCGATGCTTTCTTCCCCATACTCTTCAAAGATTATGCAGTAAACGATGAACCAGTCAAAACTGAACTTGAACGAGTGAGAGCCTTAACTGAAGACGAGACAATCGCCATCCGGATCGCTATCTTCGGAGTCGATGAGGCGCCGGAGACCCTCGGAGGATGTCTGCAGGTAGTGCTCGGAACTTTCTTCCGCTGCCAGAGCTGTTTGCAGTGCAGATTTCAGATTCGAGAGAAACTTCACGGCGCGTTCGCGCTTGCTGCTTGTTCGTCGCAAATTAGGCTGTCGTGCCTCCCTTCTTACTACACCTTGGAGCTCATCTACACCTATTGGCGCTGTTACATTAGTTTTTGAAGGTCCTCCTGGTCCCCCGACTACAGAACAAGTCCCTTTTAAGGTACAAGAACCCGGAGTAGGAGGTGACCAAGAAAGTAGTGGAGATCCCGGCTCCCGATAACGACGAAGTCCAGAAAACCACGATGTGGAACTTGACCCGGCCGCGCCGTCTTCCGATGAAGATCCGGAGTTATTGCCTAAGATATTGTTTTTGTCGAAGGTAACAGCAGGAGTTGTTCCTGTTGCTGACGAGGAAGCGGTTTTACGTCTACCTGGTGCGCTCCGGAACAACGCAGTGAAGCTGCCAGAACGCGAAGAATCCTCCTCGGTCGACGCTGCTCTGGATCCTCTATTTCCGCCCTCTCTATGGTCGAGGTCGTCTGGTTCAGCCACGCCGTATGACAGGACTGTATTTTGACGCGTTCTTTCGCTGACGAGTGGTGGAGCCGAAGGCGGAGCAGCCTTGCCGGTCTCTGTTATTGCATCATCTGTTCTTGGCGAGTTTTGAGGCAGGTCCAAGCCCTCAAATTTTGGCCAGGCGTAATCAGTCGAGGAAAAGGCCACTCGCCATGACGTACTTCTGCTACCCACGCTTGGTTGGCTTGTCGTCGACCCAACACTTTCGCCGTCTTTGTTGTACGTCGCCGTTGTATGTTGAGACAAAACGGCGTCTCGCGCGTCTCCTCCCTCCAAGATCGGGGTAGCTGGAGTGGACTCACGTACGCCAGGCGACGCAGCGAATGCGCTAAGCGGGCAAAGCGGACCACACCAATGGAGCAGAAATTGCACAATGCCAGCGGGGCGCTTCACCATGAGCAACATGATTGTCTCTCACTTCATGGTGCATGATGGGTGCAGAAGCATCAATTTCTCATCAATGTAATTCGATTATTCTTGCCACAAAAATTGTCCCACGCCCAGTCTACTTCAGAAAAACATGTTGAAAGCCTATTAAACTAAAATTACTCATTCCTGCAAGCCTTACCTTCTCGCTGGCAACAGCACCTCCTTGCACCACGAACGGGAAAATGGTAGTGATAAATATCTGATAAATTGCTTCATGGCATGAGCGACTGATGTTATAATCGGACAAGTTTTTGGGATCCCTTTCTGTCGACATGACAAGCCACAAGTACAACTTGAATTGTCAACCGAAGATAGACCGACACAGACACCGAAGACAGACAAATTCGGTTCCACTCTGCATACTGGAGTTTCATATCTCCCAGAACCACCCACTTCTGCCCCACAGGGCACAATTGACAAAACTCTTCTCCGTTTGCCTGATTTCGATGCACATGAAGCAAAACATCAAACCAGAGTAGTTATGCTCACGTCAATGCCTCGGCAAAGAGACAGACACGACCAGTGCTAGTAATGGTGATGACATTCTTAATGAAGACACGGCCGCTGTCACGGGTCCGTGTTAACAGAAAGCTGACAAGCGAGGCTGAGCCTGAGTTGACGTCCTCCTTCTATGCCTAGTACAGCACCACCTGTGCATGCTCTTTACACTGCACACATGATTCGCCTCGTTTTCACCCCATGCTTTTTCTGACAGACAACTAAATCAGATAGACGATGGTGTGTGAAGAAAAAGTAAAAGATTCATCGTAACTATAACTGCTCTACAAACGCTTCGCACTTTCGCCACGTAAAGGTCTAGAGAATCAGGCGAATCAAAACACGAGCAAGAAAACCAAAAGATAAATAAATCATGATCATTCTCAGCACTGTGACTAAATTGATAACACAAATCTAAAGTGTCGCCATCAATCCCCAGTCCTTTATCGAGTTCATTTTGTATAACGACTAAAAACACGATTTCGTCTGCAGACTAGTACACCCTCTAAAACATATCTGTTATGGTTGACCTATACTGAGTAAAGTATCTCAAGGTGATTACTTTGGATTGCTTACTCTCTTTAGAAGTCAGGCTCAGGGAGTCATGATGTATAAATTTATACCAAGCAAAGGACTTTTTGTAGTATATATAAGGATTAGGGATGTCACATCGATCTTTAGGAACTGAGTTGTCGTATAAATCTTAACTAGGTTCAGCTTCAGAAGGATAACCACTTCCAGCTCATTTTGAGAAGTATTCATATTTATTTTCTATTTCGTCGCTTTCGAAGCTCGTGAGGAACAAGCGCGCTACTGTTCTCCGAATACGAAATTTTTTCAGAGCATTATTCATCTGAGCTGTCTTCGGGAAGCGCCATCGCGATGGTTCGCGGTATCCGTCTTGAAGATGCTTCGGCTTCACCCGCTGCAGCCTTTGGCTCCCACAGATGTCTGAGCATATCCCACAGTCGGAAAGACACTACTTGCCAAACTCCGTTCTCTACAGCAGTCTCGATCGTGAAACCGGATTTGTCTCTCGATAGAAGCCCACGGTCTACCCCACCGAAATCCAAGACCGGCACTCTGGTACGGTCCCACCATATCTCTAGGCTTTTCACCCGCAGTTCATCCTCGGTTAAATGATCATCCTCGTCGTCTTGTTCCTCGTTATTTATAATTTGTGTGTTTCCTTGAGGATAAGGTTGGCTTTTTTGTTCCTCTGCCTCGTCCACGAACGTAGCGGAATCGAAATATATTTTTCTCTTCGTGATGGAAGCGTCGTTTTCCCGTGGACCTTCAGCTGCACCGGCTTCGTCACCAACTGCCGCTTCTTCAACAACTAAAGCGCCTGACATACTTCCGTCATCTGGCGCCTTTTCCGCAGTAGTTTCTCCAGCAAGCAAGCGATCCAACTGATCCAGGCTTGTGATGCGCGTCGAGGAGGTCTCTCCACGTGAACCTGGTGACTGTAAAAATTGTACAAAAGGATTCTCACCGCGCTTAAGGATGTGCATGGTTTGCTTCTGTCCGAAGACCTCGAAGGTTTCTTTGAATAAGGCTCCCGCACGTTGCTCCATTTTGCTCCAGAAAACTGCGGATGTCGATCTCACATCGCGTGCCCCGTGCCTCTTCAGAAAGTTCATCATGCGCGTCTTTAGGTTTGACTTTTCCCTCAACGAAAGGCCTATGGAACTGGTTGACTGAGAGGCAGGAGCCTCAGAGGAGAACGCCGGAGACGACCCAGTAGTTGTTGAGCCTGACGATAGATAGTTGTTGCTCAGTACGATTCCTCCGCCGCCGCACCGCGCGATGCAAGCGATGAAAGGCGACCACCCGGCAAAGACATCAGGCAAAAAAAATGACCGAACCTCTAGGGCGTCCTCTCGCGTCCGCAGCAAGAGGTGCGCGGTGGGCATCAGAAAAGGCAACTCAAACAACGGCACCAGTGAACACCCACGGGTACGCAGGGTTAAGACAGAGGGAAAAACAGGGTTGCCACCTCCAAGGCCACTCCCAGTAACTCTCTGGGGACGCGCAGCACTGGATGAGTTATTCATCGAGGAGCCTCCAACGACTGCACAATTCAGTACTTGGCGCGAGCTTTTCTGGACGCACGCCCGAACTAAAGTCATCAAGATGTCCCGGTGTTCCTCAGACGATACTTCCACCACCTTCTCGTTCTTGCCGGAAAGAAAGCGCGTTTTTGTGGCATCCATGAGCCCGAAACTGCGCACTAGGACCTGTTTTGCGCTCTCCCGTGGTTGTCCCAGCTCTCGCCGAGTCCACGTATACTGCCGAAACAAAGGGTTCGTTACCACGGCTGCCAACAGGGTGGGTGCCTCGCGCTCGAACATTCGCAAGGAGATGCTCGAGGATGCTAGTATACAATCGTTATTCACCAAGTGGCTGCTTCCTTGGCTCGCCACCGGGCTTCCCGAGTCCTCTGGAAGGCTCGTCCTGCGTCCACCTCCTCCAAATCTGCTGCCAAGTCTTTTTTCTACACCTGCAAAGGAACTGCCCAGCGGAGCACTCGTTGCGATCATCCCGCCTCCCCGTACTCCTGAGGGAGCATAAACCAGCAAAGTCGGATCAAAAAGATGAGAGTTCGCTGGCGCATGGTCCAAAATCGCCGCCGCAGCTCGAAACCGCGCCACGTCAAACTGATTCTTTGCGTTGTTCCTCAAAAGAAAAGACAGCAAACACAAATCCTCTCCCCATTTTGGGTAGCAGCAGAGAAACTCCTTTACGCGAGGCAAAGTCAGACAAAGAAAAAAGGCTAGAGCATCCGCCGTGGCGCCTTTCCATGGGGCGAAACAGTCGTCATGCTGCGCCACGACAAGATTCCTTTGGTGCTGGTCATCTGCCGGTGAATGCATGTACTGATCGTTGTAGTTGCCCCCTTTGCCAGCATTACGTCTATAGACTTGATTTGTAATGTGCTCCTCAGACGTCTCGCGGTGCAAGTCACACCTGTAGTGATCCGCGAAGTGATGCGGACTCAATTCTTCTGGACACTCAACGAAACGGCTGTCCTCGTCCTCGGGATCCAAGGCTCTTACCCTTCTAAACGGTGCCGGCTGTCGCACGATCACACGGAAATGAGCGATGGAAGGTTCGGGTGAGAACTTTAAGAAGTCCAACAATTGAGATGTTGATGAAGAAGATGATGAGGGAACAAGGTGTCGCTGTTGATATTGCTCTGCTCCTTGACCTCCATCAGCAGTACTGAAAATGCAAGGGCCGACGTCTGCGCCCGTCTTGCTGTCTAACTCCTGCAAGGCCAAGAGGGTGAGTGGAATGCGTCGTTTTCTCGCGAGATGCTGCCGGAGCTTTTCCAACGTCGTCACGACGCCAGGATCTACGCTGACACTCGAAACCGTCCCTGTGAGATCCACGAGCAACAAAGTCACCCCTGGCTGCGAGGCCGTGGCAGACGCGAGACTGCTCTTACTCATCTTTCGTTATGATTCTCTTTCTTAGAAATCTAATCAGGTAAAGACTATCTATTTATTACGTACTAGAACTGGAATCTCAATACTTATGTACTGGAACTGGTTTCTACGGCCTCAACACACTGAACTATTCAAAGCGCAAGAGCAACTGATTTTCTGTTCTTGGAACAGAACTACTAAACTAAAGGAGATCGAAATTGGGATCGAGTTCGAACATGAAGAATAAAAAACGGACTACTGTACATATGAACAAAGAAAACGGACGACCTCGTCAGCGGTTTTTTATGACAAAATCATGTGTCTGTCAGTCTGTCAAGTATTAGTTCACACAGCAGTACAGCCTAGAATACATCAATGAGTTGATTGAGAGGATAACACGGCTCCTTCGGAGGGCATGCACCTTCATTGGGAAATACAAAGTGGGAGTCTACTCTACCTATACTAGTACTATAGTCTCTTCATTAAGAAACTCCCTCAATCCAGGGAAGGGACGAGGCAGAAGAAGATTTAAACAATTTCTAAAACAAGCATAGGCTCACCTGAAGTAGTAGCATCCAATCCAAATGCAAAGGCATGTCATGATATGGTACCTCGTTGCCTTGCCTACGTACCAGAGATAAAGAAAAATGTAAGCAGGCAAATAGTGGACCGACAAACACGCAAGTACCTTCAGAGTAGAGTCTTGGGGCGGACACAGTGTGATTAAATTCACTTTCATCTTCATGATAAAATGACATGTGAAGTGATCTATCTAACTGCGTCACTCGTCTACTCTCCAAAAAAAGTACACCCACACATGGAACACCGCACTTCTTCCTCTCCCACGTTCAGGCGATGTCTGCTTTTTTAGATTCATATTCCCGATGGAAGAAATTTTGCTTAATCAACTCACTCTCATACAGAAAAAAGAGCAAACAAATACACGCAGAATCCCCAGAAACTTGTGCATCTCTCGATCACTCGTCAAAGAACCGACCATTACTCGCACGACAGAATCTTTTGAACTACCTTTACGTTTTTTCGTACAAGTTGTAGCAGACACAGGTCTGAACAAAATTCATGGAGGCTTTCGCAGATTCCATTCGTCTCGCAAGATGGTAAGTTAAATCTGATGTGTGTAAATTACGACCCAGTGGTATGCTTGTCGGAACACAGGCTCCGCGTTGATGGCGTGGATCCAACAACAGGCATATAATTTTGGTACATTTCATCGTGGCACATTTTCAGTTAGGACGATACACATCTCGTCGTGGCGGTCCGACTGGCGATTCAGCTAGTCGTACTCGCACAAACATCGGTGTTGTCCTTTTTTCTGTCAATCTAGTAGAAAAGGGGGTACGATAAAAAGGTGGCACGTCAGCTCATGCCCCAGTACACACCTTCGCGCAGGCAAGAGGCATGCACTTCTTGGGGCTATCATGTATTAGCCCAACCTTCCCCAACCATGATAAAACTCTTGGAGCTCTCTCCTCCTTCATTTGAGCATCTGGCTAACGCCATACGGAAGCGGCCGCATCCTGATCTTTATAGAGGCTGCAGCACACAACCAAGCTGCGACGGAACATTTCCGAACGATCTGGAAAAGAGAGGGAGGAACTAAACCAAGCCAACCTGACGAGGCAACTGACTGCCTAACTGAAGCGGGGGGACTCCAGAGGCAAGGCCAGGCAGGAAGACGGAAGTTCCACAACAAAGTTCCTGACTTAGGATCTCACGAGTCGTCTTTAAGTCCATATAACGTTCCAGGAACTGCTCAGCATTCTTATTTTGTTCCATGGTAACAGACGAGGGAGGGAACGAGATGAAGAACTTAAGCAATTTTTGATATTGGCTGGAAGACAGACGCCGGCAACCTGCTGTCTGTTCCTTCGAAAGACTGGGAAAGGCTCGGCTCATCAAGCCGATCACTTAGTCTAGCTGTGAAGCAAGTTGAATTCACAACGCACACTATGCCAGAATAAGAGCGCCTTGCCTATATTTCAAGCTTTCAAGATCTTCATAAGTTTCCAGATCGCGCGAGCGATCAAATAACTATTCTACCACTAGCTGTTTGCGCGACATTAGTCCCTGTCCCGCCGGCGAATTATCATCTGTTCACAAGGATAAATTAATTCGAGGACAGCATGTATTGCAGCATGATGTGCTCCTATTTTTTCAGTCCCTATCCAGGACAGAAAAGATGACACCCCTCTATGGTAGAGAGCAAATACTTGTCGAAAACACTAATTCACTTCTGAAGCCTAGAGGTCGCAGTCTTTCCAACCTTTAAACGCGGAAGTTGCCCTAGCTTCCCGATTTAGTCGCAATCACACTGCCAACGCCAAAAATCATGGTCGCCGATTTGTTGGAGGTAAGAACGACTCCAACGCGAGTCGTGCGCTTTTACTCGCAAAACACAGCCAGAGCAGCTCGGGTCTCCCAGTTCGTAAAAGCCGGCGAGGCACTTACACTTGCTATTTGTGCAGGCTTGCGTCACCGCTTTTTTGGAAAAAAATATCAGAAGGATCAGCCACAGTTTCAAGGAAGTAGGGCCACCACTCCGGTTCGTCCGCGTAGACCTGTTTCGGCTCGCCGTCAACACTGACAACTGTTATTTTGTAAGCGTGCCAACCCATAATGCCGTCATCGCTTGCCGTCTTTTTGCTGACCAGGTGATCCACAAAAGCAAGCACCTCTCTTTTCAGCTCCTCCTTCTTTTTTGGAGAAGCCCTCTCCCATTGCTTATCCACCTCTTCCATTATGTCCGGTGTTTCTTTTGCAGCAGAATCCTCATCGACCAGGGGATCTTCGTATTGCTTATCACTCTCGAAGCGGATTAAGGCTTTGCGACTTGCTTCAGTGCTGTTCCAGTCCTCGCGCCAAAAAGCTTTGCGCTGCGCTTCTCTGCGGAAGGAAAAAGCTCTTCGTCACTCGACGCACCCGGGTCTGTGTGCAGATTTGAAAACTCACCAGACGAGTCCGCACCCGCTTTCCATTTTGTCGCAAGTTCGCGCGCCTTATGGAAAGCATTCGTGTGAATTAGGTCCATCCGCGGTTCTTCATCTTCCCTTCCCATCACAGTATAGTGCACATCGACTCCAAAGACAACCCCAAAGTAAAATTGGCGCATAAGAAACAGATCCCTTTGGTAGTATGCGCGCCAACCTGTGAAGGCAGGCAACACCGGATGCAGTTCTAAATCAATCCCACAAAAAGATTCAGAAAGGCTTTTCGGACCTTTGGTAGTTGCTTGAGCGCAAGAGAAAAGCGGTGCGCGCTGTAGCATCCATTCCAGCGGTGCGATAAAGATTGTCTCCGACCAAGCATGCAGAGAGGCCGTCAACTACGGCCAAAGCAGCAATGTGGGCGCGCAGCTGATGCCGCTTGCCTGTCAAATCCGCCCAGGAGTCATGCCGCCCGGTCGTAGCGGAGAGTAGCACGTAAAAGACAGGATCTTTGACTTCACCCTGCGTTCGAGAAGGCTCCGGCACAAAGATCTTCACATTCTCATCTGATGCAAATTCCGTCGTCGCCGTCTCGCAATCCCATTCGCGAAACGTCTTCAATTTTTCTAGATAGTCTTTCGTCTTCTTTCTTTCGGCCTCGTCTGATGAAGAAGACGTCGCAAACTTTTCCAGGAGATGCGCGAATCCGTAGGGGCACACCTGCCGCATGGATGGAATTCTTGGAATTTTCCAAGTCATCTGTGTCAGGGGGATCGTGACTATTTGGCCAAAAACGCGTTCATTCAACCACTCGACAACAAGTGTCCGAGCCAGTCGAAACTCTTTCCCAGTCGGTCGGCCCATATTGATGCTTGCTCTTGACGAGTTGTCAGCATCATGCCGCTGTCCCTCTATTTTAGCGCCGCCGTCTAGAGAATCGCATTGCTGCTCATCGTGGCTGCCCATCGTCACCTGCGAATCATGCTCCTCTTTCCCATCCGTACGTCGACGCTTCAATGGCGAACCCTGCATGTCAGCGATGTCCTCATCTCCATCTTCCTTGCGGCTGTATAATCCTTGACGCATCTGCGGTGGAAGCGCTTTACCCTCAAGGACTTCGAGAGGAACGTGGACAGCAACCAACATTTTGTACCACTTCGCTTTCCTTTTCATCAGAGCTCTGATCTCCTCCTCATATTGGCCGTCCAGATCTTCCGACGACGGAGAAAAGTCCCTTCTCCTCCACTTGTGCGCCCATGCGCATTTGAAAGCGCGAGCCACAGGACCACTTTTTTTAGGATCTCGATCGTGCTTTACCTGCTCGTTCTCCATCTCCGGCATTGGAAATTTTTCCCCAACAGCGTGCTTGTTCCATGAGTTCGACTGTTGCAGGTGGTCTTCAATTACTTTTGCCATGGTCCACGCAGTCGGTCGTACCGCAACCACAAGGCTCCCTACATCCCGCATCCCTTTTTTGTGTAAGAATACAGGAACATTAATCTCTTGTTGTACTTGCAATGCGTTATCAAGGAATGGAGGCCGCTTGCGTTTGAGGGGACTACAACGGTTTCACCAAGGACGTTGGAGTCGATGACTGACAATGGGAGAAAGCGGATATCATTATTCGGAAATATGCAATATGATGTAAGTCAATGCGTGTGAAGACTCTGGTGACATACTATATTATTAAGCGGAGGCGAGGAGTCTCCTCATCTACTTGGCAGCTTCCTATTAGAGCTCTCCGCAGCTCATCTCTCAGTTGCATCCTTGAACGATATGGGGGAGTATTTTCCTTGTGATACTTCCCCATACTCATACAACTCTTCAGGGACGCAGTCAAAGATGAATTAAGTACGCCTTAAACCTATACGTACCGCCACCGCTATTTCTTCTCCCGTGCTATCGTGCTTGCTAGTACTGTTGGTTCTTCCAGTCTACACCGTGCATCTATTCGGCTAGCTTTTTCACATTCCGCCAGGACTTTGGGCACGTCTCTAGGATGTAGAACAAGAGAACGCAGTCCAGCTGCATAGCTTTCTATTTGTCGGTGAGATACGGCAGCACTTTGGAGCTCCAACTTATTTATCAGGAGCTCGTTCATGTTCGAGTGGAGAAGCACATTCTCCGCATTGTAGACCCACCTGTGCTGCTTGCCGAGCTTCTCCAGCTTGTACTTCAACTCCTTAATCAACTCGCGTTGGTGGTCGGGTGTGACGGAGTAAATGAGTTCTTCTGTGAGATCTTCGACTTCTATTTGCTTGGATTTTAACCTCTCCTCCTGCTCCTCCACCTCCTTCTGCGCTGTTAATTTCTTAACTTTAGAGCTCGCTCTGATCTGTTTTGAGAGACATCCTGGATGCCTTCTCCCCATGCAAACCGTCTCCAGGAAGTCTGGCAAGATGGATCCGAGCAAGCCTCAACAACTTTCGTCCGTAGCTCCCCCGTGTGTTTTAGCGCTTTGTAAACGAAGTCAAGCTGGCAGAGAAGAGGGTGACCCTCTGCGGTTGGCTGTCGGAGCCAGAACGCATCTACTAAGTATGGTTTGATCTACGACACTGCACATGTTCGTCGAGATCGTCTAGGGAGTCGTCAGAGCTGCAAAGAGGAGCGAGCCCATAATCATAGTCACAGCTACCAAGGTGGAGAACTATTAGAATCATAAGCCTTTAGACGTGTTGTTGTTCATTGATTTTCATTTTTTTTGACTTTCTCCATTAAAATGGTAAAAAAGACGCTAACAACAACACCTGCCAAAGCCAAAGTCTACCCTTAAAATTAACAAGTGCTGTGCTTGGAACTTTCTTTCTGCTCTTTCGTTGTCCGGAAAGAAGCCACTGGTGGCCGGCTCCGGTGTCGAAGAAAAGTCCTTTCGTGCAACGCGTCCCGGAAGGTAGCGGTGCTTGATCCCCGCATGCACATATTGGAGACCACCGGAAAAATCGCTGAAGTCATTGATTGTAAGGCGTTCTAGAGCAGATTGCGTATCTATAATCCGTTATTCCGCGGACCCATTGCCTAGCAGTCAACCAAGGTTCGTCTTGCCCTCTGGCAAATGCGTCCTCTACTTGAGCCATCCTCTCCACAAGTGAGGGACATCAGCCAAGTAAGTCTGTGCGTCATCAGGCACATAACCGGATCGCCAGGCGGCAGCTGCCAGTTCCCATCTCCTCCACGACCTGAGGTAAAAAGTGCCAAACCCACGAAATGGACTGCTCGGTGAATCAAGTAGTCCCTTTGCACCGAGTGCGCAACAGTACTGCGACGCGACCGAATCAACTCGAAGAGAGTCCAGAACAAGCGGTGTAAGTAATAGATTCGAACAGCGCATACCTATCATAAACATACACCAGCGCTAATTCGATGCAGTCCCATACGTCTCTCATTATGCTGGATTTCGCAGTTATCCGTCCGTGGGATGAAAACTGCTCTTCATGTTGTTATGAGAACTGCTCTTGTGATCGGCTGTACCTTATGCACATCAATCGTCCATCTTTGCGCCTACACGCGTGTCCATTCTTGCCTTGAGTAGCTATTCTAGGTAGAATACACTTTAATCTGCTGAACAACGTATCGCGGATTGATCAACATTGATTGGGACAGCAAGGAAAAAACATATCAGTAATTGAGATTGACTCATAACAACTTGATAAATTCTGTCTCATGAATGCCGGAAAAACCACAATGAAAATAGACTTCTACTTGTTTCCACAGCGACAACCATGAAAGAGATGATAGCTCAGCATGTGTCGAATTTGGATCTAAATAAGGGCTATGTCTGCGACCTTGAAGTAGATGTGACTTTGGCGATTAATGACTGCTGCGATGCTGGAGGAGGTGTTCCTTTACATAGGCGACATTTTGGCGTGTGTGTGGTTAGTAAACATCGCAAACAGGCCACTAGTCCCACTATTTATCAAATAGAGTTTGGATCTTAGCCATGCTGATAAAAGTTTGGAGACTCAGAAAGGCGTTAGGAATTCATTGATGGGTCCAAAGCCAAAGCTACTCACAGATTCGTGTTGGCCGAAGCACCGACTCATCTTACTTTTTGCTTCCTGTTTTCAGGTCGCATCCAACTGGATTACGGCTGTTTCTGTTGGACTTTCCTTCGGGCTGGCATCGAACTGCACCACGTGCGTTCACAACATATACTCATGCACATGCTTTCCAAATCTATTTACTTATAAAGTTTCGCCTTTGTTTTCTTTTTTCTTTTTTGATTTTGCTTTCTCTTTTTTGATTTTGATTTTTGATTTTGGTTTTCCTTTCTTGCTTTTGCTTTTTCTTGTTTAATTTTGAATCTATGTTTTGAGTTTTTGTTTGTTTGTTTTGATGCGCTCCGGGCGACGCGTACGATCCCGCCGGACTTCTTTGCGCTGTGTGTCTGTTGCGCTATGGTCGTCATTGCGATCGACTATGGTATGCCTGGCCGCCACAGTCCCCGCCAGCTGCGGCTTTTGTGGCATGCCGGGCGCGGTGTGCTGCAGGCGGCGGCGACTGCGCGTAGGTAGCGCCTGGCGGTGAGGCGCGGCCGGGTTTGGTTGACGTCTTTACGGCCTGCGTGCTCTGTTCTTCGCGTTCTCGTTTTGTCTTCGTTCTTTTTGTCTTCGCGTGCTTCCTTTCTTGTCTCCTCCTTGCTCGTTCTTTGTTCGCCACCACCTATCTCGGCCCCCGTTCTATCGTAGCGGGCAGCGATTGGCTCACCACAGCGGCCGCTACGATAGGAATTTTTGAGTTTACATTTTTAGTTTTGATTTTGTGTTTTGATTTTAAATCTTGAAACAGCGAAGGAAGTGCGAAAACACAAGAGAAGAAGCGCCCCAGCAAAAACCCCGAAAGTCAGGAAATGAATGTTGAAAGTTACGAACTGAGCGGCGAAAGTTAGGGCGCGAATTTTGAAAGTTAGGCCATGCATTTTGAAAGTTAGGGCATGAATTTTGAAAGGTAGGCGTGAACTTTGTTCCCACTTGCAACTCATTACTGTTCCTCTTCTTTCTTTTCCCCCTTCCTTGTGTGTGTCTTTTGCGTTTCGCGTCTAGCGCATGTCTCGTGTTCCCTTCGGCTCCTTCCCCTGGGGAACCACTCCAGGGAGCTAGTAGAAGGCATTCGTACATTTCTAGAAAGATATGCCAAAATTCTCTTGCTCGATCATCTGTTTGGAAAGTCATGCTCTACTTCCAAATACCCAAAACTGGTAGACAACGCAAACCAGTTTGAAGAAATGTTGTTGTGACTATATATCTTCGCGTCAATCGACTCAATGTGGTGGTTCAACAAACGAATTCAAAGTGGGAATAGTCTTCGAGGACATCCAGGCAGGGAGGATATGTGCCGTACTTTGGGGATAACAGATCGCGTTAATTTTGTTCTCAAGATGGATCTAATCTGAGCAAACATTTTTAGTGTAGTAGCAAATGCAAAATGGGTGTTCTATGTCAAACCTATTAGCGGCGACTAAAAAGCAGTTCCAGTTCGATACTTCTGACTAAAACAAATCTAAGTTCACAGCATGAGTCACTGCCTCGGACCTCTTCATCGATGGCAGCATGCCTTTCATTGCCGACTTTTGGCGGGAAGAAACACTACTTAAACAATACAGGGACACGGTACTTACACGACAAAACAATGGAGGTGATGTGATATGTTGATCTATACATGTTATAAGTCAACAGCATGTGCATAATTGTAAAAGCCATTAAACACGCGACGGGCCACGAGATGCTGTCGAGAAAGGTAGCATGGCCGCAACTATCGAAAATAAGACCACAAGTGCGGTTGGACCCTTGCTAAAGGCACTGCCAGAGAGCAATCCCACCTTTGAGAACTCGTCCTTCACGCTATGCTGCCCACTCCTGAGACAGTAGTCGATGTACTTGCCTCCACCGTCGCTCATATTAGAGACTGACTGACACACTGTCCTAGCGACAAGTGACAAGCCCCTTTTGATTTTTGACTCTTGATCATGAGGACTACTAAAAATTTTCATTAAGCAGTATACAACAACAGGTCGTAGACAAAAAATGTCCACCCAGAAATCATGAATATCCACCGCAGGAATCCTCAATTGATTCTATGTGAAAAAACTTGAGGAAGAAGTATTTATTAGTCAATATGTTTTCAACATAACGAGGTTGCAGCTAGTTGCCGGGAGGTATGGTCCACTGGAAAGACACTGCGTCTCGCCTTCCACTCGGTCGCGAAGCGGAACCATGCTTGCCGTATACTCCTCCAAACACTCTTCATCCGTATAAAACTTGCCGCATGACGTTGCACGAATTGGAGTTCGCAATAAAGTTGCTAAAGGAGTCCCTCGTAATTATCATCATGGTGTCCTATATAGTTGCACTAGCCAAGTGGCGGTACAAAACAGTCCCTTGTGAAACTTTGAAGCTAACTATGGCTCAGTAATTCCAATTTGTCACATGACCAGAAAGTGAGAAGATGCCAGCAAACTTCTACTCAGTTCATCATAATTTGAAAAATTCCAGATCCCTCACCGCCTGTAGATGATTGAGCATGTCGCCGGCTACTGGAAGACAGTATTTTGAGTTCTTGTCTTCCCACCAGTCCTTGCAGTAACACGTTCCGGTCCGGCCCGTCGGATCTGTGGTGGTGCAGTCCGCATTGCTGGTACAAGCGAGGCCCACGCGCTTACTCTTGGCCGGGTACGTGCAGACCCGGTTCTTGTTCGTCCAGCCGGTCACGCACAGCCGGTCCTCCTTTGCTCGCCAGCCAAGGGGCATGGAAAACAATCGACGACAACGGGGAGCAGGAACCTCGATAGTATTGCACAGCATATCACTCTGGCATTCCAAATCCGATGTGCATTTACGCCCTGATTTCAAAAAATTCAAACAGAGTCTTTCACACGTTGAAGCGGATGTTGATTGGAGGTCTATTACAACGACTATCGTCATTAGATGAACTACGCGTATGAAGATACTAGCTATGATGTGATGCGTCAGTCTGCTAGGTCCTACTCAGTATTTATTCAGGTCGGTGGAGCATAACATGACGTAGCACACCACTCAACAAGTACCTTCGCCCAACTGCATACGGCAATATTTGATCCAGAATGGATCATTTCCTGTCGGGTCGTCAGGGCAGAAGTAGTCGACATGAGGACAGTCTAAATGCGACTTGCAGATATGCGTTTCCTCGTAGGGTCTGAGAGGCATGCATTGCCGTTTCTGTGTGGTGATATTTTCGGAAATGAAAATGACAATGGTACAGACCTCCGACATCACCTAGCAAGTAGTGCATCCATTTAGTAGCGGAAACCGGTAGAGTCAACATCCACTGCGCCAGAGATGTACAACGCCAATGACATTGACGGATTTCTTCTAAAATTGAGTAAGGTATTGTCACTCAGTAACCCTTGATGTACTGATGAAGATGAAGCGCTTAGAAATATACATAGATGGTACTGTGCCGGCTGTGGTCCGCGCGGCTAGGCACTTGTGCAACCCATAGATGCAGTCTTGGTCGTGAATGCAGGAACGACCTACTTTCCTGCGATGCCGACAAATCCAAGTGGAAGTATCCATGGATGGTGTTGAGTACCTTAACATTGGTCGACAATTTGTTCACATGTGACTCTTTACTTCAACCTCATGCCGTTAACTTAAACCTCGTGGTATCTATCATATCTAAATCCTTAAGTACGAGTGTATGGCTACAATAAGAACGATGGAGAGTTTCATCCAAATAAACCATCCACAGTACCACCAAGGCGAGAGACATGCATTCTGGGAATAATCTAAGATGGGTCGGCCTACGCAGTCTGCGCACAAGGTGTGGCACTTCTCGTCGGCTCCGCAGTATTTCTGGCCAGCCTCACGACAGGAGGTTGGACTCGGTGCCACGCAAATGAAGAATTCTGTATCCCCTACGCTTTTCCAACCACACATCGAACAATCCGCGACGCACATGACCAAAATAGAACAGTAAAATTGGGGCGGGACCTGTGAAGATCGATGGATGTTCAACTTGTATCCATCTCATTCAATGCAGCCACATTAACATAAGTACATCCAGAATTCATTTCCACAAAGAGCCAGAAAGCAAAACTGTATCAAGTACCTCCTGTAGACAGCTGTCGGGACTAATCGATTGTTGTTGATGTGCTGCGACGTTGCCAACGATTTGCAGTTGACGGGCGTTTTGAAGGCTTGTGAGCTGCTCCACTGTTCGTTCTTGCTCCTTTCTTTCAGCCTCCGCTTCCAACTCCATCAAGGTTTTTGTCAACTTCGAATCCACTTCGGCTGCAGTCAAAAAACCATCGAAATTGAGCTCCAAGCGTTGGAAAAACTCGACCTAGCAAGATAATTTTGGATTGAAAATTCAAATTGTTTTTTCTCTGGGACCAAGCTGATCCCAACATATTGCGCACTCAAACAATGTCAAGTTTTCACCATCCAGCGCTGTGTAATCCTTATCCACGCTCAAGACCAATAAACCGTCTGTTTTATCTTACTATCAAGAAAAGCCATAACTAATCTACCTAAGTTTGTCAATCAAATACCAGCGTGACATAGTCGGTAATCGGTCTTCCCTTTATCAAGTAGGTGCTTGCCATGTGGACGAACTTGTCGAAGGTGAGAGGGAATATCGTTGGCGAAAGTGCTTGAAGAATGATCGGACCCCGCACGCCCTCAGTTGCCTCTGCGCCTGCGACTAACGGAGCCCATTCGAGATAGACCAGAGAGTCCGGAATGTCTACGCAATTGAGAGCCGTAGTATTCCACATGCAACGCTCGAGCGGACACGTTGAAACATGCAGAAAGAACTCGCACGGTCGAAAACACTCCCCTCGTTCGCATACTCTGTTATATTCAACATGAAAACTAGAGTGATAGATAATGAAGTTATATGTGGTTAGTTGATGAAGCAAGGAGGTTGAGGTTTTGAGTAGAAAAGCTGTATTGAGGAGATGGTACTCCTAGTTAAAACACCCAACATGGAAATGTCTGTAGCCAGAACCTGTCTGGATAACAAAAGTTCATCTACTTCTGCTTCCCGCGGCAATCAACACGTCGAAATTGTGGTACCTGGAGCTGTCACACGCCTCGTTGTACCGAACAATGGTACTAAAAGGCACCTTCTCGCATTGACAAATCGTCGGTTGCCCCAGTCCAGCTGGATACTGGCAGTCGGTACAAATCTGTGTTCCTCCGTCTGCAGCCTTAGCACAGCCTCGCTCCTTGAGATAGAACCTTTTTAGGTCGTTGTATTCGTTTGCCTAGGTTATGAGTAAGTATTAATAAATAAGATGAGCCTAGGACTTTCTAAGACCAGTATTTCTATGGAGTGGGAATGTAGTGAGGACTTCCATCAAGTCCCTGAGGCGACGGGCGTCAACCTTCGTGGCTTAGTACCTTCTAAGTGTGAGTGAGAGTGAGTGTGTGGAGTAAGTAATAACTAATCTCACACCCAAATCGAGAATGGAAAACAGAACATCGACGAAACAAAATCTGAGACGTATTTCTAATCTGCTTCACAGTGAACATTTCTTAGCACAACCACGGCTCAGTAAGAGCGATTACAAATCTTGTGATCTTCTCGTCCTATCTTCAAACAACACTCACTGCAGTACCCGGGCAAGTGGTCCTTGCAGTTAGTCTCGGAGTTAGGGATACAAGCGTTTCGTTCGCACTGCTCTGGATTCCGGTAGATCATTGTGGTAAAAGTGTTGTCGGTTCCCAGGCCACCTGGCATTTGCAGCGCACGACGCGCATGGCTGAACTTGCTTTTTCGATACCGTCTGTCGCTGGTGTCGATATGTCTCGTACTGTAGTCCTCCAAGTCCACCACTTTCCGAGGGACGTGAGTCACATTACGCCAGTTAGGGCTGCGGTCAGGCAAAGCAGAACGGATCTGGGAGTTGGAAATTTGGTTCGTTACACATTGTTCACATACTCTGTCAGACTATGAGCATACTCGTCTGTGGTAGTCTGTGGTAGTGGTGGCATCTTATCTTTATTCTTAAATTCTAATACCGATAATAGCAGGTATTCAAAAGACAGACGACTTTCCACACGAGTACAAATCGCATATCCATCCTCTAGTACCTCACTCAGCATGCGCTTCGCTCTTGGCTCGTGTTTTGGAAAGCGTAGAGCGGAACCGTCACCAAAAGTAATGTCTTCATATGCGGGGTCGTCATTCAACGTGGTTTCGACTAAATCTTCAGTGGATTCGAAGTCCTCTTGATCTTCAGCAAAACCGTCTTTCGCTGATCTGTCGCTATCTCTCATATGCTGTCGCAAGCGGCGCTCACGGGCTGCACGCTCCAGTGGCTCCCGCTGTTTAAGGAAAGAAGATAGAGAAGCACTTATACATAGATGCATGATCTTATAATCTTTTTGATTTGGCGTAATAAATGTTGCGAGACTGTGAAAAATTAACATTCTTTACATCATCCTTCTTCTAGCGATAATCGACATCGATAACTGTCTACAACATCTGCTAACACGTACAACTCACCTGTTTTTTGTATTGCTGGAAAGCCTGACTCGTACGAGCAGTCGGGTCCCGTATATGCATGATCGTCTCGTCTTCTATCGCTAGAGGTGAGCGCTCAAGCATGCGAGGGATCGACTCACCTCCAGTACTCACTATCTCGAAATCGGGTGTGCCGTCTACTACCGGTGTTGACGGTATTTCCACGCGAGGTGCGTCTGATACTGTCGGTTCTAGCACCTCGAGCTCGTTCTCGTCCGGTCCCAATTTACGGTGTTTCTTGCCAGTCTTCTTTTGGTGCGCCGTTCCACCTGACGTTGCCGTGCTGCGTTCTGCCGCCTGCTTTCCCTTGTCCTCTGGTCGTTGCTGCTCTGCAAGACGCCTCGTTCTGGCAGTTTTCTCCTCTCCGACTAAGGTCTGTCGCTCCGCTTGTTCGCCGTTAGGACCAGTGCTGTGCTCTACTTCTGCTGCCGCACCTCGACTTGCTTCGACATCGTTCGCCTCCGCTATTTCCCGCTGTATTTCCGAGGGCGGCTTCAGCGGTTCGTCTACTAGCCGCTCAGGGGCGCTCTGTGCAGCGGCGAATACTATTCCGCCGAACTGACTACGGCTAGTGCCCATCGCAATCTCATCTTCTATTGATGAGCCTGTCCCTTCAGCACTTGCATCAAACAGGTGGAGTAACCTGCTTCCTAACCACTGCCCCCAAGTTGCATCACCTTCGAGTCTAGTTCGCCGTAGCCTGCTAGACTCTTCATCTTCTGCGTCCGGCCTAGTACATGTCTCTGAACCACACGACTCTCCACGTGGACGATGATTTCTTGTACTAGTTCTAACATTTTCTTCCCCGCCTACATCATCTCCATGCATACTTCCCCACAACCGCCCTCCTTCCTCGTCCCTACTAGTGCTACTACAATTTCTTCCACCAGTCCTAGTATTACATTTGTGCTGTCTACTATCATTTTTCCGCCTCCTGTCTCCCGATTCTGCAGCTCTCTTTGCTAATATGCGACCCTGGCTACTGCAAGAAGCTGCTCCCTTTGTAGACGAACTTCCGCTTTGCCAACTTGAGCTACTGCTAGAGGGCGTTCGTTGTGAAAAAAGCCACGAAGTGTCCGGAGCTGCCACGAGGACGCCAGCGAGCAGGAGCGCCGCTCGTGGGCGATCCTTCGCGCGCTCCTTTGCGCCCATCCACCTCAATTCCTCAAAACTGTCGATGCCGTGTCATGGATATTGTTTGTAGTAGGTACACAATCTCAAGGTTTTTGGCTTCTGAGATAAAAGAACTTTTGATTTCAATAGAGATACATGACCTACAGTTCCTGATACAACGTACTTCCCTATAGCTAAATACGACTTTGCATGCAAAATACTGTGAATTCTTGGTGAAGAAACATGCTTCAGGTCCTGCAAAACGAGCCGAAAATTTTTTTCGTTAATGCAGGTTTTCATCCCGCAAATTAGCCAATTTTCGACTCCAGCCTCAACGCACACTCTTTTTTTCTGTCCTACTCTTTGGCAAAGCACAAAACAAAGACACACTCAAAATTTCTAGTCGCACGACTCATGCACAACCTTCATCAAACTAGCTCACTCTCAACTTCACAACTCTCGATTTTCGTTCGGCACAATTTCTTCTTCTCTCACTTCAGACTCCCTTACCTCTCTCAACGTCACTAACTACGTACAAACACCTTCTACAGAATAAAGGACATTTGGCGGCAAGGGCCCTGTGCTTTCTAGGAAAAAACTCAATTGGACAGACTAAACAAGTCGTAGATAGCACAAAATATCAACACTGGCTATCGATGATCCACTCAATCATTTATGAAATCTCAGAAAAAAGCAATTATCCTCTAACGGCAAACAGGAAAAATATTCTCCTCCATACTGTAGTAAAATGCGAGTCAGTGATTCTATTTTTCATCATGAGAATGAGTTTTCAAGCTCCCTTATCAATTTTGGCATCAACGATGCGTCGTAAGATCTTATCCACAGAACAGATAGCTGTAGCCTCTTCCATCAGCAGCTCGTCATTGGCCCATGGCATGGCCACGCGAATGCTCGGTCTGTAATCGTAGTCCTCAAACAACGGCGCCACCGGCATCACGTGGATCGTCGATAGATTAGACGTATTACCAAGAGCCACCTAGTCTTTAGTCACTCTCTAAACAACCTAAAATACTCTAATCCGAACACTATTCTCTTGGCAAGACACGTAAAAAGGCGCTAGGATGGATGACTTTTACAAGACACTATCGTACGTGGCTTCATCGAACTCGAAGCTGTCATAAGTTCGGAGTTTTCCTCGCAGTGACCAGGAGCCATGTGCAGGCGTTTAATTCCAAACAGTTCCAAGTCGTTGCCAGCGTCCCCAAAGACCGCTATCGCATCGTTATCCGGCAACTTGCCGGCTCCGTGGTAAAAGTCTTTGGTTAGATGTCGCTGCGCGTTGTGTACTTGGCCATGGCCTAATATCTAAATTTGCGACGGAGACAAGGACATACTGCTACTGGAGCCTCTCACCTACTGCGTCTTACAACCACCCCGACCTCCGTATATCGGCTCACGACCTCCACTGCGAAGTTAAGTACATATCGATTATGTCAAATCATAACTCGAGAAAGGCTCTGATTGCGCTGCCTTTATTTACGCCGGCTGGTGAAATGTCGATCTCAGGTCCTATGCCTGGCACGTGGACATGCTTGCAGACGACGGTAGACCCTCGACCGTTGCCCAGTTCCGTTTTGGCAGCTGGAAACTGTAACAACTTCTTGTTATCCAGAAAAGTCTGCGCGCGCAACAAGCGCGATGTGCGCTCCGCTGGTTCTAAGCCGTCAGGAAACAGAATCAAGAGGGAGAAAATATCGCACTGGTTGCCTTGCATTAGGGTGAGAAAAACGGATAAGTGGCCTGAAGAGGACCACCGGACATTCGATTCTCTTAGTTGTACTTATACAGGGACTTTCTCACTTTGCTTTGTGGAAGTACAAAGAATTTTTTCCGGTTCGTCAACAATTACAAGCAGGTTTTTGTTCAGCATCCAATAAAAAGAAACACCATTATATACTACTTACATGCAGCCTTAGACAGAAGAACGCAGACTCTGATGCTGGTATCCAGCGGAAAAGCGCTGCTGGCCCATCGGCAAAGCCCATGCGATCTAGAAATTGTTCTCCTGTATTGCGTGCGACCGCTTGACCGACGTCCAGCAGCCAGCACATTTCGCTCCCTAAAAAGGTAAGACAGCAGTCTTGAAATATCTCCCTCCCGTCTGGTCCCTCGTTCTCAAGCGTATGCCACGCAGTGACAACCTTCTGTACAAACCCCTTGTCAATGGGCTGCGCACGCACCACACGCCCGCCTTGCGCTTGAACCAGGGACCCATTGCAGAAAATCCCAGCCGTGTGTCGCAGATCCCGCAACAAAATTCTTAGACTAGGGAGCGCATATGTATATTTCTTGACGTGGACCATTCTACAGCTTCCAAACTTACTAACTGCGTTAAATTGTACTAAATTTTTACTTCTAGCAGAGCGGGCTAGACCCGAAGAATTATACTTACTATCACCACACAACCTCTTCCGCAAAAAAAACATGCCATACTGGTGGTGGACTATTCTTATCGTCCTTCGCAGATCGATCTGTGAACTTGAGCTGCGCAATGCCGATATTGTTCCCCGTTGCCGGCACTACTGGGATCTTGCATTCGTTTTCTAGTCGTTCCGCCAGATCCAGGTTCCTCTTAAACGATCGCATTTCCTCTGGATGCGGTTGCTCCTCATGCGTCAAGCCTGGAAAGAAGGTACCGTCCAAGTCCGTGAAAATGATTTCCACTTTGCCATACGGTAGTTGACCACCGGTGCCGCCTGAGGGGATGCTGCGAATCTGTTCTTCAGTCCCCTCTCGTGAAAATGCTGAAGCGCGACCTTCTTCAACAAGACCAGGCCAAGCACCAAAGGATTGCTCTGCTCTTGATGCCACTACACACCCAGGACTTCTTCGTGGCTCGCCATCTGGTCCCATGCTTCCATCTTCATTACGAGGATGACCACCCGCTATATCTGAAGCCCCAACATACGAGGTTGGAGATGCGACCACAGACGAGTGTTCTCCCTCTGCTAGCGTGCAGACTTTCACACCGGGCGACAAAGCATCCTCAACAGATACGTGCGACTCCAAAGGCGCAGCACGGTCTTCGCCTGCCGCTACAGACGTCACAGGAGCCGGGTCGGCGTCATTTTCATCGTTACCCAGAGGCGCACCGAAAGCGGGACTAGTACTACCATCGAGGACGAGCTCGACCACACCTGGCAACAGCTCGGAGCTAAGCGGCAAACGAAAGGGATTCGAATTGTCCGTCATTCTAGTATAGAGGCTGACGCTAGTTTTTTCTGAAGTGTCTGGCAACCTCACTGCGTTGAAAGTACAACGATTGCGTTATGATAAAGCCGTTTCCTGTACTAGATGAATTCCCAGGCAAAGAAGTATCGATTTTTTCACGCTTTACATGTAGAATTATGTGCGATTTCTGTTGAAATCGAATTGCAAGTGGTTCGACAGGAAAAGTGCGTTTCTTTTGAGTCAAAATGATTTTTCTTGCGCACACAGAAAAATTGTCGAACACGGACACTAGTGCAAGACAGGCAAAGAAAAAGGCATACAACGACAGTTGTGCCGCCGTCCCAATTCTTACAACAGTACATAGAAAGCTGCTTCTTCTTCTTGGAAAATAAAACGAGCAGTTTATCTTTCTAGGAAGGTTTTGCATAAAAGGAAGCCTAATTGAAAGATGTCAAAAGACTGACACGTGCTTGTTTCACTTCTTGCATATCATATTCATGGATCGTAGTGCTACAAATCCCTATTTCGCCTGCTCGATCGCCTTCCAGAACCATCCCGAGCTCCCGATGATGATGCCTTACTTCGACCCCCAGAAGCTCCCGATGAGTAAGCCGGTCGCTGTCTCCTTGGATCCACGTTCGCGTCTCTCTCAATGCCAAACTTATGGGCTCCAGGAGCCCCCGCGTCCAGCCAGAAGTACAGAAACACGAAGAAAAGAATGATCATGCCAAGAAATATGAAGCGAATTTTTCGCATTTCTGCCTCGGTCCAATCTCTTTCTGCTTCCTGCGCCTCTTGTTCGGCCTTTAACCTTGCTGCGATCTCCACCCCTGCCGCGTATATTAGATGTTGAGGTCATCAAAACAATGTTGGCTCTCTTGTTGGTGCCGACCTCATCTTGTAGGGCGTTCCACTCGTTGACGAGTGCCAAAAAATGAGAAACAGATTCAGATGAAAGAAAATGGACCAATATATTCAGTAATGTGTGAAAAGCCTTAATTTGACAAGCTCCTCTGCCTCGACCCTGGTCAACTGCTTCTTCAGGTTGGAAACCGCATGCTTACCACGGCAAGCATTAAGTAGCGCATCCATGTCTGAAAAACGTCGCACTAGCGTCTCTTTCAACGCTGCCAGCCCATTCTTCTCGAGCCACACAGCTACGTCCGTCGCATCCACTGAAGCTTGCCGATGTTCACGGGCCTTCTCACGCCGATAATCCGCATTCATTAGAGAAAATTCCTATCCTTATCAGAGGACTACCTTTCGTCATCAAGCCACTAGTTCTGCTAGCTACTTCCTCTTATCATTACTCAATGCGTCGAAGCATTGAAGCCTACGCGGATGCAAGTTGTAGAATCTCATTTCGTCTCAACGTCAACACCCTCTCGATTTCGCCCATAATTTCGCTTCACGCTCACGCGAAGATTGTGCTGCACTAGCTTGCTTTTTGGTCTCGAGTGCCGCCTTGCTTCTCAGATTTAGCTCACTCGCTGTGAGACCTTCTAAATTTTTGACCTCCGAAACTTCCGGGTTGGCACGCGTTATCATATCTTGCAGTATGCTGCTAGCGTTCGTCGCTACTGCTATGTGCAGAACAGTGTTCCCATGCAGAGGCTCGGCTTTGCACACATCCGCCTTTCCAACTTCCAACAGCACTCGCGCTAGGTTGTTCTGCTTTTCCTTGATAGCGGCCATCAATGGCGTATCTCCTGTAACAGGATCCGCCTCATCGACGAGCGCTGGCCGTAGCCGCAGCAGCGCCGAAACAGCAGACTCAGAACCACCTGATGTGAGTAGGCTGGAGGATGCGCCACCTAGTCAATGAACAATAACTAAAAAGTAGTAATCGAAACAGTCTTGAGACTCATCTTTCCATCGTCAAAGAAGAAAGGCCAATATAATTCGATCGAATTCGAAAACGAAAAAAATTGAAATATATTAAGTGTCTAAAGGAAAGAACAAAAATAAAAATGACCTCCCGGAAGCAGCAGCGGACTAGCTTGTGACTCTGCAAGATACATATTGTCTTTTGTCTTAAGAAGAGAAAGAGTTTCTTGAATTCTAAGGCCAATGAAAATATTAAGTGTCTATGTAAGAAAATGCTAGCGTTGTATTCAAGGCCAGCCAAATACCTTCTGCTATCAGCGCATAAAGAAGCGTCGCACCCGACTCGGGATCAGCGAGAGCTGACTCCGGCGCGCGCTGTAAAAGACCCTCTAGAATTTCCTCACCCTCTAGCAGGCCTGACGCTAACATCGCGTTCCAGTCGGGCCGGAGCTTTGGTCGCCCTATGGATTTGTTTTTTGTGAGAATGAAAACTCAGCTATACTGAAACAGCCGGCGCACTAGATTGCCGCGGCTCTGCGGCGCTCCTGGTTGAACCGCCGCAAAGAAATCCCGGCGCAAGGTGCTGCCGAGTGTCCCCAGTCCTGGCATGATCCCCAGCCAGGGGGCTGCCACCAGTGGGCCAGATGTTTGTCCGACGCCTTCACGACGTGAACTGCTTAACAACACAGAGACAGACAGACACACGAAGGCAGAGCGCGCAGGTTACTTACTCTCTCACCCCCATCCCAGCCGTGACGAATCACACCAAGCCCCTGGCCGATGGAGCTAAGTGAAAGACACGAGGACCATACGAAGGGACCCCAACCCGCCGCACCGAAGCAATGCCCTGCCGCTCTCTTTCTATTCTCACTCTTGGAGAAAGGAGCGCCCGCTGCTAATGTCATGAGACTCCAGCCGCCAGTCTGCGCGTGCGCCTGTCCTCGCTGTTTGTGGAACCAACCCTGGCGGCAAACAACGCGGGCCCCCTCTGGGTTGGTTCGGCGTCCATGCATGGCCGCCCACCCGCCAAGCTCCTCCAGGTAACTTTGCAGCGAATAGTCTGCCGGTCTTCTCTTTATCGCGCGAATGCACCCCCCGCACAGTATGGGCGGCCCTCCCTGCCCTTCGTTCTTGCGCTGCGCGCAAATCCTCCGCCGGATCTTCCCACACCTCCTTCGAGGCTTCAAAGTCTTGGGGGCCGGACGTCGAGCCGACTGAACTAGCGCGACCCCTGTGAGCACACGCCGAAGCATGCCGCCCCTGTGGTTGCGGCTCACTTTTACGCCGCCACCGACCGCCCAGGGCTACGAGTCTAGTCCTGCGAGCGCCTGCCGTGTCTCTTCCTGTTTAGTATGAGAGCGGCGGAAACAGCCTGCAACCTGCCAGAACGCGGCGCAGAGTCACCCAGGAGCGCCCGAAGCCGCGCGCCTCCTTCCCATCACTCGGCCCGGCCCATCTATCTTCATACGTGCGCACTTGCTTGCGTCTGGCTTTGTGTGCGAGGGATTTACTCAAGAATCAGCGACACGCTTCCCACAACGGCGGCGACGAAAGTCCACACGCAGCGGAAGCTCTGCAATGTGCACGAGCAAGCCGCATGAAAAGCAGAATCCTTACACACTGCCCTACTCGAAACAAAGAACGTTACTCAGCACAGTTATATACCTTTGAGCAATGCGTCAACCACTTCATGCGAACCGGTTTCAACGGCATGCTGTAGTGGCGTCACACCTTCTTCATCAGCGGCAGTCTCGTCTAGAGCGGTGACTCTGCAAAGTCCTTGGATAGCCGCAAGTTCTTGGCTTTGAATCGCGTAGAGGAGTGGCGTAAGGCCCTTCAATTTTCGTACCGGGTTGTTCAATTCTTCACTAAACAAAGGAGAGGCGGCTTCCTCGACAGCATGGCGGTCATCCCCTTTTAGCAGGCATTTCACCAGGATGTCCATCTTTCAATAGATAGACGACAACTTAAGAAGATAAATGTTAGAAGTATCTATGTTGCGAGACAAGTAGTGTCGACCTACCGAAATGAACAAAGTCAAAGCCCACAATACAAACGCTCCATCCGCAATTGAAAGACGATGAGAAACCAGACACCTGCTTGTCAAGAATAAATGAGATATGCCTATTACACGGTAATAGATGTGCACTCCCTCCGGATTGGTTCTCATCCTCAACGAGAGGTTTGCAGATCGCATCTTCTTTCAGGAGTATTTCACCTTGTATCATCATCTTCACAGAAACCGACAAATGTCCATGAACAGTAGATCAAAGTCAGAATGAACAAGGAAATTAATTACATATTATCCGTCCGATTTTGTCTTGGGACGAAGTTCTATTTGTAGTTGTCTGATTTTTGGTAATTCGCCACGCCGAAGTCTTCCTTCCTAGCGCAACCGCAAGTCTAAGATATTTATCATCATCCTAACCCCACTTTAAGTTTGAGTGCCGTGTATGTTTGCATCGTCTTATCATAGCATTCCTGGAAGCCGTTGCAGATTTTTGAGTGTGCTAAGCCCGCGACCCAATTGTCGCTATCTTCTTCCGTTATTGAAGCGTCAGTTCTACCTCCCTTGTGATCTCCACCTGCACCACCTCCAGCCACCAACTCCTGCCAGCGCTGCTGTGCGCTCACTGGCAGACGAGTCGTATCGAGTTCTTCTGGGGACCCGGCACGACCAAGCAACACTCCTTTCGCAACTTTCAAAGCTTCAATCCGGTTCAGGTTGTTCGCGGCACTTGGACCTCCAGCCAATTCATCCCGTACCACGCACCCCAGTCGGTAGAATTTGTCCAATACGAGAGGCTGTGATAAAAAGCAATACATAGTCGGATTAGTAGTATATAGAGCATGATAAGTTCAAACATGCGTGATGAAACTTCTACCTGCTTTTGTCGATAACTCATACTCGGTTGTGTAAACTTATACACGAAATCATAAGTGGTTATAAAACAAAGATACCTGTCCCTGCTTCAAATCAACATCGCTCGGAAGCTTGACACCTGGAACGGAGTCGCCTATCGGTGGACCCGTTTCGACCATGTCTTTGGTAGTGTCGTAATTGTGTGCCGCAATGAAGTCTAAAAACTTCTCCGCTCGTTCCACGGGATCCGAATGCTTGTGCATCTTTGCCCACTGCGCGTTCTGCTCCTCTGTGTAGTCGGGATACTTCGTCATGTACTCCTCATCCCGTGGACGAACGAAGGGTTGCGTTCGAGGAAATGCAGAGAAACCTCCTTTTTCCTGCCCAGCCGTCCCCGCGCCCCCTCGACAGTCTAGTAACGCATCCGCAGCGGCCAGTTTCATTTTTCGCGTCAAATGGTGGTGCAGAAATTCCGAGCTTTCCATAGACGGCAGTTCTTCCGCCTCCACTGAGTGCGCCGACTTTACAGCAACACTGAATTTCTCCGCATCTCCGTCTAGTGCGCGCACGCCTGCGAGCGTGTCCTTGATACGATCGATGAAGGCCTTGTCGGTTACGAGTTTGGGGACGCTGGAACAAGTCGAACCTAGAGACTCAAGGGTAGACAGCTTTGCGTCAAACTTTTCGAGACTCTCTCGAAGCTCTGCCGCGGTAATGAATGACGTCGCGTGCTTCGTCCTCGTTGGTCCATGCTGGGATTTCGGTGTCTCGCATCGGATCCAACGGCTTCGACTGCTGCTGGTGCCAACACTAGGAGCGTCATAGTGCTCTGCAGTCCACATACCATGACGGCCAGTCCGACCAGTGGTTGCGACGCATTCCTGCGCATTGGCATACATGTCAATCTCTAGCAGTCTCATTCTGTTTGCAGAAGTTCAAAGATCGTTGGATACATGTTCATCTACATCTTCTTGCTCAGATTTTAGCTGCTTGCAGGGATCAGCTCATCTAATTTCAGAGAAAATCGAAGGGCCTCTGCGCAGACATTGAAGTCGGCATACTCTAAAAGGCAATCCCGAAGGTACGGCTATCTGATATCGAAATAGATACCTTACAACTACGTTGGGATGCTGGAGATAGGGAACCGCTTTCGGCCTACCGAGAGCAGACCGAAGTTGGTTTTTGTCCCTCATCGCATTCTTGTGACTTCTATCTCACCGATCGTTAAAATCTAATTAAGGCTCTACACACAACGATAATCTCCGCGAGCTGCTCAAGCTTGTACCGATGTACCGAAACTGATGATGAAGAGTCCTATTCCTAAATCATCTCTCAACCAACGATGACAATTATTCAAATAAACCGAAATTGTAAGGAGCGTAAAACCGTCGATGGAACATCATGAGTCGCGTCTTCTGATACGGAGCAGCAGCTTTGTAATTTCCCGCAAGAGCAGCACTGAAGCCACCAGATGCAATTAGAGTTTACCAGCCACCAGGCAAGTTCTTAATTGACGTTATCCGTTCCCGTCACAGAGCGAAAAATATAAAAGAACATTGATGTAGTTTATAATATACCACGTACAACGATGATTGCTGCCGCAATTTGAAGATGTCGGTTGACCTACTCAAGAGTAACAAGGGTAGCTTCTCCTTTTACCCAACGCTCGACTCGTCATCAACACGAGGCTTGTTCTTGTTGAACAGCAAATTCCTCACTTCGCAGATACATAGTTTCGCGATCTCTGCCAAAATACCAAGCGCGCTGACCTCGCATATTCAAAACCTTTTCGGAAACACACAATACTTCCTCTCCAGCAGCATCAGTCCCTAATCGGAAACTACGCACCCAAAATCCACGAACCCCGTCCCTTGTGATCGGTTGCAATCGATATAAAGTCCGTCTCTCATTGTCAAACAGGTGGTACCAACATGGCGATGTTTTTACAGCTGTAGCCAATAAACTGCAGCAGATAGCCTCCCGTTTCTGATCCCACGGCTTCTTCTCCTGGTCCCCCAGAGGCAAGCTCACCTTGATTAATGATGCGAAACACGAGTATAGAAATGAACATGAAGAGCCCCAATGAAAAGATTAACAACTACAAGGTGAACTACAGTCTAAATCATTCGAAGCTGTCTACTGGTTTGTGACTAGTGGTTGAGTACTTTTGCGCACGCTTTCAGTATCGTCTGCAAGCTTGGCGACTTCCCGACCGCCGATTTTTCTGCCGGCATGAGCGAATTACTGAGCGACTTGGTCAAAAAACTATGCAACTGGTCATCCGCAGATTCTTCTCCGGATCTGATAAGCCCGTCCGCAACATCTAGTAGCGCCCATTCTCCTGCATTATCATCTTCATCGGACTCCTCGCTGTCATCAGGCACCGCACCGCCATAACCTGTACCTGCGGCTATGGAGGGATCAGAGATCGGGGATGTTGTGGAGGCTGTCGAAGTAGAAGCAGTAGTTGCGGCTTGAGATTTTGATGAACTTGTTCGCCAACTACAGAAGCTCTTAGAGAAGCTGTTCGGGCCACCTGCTTGCTTACTAAGAACCTCCAACGCGTCAGTAGGAACAGTATCCACAGAGCCGACGTGCAACACGCTGGAAAACTCATGGCCCAGACCGTCGGTTTCGCGACATAAAAATCCAACAGGAACAAAGATGTTTGCCGTTGAATCGTCCGGTTCCTCGTCAGCACTCTGGTGTTGCTCCTTCTCATCACGACTCTGCTCCTCTTGCAAGGAGAAAGCAAGCGAAGAGTTTATTGCGTCAGGCATAGCATCCGGATCTCCATCAGCCCAGAACTGATGCCACGCCGCAGCAATAGGATCACTCTCGAGCTCCTCCCGACACACCCAATGACCCAGCAAAGCTCTCATTTTGATAGTTTACTTTAGTGTGCTCTTCAGATGCTTGGAACAATAAAGCCTAAAGCATGTTGTTTCGATTAAAGATGAACTACGTCTACTATCTACATGAGGAAGAGGGTAGTTTTTTACACAAGTAAAAGGAACATCAGTGCAATTTACGCGCGCGAAGACACCGAGATCAGGTGGATCCGACTGTTCTCTGAATTTCCAGATAGACATAGCCCATGATCATGCGGTGACGGCCTACAGAACTTCAAATCTGTAATCATTCGTCTGGAACAATCAAGTGTAGCTGGAGTCAATTATTGTTTCACGAATATGTTACTTCTAGTCCGAAAATCTGTCCGCTACTTCGAAGTCCAAAAACCGCCTCGCGCCTCTCGCACATGCTCGTAGTCGCGTGCTCCGCGTCTCTAGTAGTACTCTTGCGCAAGGAAATCTGAAGAACAATAGTGTAGTCAGCAAAGGAATTGCCCAAACTACATAAGTGAAGTTCCAAACAAAAGTCAGCAATCAGTCAATCCTCGCTCAGGTGTAGTACACAAGTGCCTCCAGAAAAAAGGTCTTCAAACGCCGACACAAGACAGAGAAGTTCCATGTTTATATGCACCAAACATGTAGCATGCTGCAGTGCACCCAAACTGAAAAAACTTTGATATTGCCAGATCTAGAGCATGCTGCGGTAGGAGGAAGTAGAAGTACTCATATGCACTCAATCATGACGACAAAAGACTGCAATCAAGATGGTGTCGATGTCACTGAATAATCGTGAGAGCTTCGAAGGATATAGGCCAATCTGCCCTATCGATCGAGAATGACATACTGGTCCGTCAAGAAGAACAACAAAACGTACAAACTGTAAGAGATAGAAAAAAATCTAAATCTTGTTTTTCAGGTATAATTTAACCAGAAAAGCAGACATCCTCAAGGTAGTTTTTGTAGAGTAATGACATGAGTATTTGAAGTGTACTTTCTGAGTAGAAGACACCAAGGGTTTCTCAAGAAGACACGAAAACACCTGCTACCAACGACTTTAAAAAAACACTGCACGAACGCACCCTTGGTGGTTATATTATTGATGCTTAGACAACTTCAAAACATCGGGTTGATGATCGGGCTTCGGGTAGTATGTAAGGATAAGAAAATGTGAAGCAATGCTCCCCAAGAAAGATAGGCGAATTGGCTTCGTATGAACCCCAAAAACGAATAAGGAAGTCATGCTACTTGTATTGACGACAAGCTCCCCCATGATAGACTCAAACTCACACTTCATTTAATGAAAAAATATCTTTTTTCTGTTTGCGGAAAAACTCCTGCTGCACCTATTTTTCTATTCCATTGCGTCGCATTTTCTGTGGAGATGCTTCCGTTATTGCTTTGTAGAGTCGCTTATTGCTTGTTGAACCGTAAATACGGAGAAAGGCGCAGCGAAATAATCAATCATCCCCTCGTCCTTGTTCATCTTTCGTACCAATGCCGATGGCATTGCACCGGAATTGCACAACAAAAATCGAACAATTCTTCACGACTTTTACACTGAAGCCGTCATTCTATGTCGCTAACGCGCAAAAAAACGCTCACATGAATGCTTCGAATGAAAACCTCAGTGATTTAGTCGTGATGGAGTGGGATAGACTACTACGAAGTCTCATCAGGCTGACGATCAACTCAGGATCATGAATAGAAGCAACTATGATATTGATATTCATGATGATGTGTCAATATGAACGCCGCGAATTGAACGCCGCGAATACACCACAACTTTTTCATACAGCTATTGTCTTCATGAGTGTCGAACCAGGTCATTATGAAAATGGACACTTGTGTCATTGCTGATAATTCACATGAAAAGTGCCACATCATGGCCCTTGTCATCAGCCAGTGCCGCTACAACCATTCTGCCTCCATATTCACTAGTGATTCATTGTTCTGCGATGTCGTGCCTGCCACGTTCATGCGAAACCCTTTGCGTACACCTTCCCCGACGTGCTGGCAATTCCAAACAAAAATTGATTGCTCGTCCTAACATGATTTTTTTTCGCAGCCCCAGGCGTCGCCCTCCTTCATCAAACCCGTTAGGTAAAAGTGAACCGACCATCTTCACTGATTTTTCCCTAAAGAGAGTCAACTTTAGACACTCGAATTTCTAGTGCAATGCTGCCATCTGCACCTAGCTCGAAATTCCTCTCTGCAGCTGCTACGAGACCTGAACAGGTTCTTCTTGCTCACGGCATCTTTCGAAGGCTGAATATTTCGGAGACGCTTGCCCCTTGAAAAATCCGTATCCGCTTGTTCCTAGTTATAACTATTCAGCGTCACACGCGAGTGTGTCACCGACAAAGTGACTGTGACAATTACAACAAGAGACCTACTCGAGTAATATACATCTACGTCAACATCCTTTCATTTGCGTGATGCCGACGCGAGCGATGCCGAGCTGCTAGAACTACTGCCTGGGAGGGCACTCTGGCGTGCCTCTCTGCCAGACCGCACTTTGGACCCAGCACTTTGCTCCGCAGAGGTAGCCGCGCGAGCAGTGGCACGCGCATCTGTGATGAAGTCTTCGCTAACCCAAACGAAATGAGCGTACTTTATTACCGCGTTCCCATCTTCTTCAGAGGGGTGCGTGCCTCGAGGGTCCAGAGCCTCTTAGAGAACTTCAGCGTCATGAGATTGCACTCCGTGTCAACATACTTCTGGCATAAGCATCGAGATGTTTTATGAGACGAGTTGTACTAAACCAAAATCTTGCAAGAAGGACAGCTTTCTTGCTGATGTAGTGCATTCTGGGTCAACGACAAAATAGAACTTATATCATGCCCGGCCTTAAGCATCTTCTGATTGCCTCATATCTGACGACGATGACGCTTGTTCCCGTCCTACTGCAGGGTTTTTAGATGGCCTTGTATCCGACGACAAAGGCGCTACTACACCAGGTTTTGTTGATGATGACGAAGATCCTGTAGTAGGTCGGGCGACGTCTTTCTTAAGGAGCAAGCTCGAAGTTTTGATATCGTACCAGAAAAGCTCCCCTTCATGTACTCGTTTGTCCACAGTAGTGATACGCACTACGGCTCCAAGAGGATCCCCCATTGTCGTGGTAAGAAGGTACTACTAGCCCGCGAAAACATACAACCATGTCAACGTACACGACCACGAATGCCCATGATTCTGTTGTTCTTGACTTTTCATTCAAATATGCTTGAATAATCACGGGCTAGCAGCAGATGGAAGTAAAAAATTATCAGACACATCGTACTGCTAGTAATAAAACAATCAGGAGCTCAGGAACATAGTCCTGGTCGTAACATCAGCATCTGAGAATTGGAACGACGCAGTGATTGCCTCGTGTGAGCAAGACACTCTGCAAGAGCTGCTGAGAGAAAGTCTGACCAAGTGGAAACTCATCCAAGCGATTCTAGCCAACAAGGTCCTCTTATTGTCTTTTCATAGAGATCAACACTTCTGGATGTGCAAACCACGCTGTCACTGAACACCCGTATTTTTGTAGGTCTTCCTTTGTGAAACTAGATCGCCTCGCTCGCTGCCTCATAAAATTTTGGTAAAAAAAAGGAACTTTATTCTTTGCTGAGGAAAGCACGGGCCTTTGCCTCGTCGAAAACATGATGCACAACTCAATCAATGCTTATATGCAGGCAATTAATATTGCACGACGGAACATGCATATGCTCACACAAGTCTGCACTATCTTTCCCAGTTTGTCCATGCTGTGTCGCAAAACACCACTCATACTTGGCCACGACATAAGGTACAACGTGGTCGACAAGAAAAACATCGTTGACATTCGAAGATCACCGTGTCAGCTTCCTTCAGTCAAAATTACTCTGACTGGGGTCGACCGGCAACTAATGTGTAGAATGTTGTACTATGTACTCATGCTCTCACGCAGTAGTACTTTGACTATTCTCATAATCAAAATTATGTCACCATGATGTCGTAAGTTACAGGGTGGCCATCGGCATGTCTTATGTACTATAACAATTCTAGAAGATTTTACGACTCTGCAACATGAAGAACCCAGCTATTTTCTCGACAAGTAAATATCATAATGATGGTGGAATAACAGGAAAGAAAAGTTGAGGAACCAACTCATTTCTAAAACAAGTAGAATGAACCTGCACAGATAACCAAAAGGACAATCAGACCATCAGTACTATATCAACACAATCTCTGGAGTACAATCAATGTCTTTGCAACTCAAACTTCTTACGAAATGAAACTTCCGAAGGAAGTAGAGGTACGTCTAACTATGAGTCTGACGCTTCGTCTTCAATTCCCCCATAAGCTTCTTCCCCGTCCGGTCGTGCCGCTTGAATTCTAGCCATATCTGCATCTGCTACAGTGGCGAGACGCGTTACCAGCACAGTCTGCTTTGCAAAGTCATACTCTACCTGGAAATGCAAGGCCATAAACGGCACAAAAAACTCTCGCTGTGGTCTTCCTGCTTGTGCTCCCTCAAGCTCTGCAGTACTTGTACTGCTACGAGTGGGATCTTTACCTTCGTCCGACGCGTAATGGAATCTCTGTCCCCGAACTCCCTCGCCCACCACTTCACTGGCGGACACTGTCAGCGTGAGCGAGTCACGTAAGTGCGTATGATCGGTGATGCGGGCGCGGTAACCGTCGACGAGGTGCTCGTCGTAGAATATCATGGCGCTAAGCAGCGGTGGACCACGCTCTGCAGCAGATGCTCCAGATTTTACGAAAGAATTTCCGTCTCCGCCTGAGTAGGATGTCCGTGCCCTTTTCGGTTCGGATAGCGCTGTATCTGTGTACCGATTTCGACCACCACGACTAGGCTCCACTCCAACTACATGGTCGGAAGCAATAGACATAGAAGAGATAATATCTCTGCTCATGCTCACAATATTTTCTTGTCCCTGGGATACAACACCACTTGAACTAGACGAGCTACCTGCTGTGATCTGGCGAGGAAGCGAGGCGCTACGTCCAGTTGTCGAAGATACGGACGCGCGTGCTCCGGCTTCGACAGATATTACGTGATCAGCATTTATTGATGATGATGCGAGTCGGTTCGGATTACACCGGTCAGCATCTATTTCCATGTCGGAGGTCGTGTCGCAGCTTCGTGTCGGAGATTCACCTATGTGGAAGCTCTGTGACGATGAGTCCTGTAGTCTATCAAAAGTCGTGCTGCCTCTTCCTGCATCATCATAATAGACTTCTGATCGCGTAGTTACCATGCATCCTCGGCTGTCTACGTCGCTAAAGTCGCCCTCAGTGGCTCGTCGCTTGCGACCTCCACTAGAAGTGCTCATACGCACTGCTGCAAGTGTCTGGGCCATACTGTCCTCGAAGTCCGAGGTTGGTGTTCTCCCCGTGACTGCGCTGCCGGCTTCGTCGATCGTAACTTCATCACCAGAGTCCGCCGCTAAGAGCCTTTCTCTCGTAGCAATAAGTAGGTGTGCCTCTAGCCACTGTCGCGAAGAGGAAACCGTTGATATGGAATGGCCACTCGAGGACAACGGGGTTGTGGCGGACTGTGAAGACGCCCCAGCAGCGGAGCTGCTTGAAGGGATCCCTGACGAGGTAACATCGTGATGGAATCTTCGATTGCTTTCTTCCACGACACTAATGTCGTCGCTCTCGATGTCGTGCAAACCTTGCTGCTGATGATCCCGCAAGTCGAACTCTCCTCCTGGCAACGACGAGGACGAGGAAGCAAGTCGATCGCTTGTTGCAGCCACGCCCGTTCCTAGCAACGACGAGAACGACGAACCCAGCCGGTCCCGATTCCTTGTGGTAGAGGCCACGCAGATGTGTGTTCCCGGTAGCGACGAGGCCGACGCCGATGATGACAGTCCATCACCGGAAGAGGACTCAGCTGGATCAAAGTGGTGCAGACTCGAAGTGGGGCTCGTAGGTAACGAGGTCTCCGCCATACTAGTATTCGGCGACCCCCAGAGATTCCGTGGCGCAAACAATGGCACAGGCGGTGGCGAACTAGCTCGGGACGTAGAATCGTTTGACGAATGTGAACCAGAGCGACTGCGCGATCTAGAAGTGGCACCTCCATTGTAATCTTAGAGGACCTCGACCTCCTAGCACAAAAAATTATTAATGGTCTTTCATCGTTAGAACAACTTTCAGGTATTGGAGCTACAAAGTTTTTTCCACAAGGAGACGACACGACAACGTATGCATGATAGACAGATGTTCAAAAACGTAAACAACTAAGCGATGTAGTCAAAAATGGATGGCTCGCGATTCCCTTAACTATGTTGGAGGGGAGTTGCCCGAAGCTGGCCCTGCATCTCCACATCTCTCTGCAAAAGCTGGTGATGCCGAGTGATCCGCGACAGAATAGGTGATGAGGTGGAAGGAGAAGCAGCAATTTGAACATTCTCACTTTGGTCGTTCCTCCTATCAACAACAGGATCGCCTGCATTATCTGAGACGCCCGGTTTATCCGGTAGCGTAGTCACGTTGCAGCGCCCAGCTCGTGGAGTAGCCGTATCGAGAAAAGGCCGCCTGTCCCAGCAAGGATCAGCCCCTATCGATGTTCCGAAAGCAGTACCGCACGCTTCCTGCTCGTGTAGTTTTTCCACCTCCTCAGCGCCGAGTGCGGGAAGTGCGAGCAGAAGTGTGAAATCGGATTCCCTACCTGTGTCTCTGTCAGGCAACGTGTATTCGCGCTCCATCATTTCACCTTCTTCCAAAGAAGAACTACGATAGACTCCTCGCCAGTGCACCCGGAATCCTCGGAGAAAAAGCACTTTGATGTATTTGGACGACTTCGACGTAGTGGAGGACGTGCTGTTGGCACCTTGAGGCAGATTGTGGTGGAACGACCCTCCCGCGTTCCCGGAAACAAGTTGTTGACCAGCGTCACTGCATGTAGTTCGGTGAACAAAGTCGTCCTCTTCCTCCAATATGAAGGCACCGTCTCGGTCTCCTTCTGTCTTCGTCGTTCCAGCTCCGATGCGGTGCTTGCGCGATGCTCGGCCACCGCGCAGAAAGTCTCGAATATTTCGCAGACCCTGAGCTCGCGCAGCATAGACGCCACAATCGGCATTCGGAGTTCTGTATGCCGACGCCGCGTTAGAGGAGCGACCTCCTGCGCAGCCGCCTGCACAATACCAGACGTTCGAGCTGCTCGGCGAGAAGTTCTCGTTCCTGTGCCTCCCACTAGTTCTAGCCTCTTGCTCCATACGAGGATCGACGTCAGTCCTAGAAGTTGTGCTGCGTCCGCTGCGTCCTCCTCTTCGCCGCCTGCGCGACGTCCGCAGAGGACTTGCTGAAGCTGTTCTGCTTGTGTGTGACGAGCGTCTTCGACCACGTCCTGAACTACTTCGTTGGGACGAACTCTCTTGCTGCCTTCTTGGGGTGGGCGCACGGGACCGCTGTTCTCGTCGCATGGCAACCATCTGCTCTTCGTTCATTGTTGGAGCAGATACAGTTGCTGTGCTGTCAGCATCAACATCCTGTGCGCTAGGAAAAAACAAGTCCTCCCCTGTTCGTATTTCCTCTGTTCTTGAAGCACGCCTCCTGAACCCACTGCTCGGCGTTTCTGCGGGACTCGATGAGTCAAGACTTTGAGTAGTTGTACCTCTCTCTAGAGAAAAGTCCATTGGCCATTGCTCAGGCTCAGCTGGCCCATTGTTGACTGTGTCCTCGTCAAGCGTCGAGGACGCACTCGAAGTGACCCTAGAGGAATCAGAACGTTCCCTCGAGCGAACTGGAGAATCCCCAACCGGATTACTTCTGTTGACGTAGTCGTATATGAAATCTCCCATCCACGAAGATGGCAGAGTCGCTTGCGAAGTCGAGTCTGAATCGGAAAGAGATAGCGAACTTGCTTTTCCGGAACTATGAGAAGCGATCACCTTACACCGGCGTTCCTTCATCAGGCGTCCACGACTACGGCGCGCGAGATCTTGGTACTGCTGCTTCTCCAACTTGCCTAAAAGACGCTGTTTCTCCATCATTATATGTGGAATTAGCGGCACTCAATCGCAGTACTTCTTGTTGATCTTGGATCGAATTCCTGTTCCTCCATGCTACTTAACGCTTGCTCCTAAACCTGAACCCGCTAGAAAGGAAACTACAGAGGGAATCATCCGTGGAAACGAAATGCGGTATAGTAAGAGCCGTAACAACAGCCGGTTGATACCCGATAGCAGTACCCACGGAGGTGAGTCCTGCGCAGGTTGTATCTTGGCGCCGCTGCTTGGCATCGCGCTCGTCACCGCTCTTCGGTCCGAGTTTGCTGCATTACCCTTTGGACTTCCTTCTCTCTGCCCATCGGGTCTATCCCCGCCATCCATGCGACGCGATGGCATGACCTCTGACCATGAGCTTCGCGTTGTGGTCCCCTCCTCATGGGGCTCAGGCCACGGTGATGCGCCGACCCGAAACATGAGCGCGGGAAGCGTATTCCCCACCGTCTTGTACAGCTTCTCCGCTCCGTTGCAGTCAACATCAGGACCCATTGCCAGAAGCTCTGCGAAGACGTTTGATCGCGTGGGGACCAACGCCTCTTCGCGTTCTTTCTTTGTACTCGCATTGTCCGTTGGCAAACACGTGTCCTTTCTTAGAAATACACAGGAGAGTTCCTCGTAGGTAACTGCCTAATCTAAGCGACTACCGATTTATCATACCGATGGCGAAACCTGTCTCCTGTATTTACTGGTTTATTCCAGCTTTGCGTGTTTTAAAGCGGTCATTGGAAATTGAGACTCCACGACAATACCCAGCGATTCTGAAATCATTTTTCGCACTTCTGCTTCCTTTCCATTTTCATAACTTGATTCCATTCTGTTGTGCGAGGAAAGGCAACAAGACCTCTTTAACAGCAAATAGTCTTGGTAAGATGAAGAATTCTTTGTATGCATCTCTCCGAAGCTGCGCTGCTAACTGATAAAGCTCTGTTGCTTCTATCTCAATATTCGCGCCTTCAGCCGTCCTCGTCGCCTTAGCAAGAGACCCTTTCATTGCTGAGAACGGTCTACTCACCGCGTCAGGGGTCACATTAACCGTACATTTGTTGACGTTGCACAGCGTCGCAGTTAGTTTAGCTGCTTTTTGCGAAGGGCTGAGAGAAGAGCAAGAGCCCGATCCTGCAGATGTTCCCGTGGTGTCAAAATGGCCACAACAAAACGGCAACGCAATTGAAGCCGCGTCGCCACCGCTCCTATGTTGCGCTGCTACACGGGACGGAGGTGCCGCCATCTCAGTTGTCTCCCTGGCGCCTCTGGTACAACTACCCAAAGGGAAGGAAAAAATATCGAAAGAAGGACAAGACGCACCACTCGAAGCTGTTGCACCACTGGAAACTCTAGCTGGCAGCTCTTCGAAAACCGAAAAACTAGTTGCCGAGGGAAGTTCTGAAATATCCGCGTCGTGTTGAGGCAAACTACATCTTATGTGCTGGTGCAAGCTGCTGATATCATCAAAGAACTGCCGCGGTCGCGAGCTGCTGTGCGACGAGGACAGAGGTGCGACATCGACCACTGAGCCCGAGGAGCGAGATCGAGAGCGCGCGCCGTCCTCTCTTGCTTTTCGTCTGTGGTCGAAAATAACAGAACCTTTCCCGAAGCACAGCACAAGAGAGACCCAAAGCAAGTGGACACGCTTCAAACTACAACCAGTGAAGCAGTGCCGACACAAAGAAGACTCCATGTTAGAAGAGGCGGCGATTTTCTGACGGTCAAACAAAACTGCATGCATGGTCATTCAAATGTCGTCGGGCGGACGATTATCGTCACTTATGAACGATCAACAATAGTTACTCGGCCACGATAAGGCTGCAGATGCATTTAGAAACTACGAAACGACCAACTACTTGGAAACGCCTTTTTCTTGTAAGACAACACACATACGGCCGCTTCTATCGTTTTTTCGAATAATTATAGATATACAACATTTCACATTGCACCGATTCCGATTTTCGATTAAAACATAATTTTGAATCTACAATCGAATAAGTCACACCAAGAGGGACACGGCGGAGACCTAACATTGAAACCAAAGATCTTGGTCTTCTAGGACACCGAACCAGACGACGTTACAGGAGACAACACAAAAAGAATCGGAGGAAACCGATTCCCGTCATGATCTCTACTGTCCCAACACACAACCAGCGACTGCCTATCTAACCGGCTTCGCGTCGTAGAGCGTCTTCCCCTTTTCACCGTTTGTCTTCTCTGCCTTTCGCGCTTGTGTTGACATCAGGAGCAAACTATGTTTTCGTAACGCAACACACGAATTCTTGGTCCTCCTTGTTGGAGAAACGAAATACGAGCACCAAGGAATGGGCCTGTGAATAATCATGAACATGTTCAGAGGTTCAGGGGAGAGAGAAGATCAATAAATTGTGAGTAATAATATCATTGGAACTTGTTGAGTACTGCTGGCACTCGTACAACTACGTTGCATGTTCTGTTGAGTGTGTGTGTTTACAACCTTGACCTTCTATGCTACGAAGTGATCACCGTGTCGCCTGCAAACAGTGAACGTGCGTGACTCTTAGATCCTTGTAGTCCACCGCAAAAGCGCGATCGGTCGTTATTCGCTTATGGCAGATCGGACAGCAGCGCTCGTTCGTCAGGTGCACGCAGAGCGATCGCACCTGGTGCCACTCCTTGTACGTGCGCAGGTAGGCTGCCGCACTAAGACTCTCCTCCACCTTCTGTTGACGCTGTGCGTGGATCGCAGCCAGAAACTTGGTCCGCAGAAACTCGTCTAGCAAGTGCGTCGGCAGCCTGTCCGGTAACAGATCGACCACACGAGAGCCGTCCAGGTGGTGACAGTACCGAGTAGCGAACCTCAGGATCTGCCGCAAAGAACAGATAGAGGAAGAAGTGCTAGTACTACTGCTCTGTGTCGTCAAACTCGCAATACCACCACTGCTAAAAGGGGTACTAGTGTCTTCACACGAGGACACGAGAACTTCATAACACACTTGAAAAACAGACTCCGGTGGGAAAGCTCCTGAGGCTGCAGCATTTGATGTGGTATTCAGATTGGACTGCAACATGGTCCGGTCCTCGCCACCCGTGTGACTCCGCTGCTTCCGCATTTCAGCCGCAAGCTCCTTCTGCTGCGCTTGCGTGAACTCCCGCTCCAACTCCTCCTCAAAAGCAAAGCGCACATTTGAGTTTGGGTGAAGAACGAGCTGTCGATGATCCTCCCTGCTTGACGAAGACAAACCTCCTCCAGAGTTCGCCTTCGCTAGATTTTTACGATCACCACCGCCTAACAGACTACCGTCCACGACATTTGCAGTCGATGCTCCTCCTGTTCTAGGCAAATCGTGGTGCGCACTGCCTAGAGATCCGAGACAATAAAGCTCAGCTAAGTGCAAGCCGCCTAGGCGACCGCGACACAAAATATCTAACGCCTCCGCGTGTCTTGCCTGCTTTCTGTAAAGCAGACACCGTTCCCAGTCAAAACTCGTTCCTCGCGTATTCACTCGTGACAACGTACCGAGCACGCGGTCAATGTCGAGATCGCGGCCGCCCTGAAAATGCTCCAAGAACTCCGCCAACTTACTCCTTGCGGCAGACGTAGAACTTGAGGAAGGATCACTCGCGGACGCGGTACGGCCAAAGAGCGAGTCCGAAGGTGACGAAGAAGGAGCGGGATGTGAAGAAGGCTGCTGCTCGTCACCGAGTAGTGCGGTGTTCACGCATGCATGAACGTAAACTACAGCGAGCGCGGTCGCTAAATCACGGTCCGGAAACGAGTCCACCAATAATAGGTGCTCGAGATACCTCCGTATCTGACACACACGGTCGCAGTAGCCGACTTCCGAAGAACGCTGTTGCGCCTGACTACTAAGACCTGCTACACCGACGTGGTCTGCAGATTTCACTATGAGGTCTTCAACGAGATCTACTGGTGCACCGTGCAAGTCGTCGCTTGCTGTGAAGGTTCCGCAAAGCAAGTAATTGAAGACGTCAGATGGCGGTACCAAACTCTGATAACTCAGCGCGTCGCCGCGCACCCCAGCATCATTGTCAGGGCCAGATGAAACCGCACTTTTGGTGAAGAGGTTCACCACAGTAACCAGCGGTAGCAGAGGTATGTGCTGCAAGACTGTTTCTCGCAGCTGCAGCAGCCGCGGCTTGGCAAATCCGCCAAGGACGAGAGGTGTGGCTGTCGAGGGCGCGGCTCCTGAGGCTTTCGTGCTAGCGACAATTAGTCGGCTCAAGATATCTGCGACTTGCTCCTGTTCCAGCGTCGGTCCTTCGGAAGCTAAGCTGCCCGAGCGTCCGCACGTTGCTTTCTGCTGTGCGGCTGCGGCAGTCATCTGCCCGCACTGTGTTGCTGCCTGCTGGCGCTGTGCAATGACTAATTCTGCGTAAATCGCGAGCGCTTCCTCTAACTTGTCTTCCCGTTTAAGCAGAAGTGCCTTCACATCGCGCCTTGACTGCAAAAAGCTACCGTCGAAGTCGCTCGCACTGCAAGAAAAGTCTTTGCGATTGAGGAGTGCGGCAGCGGCTTTCTTGCTCTCTGCATGCCGGTCACCGAGTGTAACTAGCAGTTGCAAAATAATACGGTCCCCACGCTTCTTTCTGCTGGCCGTTTGTTGCTGCCAAGGTGATTCCGGCGTACTGCAATCACGCAGGTCAACTAGAAATTGGGCAGCGCAGTGTTCGGCTACATCGTCCAAGCGAGCTTCTTCACTTTGGATCGTCCGCAAAAGTCGTTCGACGATGTCAGCCATCTGGTCTCGCTCCTCTTCGCGCACGAAAAAAGGACTCTCCGTCGCAACGACCATTGCAGGTCCTGCCATACTTCCCCCGCCTCCTCCTGCTCGTGGGGGTGAATTAAACGACTCCCCGCCAGAGTTCAGGTGGGGCGCTTGTTGTGCGACCTGCGCCGCTTCTGCCGTCATTTCTCGAACCTCCGCTGTGCTCAGAAAACGGCGCGCAAAGAAGAGCAGGATGTGGGAAGGAGCAACCGCAGATACGCGAAAGCAGGACTCAAAGGCGTCTCGAAAGCGAGACTGCTTCCACGCGATCCAACCCGCCTTCTCGTTGAAGTTCAAGATCTCCTTATGCCGCTGCGCTGGATCCACCTCCTCACCGGCGAGGTGAGAAGTGAGTACCGCAAGCGCATCGTCGCGCTTTCCAGCCTGCAACAGCATGCCCAACTGGTCTCGCAAAGGAAGCTCGGTGAGTGAGTAGATGGCCTGACTCCCCGCTGCTGCTAGAAAGACGCGCTTATTGCTATCAGACACACTCGTGATCGAGGCGTTCCTAGTTGTACCTCCGACGAAATCAGCAACGGGCAAGGTCTGTTTGCGTTCCTGGTCGCGCAGCGAGAAGGCCTCGATTTCCCGCTCTGTCCAACCGAGAATGTAATGTCCGCCTTTGTTTGTGCCAAGGTGGCGCACCGGGGAGCGGAACTCGACTGTTCCCTTCGTGGAAGGCTGTCCGCTGCGCAGGTCAAAGAACAGCCCAACGCGGTCTTGATGGAGCAGCAAAACCTCCTCTTCTGGAAGCAGTAGAACTCGCGGCACACCGTCGAGCTGAAAAATCGTCTGTAAACTCCCATCCTCCTGGTTTACTAGCACGTACTCGCGCTTAAAGCCTAGCACGATGCTGCGCCGCTGCCATCGGCACAGTAAGGGGCCTCCGCGCCCCTGCTCCTTCGGCTCCCCCGGTCGCTCGAGAGCAATCTCTTGGTAAAGCTCATACTTCAAGCTGCCGACATCATCAGGGTCCCCAGCGCCACCCCGGTCCTGTGTGAAGATACAGAGGTTTACGTGGCTGAACCAACATATTCTCGAGATTCTCATCTTCCCCTATTCATGTTGTCGTAGAAACAAGAAAAAACTTCGCGAGTAGCACCTTGCAGTTGTATTTCACAAACCTAGAGCCTGTCTGTCAAAATAAATCCTCAAGAATACCTGAGGTCGCCCTCCTGCGGCCGGGCGAAAGAGATGCAACTTGCGCTTACTGCAGACACAGATGTGAGCGTGATCTACGTCATAGCCGCGAAACTGCTCGATCGTCGACTGCAACCCCTGGGAATCTGTCTGCAGCGCGAAACAGAGAGCATTTTTAGCAAGTACAGTTCCCGCATTGGAAAGACTTCCTGGAAGAATGTAAATCCCAGATTCGCAAACAGCGAATATCCGGCTGTTGCTGCCTTCTGGGCATATGATCTCCGCAACCCCGGAGCCCGGCTTGATTCTTGAATTAGCGCTAGTTTTTCATCGTCCCTCTCCTCAAAGCAAGTGACTGGCTTGCCTTCTCAGCAGACATATTCCAGTTAGAGTAAATTGAGCGTCATTTTTTTTCACTCGCGATCGATGCACTTACCATATCACACGGCATGATGAAAAACTAGCCTTAACTGGTGCTGCTCCAGCATTTCCTGGTGGAGAATCCCTGAGTAGATTCACTCTGCGCTGGAAGACGCCAGACTTGCGCACCTCTTCCTCCGTTCGGTTCGAAGCGGCTACGGTAAAGGATAGCACGCTTCCGCTTGACGTTCCCACGTAAAGCACATTACAGCCGTAGGCCAGGCACTCGACCGTCTCCCCGCCCGACTGCTCTATGATAGGAAGTGCACAGAAAAGGTCCATACTGCATGTTTGCTTTACAGTTGTTCGTCAGGCTCAGCGTCTCCGTCTCCGGCATGATGGTCATCCGAAACCACTATGAAACGAAGAGATAACGCAAATATGGATTCCTAGGTACTCCATGTCAACATGTCGTCATCCTTGTGATTTTCCAAAAAAGAACAAGCCAAGAATTATTAGATTCATCATCCTCACAATCAAGCTTCTTCAAAAAAATATCTTCTCTTCTAATTCTTCAAGCTGCCTGCTTCAGAGACGTATGCTATTCTACTCATCACTCGAGGTGTTCAACCACAGCTAGAAAGAAAGGAAAAATGCGCAGGTTCATTCTTTCACATAAAAATCGGTGTCTTAAAAAACTAACATTAATTGGTCTTAGTACACGCACCAAACGACTGAGAGCGCAGTGCTGCAGCGTTTGCTCTGAGATCCTACACTATATTCGTTTAAGACGCGCAAGAACTCGGGCTCCAGCACGATCATCATCATCATCATCACGTCTCAAGTAATAATCCTGCGCCGCTACCAAGAAAGGAACTGCTTGATTAGTAGGAGATGTAGCTAGTTGTAGTATCCAAGAAAATACGGATATCACAGATACTGATTATGGCCACACTCTTGTGGTACTCAACCACCCATAAGTACCATAATTTCGATTTTCAAACAGATGTGATGGTTTGTCTGACAAAATATCGAACACCACGGATGCCCCAATTAGTGTGCCGCGGTTTGTCGCACACATTTGTCATTCGTTTTTCGTCATGTCATTCTTTAGGTCTTGTTTGACGAGCGTTTTTTCCCATCGAAGCAAGTTCAAGGGGAAGGTGGATAGATTTCCATTCTCATCAAAAATTTCACGATGACTTACTTCCTCGCGCGCGTAGCGCCATCCCTGTTTTTCATAAAACTTTTGTGCAGAGAAGTTGCCATCCGCCACGTAAAGGAAAGCTTGCACTGCTGATTCTCCACCGTTTTCACTTTTTTCACGACTTTGTGCGGCTCCTTTGGTCTTCCCTTCCTTCAGAGAGCAATGAGGGTCTCCTTCTTGTGTCTCCTGTTTTCCACTCGTAGCTTGAACATTTGCCAAGATCTGTGCTTCCGCGGCGCGAAGCAAGAGCGACCCCGCACCAAGCCCACGCTCCCGCACAAAAAGATGCATCACCTCGTTGAATTTTGTAGACACAAAACCCACTAAGTTCGAGCTGACACACGTTTTTATGCAGCCGCTTTCACAATTTTTAACAACATCACTAGATGTTGTACACTGTTCTTCAGGGCCCCTTGATATTGTTTTTTCTTCACTTTTCGGATAACCTGAATTTGTTTCTTTTGACAGTACCGAAGAAGTGCCGTCTTCGTCAGAACGTTCCACTACGATGGTTCTCGCAAGGTCCCAAGGCACACGGCGCTCGAAACTGTCATAATCCCGATACTTTAACAATTCACCAGGAAGAATTTCGCCATGCGATAGGTGATACACTTCATGCCATATTTTCGCAATCCCAACAATGTCGGCTTCGCGTGCCAGACGGACTCGCATAGAAGATGGAGTGCTTTCTTTTGTTGTAGACGACCCGCCCATGTCCTCGTTTGAAAAAATGATACTACGTGCTGAATTCATGATTCATTCTGCTCCACTCAAACGCCAAAAAGATTCTCTACAAAGATTAACTGCGTGACCCAGCAATTGTGCTAAATGATTTTCGTGTCTATATCTTGCTAAAAGGAGCCTCCTCTGCAGACTCTCAGCACCTTAACGGTCCAACCAGTATCAACCGATGATCCATCTCCGCCTTTTCCTCGTTAGCTTGGGACTCCGTCCTGGTGCTCATCCCACTCCACAATGAGTGTACTGCGTGCTGGTGCTTATTTTCGATCTTAAATAACAAGGTATACACATTCTGCAAGGCCTGCAACGGCGACTGAAGTTTGATGAAAACGGGCATCAGGCACGCAATGACATTGAGAAAACAACAAAAATCATGAAGGTCATGACAGGACCGTGAGACCGATCTGGGTTTGAACTACTTCAAGAAACAAAGAAGTTCCGCTATAAGGATGAATGATTTTTCACGACGACCTAGCATTCCACAAACATGACAAGACAAACTTGAATTGTTGTAGACACCAGAGATATTATATCATTATGCTGCATTTTCAAAAACTCTATTTATCATCTAGACTATCATTCTTAACATTGCTGGTGCATCTTCTTGCTTTGTCCACGACTATTTATCTCGAGAGTAAAAGCTCCCTCCTTTCATCTCTTACGGAAGACATATATTACTTCTACGTAGCATACCTGAAGCCCCTCACGAGCAGCAGGCGCCTGTCTTTCATCGACATGAGTGCACTACTAGAGCATCAAGCTCAAACTCATTGGCCTCGACCAAGTCAGGATGCCACGTGCACCGACATCACGAGGTTTATGATGTAGATCTGTTCGGCGTCACAGTCCACTTCGAAAAGCGCAGCTAGGTAGGGAGTCCACTGATTACAACTCTCTCCTTGCGCCTTTATGTCCGGCACAACTTCCACCAGCTGACGAGTCTCGACGCCCCCGGCCAGCTTGATAGTGAAAAAGATTGAGGTAAGCAAGAAGTATTACCGACGATGCAAGCGAATGGAACGTCGGCGATAGTAAGATTATGGAGGTCACCGGCTTAGGTCTACTCCAAGATGAGCAAGTCGATGAGGGATCCCGTTCCCAAGGAATGAAGAAGAAGCAGAGCATCTAGAGCGACCGTTTACATTGAGCCCCTACATAGCATCAGCAGCGATCGCTTACGTTGGATCCCTAACGTAGGATTACTCACCAATTACAACTTGGCTGGACGCTACACCCCACCATGACTATTGATCATGACTATGTATTATATTTTCTCTTCACTACTCCCACTTCCGCGACGATGTCGACTAAACTATCACTATTGATACGCACCATAGAGCCGACCAGACTCTACGAGGAAAGGACTATGGGGCGATCTAATTACAAGTGCCTCCAATTGAATCGAATATAATTCGTAAAAAAAAACTCAAACAAACGACTGCTTCCCCTTCTAGTAAACACCTTCTAATTCATAAGAAAAACCGCAGCGGAAGACTGCTATCGGCTTTTTACGCAACAAAAAGCCTTTTCTGCGGGAAAAAATATGCACACGTTCTTAGTAAACGCCCTCTAGATGAGAAGTTCAATTACTAGCTTGAGGTGTGCGCTTGTTCCCTCTCCGCCATTGCTTGTGACTTTCTCCCCATTGTTTTACTATGACTAGTGCATTATAAACATTGACCTTTCGAGAATGGCTATCTCGATCTACTCAAGCTAGGGAGCGATGACATTTTACTCACAGATCAAACTGGTCGATACAGTCCTAGATAGTTCCTGGTGAAAGATGCTTTTGCATCGTCTCGTGAAACACACTAGAGACCTAGGACACTTCCTTCAGGCAACTTTGCTGCTGAAAAAAAACACATAAGTCTTCAACACTTCTCGCTTGCTAGAAAGGTTTCTTCGAGCATGACTTGAACCTGAACCACCTTGAAAATAACTATGAAGTATAAGATGATGCTGGTGAGCATCGGACTAATATGGCCAAAAAAAAGATGACACAAAGAGAAAGGAAGTTCTAAGACAAACAAATCCATGGAGTGAAAGCCTTTCGCATGAAAACATTACCATCAATCATTCTCATGCTAACAGCAAAAGGACGTTCAACACGACTACTTCAGTATGCTACGAGGATGATGAGAATGCGGAGACACAACAAAACTATTAAGGATTTTATTGTAAGAGAATGTTGCCATCTCTTGCGTTTTGAGGCCGATGCATTGCCATAAATGGTACACACTTGTCCTTCAAAAAAAATCGTTTTTGCTGCTCCTAACACGAATGCACAAAACAGACACAGTTACTAGGACCGACAAGGATACCTGCCAGGTTCTCAGAAATGCCATTGCAATAACTACACAAAGGAATATGATACACAAAAAGCTGCATGCATAAAAAACAACAAGAAAAAACTGGTAGGATGACTCAAGCATGATAAATTTCTGGAATACAACATGCTCATTTGTCAGGTGTGAGCGGCTATTGCCTCGTAGTCAATTAAGGAATTCTTCTACCTTCAAGTAGACAAACTGCACGATACGCCTGAAAATTCGATCGATTCTCAATAGTGCTACTAGGATACCCCCGTTGGCCGTGCTCACGACCCTCCCTGATCAGTATTCCGATACCATCTTTGATTCACTATCCATTACACTCCTAAAAAAAGCCTTGCTCCAAAACTGTCAGTTTTCGTATGAGGGCTGTGGTCCTGGGCTGATCGAAACCGTCCGCCATCCGCGAGTGACGCTTGAGCAGCGCGTAGATTCTACGTCGAAGCTTCGTATCGCGCAACAACGCTCGCGGGGCTCCTCGATGTCCACGACTGCATTGAAGATGTTGTCCCGGTTCGTCTAGGTCCGCTCGCTGTTGGTGTTGTTGCCATTCGCTTTCGACGTCTGCTGCATCCGACGCTGGTGCGCCTGCAAAGTTTTGGTGGCGATCGTATTGGTCTAGAAGTCCAGCCCTGTCCGCTGCTTCCTTACAGGCCATGCGAGAAAAATGCTCCGCTAATCTATCAACCAAGTTCTGACCCCTCTCAGCTCGCGCCTGCAAATTCTGCTCCGCTGCAGGTGCTGAGGACGCGGCACTCACGCAACTGTCCTTGCTACTGCGGCGGGAATTTCCGCGCGACGGGGATTTGTGCTGTCTGCCTGAACCTGGTTGTCCGGACGAGGACGACGCCGCAGCGCTCAGCGGCCGCGACAAAAACTCTCTGTCTGTAGCCTGCTGCGCTCTCCCGTCATTGCCCCCAGCATTTTGGAGGACTTCCTCCAATGGTGTGGGACAAACATGACGCAGCGCTCGTTCTAGAACGCGTATGACATTGTAGCGCACCGTCTTCCAGTCCTTAGCTTCCTCTGGCTCCGTGCGCAGTTTCATTAGAACTCGGGACGAACTTTCCCCCCAACAAATATGGACATCACTGTTCTACTTCTACTGTTCTATTGTTTTTTTCTCTATGAAACTCTGGATGCTTCCTCTAATCCCTTTTGAGGCCCTTGTAAGACGCAGATGCATCTCTTGGAACTGTTAGATGTAGAATATTGTGTAAACCTTGAAACCTTAACAGTGCAAAGGCATACCACTCCGTCATGACTTGGAAAACAAAAAGTGGATACTCGCCATCCATCTGGGTCAAGGCATCCAAAGCGCTTCCAACGCCATTGATTCGCAAAAGCCGTAGTTTCCCTGCTGCCGAGACAATATCCGCCTCTTCAATGTGAGGCAATACCTCTTCTCGAGATGTATGAAAAAGAAGAAAGTGCAGCAAAAGCATCAACTCGATGTTCAACCTACTTGTTCCACCTCTGACTTTCACTTTTGTGTACATAGTTCTAGTAATATCCGTTACAGTTTCATTGAAATGAACATACAGTCATTTATCACAAATTTCTTCAATCTGTAAAAAGTTTTTGGTCCATAGCCTTCTTCTCCCAACGCAAAAGACCGCTGCACATGTGCGGACGCAAAGAATCGCGCTGTGTGGTCTATCCTGTCTGCTTCATCGCTAGATACCCAGCGTGCGGCCGTGAACCATCTCGTTTGGGCCTCTTCTATACTAGAAGTGGTTGCCGTCCTTCCTCCGCCAGTTGCTGACCACAACATCGTAGAAAGTTGGTTTTCCGCAGCAGCGCGAACCGTTCTCGCGCTAACCCAGAATTCAGGGTCTGCGTCGAGAAAATAACGGGCGATCTTAGTATACGTCCAAGAGTTCCCCGTTTGCCGAGAATTCACCGTCGACCATGCACTACCGCGCTGGCGTCTCATCATCAGCTCGCCTCCCTCTGCACCTCCATTTTTGGCACCCGGTCCAACTGCGGTCAGAAGCCTGTGAAGATTTCTCGAGGTATTGATTATTTTGAGAGCGTGTTATTCATGTTCAACATGCTAATCCATGGAACTTATAACAGGTCACGGAGATGACCGGCTACTAGTACTAGAAAAAGCCAATAGTATTCAGGTAACAGAACTACGTTGCTGTATCCGCTTTTGTCGGCATCCCGACTCTTTCGTCGGACGCTATGCGCAAGCCTAACTCGATAAGCTTCAGATTTCCACGTGGCACTTTCTCAATGAAAGAACGAGCTAGAAGCGGCGACACAGGTAAGCGGAATTCCAAATGCAAATCTAGATTGATGGTCTCCAATGCCACTTCGGTTCGCTGCCCTGCTGCAATGGCCTCGGAGGGACTGGAGGGCCCCTGCAGCAAGCTCGTGCGGAACAGACGAGCAGCGGCGGACGGAGTCGGAAAACTCACGGGTGTTGCGAGGGACACGTGCGATTCGTTACTGTGGGTCCGAACCATCATCATGGAATTCCATAAAAAATTCTCGTTTTCAGGAATGCGGCTCAGAGGTGTCGCAGCCGATACTGGTGTGCGCAGTGCAGCAGGAGGAGACCCTTGCGGACACGTCGTCGCCGCACAAGCAGCCAACCCAGCACAAGACAAGCTGTGTAATTGATCTCCACTAGGCATCATATGCGAGATTCCCGCGGTATCTGGTATTGGCGATGCGGCTGCCGCACGCACGCTGTAGAGTGAAGCGAAAGAGTGATCACTGGACGGGGTCGACTGCCGGCTCGCCGCAGACTGAAAGTCTGCGTCTGTCGTGGTACTTTCGCGTGACAGCACGCGCTGCATAGGGAGGCACTGCTCGTTGTCCGAGCTGGTAACGGAGGCCGGCACTTCTTCCCCCGGCCAGATCGGTAGCGCAAAACAGCCACTGCCACTCGCGCCACTGCCAGCCATCTCTGCACTAAATGCTTGGTGATACTGGTGCTGGTGGTACAGGGCGCGTGCCGCGAAGTACGCCTCCAGCTTTGCACTAGCGGTGGACAACATGGAGCCCGCTGCTCCAGTCGTGCTGTCGATATTCGTTCTTCCACCCTCCGCTGCTCCAGTAGCAGTGCTCTCCGGCTCCTCATCTTCCTGTACTACGCCTCCATTATGTTCTTGATCAACACCATGGACTATGGGTGTCCCATCGGCCTGCACAAGACGCACATACTGGCTATACTCTTCGCGCGATACAGCGGTCCAGCCCCACGTGGTAATCAGGCGATCTTCTACGCGTGCGATTAGGTCAGCCTCTGATTCAACTTCGTCCGAGCGCACGTTGTACGCAAACTTTTCAACGCCTTTCGATCCGAGGACGCGCACACGTACCGCGATCGGCGCTGGGAGCGCCGGCGCCTGACCACTGGGTGACCGAGCAGCGGGAGACATCAGACGCCGTGCGCGAATCTGCTGAGTTTGGCCAGGTCGTGGTCGAAAACGGTCCAGCTTTGAGCTGTGCACATACGGCGAACCTGGAGCACAGGCACTTCGCACCTCAGGCGAAAAGGAAAAATCTTGCCAGGATGACGGCGAAGACCGCGGTCTGCAATCTGGCTCGCTCAACGGGCTGTTCTCACGTCGGAATACGCCCAGGCGCCCTGGCCCCGTAGCACCTGGAGTGGGCGGCGCAACGTCGGAATCCAGTGCAGGCGGCCGTCGACGGCGACCGGAGCCAGAACCCGATAGCGGCTCCGTCATTCTCCCAGAGCTTTCTGCCTCGAGACTCAAAGAAACACTCATCACAGTCCTATTGCTTCTAGTCTGTTGTACTAATTTCCCGCGCGGACACGGTCGTAGCTTTGAGTCGGCGTTTTCACCTGTTTTCGGTCGAAGGTGAGCTGCTTCGCTGTCTGCCGTTGCAGGACGATCTTCCGGAACAGCAATCCCACTGCTTACGACGTGTGGCGTCTGCGGCGTCACAACTTCGGGCTGAACACTGATTGTTTCGGGTGTTAACACACTCTCGAAAACGAGCGGCTTTTCCCTTGCCTGTGAGTCCGCGTCTTCGTCGGTTCCGGAGCCGGACGACTGCAAATAATAAGAAGCCTCGCCCACTTCTTCTCTGGGGCATTCCGCAGTAGCCGGCGAGACTGACAGCGCCATCGCGGCTTCATCATACGCCACGCTAGACACTACTCTTTTGGCTGCAGATCGCGACTCCTGGATCACTGCGCCACTTTCGGGCAGCGATGAAAACGTGACCTCTAGTGCAGAGGCCGACTCGGCGCACGTGTCTAATGGAGGCGACAGAACATGCATTCCCGAGGCCAGTACAGCCTCGTCCGAGCTCGGAGTTGTATCCCAGCTAGTCCCGCCCGGAACGGTGCGGCTATGTCCGACCGACGCATCGGTAGACGCGAGAGTGCCACCACTGGAAACATGTCGTACACCTTCTGGCGTTACTGGGCGGGAAGTAGCATCCTTCGGCCGATCCTCGCTTGTGCGAGCACGCTGTCCCTTGCGCGCAGATCCGCTCCCAGGCCGATTACTTTTCTTCTCCACAACTTGTCTTGCTGCTGGTCGCTCTTCTTGCTGCGCGGCCCCCTCCGGAGTCGACAGCTGGCGCGCAACGCCAGAACATACTGAACTCTCTTTTCCGTCGTCGTTGTCGTGATTGCCCTCCTTTGTCCTATTTGTTGCAAACAACGAGGCAGCCATCGCTCGCCTAAACGCTAACTGCTCCGTGTGTAGCCCAGACCATTGCTCAGTAGAACGAGCATTGACGCCCTCGTCGCCTGTAGCATGCAGGGCTTGCTGCGCCTCTGGCGGAGTCGTCGTGGATGCCGAACTATGATCGCCTCTTTCTCCCTTTTTCTTCACACACAACTTCGAGCCTGCTAAAGCCGCTCGAAAGGCCAATTGCTCAGCGTATAGATTCGAAAACTCCTCAGCATTTTGCACCTCTGAGCATGAGCAGGGCGCTGTGGACGACTGCGCCAGAGATGCTGCTGAGCCATCCTTTTCACTCTCGACGTTTTTGTTCATCGAGGCAGCTGCCATCGCTGCCCGAAGTGCAGACTGTTCCGCGTGTAGCCCTGAGCCAGACCATTGGTAACAAGTATCTGTCGCCGCCTGCATCACAGCACTTCGCTGGAGCTTAGCCTGAGCCTCTTTTCCCTCCGCTCTCTTCTTCTCCTCTTTTTCCTCCGCCCTTCTCGTCCGGGCCTGCACTGCTGCTGCTCTGAACAGGAAGTTAGCTTCTGACGCTCCCTCTCGCCCAGAAACTATTCCATCCGCCACGTCGCGCTGCTGCGGCTCCTGCGCCACCGGGAAGGACAACGACGGTACTGCAGGGCCTGCTCGTTCTCTTCCTCTGCCTGCGCCGCATCCTCCATCTACTCGCACGCCACCATCTTCTGGACACGCACTTGTCTGTTTTGATGTCTCCCGCTTCCGTTCCGACATCACGTGTTGCACCATGGGAGTCTCCATTCTGAAATGCGTGTTAGAGCTAAGGATCCAGTCGACTCATCCAGAAGCCCGTAACCATGTCCTGTAGTTCAGTTACCTTTTTACTTTTCCCTGGATGATCATATCATTTCCGCTTCTAGCCAAGATGTTGAAGCATTACAGAAGCACTTATTTCTAGTAGTCAGACTGAATCACAATAATGCTTAGTGGCCGTAACTGTCACGTTTATCCCTGCTGTGGTCGCCCCTAACGCCGCAGCCTTCGTGGCCTCCCTGCGCGTTCTCGAATCCTCTCGTTTCGCACAACGTACATCGGTTTCTGGAAGGGAGCTCGCCAAATGCGAAGAGGCTCCTCCAGCACCTAAGTGCGGCAAGGAACGAGTCCGCGCTCCCACTTCTTTGCCCTTTGAATCGGCCAGACCTACTCTAGGTTGGTGACTAGCGTGTTGAGACCCAATCGGAGTGCTACTCGGTGTGAATGTTAAATCCGTTGTTTTTCGTCGTTCGGCGCCATAATATTTCGAGGACCTACGCGACACGACTCCTTCTGTTGATACAAAGCTTCGCTCGGACTGTGGCGGTGCGGCCTCAGAAGGGGACGTCACCGCGCTCTTCTGATACAAAGCTTGCAGCACTCCCCGAGTGCCCGGCGTCACGGGTGCGCCGTCAACATTGTCTACATCGCCACTTCTAGCTACTCTGCGTCGGTCTTTGTGTTCCACCGCAGTTGCAGAACATGGAGGATCTCGTCCGGAGGCTCTCGTGTCATTGCTCGGCACAACTACAACAACATCGGGTGTAGCTACGTGATCCCTTATCCGCTGCTTGGACGCTAGAACACGCGCAGCCGCCGTAGCTGCGTCAGATCCTACTGCGCCGATGGTCGCACGGCGACGCACTAAGCCTCTGCCAAAGTTGGCAGACTGGCCTTCTTCACCATGCTGCCCTTTAGCGCCTTCCAACCCGTCGAGTCCAAGTTGACGTATCGACGATTTCACAACCGCCGCACCAGAAAGGTAGTCTGCTGCTGCGAGTATTCGGGTTGCGGCCGGAGCGCCGGTTGTTGTATTTTCCACTTGGCTTGCATTCCGAGCTAACTCCGCTGCTCGATGACAAAACTGCGCTGGCTGTGTCCGAGCCCGTCTTAGGCGACGCACGGTGGCGATATTCCCACGTAAAGGTGACCCTTCTTCATCGTCGGGATCCTCATGGTTGGAGGCAGATACACGTTTTGCACTCGCAGTCCAAATCGATCCAGCTCGTTGTTGCCCGTCGCAGTTGTTGAAAAGCAAAACCAGGAGCGCCACCCGATACACATGGGCCAAGTATCGTGGACTCGACCACGTATCATGACCCGCCGTGCATCGCATGTGTTCTTGAACGCACGAACCTAGCATCTTCTCTCTGCTATAGTTCTCAGTAGGTGCGCACACTCAAAAGTTCTACACAATCATCCTGCATGCGGCCCCGGACGTATTTCAAACGGCCCGCCTTTCCATAGCGAGCTTTTATTTCCACCGGAGCGCCGCTGGTGAACACGCCGAATGTTGCGGACTCGAGTCCTAGGACGCAAGCAGCAGACTGCACACTCGTACGAGTAAAAAACCTTCTACAGTCATTTTTCAGAAAATAAGTAAAATATGCGACTTGCTTCTAACGAGAATCGGCCCCTAGTGAAATATTCGCCTACAATCAAACAAACCATAAGTCTACCAAAACCATAAATCGAAACACTTCAACTATATCCTAGATAAACAAAACCACTCAGAGAAACGGTCAGTACAAGGAAGATGAAAACCCAAACTATGCTCACAAAGGAACATCAAGACCAATATGCGATAAATTTCGAAAATTACTGAAACTTTCAGTGACGACGCCATCGACGATCGCGTTCACATGAATCGACATCTTAAAATTCAAAAAACAAATTATCAGAATCGCTAGTTTTTTTACCGTGTTTTGTCGATGTCATGTGTGTATCCCGGACAGTACTGTTCCTAATAATAAGGGACTTTTTTTTTTGCGTTAGGACTATATGCCACCGCCCTTTCAATCAATTAATTAACCTATATAAGTTCCAAATTACATACTGGGGGCGCATAAGGCCGCACAATCGGCCACAATTCTACGAATATCGGAGGAGCCGCACATTCGGCCCCTGTAGAAAACCTAAAGCCCAACCCGACGCAGCGGGGCCCCATAAGCAAGTCAGCACACCTGCAGGGGTATGACACGCCGCAACACTGATGACTGATTTACTGATGAACCACCTAATAATAAGGGAATAATGTTTAAGAATGAGTTTGGCTTTCGGGCGGCCGACACTTGGCCGCAATTCACAGGATTAAAGCTGCAAAACTCGAGGACTTTAGAGGCTTTTCGCTGAGGGAGCAGGAATGACAATGAAAATCGACTGGAATGAGAATGACAAGACACGTCATTTATCGCATCCTGTGTTAGCAGCACAGGTGTGGCGCTGCTAAATGTCTTTCTACACCTTTTTTGTTTGTTTAGCACTCTTCTCCGCCGTAGCACCTGTACCAGACTATTCCAACGCCCCCGCCGTCTTCGTTGCAACAGTTTGTGATGCTGATCAGCTGGTCGCCATGGAGCCCTTGCGCAAAACGAACGCTTTCTTCGTTGAATTTTGCCCAGCCTTTCCAATTTCCGTTTTGGAGGTGAAACTTCAGCGACGCCGGAGTTACTACCAAATCGGAGGTGCCATCCATCTCATTTTGCCTCAAAAACGCGGCCAGTTTTGCAGACCCGTCGGGTCCGTTGTTGTAGGCGGTTATTGCGGCGATTTGCGAAACACGCACTTTATTTCCGGCCAGCTCTTCGACAAGCTGCTCTGCCGCTCCTTGCCAGGTGCTTGCTTCTACAACCTGGAAAGACGCTAACACCCGTCTGTCACTCAGACATATTTTTCCTGAGAAACTAGAATGGTCCCGTGTTGCACTTCCAGATATTGCGACTGACTTCGTATCTGCTGCAAAAGCACTACTCTTTTCCCTGTGCAACGCCAGTGCAGCAAACGACGTCAGTACGATTCCGATCATTATCCACATTTGGAGCATTGTAAGTCCGTAGTGCAGAAGCGGCTCTCCCTTCGCCGCCACGACACCGGTACAAAAGATCATCGCCACAAGAGCCATCAACACTACACTCTCGACCGCAGACACCGCGTCGCCAGCTGCGGCGTGCATCAACTTACTAGCGAAGCAGGCGCTGCAGCCCAGCAACGCGCTGCTTCTCTCCATGCTCTGACCAAGGTCGCGGGCCCCCTGCGATAGCGCGGAGGAAGACTCGCAAGCACTGTCGGCTAACACGTTAACTGCCCTCAAGTGATTCTCGGAGGCGCGCTCGTGACTCAGAGCGAGAGTCTCAGCAGGCCTGCTGAGGAGGTTACCCATTTTGGAGAAATTTAACTTTTTGCTTTTTCGAATTCACCTTTGTTTGTTCATGTCAGCCAACAGTCCAAGCAAATCCCAATCGCAGAGAAAAGGCAGTCAAATAAACAACAATCAAGAGTCAAAAGATCTCATACTCATTGGAGGTAACAGCCAGAGATTAATCAAAACAACTACTCATGATTAACACGCATCGTAATACTATCCACATGCCCATCAGCCTAACGCAGTACCCAGATGATAATTTCGAACACTAATCATCAAGCATCAGTTTTTTTAAAGCCATAATGGCTAGTACAGCCGATCGATACTCGCATGAGAACCTGCCAGGATCGTCTAGTCTCGTCTGAACACCATTCAATGCTCCATAAAACATCGGCGGCTAAGAAAAACACGTTGCTTCCTCAGGAGGAACCTTGCCATTGTACAAGCGGCAATATGGACTGATCAACGTCCAGTAGAAGACTGGCACTCGATCGTCAAGTAGAAGAGGTGCACTTGGAAAAATCATCTTCCCACTAGCATGATCGTGGAGTTGTTCCGTTGTATCAACATGGTCAACAACATGGTGCTCTCCATACCTAGAGTGAGCACATCGTGTGCGTGAAATAAGTGTTTGTACCAACATGATGTGGTGGGGATTCCTTGTTGAAAAAGAATGGATGCCTTTTTCGTGGAAGTGATTTTTGCATCATAGTAGCGCTCTTTGCAGGAATCTTTGGATTTGGAAGCAGTGGTTGATAAAGCTCGACAAGCCCTGCCAATCAATTTTGTGCGATGATGCACTTATTCTGCAAATTTGAGTATTCCCGAGACGACAAACGATCTTGTGGAGTGCACGTGGCGCCTACTTCAGTGCTTTACTTACCACCATTAGATAATCTACCTAGGAAAATCACAAAAACGAAGGTGAAGATGATACTCTTAGAAGGTATTATAGCAACATTCCGGAGCGAAGCAAGAAAAACAACCATACTTACACCGGGAAACTGTAGCAAGGAAGGGCCATGCTGACGCGTGTCTCGTGTGTCCTATGTAATCCATCTCGTGTGGAAAATGATGTCGAAGTCGACAACCCAGAACAATTAGAAACAGCTCATCCGTTCAGCTTCGGTAAGAACCTGACAACCTTTCTTACACAAATGATTCATCTATCCTGCAATTTTAAGTGCCTACTACGCGAAGGGGAAAAATAAATGCAGTACTGTATCTATGTTCAGGAAAAAAAATGCGACACATCAAAAGGCGAGAAATTAACAATATCAATCATGAATACAAGCTAAGAACAAACAATGTGGCTCCAATCCAGGCGAAGATCACACAAATTAGTCTCAGTCGTTTTTCAGGTGCAGGAACAACGCGGACGAAGGAACAATTGACGACTATGAAAAACTATAACTAGTACCGAAGAGGAGTCGCAGCGGGGAAATAAATATGGAATAGCCGAACAAGAAGAGCTCACTAGGGGATGCCTATTAAACATCGATGCGTTCCAAAAATTCAGAAGACTGACACATCAACAGGCGTCGGCGAAAAAGAAGGGCCATGTGAACGAGGGAGTGAGCGGAAAGAAAAGAACAATGGAAAATCGCGATTCACCATTATTCGTCAATCAAGCATTAGCATTTAGTGCAACGCGCAGCATTTCCCAACGAGGATAGGACAGACCCCTCCCTACATGATATCGCAATACAAGACAACATTTTTGAAATGATAGTCATTAAACAACATAGTCGCCGCATGAAAAACAACTATGCAATACATTGCAACTAAGATCAAAAAAATAGCACCCGCAATGCTTCTCCTCAAGCACGTCGATTCTTCTCCCAAAGAAAAAACAAGTAGCATCACCTTTGGCCCATCTTTGCAACAAGAATTTATATCAACCGAACGAGCAAGCCCAACAGCAGCGTGATCAGAGTATAGCGGAAGCTGGTTAGCTGCACGAAGTAGGAGTAAAATCTGGAACTTACGAAAAAATCGGCAAGGGACTTCTTCGCGCCATCCCACAAACTTTGTTTGATGAGTTCGTATTTCCACTCGCTGTACTCAAATCGCCCGCGCTCGTCCCCGCACGACTTCGTCTTAGAGAAAGGAAGTTCACTAGAGGAATTCGCGATGTTGCACACGAAGGCGCTGATCTAACATGCGTTGATACACTACTTGTCGAAAATAAATCAACATGTGGTTGTAGTTGGAAGTGATTGATCTAAGTACAACAACCAGACATGGCACTGAAGATTGATAGAGTGAGCAGTAGTGAAGTAGTATCACGGTGACAACACGAAAATCAGACCAAACTACAACTACTTATATACGACTCAGGGCCGGACGGCCCCCCCCCTCCCCCCCTCCCTGCGGTCTGGTCTGTGGTGGCGCGCGCGCGCGCTTTTCCGCGCGGATTTCCCGCGGATTCTAGTGGGGGAAGGCGTCAAAACTGGGCGCGGGCCTCCCCTTGGGCCTCTCAGCGTGTTCCTAAGGGACCTCCTGGCCTCTGCTGACCCTCGCAGGCGGGAGGCCTCCGGGGTAAAAGGCCGCCGGAGGCGGCCACGGTCGCAAGAGCAAGCAAGCCGATGACCAAGGGCCCGAAGGGTACAGGCGGCACAGCTCAGGGGGTCCAGCCCCTCGCCTTTTGCCGTCTTCGGAGGCCCTCCGCTGCCGGCGCACTGCTGCCGCGGCGAAGCCTAACGGATGCACTTAGGGCACAGGCAGGCACCTGGACGGGGGCGCAGGCGGTCCCTTGGGCCCCTTTTGAAGCCTCCCACCACCATCGGAGGCCCCTAGGGAACAGCCAGGCAGCTGGAAGGGAGCGGAGGGGGGAGGCCACTAGGCCCCCTTTTGAGGCCTTCTCCCCCCGGCAGACGCCTGAAAAAGGGGCCCAGGGCGCCCGGCCCCCCCCGCTAGGGGGGGGCGTCGCCCCGCGCCTTGGAACATATATAACATATAAATATAATCAGCCCAACAAGTGGCCATAGTAAAGAGGTGATTGAAGACGCCCTCCAGCACGTGACAGCTGAGGTACATGTTCCGCTGCGGATAGTCACATCCTATCTGCTGCAAGAGCCCACCATGTTCGTCGAAAATACGGTTGATCCAATCCGATTCGACAACCACATTCAGCACGTCGTGATGCACGAAATCGTAGGCCTTTGCGTCTCCTTTTATGTGCTGAAACTTCGCAATTGAGTGGTAGATACCCGGCGGCTGAAACGCCACTACTGGGGACCGATTGAGAAACCCAAGAATGGACGCGATTCCGCCACCCATCGAGTGACCTACAAAAACTACTTTTTCGTGACTAGTACCTCCTGTATTTTTAGAGCGACTGGTCGTGCTCTTGCTTGTTCCGTCCGAGTCAGTGTCTTTGTTTGCTTTCATGCCTCTCCCACTAGTTTTAGTCGATCTTTTGCTAGACGACAATCTGCTCCACCAAGAACTCCGTTGTTCCTCCACTTGCTCTTCCTCCTGCAAGATTTCGGTATCGGAAGTACCTCTAGCATCTTCTTCAGTGCTAGTATCAACACCACTACTAGTACTATTTTGATCGCTGCCTCGGAAAAAGCGGCTGCTTGGGTTGTAGCGTTTCAGCAGGTCGTCAAAAGCCCAAGTGGACTCCCGCAACCCTAAACGACCCAAGAATTCGTGCTGGGCTCGTATCACCATTTCGGTGGTGCTCTTTGGCCACACGCGGATCGTGGGAAAGACATTGGCCAATAAGGTAACCAAGACTGTGTCTCGCCAAATGCGTAAATCCTCGAAATAGTATGACAGGAAAAAGTCAGCTCATAGTCAAAGCTACTCAAGAAAAGGGGCAGCTTCCTACTTAGAAAAAAGGACCTAGAAGCTTCTTGAGGATCGATGAGTTCACTTTTTCCTTTCGTAAATAGTCCAACAGCTTCAGTGGATCGGTGCCTTTGATAGCCACCAGAGTCTGTTCGAGTTCTGGAAAATAGATCTCGACCCACGACGCGCTCCTTGTCTTCGCAAAGGCGTGGAATCGAATCTGCGGTCGCAACCCTGCGCGTTTTCCGGTATACCACTGTGGCGGGAAGGCAACGTCCAAAAACTCTTGCCGCGCTTCTGCGGTGTCCATGTAGGCCGACTGGGCTACCAATGAGTGATTTAGACACTCGTTAATCAAATCCATCTATCTTGAAAAGCATCTCCGTGCAACTTTAAAGAAATCCTCTACAAGATGCTTTTGACTCTCAGGATGATTTTGAAGATGGATCGATTCACATTGTTGGAGTCTTAAGTAGTCCAAAAGCGAAAGACCGTGAAAGAGCTGGCCGCAAGTGGCATATCGCGGCACCGCCCAAAAGGGATTTTGAGAACGGAATTCGTTTTCTGGTTCGGGATTTGAATTTTCTTCTGACATCGCTGACGCTATCGAAGGTGCGGAAGCCATGCTGGTTTCTCCAGCATGGTCTGACCGTAGTGCAGCGAGGTTGTTCTTGCTCAACATTAACGGAGACATGTCAAGAGCAGAGAACTTCTGCTCGTTTCCAGTGCCCCTAAAACCACCAGTGAGTCCCGTTTGATTGCGTAGTTTTACCTGCAGCTGCGAAACAACATGATCCACTATGAGATACTTGGAATCCTCTGCGCTTTTTTCATCCTCCGAATGGTAGGCAAAGGGTATTGATCTCTGTTCAGAAACTTTGGCCCCGATGATGCTCGGATAAAAGCTGTACATCCGCTGCATTTCTCCCAAGAAAGCCAACATAGTACACATCGCCAGATAACATGCGGCGATCACAATCAGAACCTTGCCGTAGCCGTCAACGATGTATTGCATCGTCGCACTGCGACGCTGCCTCATTGGATTCAAAGGGCTCTCTGGTCCTGGAGTCACCGAAGAAGTCGATCCTCTTCTACTAAGAGTACTATTACCTCCTCCATTGGTGGAAGACAGCTTTGCAGTCGAGCGCGTCTTGTCTAAGTCTTTCCCCGAGGATGCGCGTTGCGTCAGTTTGCTGCTGCCATTCGTGTTGAGTAATGTATTTCGAACGCCCACCAGCCCGTCTGCGACCAGTTCGTCTCGCTCGGGCGACTGCTTAGGCGAGTTGTCGGAACTCGAAGCGAGGTTGTCCCGAAAAGGTTGCAGGGCCGAACCAATGGCAAACACTGGGGAGCCGGCCTTCTGAATGGTAAAGCCAGTGAGCGGCGAAGACACCGGAGGCAAAACGGGACTCGCAACGACCGGTGAACTGCTCTGGGGAAACTGATCGTCCAAACGCGAAACAACGCGAGAGGGGAAGTTGCTACTCTCGTCGCCGCTGCTCCCGACGTCGCCAGCGTTGCCACTGCCGGGCGCGCCGCCAAAACGACGTCTCAAGTTCGAGGAAGACCCACCTCCAGAAAGCTTTTTTCGAATGAGAGCAGCCGACTTCGTCTCCATGATCTTCTGGCCGTCTTCTGCGAATTTTTTCGGTGGCAGCAATATTGTCGACGTGCTGCTACTACTCTGTTCCCCTTTCCCCTGCTGCTGCCATGTCGTGTATGGCCACCAAGAAGCGGCCTTGTTGTGATAGATGTAATAGAGAACTCTCGCTTGGAGACGGAGCACCTGCCGGCAACAGTGAGCGCTCAGTAGCGCCACAGGAATCCAGTCCTGAATGTGCACCACATGGTAGCATATCCAGTACGCGAGAAGACCCGCCAACAGCATCGCGCCAACGCTTGCGGCGCTCTGTTTCGTGCTAGCGCGGCGAAAGGCCACGACCAAAACGAAAGTAACCGTCCAGATTAGCAGCAGCAAAAGCGGATAAAAAAGTGCTACGACGAGGGAATCGGTCACCGCGTGTTTGAACCCCAGGTTCCGACTGAAAAAGGCGCCACGCAAGAAGTGCAAACCCATAGGTATGATGAAGTTGAACTTGAAGAGCGCGATGTGCTTCCGCCACATATCATCGTCCGAGAACCGCTCTGCGTCGAACCCGGTAAGCAACAAGGCCTTCTTGTCACTGAACAAAGCCAGCAGTGAAACCAGCATCCAGAGTATGTAGAGGGTCACTAGAGACGCGTCCCAGACGTGGTGCGGAAACAAATTAAAAAAAACCGTATACCCTGCTGCTTTATTAGTCCCCACCGGAAAAAGAATCCACTCAACCAGCCGCACTCCCCCCGCCGCCGCTAGAAGCGAGTAGCTGCTGAAAAGCGCGGTGGAATAGCGCGTCGTTGCCAATGCGGTGAAAAGATTGGGGAACATCATCAAATACTGTGCGGCCCACTGCAGCAGCGAAAGGAAAATGAGGAAGCGAAAGCAGCGATTGAGCCGCCCCGTCGGTTGTGCGACCGTTTCAGAAAGCCATCCCGAAGACGCGCCAGGAGCGCCGGGGAAAGACGGGACAGGCGGCCCGTCCAAGCCGTCGTCTACCCATTGCCGTGAGAGCCTCTGCAGTTCGTACACCCAACTTGTGAAGGCCAGCCACGAGGACAAGACGAACAACCCGATTAGCGGTAGAAACAAGAGAGCTCGTCGACCCCTTTGGCGCCGCCTCGCTAGTTTCATCTCTTCTGGGCTCTTACTCTGACGAGCAGATGGGGGCTCTGCGTCTGCTGACCCAGGGCCAAAAGCGCTGTCTCGAACCTGTCGCGCCCCAGGAGATGGGAGCACTTCTTCCCGCAGACTACTCAACAGAGAGACATTACTAGGGAGTCTCTCTTGTTGCTGACCAAGTGGAGCGCCCGGCGACGGTTCCTCGACATGTGCAAGACGAAACTCCGGAACTTTTAGGACCTTGTTGAAGCCGGTTGCCGCGTCGAACGGCGTTCGTGGGGACCCCACGACGGTTCTGCCATTAGCCTTGTCTCGAGGACTAAGCATATCACGAGGACTATCGTCTCTATCGTCAGAGTTCAACGCCTTCCCCTTGTCTTCACCGTGGTGCACGCTCACGCCTCGGGTTGTCCGGCTATCATTGGCCCTCATCTCTGCACTGACTGTAGGCGGCGTCGGTGGCGATCGACTAACCACCCGGCTTGAGACCGCACTGCTTTCGTCGAGTCCATAGGGTTTACGGTCCCCACCGCTTTCGTCGGCCCCGCTTCCGTACTGCGACGAAGGACTCGCATAGCCGCGGTTTGAACGTTTCCGCGCTGTCCGGGACCGCCTGTACATGATCTTCACCTCGTACCTCTCCGACAGCTCTTGCATGGAGAGCGACACCGTCTTCCGCACTGTCGGAAAGTAGGCAAAGGACTCCCATGATATGGAGTATAAACCGTATCCGACGAGCAGGAGCATTCGCGTGCACGCGTAGTACACGTAAAACGAGAGGCATATGCTGATCCAGTCGACAAACGTGTACGCTGTTGCAGGTGAGATGGAATCTTGCCAATGATCACGCATCTCGTGTCCGTTGGTTTCGGACTCTAGACTCAAGAATTTATGGGAAATCCTGCTAGCTGATTCCACTGGGCAATGAAACTTTCACACTGCAACACTTCCTTGACACCAAGTAGAGCGCATACAACTTAAACAACAATAATTAAACTCTTTTATACATTATACTACATACGACTACGGTAAAAGGAAAAATAATGTGAAAGTAACATTCAACAAAGGTACATTCGATTTCCGCTGCGGTTTCTTGCGCGCGCGAAGAAATCACTGCCTCCGGCTTCTGGAGCAGGCACGTCCCATTGCCTTCTTTGAAACATCTAGCGATAGTTTGCAAAAGCACCGAAAGCCACGTCAATCCCAGGGAAAACGTCAAGCCAACAGCCTGTGCGAAAGTGTAGAGAAAGCTCAAAGACAATAGCGAACTGGCGTGCGGCACGTGATCCACGATGTAGAGCGGTCCAGAGACGAGCAAGCTGCGCAGAATGAATTCGAAATTTTGCCCAAACCACACCGTGCGATTACACCCGCGCTCGTAAAACCTAGCTCCGACAGCGGCACCGAAGGACCGACTCTTCGCTAACAGAGAAGCTTGTTCTCCAACAGGTTCTTGTTCGTCAATGTCGTCATCGTCGTCGTACAAATCTCGCAGCCGCGCCTGTCTCAGACAAAACTCCACGAACTCACGCATCTTGTTGTCGTCTTTTTCCGAAGGCGTCTAAGACAAGGAAATAGTTGTCAAAAGAGTCGAACACATGTAGGTGTCCAACATCATGTTGAAGAACCACCACTCATGTGACTGAGTGCAACGCTACAACGGACTTTTTCCAACCGAAAGCAGAAAACCCATAAGAATCTCTACTTTAGATTGAATATTCTCCTGTCTTTTAAGTCCTCATCTCTGAATCACATACGAGTTCCCCATCATGGCGAACAAAGGCATAACATGCAACTTGATGATTATCACATCGTAAATGCAACAAAGATCCTCGAATAAGTAGTGCGCTACCGTCTGAAAACTGCGACGGGAAGAGAATAAAGGTGTTTCAGCTTACTGCTAGCACTGGGTCAACCCTAGATGTAACTTCTCGAAGGTTTGCCGCTGCAAAATTATCTACGCAGCTGCAAGCAAAACATAAAATATAGATTCAACGAAAGCGGAAAAATGCGCGATAGATACAAGAATCCAAGAAAGTGTATATATTCATATATGGGGTTACGATGAAACAAAGCTTTTCACATGTAGAGGATGATATGCGAAAGAAAAGGTTGACAATCAAAGAAGAAGTGCAGCTTTCATATGTGGGGTTCTTTGGGGAGGACGCCATGTGTTGACTCATTATTCATTCAAGATGCTTTCTGGTGTAAGCTAAGTAGATCTCCGAGGGGTTGTGCAAAAACGACATAAAATCGCTCGTCTGCTTGCCATGTGATCATACAGACTTTTTTGATCTATAGACAGCCTTCAAAATATTTTCCCTGAATCCTCGAAGGCAAACACACAGAGTTTTCTCGAACAAGTGACGCAGCTGCGTAGGACGAAAGGAGCGTAAGTATACAGAGTAGCATATTTGTGGTCAGCTATACGGTCGTTGACACTTCTCGTTCATGAATTCAAAGATTTCTTGTGTCTCCAAGCTAGAAATAATACCGAAAATTGAAATTCTTGGTTGAGAACGATAGCGAGAATTAAAACCAATGGTATCTGTTTCTGTGATTTGATCCTGTGCAACATAGCCGTGCGCCCACCGCGAGGACTAGTACTACTCATTGGAGTTCTGAGCCTGTCTAGGATAAATATAGGGTATGATATCAGAGATATCCTAATAGCCGTCTAGAAAAATAAAGACAAGCCGCCAGAAGAAGCAAGTGTGAGGGTCGATCGGTATATGAAATCAACATCTACGTATTCATTTCTCGTAGCAGATGGCCAGGCATCATATGTAATATTATGTTCGATGTATCCCTAACTATGCAAGCGTTCTGTTCATATAACCGCTCACCCGATACGCACGACTACTTCATGTTGTGTTTATTCACCCGCTCAACCGCGGGTAAGGTCTAAAATCGTCTTCTCATGCTGTGGGAAGCGCTCCAGGAGAGCGACTCTGTCCAAAATTTCAAAATCCGCAAATTCGAAACCGGGGCAAACTGTGCAGCCTACTAAAGCCCAGGATGTTCTATCACTACTGGCATTACTCGTAGAGCACGCTAGTACGCGACTTCCAAAAATTTTTCCTGCTTTTACCACATATTGGGGAGTCTCGCCAGCGAGCACGTTCTTGCCCAGACGGGTGATGGTCAGCTTGCCGTCTTCAGGATCGATCTCAACGACCTCAAGCGTTGCCCCGCCATAGTGGTGCCAGACCTCATCGTTACCACCTTTCAGAACATGCAGATGCGAACGATCATCACGGTCGAGCAAAGAAAATTAGACGAGACAAGTAAATGCTGAAGACTGGTGATGCTATCGTGTATCTCGCTCCTTTGAAGATTCCATTAATCTTCACGAGTACTTGCTTACAACTTAGATTTACCTACTTCGTCATAAAAGGAAATAGCAGTGCCGCAGACCTGGCCCCCGTTACTCAGTCCGACTTCGCTTCTCCAGGTTTCCTTGAAAAAACCACCCTCAGGATGAGGCTGCAACTGCAAATAATGAACAAGGTCCTCCTTAGTCATGTCCTCAAGTGCACTTGTGGAATCCGCACCCAAAGCAGACCCACCCATTTTCGTCTTGAAAGATCCAAAGTTAATAAGTTTTGGCTAAAGCTGACACTAAGAGAGGTGAAGAGTAGAAGCCGGCTATTTTCTTTATGTGCTTGGAGCGTCGCTGGACCTAGGGCTAAACCTTATCAAGATGTAAAAGCGAACCTAGATTTGCAGCACGCTTCGACATACAACAGAGAAAAAAAATTTGAACAAACCTGTTATGGAATCAGGCTAATCATTCAGGGTTTTTTGCAAGTAATCGTTTAGTCATTTCATCACGTAATGATCTCAAATTTTCTCCGCCAGCGGAGGGTCTCTACAGATATGTACGATATTGACAGAAAGAGCCACAAGGAAGATCATGACTCGTGCTCCTCAAACACACCAGGAGGACACATGACTGGAGGGATCGGACAAAAACACCGTTTCATCTCGTAACAGCTCCACCTCGGTCAAATGTACCTCAATCTTCGAAATCACTGCTCCACCGACCGATTGTTTAAAAAGCGGAATACAAGATTTTGCACTTCTAGACGCAGATCACTTTGAATGGCAACTGTAAACGAGAAAAACACATCAAGATCCTCGCTGAAGACGTGGGTCGCCCTCTCCGTGTTAGAACGGATGCAGTTCGATGCGCGCATCAAATCGCATGAAGATAAATGACGAAACGGACCAGGCACGACACAAGTGGCCTCACTCTATTTGGGGTCATGGTAAAAGCATCGGTTTATCTGGGTCTATGATCAGGATGGACGAATCAGGGATCGCATGACCAGCACACGTGTCATTGTCGTTGCTAGGTCATTGGGTACTTTTCCGAACCCAAAACACAGATCGCAAAGACTAGAAAATCGCGAAGTCTAGAAAAATTTCACATGATCTAACCAAGGCAAGCGAGCCAAGCACATAAACGTCCAAGATGATCGTCCCACACAGAAGTTTTCCCAGCCAACACGAGATTTTAGATACGCCATTACATGCGCCAGTTCCTTTTTTGCAGACCAGCCGCCTGAAGTTTCTGCACATGCAGAAACTGATCTGCCCATATCGGTCGCGCCGCCTTGTCCGGCTGCCTGTTTGCTTGCGCTCGACTATGGTTCACCGAGTATGAAAGAGGAAGTCAACAATATTATGAGGGGAAATAGTAACTGGAAAACTAAATCAAAGGACTGACCACCAAAACGTAGATTAGTCAAATATCCTTTACACTGAATATGTCGATAGCAGCTATGAGCCGCACTAACTTTAGCATTATGACGTATAACATAATCAATCTTCTGTACTAGCATTCAGTCAATCATTGAGCCTGTTCTACCTTTGTTGTGTCATATTAGATCTCCTAAAAAAAATTCTAGTTTGACAACTACGGTAGATGTCATGAATGCCTTGGCCTTGCGTAAAAAATCAAACAAATTCATAATGTTAGTGTCCTCCCGAAGCACTCCGACTCGTGCATGTTGTCTATCGCGGCTTTTGCATCCTCTTCCTCCTCGAATTCAACGAAGCCAAAGCCTCTATGCTTAGAACTCTTGCTGTCCTTGTTGGCTGTAGGTATCTTACACTCCCTTATTTCGCCAAATGGCGCGAAAGCAGCGCGTAAGGCCTCCTCCGTCATCTCCTCGGCCAGGCCGCCAACGTAGCATATCCTTTGCTCAACCATTTTTATTTGTCTCTCGCTTCCTTGTACGAAGACACGAAAAGAAGAAAAGAGGGAAATACAAGAGTTTAGATTAACGTCATCTAGAACCAACTAATGTTGTATATATTAGTCTTTAATGATTCTCATTAGACCGTCACCATGTACTCACACCAGATAAGTATAATCTACCAGAATCCCGATCCGCTTAGGGTTAATATCGCCGCAATCAATCAATTTGGATCAAGAAACCTGTCGGTGATGATGAAAATAAGAAGGGAAATTATTGAATGACTACTTTCTTCTTAGTTGTATCTTCGACTAACATACGACTACTTATAGTTGCTTACTGGAACAGGGGATCAACCTTGCGATGCCTGTTTCATATTCCTCCATTGTTGAGACTGGATTTCCATTTTTTCTCGTGCAGATTTACTGGAACAAGTGGTACACAGGATTCCCATTCGCCATTGTGAATAAATGATTTCGACAGCTTCATGGAGTTTTTTTATCACGACGACTTGACGACGAGGAATAGTAGTTCATTGTGAATTTATTCCAACCTCAACATTACAATTCATCTGAACCAATTTCACTGAATGAGTCTAAGGATATAACAATCGCTAAAAGCATTAACGGCAACAAGTGCACAATCGCTGCTACCACATAATCAGCCCACGATTCTCCGTGACCTCGCCATGTGTAGGCAGGGACAACGTCAGAAGCCTTTGTCATAGTAGGCAGGAACAACGTCAGAAGCCGAGGGTAGGCAGGAACGAGGGAACTTTTCTCATCACAGTGTATCGACTACTTATGCTCGTCATTTTTCGAGGTAGTCTAAAGGAACTACAAGATCTACTCGCGAATCATATTCTACGAAGATCGCAGGCTTCTCTCGAATCATCTAGACCTACCAGTTCCTCCATCAAGCTTAATTTCAGGAAGCTCCATCATGAACTAGTTCCCCGTTGCAGATTGGTCACATTGACATTTTCATAGTCTCGTCAGAAAAGTGATTATTTAATTATCTGAAAAAAGATCACACCTGTAAAACTGTGACTTTGATAATATTGCAGTAAATGAACACACAGTCCGCTTTTCGCGAGCCCGCCGCTGCACCCTAGGTCTTCATGTTCTTGATGATCTCTTAATGTACGAACTCAGTTCGTTGAGTGGAGTCGTCAGATTTCTGTTCAATGTTCGAATCCCTTCGTTCTTTTAGAAAAAAACTAATTTAATACTTGTCATTTTGATCCTGTTCATTCAATTCCATCACATCTTCTCTTGTTCGTTTACTGGGTGGGGCGAGAAAACTTCTTATAAAGATGGGGAAAGAAGTTTAAATTTAGCTACCAAATAATTCGTCCATGAGTTGAGAGGTTTCGTCTGGCGGGGGCGCAGGTGGTGCATTAAAGTTGTTATTCGCATTGCCAGCGCCAAGGCGAGCAGCACCTGGGAGCGAAATACGCGGTTTGCTCGCGCCCCGTTGCCTGTGCGCACCACGCGGCGGCTCGTTGGCGTCGAGGTCGTTGAATGCATTTGCGCCGAGTGCCGGAACTGGAGCACCAAACGAGAAGTCGGCGGGCCGATCAGCTAGACTCCTGATCTGGCCATTGATGCCGTCACCGGCAGCTGCGTTTTCGAGTGCCAGTGCAGAATCGCCAGCAGGAAGAGCCGGCGCAACCCAATGCTGGCTCTCGTCTATTTTCTTCCCCGTCTGGACCTCAAAAAAGGTGCGGGAGTCGGTGCGATCGTTGAAGGCGTCGTTCATCTTCTCTCCGTTTTTCTTCATCTCCTGGTTGTACTTGGATTTGATCTGCGCCGCGTTCCGTGAGGGAAACACGGAACCTATAAGAACCAAATCGAACCCGAAAGCCCTCACCGCGTTGTAAAACCTCTCAGTCTCTTCTTCGGACCACCGCATCGACCGCGCATTCACACCCCTATTACTCTTCTTGTTACCCGAAGTAGGAATCAATGCGGCACCCTGTTGTAGTTTATGGAATTGGAATATAATAGCTACAAGGATTAAAAAATAGGATTACTTTCGTTTTCATTTACTGGATTAATGAATTATTTGCAATCAACAGGCATCTTGGTGACCCTGATCCTCTTTTTCAGTCATAAAAATTCAAAAATTCGTCACAAGCACAACATCTACGTGTAATCCACCTGTCAAGGTAAAGCAGGTATAAATGAAAATACTAGTACCGCTCTGTGGAGGTCCATTTGATTGTCCTGCTGGATGGCATCGTCAAGAATGATATTCCCATCTTCGTCAAGCCTCACCTGAGGCGCTTGGCCAGATTCATCACCATCCACAGCGCTGCCCAAGGCAGGTGGATTTAGCATCGCAAGTTGGTCTCTCCTCGCCGCGGGCCTGGAGATGAAAGATTTTGTCATGATCCGATTTGGGCAGTAAGAGGCACATGCCATCATATCTAGGAAGATACGAGTCATAGCAATTTACATTTAAGTATCTTCTCAGGCATAACATTTGAGCAAAGTATTACAATTTCTCTGGTGCTTGAGAAGCACACCTCGAGTAGAAAGAATATCAATAATATGTTGTACCCGGATCCCTCACTCGAATCCTGCATTCCAATACCGTCAGAGCCACCGAGGAGCGCATCGAAGTCTGCTGCTGCATCTGGTTCCTTCGCGTTCGAACCCTTTTCAGCGTCGCCCGATTCTTCTCCTTGCTTTTTCTGACCTGCTAACAAGATCAGGGAGAACAGCCCGTCTTCCTTCACACCATGCGCTACATTCAACTCTTCTTCGTACCTGGAGTCATTTCATTTAAGTATGTTTGTAAAAGAACAGATTAAGCATTCATTTATGTGAATTGAATTTGAAGTTCATGAAAATAGTGGTGGAGCCCTAACTAGGAAAAAAGCTGTTTCTGCTTTAATAGATAGTTGTACCTTGTTTTGTCTTGTCTCGCAAGTTCCTCGTATCTCTCTTTATCTGTGCACACGGTCCAAGCTGCTTGCTCGTTGTCCACGCAATTTTCCTCCACGAAGAGTTCAAAGGCGGTTTTCGGTTTTTGGACGGTGTTTGAGATGCTCGAGTGCAACGAGAAGCTGTTGCCGGTAGCAGTATTTTTCAGGTGCTCTTCGCGCTGGGCTTGTAGTGGCAAAGACTCATCCATCTGTCCAGCCCATGGCTTTTCGACGCCTCTCGGATCTACTATGGCAAGCGCATTTTCGTTCCCAACAGTATCAGCTTGATCTCCTCCCTTCCGTCGCCGCCTGCTCGAGGTGGAAGAAGCCCCTCCACCTGCGACGAAATCGTCTTCCGCTCCACCACTGCTGGCAGGACGTTTCATCACATTTTTGCCACTCGTAGAACTAGAAGCTCCACTTCCAGCTGCACCAGCTTTAGGAGGAACACGTTTTTTGTGCCCACCTCCACGACCACTGCTTGTGGCTCCTCCAGCAGCAGCCTTGCTATTTCTCTTCTGGCCATTTCCAGTAGCAACTACTGCATTTTCTTTTCCTGCTGGAGGACGTGCGCCAGCTCCTGCAGTGCTAGAGGAGGATCCCCCACTTGTAAAGGAACCCGTCAACAGAGGGGGTGCTTGTCCGCTCGTTGTTCCATTCTGCTCCTGTTCTCCTTCACCATTAGGTGGAGCGGCGAAAAGCGCAGCAGTGTCTGCGAGATCCTCCTCGTCGGGCTCGCAGCCCTCGAAGAATGCGGCCAGCTCGTCCTCTGGTCCATCCTCTGGTGCTAACAGGTCGTCTTCCATCTTGTTGATGCTATTCTTTTATGATTTTAGATACAGACTCCTGGGCCACTAAAAGAACTATAGCAATAGCAAGTTCACTACGCTATTGTACTCAAGGAAGAGGAAAAGTCGTCTCCATACTGGTGAGTACTATCACTCATGAATAGTTGTTCATCTCTGGATTTATTTGGAAAACAGGCTCTATTTTCAGGGAGAAGTCCTTGATTGTATCATTGTCTCATCCCAGTTGCGCGGAACAATCAATGATGTGATGAGATCGCTAAGGCAAGAGAACGTCTATCCAAACGATCTTGTTGATCTTGTTGACCCTGCAGCACCTACTCTGATCGTTGATCTCTTGGCTTCTATGTCTGCCTCACAATGTTGATCTTGAAATAATCTCTTGTTTTCTTATTGTCAAAAGCTCCAAGCAGCAGCAAAGACTGAAGGATGGACTGAAGGACATTTTTTAAAGCGACGGACTGCCCGTCTTGAAATATCGCAATATCCTTCTTTGCAGGTACCTATTCAATACTTTTGTGGCCTGCGTTTTGATCCAGGGTCTTGAGCTTGGTGAACACGTGAGCAACAACGGCCTTGAACCTTGTTCCCCAATGCAAAGCAGTCCAGTTAATGGAATGCAGCTTCTATTATATATTTTCATTGTGTGTGGTCATCAGTTGTATGTTCACTATGTATTAAGAAAATGCTTTCCATTACCTATCAATCGATCAGGGGGCGAAGCGCGGTAGCCCGAGACGTGCGGACGTGTTTTTTTTTTCCATAGGACTATATGCTACCGCCCTTTTAATCAATTATACTAATCTAGCATAATATTGTGGCGGAGCCGACCTAACTAGAAAAAAGAAAGACCAGAGGACGATAGAAAAGAGAAAAGGGTAAGTATCAACCAGTATCCTGAAGCCTCCTGCTATCTGCTAAAACTAATTAAGCCCCGGCGCTATCGTCGTCCTGTCAGCCCCATAGGCCTCACCTCCAAAGGCAGGCCGGAGCCCTGCGCAACGCCTCCGGTGAGTGCTCAGCTCTCTGGTTGTGTGCACAGGTTTATTCGCTATGGGGTACCGGTTCACCAAATAAACCCACAAACAGAGAAAAGGTAATAATGAAGCCTGGCTGAAGACAGAAAATACTTGCAAGTCTTCACCTCAGAATAAGAACAGCAACCTGTCTAGAGCTTAGAGCGGCCAGCAGCAGCGAAAGCTCCAGGGTCGGCAACCTGTGCGCTACGGACGGCATCCTTGTTGCGAGTAGAAGCGTCTTGGGCGTTTGCTTGGTCGTCGATGCACTTTCGTAGGGCGGATAGGCACGCGGCGACGGCACGGGCGCTCGAGTTGTAGCCCATAAAGCCGATGCGCCAGTACTTACCCGCAAACTGGCCGAGCGCAGCGCCGATTTCAATCTCGAATTCCTCGCGCATCTGCTTGACCACCTGCTTTCCGTCGATACCAGCAGGAACTTTCACGAGGGTCAGAGCGGGGAGCTGGTTCTGGGACGCCAAGGGCAGCAGTTCCAACGGCTTCATCAGTGGCTGTCCGTTCTTCGTGGGCAAAAAATCCGGAGAAGTGACGGCTTTGCGGAAGTAGGCAGCGGTCTTCTGGTGCCGAGCCCAGGAGTTTTCTAGCCCTTCCTCCGCGACGTTCGTGAGCGCCTCGCGCATAGCGTAGGCCATCGAAATCGGCGCGGTGTGGTGGTACACGCGTGCTGGCGGGGCCGCTTGCCCTCCACCCGCAGCGGGTGCCGGCGTATCCATCATGTACTTTTTGATCATGCTCATATCCAAGTACCAGCTCTTCACTTTCCCCTTGCGATTCTCGAGTTTTGCCAACGCGCGCGGCCCAAGCGAGAGCGCGGAGATACCCGGCGGGCAGCCCATACACTTCTGTCCACCCGCGTACGCCGCGTCCACGCGCCAGTCGTCCAGGTAGATAGGGGCTCCGCAGATCGAGGTGACCGTGTCGAGCATGAGGAGGCAGTCGTGCTGGCGACACAGCTTCCCGATTTCGCCCACGCGGTCCTGCAGCATGCCTGTACTCGTTTCAGCGTGACAGAGCCACATCAACTTGGGCTTGTGCTTCTCCAGGGCCGCTCGAATTTCCTCCGGCGTGAAGGGCTCGCCGTAGTTTTTCTGGATCTTCTCGACAACATCGGTGAACCGGCTGTGCATGTCCAGCGCGCGCTCCCCGAAGTAGCCGTTCACGCAGATCAAGTGCTTATCCCCTTGCTCGGTCAAGTTCGCGATCGCGGCCTCCCATGCCGCGGAGCCTGTACCTGACACAGGAACGGTGAAGGCGTTCTCGGTTTGCCACATGTATCGCAGCATCATCTTGATGTCCTCCATGATGCGCAGAAAGTCGGGGTCCATGTGACCGATCTGGGGCAACGCCATGGCCGCGTGCACCCGCGGGTCCGCATTCTGCGGCCCCGGGCCCAACAGCAGTCGGCTCTCGGGGTTCAAGCGAGGAACAACGGTGCCTGGAGCGGGAGCTCCAGCACCGCGTTGCAGCGGATTCTGCACTCGCATCGGCATGCTGACAATATATGTGTTTCTTTTGTGTAAGGAAAAAGAAACTTCGTGCTTTTCGTCCTTGGAAAATCTACTTAATGGGAAAACCAACGTTAGGATCGTACCGCTTTTACATTCACTCTTCGGGCTTAGGATAACGTCAACAGGAATCTGACTTAGACTGTACAATTGGGCTCCAGTAATTAGAACTCTTAATCTTTATCGTACACTGAAAATAATTTCGTTCAATTTTTCATACGAAATGGGATAATTCCGGAAACAATAAGTGTCAATCGTTCAACTAGAGTCAAGTAAGTTAGTTATTCAGTCACAACTACAATCGAGCTGATCTAACGACAGGAGAGAACTATGACGCTCTTTCTAGGGAATATGATATTTTCCGCCTAAAAAAACGAGGCTCAACAACGATGAATCGTCTGTGGCTGAAGGTATACCTGTATCTTACTCCCTACACAATGGGAAAATAGGATATCAGAGGACTCCAGCTATGAATTGTTTGAGCCGTTAATTCAAGCAATTACCATTATAAGGAAATGAACGTTCACCGACGTGAAAAAAGCATTCGTCTAGATTCTGTCCGGAAACACAAAAAAGCGGGATCGACAGTTTCTGACAACAGACACTAACAGAGTTGTGTTGATTTATAGGTGGATTACGTTTGCGCATCATGGTATCCCGACATAGTGAAAGTCAATACGTATGCAACGAGAATGATACGCTACGAACACCTATCTCACCAAAAGAGCCTCTTCTTTCGCCTTTTATCTCGGTTCAACACTTCGAATTTTGATACAAGGAAGCATTCAAAGAGGCTCGATAACAAAAGTAGAGCCATGTATAACCAACAGGTTCATCAACTCACTCGCCTGTTCTCGAAAAAAAACATTTTGGGTAGGCCCTTTCTCTACACGATCAGCCTTCTACAGACAGACTCACTCGTCCTCGTCACTTCTCTGGCTCGTCGTCTCTTCTCTCAACATAGGAACAGTCGCTTCAGCGGCATTGATTTTAAAGAGAATGGCATCTACTTCAAAGGGCACAGAAAGGGCACAGTTCGATTAGAAAAGGTAAATCGCAGATCCGTAGAATGTCTGTGTATTTGCTCACTGTCTCTCGCACACTTACTGTAATAGCGTTTCTGACACGATGAAGACAAAAATTAATAGCGCACGGAATACTCCGATCGAACAACGATCTTCAGTGGCTTTAGAGTGCTGACCGTGGGACTTGTCAAAATCCTTGGAAAGCCAGGTGTCTCAGTAGGTTTGAGCAGCTTGCCATCTTTGGACCTGGAATCTTCTGAAATCACCATTTTGACAGCGACCAGGACAATGCTGGACAGAGCATGCAAAGCGGTAAGAGTAGAAGATGTTATTATATACATAAGACGTTCTAACCGTGTTGTCCAAATGATCTAAGGACGTCGTCGATGTAAAGCTTTGCCTTGTCAGAGTAGAAGATGACAATGAAGCTCACTCAACCTCATTTTCGATCTAGCACTAAAACAGAGACTAATTTCACGCTAGATGTTGCGCTACTATGCATTTCGATTTTCCTTTTCTTCGTCTCTCTAGAGAAATATATCCCAATATTTTTCGAGCAACGTCGGAAAACCGAAGGCGTCAATTCACCAATAGCTCGTTGTTATCGAGCTGCTTCCTGTATATCTTGTATTTTTTGCTCAGTCATTATCATGGCGTCTCAAGTAGCACTACCGACGAGACAAAGCAGTTCAAAAACTGAAAGACTAGCCTATGAGTAACTCTATTCAATGTACACCTGAGTAGCTCATCCTCATCAACATGCTGCGAATAAAAAACAGTATGAACCGAAAACGCGCATCGTTGCGTTCTCAGTTTACAATGCCGTCCAAGCTTATACACTATATGTGTGCTTCTGATGTGATCGCTCTTGATCACCGTAGAAGCACGACATCAGACGGTTATAAGCTGATTACAAAATAACTAGCTTTGGTAGTACTGTTGGATGAATTCAAAATCATACAAAACTATCAGTAGTACACCTGTTTGATGAGTTTACAATTAGTCTTGATGAATCCATGGGTCGTGACATGCGTTCTTCTGCGATCGATGGGACGTCGCGCCACACCGAAAAATTACTGCTGCCAAGTCATCGTAACAGAAGAAAACTCTTTCAAACAAGGGGTTAGAGGTGGGAAGCAGCTGCATTCGACGTAGTAGAAGATTTGAAATTATCCTCATTTTGACTCGTTGAAGCTAATTGAAGTTCTTTAGTGCTCGTACATATTGAAGTTAAGGACTTCAATCAATCTAACTGAAGGTCAAGGTTACTCATAGAGGCCCCTATTGAATTATGGACAGACTTTTTACATTGCTCATTTATGAATCTACACTTGTCGACCGGAGGACAACCAAGTTGAGTAGTCGTCGCGATAACGTCGTTCAGGATCTTAGGTTATCCGTAATGATATTCTATGTCCACAGCTGGTATTCACTGTCGCAATTCTAGCATACTTTTCAGCCCCATAATGTACGCGTTGAAAAAGTAACGCGCTACAGCTCCTAGTCTTACTAAATCATCTGTACAAACTTTGTCAGTGACTTCTTATCTTGAAGATGTAATCCGTATCTGTTGTTTGCCCTGTTGCACAGATAACTAGCCCTCTACAAAACTATACCCGCTCTACAAAAACCTGCAATTACTCGCATTGACCTTCCAGTCGCTTCTCCCAAGGAAACATAATGACATGCATAAGGACAGGAGGAAACTGATAAGATAACAGCTTTGGATCACTCACGAGGACGAGGAGAAACCTGATAGATAGCTTACCTGATAGATAGCTTAATATCTTGGTTATGGTTGGGATTCGATATTATTATGATAAGAATCACTACTTGCATTTGGTTTCGAAAAAAATATACTTACTCCACAATCTTATCAAAATCCTGCTGATCTGTACAACTACTCAAGAGAGGTGGAGATTGGATTCAGATTGATTTGAGATTTGGAAAGCCGTTAGCGTCCTGGACGCAAATACAAGGAAACTCAAACAATCAATCAGCCTCACCCCTTTGAGATGAACTCATGGGCCACTGAAACAACAAGAAAAAGCGCCGATGAAACCATCAAAGATCCAGACAACCCAGATTGCCAGGGTCTATTAACCATCACTAAGATGAGAGGCCGACTCAGCGACTCGAGTCGTCTATGTCTTTCATCTATTTCCGCATATGCCTCTCTCCCTGGCGTGGTTCCTCGCAGTGACATAGTACATGTGGATCTACAGTAGAACAATCAAAAGAACTACAATCCGTCATAGAACAAAGTCCAAATCTCGCCGCAATCGTGGTGCAACTGCGAAAAAAGCTCATGAAAAATCAATCTGTCAATCACTCAAAACTATAACTGTCGTCGCTTGGAGGTTTCTGCTTGCAACTGAAAATATCGTCGCTTCCTTTCTGAGGAGTCTTACTAAACAAAAGGTCACTTGAAGATGAGCGAATTTATTGAATAAGTTGTTTATCACGATAGTAATCGCATGATAGCCACTTCCTCGTACTATCACTACAAAATGAAGAGTCAAAAAATGAGTCTAATCTGTGTGTCACGACATGTTGACCGTACTAGCATCATAAAGTACTACTTGTTAGTTCATGTTCGTTACAGTATAGTTGTATGAAACAGTTTTTCCGTCTTTACTCCGCGTCTGACGCTCAGATCCGATTTTCCTCCCCGGTTTGTGGCGCCGATGCAGACGGCGCACTCGCTTCTCCACCGGACGCACCACCCGAAGCCGTCCGTTCTGGCGGGCGCTCCCCTTCTTAGCGAGTGGTTCATCTCTCATCTTCTCGACGCCCTTTCTCTTGAGTATTTTTTCGAAAAAAGGGTATGATCGAGATGGTGAGAGAGATTGAAAAAAGCTCCTGCTGACCATAAATTTTCATCTTCAGACGGAGGGAGCTTGTACTACGTGCGTTTTGAATATGCGCCAAATCACTAGGGTCCCTTGGCAACAACTGCATTCCTGGGGGTGGCACCAGGGCCGAGGTCGCATTAGACGTGGCGCCGGACGCACCCTCACTCGGAATTCGCTCTGTGACCAGCTTATTCGCCTTGCCCCCCAAAGAAAGAGTACTATTATCTAGTGGCAGCGTTTCCCGACCATCTCTCGAATCCGCGTTAGACACACCACGGCTCAGGGGTGTTGCAATAGCCGGAATTTCGTCACTATCTCCTCCCAACTTGCCACCGCTGTTGCCCGTCAATATAGGCGCAGCTGTGGTGGATTTGGGTATTCAATGAAGCAAAAGCCTTTGTGACAATATATGTGGATAGGAAGCAACGGAAAAAGAACGCCTGAACCTTTTGTACTACAGCAGGACCAAGAGGGACGTTCCCAAAAAAAGGAACATTAACCCAGTCCGACGTACTTACATGTAAAGATCCGTCCTATAAATTGATCTACACAGTCAAGTACCTCCGAAACCCGACGCCTGACCGAGCTTGCTTATAGTTTTCGGAAGCGCGCTAGGACTACTCTGCTCGTCACGTAGGGATACGTCCGGACTTGTTGGTGTTGCAATATCCCTATCCTGTTCGTACAGCTTGCTAAAATATGAAAGGTACGACCTCGTCAGAAAAACGAACAAAAAATTCTTGGCGACTTCTTGTGCTCATGATTCATTGAGTCATTCTAGTTGTCTTTTTAGTCAGGAGTCCAAGATGATTCGAGACTTTTTTCGTAAGATTAGAAGATCCTGCTCGCCAAGCTTCCTCTCCACTTCCTCGTAGTCCTCCTTTGAGGCCGACCGCCCCCTCCGTGTAACAGCTCCGTCGCCATGAAAAAGGGGGTGGACGTACATAAGTAGAGGCTATAAACTCTACTATTCTCTGTAAAGTCCTCCGATGAAGATATCACTTTCCAGTCACAAATGAAAACGCCACGAACCAAAACCAACTGAAAAAATTTCACAGGAGTACAACAAGTAAGCATCCCAGGCCGACGGGAGAGCGATACTCATTTAAAAATCACAGTACTCAGTAGTATGTTGACAAACTTCTACTTGTTTTCCATTATTGTGTGCCATAATCAGGTTGCAGGTCAAAGCCAAGGTATTTGCAGAAGTCACCGTAGCTTATCCTCCCGTTCCTGTCACCCTTGACTTCGGCCATAAACTCTTCGACTCGATCAGGCTCGAAACTCCTTCCGAGGATATGCTTCAGATTTTCGACCGTGATCATCCCCGTTCTATCCACGTCCAGCTGATTGAAAGTATGCCTCAGCAAATTGTCGTGCACGGCTACTCGAAACTGTAACATCGTTGCTGAAGAGGGGTACTCGACATAGCAATTCGAAACACCAGGGACATCAACTTCTACAACAAGTGATGAAATATTCAACCAGATCGGAGGAGTCCATATCCCTTAATGTAAGACGAGCACCTAGTTCTTGTTCTTACTGATGCAGTAGACTCCCCTAAGTAGACTGTGAGGTACCTGGGAAGTCTGGATAGTGGATATAAACAGGTAGAGGCACGACCTAGTGGATGTATACAGGTAGAAAAGGTACCTAGGAAGTCTGAATAGTAAATCTTGTCCTCATGGTTTGTGTCCATGGCATTGAAGAGACGTATGATTTCTTCGCTGGCCACTTGATGCGGATAGTGTTCTTGCAACGCGTCCTTGAAGACCTCAAGGGTAACGTACCCCTCGCCTTCCTTGTCCATCATATAGAAGAGGTCACGAACCTGGTGGTGAGTCGTTTCGACAAGTCGTTCGCGGGAGCGCTCATTCGACATAAAAGAACATCATTATTATATTTCACGCTTCAATGTCGATCATAGCGAAGGCAAATCATTTACTTGAACAAGGTGTATTTGTATTATGAAAGAACATTTTAAAAATACTAATTAACTACATTCATCTTAAAATTATCAAATTCATATAATAAACCTGTGCTCTTTCTTGCGGCGCCAGCCCCCATGCCATCATGCTAAGGCACGCCCTTTTAAAGTGCGAGGCTGCTGCAAAACCTCGGATTCCCTTGAGCACTTCTGTTCCCCACTCTTCGTTCACACTCTTCGCGCTACTTCTCGGCGCAATCGCCTCTGTGACCCATGGATGATGCAACGCTTCATCCGCAGACATTCTCCGGCTATGGCTGGCGACCAGCAGTTTTTCTACAAAGTCACGCCCTTTCGCCGAAACGTTGTACCACCTATTATTTGTTGTAAATGAATATAAGAAGGTATCTTCAAGACGACAACAAATGACATCAAAGCGAATTCCACAACCGAAAAATCTTAGACCCGACGACGACAACTACGATCTTCTTAAAATATACTTGGTATGATAAAAATAAATTATCAGAGGTAAGTATCTCGTCCAGGTTCAGATTTGGTATTTATCATTAGTGTGTTGAGTATCATTACTTAATTTGAATTTAAGTGAGTATGACGGTCGTAACTCTAGTCTAGTTTAAGAAATCTAGAGAACCTTTCTGGTAGCATGTAGTAGTTTGCGGCCTGTATTCTTTCCATAATTTCGCTTTCGTTTCCGGAAAAGGGAGGATAACCAGCGAGGAGCATGAACGTGATCACCCCTAGAGACCACATGTCTACCTTCGGAGTTATGAACTTTAGAGCTCACCCCAATACATCTTTGGATTCCTTTTAGACCTGTTTTCCACTTATGGGACAGGTCCAAGACGCTTCAGAAGATGGATTAGGGTAACCCTTAACAACTCCTGCTTTTGTGACACCACCTCTGGAGCCATATAAGAAATGGAGCCGCAAGCTGCCGCTATAGGCTATATTAGGGGTTGAAAGTTGACCTATCTACCTGGCCCATCTTTCCTTTTCCCCCTTGGGAAAGCCATAGATATGCGCATAGCGGGGTCAACTTACAATCCTTAATTTTGTCTGTCCCTCCAAAATGTGCGAAAAACCGAAATCTATCATCTTCAACACGTCTGATTCCTGATGAGGATCAGCAATGACGGATGATTAGTCCTGTGCCTGGGTCTGTCTCTGTGCCGTGTTGTACTACTATGTAGCACTGTTGAGGTTCTCTGTCTAATTCCATGCATGAATGATCCCAATTCATCATCCAACTTCGCTTCAGTAGGATACATAAAAATATCCACGAATAATAGTACTACACTAGGTAGTTCGTTACTATACCTCGTTCCAGTAGAGAAAATTTTCGAGTTTGAGGTCTCGATGAACGATGTCGTGATGGTGTAGATAATTTGTCGCGAGAAGCATCTGCTTGACAGCCGCCTGCGCCATTGATTCCGTATACTGCTTCTGCGCTATCAAACGCGCATACAATTCGCCTCCGGAGCATAACTCCATCACGAAAAATCTGGACAAGAGTTTTTGTTGCTCGTTATGACGGCGAGCTTTCTTTGTTGAAGAGCAGGAGTCGTCAAAAACGTACTTTCTCGTGAAAAAAACATCACACTTACTTCTAGAAAATGAGCAAGTCAAGTTGAGATACTTTTTGATCAGCATCAGTCACGCGTAAAGTAGTAGATTCTCAAGATGGTAGAAAAATACATGCTGAATTGATCCTCGTAGACGTCCATAAGTCTGGCTATATTGGGGTGGTCCATGGACAGGTATATTTCGCACTCGTTTTGTATCATCTGTTGTTAGAACTAGCCCTAACCTTCCTCGTAAAGTAATCCCGTGAAAATACTCGAGCCTGTACTTGCCTCAGTACACCCCGAGAATCTGGCACGGGTTACCTCTTCAGTATCTTCACGGGATTCGCGTGGAAGGAGTTAGTTTCTTTTCCGCCTTAATGTTGCCTTGTGCTTTCTGCGTCGGGCGCGCTGGCGCTCGCGCTCTGTTTTGTGAATGCTTTCACCGCGCATCTTTCCTGTGTCACCTTGGACACGCATACCTTCACCAATCCGTTGTAGCCACTACCAAGGACTTCGTTGCCCTGTGAATGTTGATTGTAGTGGGTTTTTCGTTATTTTGACGAGGAGGTCATGAACATAAACAGTATGATTATCTGTGTACGAAAATAATGTGAAATGATGTGTGTACTTACAATTAGTATCATTTCGATGAAGGGAACCACACTAATAGGAAATTGAAAAGTAGAAGTACGTCATTTTCTAATATGTAGTCGTCTTCGAAACTATGCGCTGTGTGATATCGTAAAGATTCCTTGTGCGTGTGGAATTCTCTACTTGAGGAATTCCTTCGCGATTTAGTCGCTTTAGCCTTACCACCGCTGCAGCAGGCATTGCCCATTTTTTCATCGCAGTGGCGACATTAGAAACAGAAGGTAATTGGTATTACATTTGTAGTTGCAGACGAGTGCTCACTAGTTGTAAAGCAGAAAGCTAAGATACGAATGATCATCGTTCCTGAAGATGGCATAAACTCCTCTTGTAGAATGTATCTAAATCTGTTCTTGCAGAGTAGGTATTGGGAAAATAGAGGGTAAAGAGGCAAAAAGAGTACCCAATTTTTGTGAATTTGTCATCAGCAGGAGTAGCGATGAGATTAGTTGTGTTTGTGACAAAAATAAGGAGTTATATTTGGTGGGAGGTGGTAGTTATATCATTGGCCTTAATGGTAGTAGTTATATTTCCATGAAGAGAGGTCGGCGTATCACTTTTCGAGCGCATGTTTATAGCGTAGTTGGCATCTTGGTTATTGGCGTCGTTCTTCCGGCATCATCTCATGGTGTCGGTGTTCCATATACTTTTGCTGATTTGATGAATCTTTTCGGCAACGTGCCTAAGATTTCCCTGACGATTTCTAGCAGCCAATGAGCGGAAAAAAACTGTTCCCTGTTGATCGCAACAGGAACATCAACCGCGACTCCACGTTATTAGGTGCGTCCCTTCTTGTTGTAAAGAGCCTTCGACGGCACTACTGGATGTAGTGCTTAGTACACCAAGCGCCGGGATATCGTTCCGTGTACACCAAGCGCCGCGCACTTCGTTTCCATACGTTGTGGCAATCAAAATGACTACACACGCACGCAGCAATAGATCGATGTGCAAAAATACTTCAACAACTACAAAGAAAAGAGGAGCTTCGTTACGTCACACAGACGAAGCAATCCAAAAAAATATACGCAGTGGTGCAACTCGCGCGCCGCGCTGCGACGAGCACCCAGCTACGTCCACAATCAAAGACCTCTCTCTATCTAAATTTACTATCCAATTATATTTGGAACGAAATGTTGAAACGAAATCATTTACAAATATATATCATGGTAGACCACTCTCATTGAAGGTGAGGATGCTTTCCTCAAGTTGATGTGGTCAATTAAGCTCACGCTCTCAAGCTGTTCCGTCAACGCCGGTGCAGTCATGAAACCGGCAGAAACTATCGTCTCCGTCCGCTCAAAAAAGGGGTGCGCGCTGCAACACGCTACTCGTGAACCCAGACTATGACGAGCAGCAAGCGCGTCGTGGTTTTGAGGTCGTACCGTCCTCTTGGGGCTCCACGGCGTGCGGCACGACCACGACTTAATCTGGGACATAAATCTTAGAAGTAACTACATCAACTGAGACATGCACTGCATCTCGCAGACTGCGGCCTGATGCATAACCCACATGGATACGACTCGCTGATGATCTCCACCATAAGATTCCCAGTTTGAACAACCGTATCTCCTAGTACGTGCCTGTGTCCATATCTTACTGCCATCGATCCGTATAGACGATATAGATACTAACTTGCGTAAGTATAACAAAATCAAAATTCGACCTTCCACACAAAATGGGAGCTCAAGATCAAGAAACGATACAATATCTGTGCAACCAATCGAAAAAGGACACGAAATATATTTCGCCCAAGGCAACTGACACTCATCAACCACAAAAAAACGCTTACGCGTGACAAGGACCACCTTGAGAAAGTTCTGAATAGAATAATTATTGATCTCCTAACACCTACTTCTACTCGTAAACGTTGCAATAGTACATCATCAGGCACGATCAAAATCAACATATTATTACAGTGAGTACCAGTAGAAGGATACATAGAAATGTCCGGAGATTTATATTTGTGACTCCAGATTGATTAAGAACCAGGCTGCCTTCTTCTACTTCAACGAACGCTGGTAGTTTCCTTCTCGTATCTATTATGTATTTCAGCCACCAGTTGTTTATCTCTATTTAGAAATCGAAAGCGATAGTTTGATTGCTGTACAAAATTCGCGTAAAAACGCGAATACCATTTCGGTCAGGACAGCACGCATATAAGGAGACAACAGAAAAAATTTTCGGCCACCGTACAACGCTACTACGACTCAGGATCCGGCATTTACTACTTGTACTTGATGTTCCATAAACTAGGTGCTACATATTTCACCGAACGAAGGAAGACCTTTAGGTTTGACGGACTAAAAGAAACTCCTTGCTACAATCTGTTTTTCTACCTTCACAAACAACAAAATTAAATTACAGCATCTACTGCTACGCCAGTAAGTGACTAGTACTAATAAAATCTTTCTTCCGTTCGATAAAGAGTTCTATTCAATTCTTTAGGATTCAATCGACCACGAAAATGATAGTAAGTACTACTGTAACAAAACTTCTTTGTGTCTGCCACTTCTACAAACTCGGAAATGGGAAGTCATTTTTGTTGACCTAGTCCTGGCTCGTCTAACTATTTGCTAACAAGTTATAGTTACTGACTCTGATACCTATAAACTAACATAGTGAACAAGATAGTTATTTCAGGCTCAAGAATACGTATTTAGCAGAACCGATCATGTAGACTTTTCAATTGCACCTCCTTGCGCATGCTAACTCCTAGTACTGCCCCTTCAACCCAACTCACTTCAAAAAAAAAAATAAAAATAGTTCTGCTCCGAATTTTAAACCCTACATCGAAATTCGCCTCAACAACGTCATATGAGCTGTTGTGCATACGTGTGAAATCATGATAATTCTATCTAGTTCATCGTCCAAACTCTAGTAATGTAACACATACTTTACTTCACAGCCATAGAAAAATAAACAGAGTCCAAGTTTTTACAATAGCGACATCTTGTTTTCGAAGATAATTGACTGATAGATTTTTACAGGACCATGCTGCCACAATGATGATGTCATGAAAGTGTAGTAGTTGTGAGAACAATCGAGCATTTTTATCGGTGTAAACCTTAAGTCACGAATGAAAAATGAGTACCTCTTGTATTACGCAGAAAAGTAAGCAGAAAGTTAAGACTTCCGAGGGAGACTATTTTTGAAGCTATTACTTACTAGGTGGTCTGCTTAGATCTGCAGCTTCTTGTCGCCTTTGCTAGTACTTAGCCATCCATGACTGCTAGTAGCCGTCCATAAAATTCAACTCCTCATTATTGAAGAAATTCTCAACGTTTTTAACGCCCTTCGCCGTCATCTCCGTCCTCACCCGAAGCAGTGCACGCTGTCGAGCGCGCTCTCGTGCCTGATCATGGACAAGTATGTCATCATCGATCAGTGTCTTTCAAATGATGATCGCACTTGATCCAGGAGTACGTTCTCAAATACATTTTGTGATTCAAAGGGCTACTCCTAGAACTTACAGGCAAATCATAACGGGGTACTTACCCTCGCTTATCAAGATTCGTTGATTCATGTCAAGCACCTTAAATAAACATCCTTAGCTTACCACCGAAGAAGCTCAACACAAAATAATGCAGAGTGAAGAAAGAGTACCTGGTCAATCTGAGTGCGTTCCATCAGCAGAGGTCTTGTTTTTAATCGCTCGTTCATTTCTGACAGCTTCTTCTGCCAGCGTCGCTCCGTAGCTATTTGATTCATCCGCATGCCGTACGTCCGTTTCTCCACCTCCATGTCTGTCTGAGCTGCTGCACTGGCACCACCACCCGGAGTATGAAGATAATAAGGATACAGATGAATACAATTTTTTCTACAACATTTCATTTTGGTATAAGTACTTGAAGATTAGATAGACCGATAATACTTCAAGATAGACTCATCTACGAGAATACTCTTTTCTATTTGCTGAAGATCATTCTCCTGATACAATTGCAACGGCACAATTCATGCGATTCTTCTCATGAAAAAAATGAGATCCTCTCGGGCTTTCGGAGGAAAAAGCAAAACAAACATCATGCAGAAGGGAGTGCTCTACCCTTCGCTTCCATTTTTAAGTAGAAGCGCCCACTAATATCATCTTCATCACAGATCTTCGTGGACATAATTTGAGGTTCGATTCAGCGTGCTCTGTACACGTTCCTTCACCTGTTCGTTGGGCTCCTGGTACAGCTGCTCCTCAGCCTTTCGGGTTGCTTCCTCCTCCCTTCGCCTTTGAATCTTGGCAGCCATGTGCTGTTGATATTGCAGTGCTTTCGCGGTAGTCTTAATCTCCCGACCTTTCTCTGCCATCAGCTGAAGCTGCTTTACGCGGTCGGCTGTGGTACAGAAGTTGCGTGGTAGAAGAAGCGGAGGTTCTGGAGTCTTACAGAAAAATTTACGAGACAAAAAAAAATTCATGGGAAGGTGACTCAATTCCAGGAATCAAACACACAGTGTTGGCTTCTTTGACAAGACCTATTCTAGGACAGCAAGTGTGCTAGGAACGGTTAGTTTCATGCAGACAAGTTGTGAAATAAAAACTCCTAGAAGTACGCGCTTGTTGTTTTTGATATTTTCCTCCCGCGCGCTGCCAGCGCAGATCCGTCTCATCGATTGGAGGCGCACGCATTACCCTTGTAGTCGCCTGAAAAACGAAAGGCTGGGCTTTCGTCGCCGCCTTTTGGTTGGCGAGCTTGCGTTCTCGTATTTGACGTTGAAATTTCGAATGTGCCGCTTTGAAATCTGGTACAGACCCTGTCGTTTTCAGGAATGCAAACTCTCTTTCTTTCTCCACCTCGACTACGGATTTCTCCGCTGGCTTCCCCGCTTTGAACGTGTAGCTTTCGGGAGGTGGAACCACCGGTTTTCGCTTCTGCACCGTAACGACGGGAGCGGCCCGCGACGTCGTACTTGCATTGCCGGCGGCACCGCCTTCTTCAGGATAAAGCGCCTTGTAGACGCGATCGTGGCCAGGTGGAACGCTGGAGGACCGATTAGCTTTGTACAGCATATGCTTCGCGTGTTTCTGGTAACTATCCAGAACTGGCGCGAAGTCGTCGTCCCAATTTGACTTCGAACGTCTGCGCTCTCCATCGCTGCTGCTTCCGAAGGCAACTGCGCAACGAAAAAGCATCATCAAGTCTTCTAGTATTTAGGAAAGAAATAACGAGGAGTACAACGACGTTGAAGTACTATCAAATGTGTACCCGCACATGATAGATCCAACTACGTATACATATTAATAATTAGAAGTGGTTCCCCAGATGTATGAGTCTTAGTAGTAAAATCCGACTCCGTGAGCTGGCTCTCCTTAGCAATTCGTAGGAATGAAATAAGTTTAAGTACTTTTCGCCGCACTGGAGGAGCGTCCCAGGGTATCTCCTGGTGACCTGCGGTCGGCCACGTCCATTTGCGAATAGCGTGGCAAAAAAACATGCTGTGGAATAGGGTTCGCGACAAAGCCAGTGCTGTGCAGCTCTTCGCGCTCTTTGGCCGCTAAGTCTTCTGCCATTTTTTTGTCCTTGATCCTGGTGCCCTTCTTTACGTCCCAATAGCTGTCTTCGGACGCAAACGCCGGTGCACGGATCTCACTCGTTTTGGATGCAGAAGTGGACGCTGCATACTTGGAATTATGTTTGCGCATGACATTGCGCCCACTGCTCCAGTCAAAGTACTTCCGCTCCTCTAATTCTAGCTCCTCCCGTGACAGTTGCGCTGGGCTCCGCAGCGCAGACCCGGGCGGAGCGACAATGTTTCCCATTGAAGACGAGGTGGGCGCGTCTCGACTCTGCATCCGTGCTCCTGTGCTCGCAGGAAGAATCATGACTGTAGAGTTCATGGCTTTCTCTCCTGCGCGAATCAAGATGCGATTTTGCCACTTCATGTACAAAACGCGGTACCCGACGAGCGCATTCAGGTCGGCACCCAGCGCACTCACAAGGCGCTCTTCCACGGCTTCTAAGACAGCGCCTTCCGTCTCCAGATGCAACGTGAGCGCATTCTCAAGCACGCCGCTAAAAATTTCCGACGTCGAGGAAGCAGACTCCTCAGCGAGATTCGCGCCGCGCGTCAGGCTCTTCACTGACAAACAAGAGGCTGCGGACGCTGCATGATCGTCTAGCTCTAACAAACTGCACAGCCTTCTGCGAATCGCTTCCAGTCTAGTTTCCGGTTGCGCGGCTTGCCACTATGAAAGAGCGCGAAATTCACAAGTGAGAAAAGAAACATTATTGTTCTATCTGTGCTTACTCGCTTCCAAGTAGTCGATTATCCAAACAGGAATGTTCATCTGCTCAGAAGAAACAGAAAGTCTTCTTCCCAAATTCATGTCATAAGAGAAATGCAGTATAGTCTGTATCCAGCGTTATGGAGAGCTTGCCAATCGGCATGGCAAGTCTGTCTTGGACTCGTGGCACCGACGCCGCCGTGGCTGCAGGAGGTGCGGCCGCGAAGTCGTCGCCTTTCACCACCGAAATATCACCAAATCGAAAACTTGGTGATTTTGACCCGGATGGCGACCTCTTGTTTGCAGGTGACCGCAAAGCGCGCTCCGTCGGTTGGGTCACGATTGGCGCCACAAACGATGCTGATGTTGTAGTAGTCATATGAAATCGGTAGTACCTATATCAAACGTGTAGTCAGCGTAAATCTTCAAAAGGAAGCTATATTTTCTCTCAAAAACTGAAGTTCAAGGTCTGTCCCATGCTGGTTTTGCGTCGCCCTCAGCCACGTGTGTGCTACGAGGTAAAATTGAAAAAAAGAAGCACAAAATATACAGCCGATTCCAACGTCAAATGGTTCATCGGCGTTTTCGATTGAGCGTACCATCGCCGCCAATTGTCTCGCAGCTGGTGGCGCCTCCGCATCATCCTCCATTGTGGTTACCACAATAGGTTCGACGACAGGCGGCGATTTCTTCGAAGTAGGTGTTGCTTTTCCACTTCCTGAGCCTCTGGGAGACGTAGACGAACCGCGCGCTTGCTGCTTACTGCGCAAAGCTTTCCCAACATCGCATCTCTGCTTGATCACTTGCAACACGTCAGACCATCGCAACAAATCGCGCTCGTGTGACGCTAGCCCGGGTAGAATCTCAGCCCACATAGGCACGAAGGCTGTGGCGATGGGCGTAGAAATTTGGTATGTCGAAACCGCTAAGAGAAACCGTAAACGCAACCATTAGGGAAACCGTTAACGAAACCGTTAGCGACACCGCGAACGAAACCGTTAACGAAACCGTTGGCGAAACCGTCACCGAAACCGGTAACGAAGCCGCTAGCGAAACCGTTAGCAAAACCGTTAGCAAAACCGTTAGCGAAACCGTTAGCGAAACCGCTAACGAAACTGCTAGCGAAACCGTTAGCAAAACCGCTAGCGAAACCGCTAGCGAAACCGTTAGCGAAACCGCTGACAAAACCGCTAACGAAACTGTTAGCGAAACCGTTAGCAAAACCGCTAGCGAAACCGCTAGCGAAACCGTTAGCGAAACCGCTGACAAAACCGCTGGCGAAACCGCGCGCAAGCGAAACCGTTAGTGAAACCCCTGGCGAAACCGTTGACGAAACCGCTAGCGGAGCCGCGAGTGAAACCGCTACCGAAACACGTACTGAAGCACTTAGCGAGGCACTTCGTGAAGCACTTCGTGAAGCATGTCGTGAAGCACTTAGTGAAGCACTTGGGGAAGCACTTAGGGAAGCACTTCGTGAACCACTTAGTGAGGCACTCAGGGAAGCACTCAGTGAAACACTTATAGTGGAGAAACTGGTGAAGCACCAAGCGAAGCACTCTCTGAAGAACTTAGCGAAACCGCCTACAAAACCACTAGCGAAACCGCCAACAAAGGTGGGGTAGATAGGTGACCGGCACAGGGCAAAGAAAGGACCGGCTAGAGGCAGATTAGGGACCGGCGCGAGGCAAATAAGGGACCGGCGCGAGGCAGATAAGGGACCGGCGCGAGGCAGATAAGAGACCGGCGCGAGGCAGGTAAGGGACCGGCGCGAGGCAGATAAGGGACCGGCGCGAGGCAGATGAGGGACCGGCGCGAGACAGATAAGGGACCGGCGCGAGGCAGACAACGCACCGGCAGGAGGCAGATAAGGGACCGGCGCGAGGCAGGGAAGGCACGACTGCGGGGCCTAACAAGTGGCCTAAGTACTCACAACAGGCGCTCAGCCCCTTAACTACTGAACCAGTCGCCACTTAGTCGCCGAACTGGTGAACGAGATATCATTTAGGTGCCCAAATAGTGACCGAGTCATCACCTAGTCATCTAACTGGTGACCTAGTCATCACTGAGGCAGGTAAGTGGTGCCTCAGTCATCACTTAGTCATCTCTGTGGTGACCTAACCATCACATGAATTAATTTCTAAACTAGTGAACGCGTCATCACTCATCGGCCCCATTGATGCTCTAAGTACATTTGTCCTCGACGTCCATGAGCGTCTTTCTGTGGAATTCGTTCAACAGGCTTTGTTTTTGCTTCAGCTGCAAGACAAAGTCCGCTTTCTTCACCGGAAAATCCGGCTTCGTCTTTTGGCAATGCTTGTAAACGTCGTGAACTCTGCCGAGTACGCGTGAGTCTACGTTATACGCCAATTGTAGCCACTGATTTCCGCTCTCATGATCGACGTCCGCCGATGGCGCGTACTCTAGAATCTTAGGGTGCCGCTTGCGCGGAGCCTCCAAAATTCGCTTTCGGAACCAAGACCAAGGCTGATCTGTTGGTGCGGAAGTAGTAGTAGTTACAAAAAATAACATCTTCGATACTACAGAAGAACAGATGAAGCTCATAACAGATACGACCTTCTTTTCACTAGAAGCTTGGATGTCCTACTACTTCACGAAATTTTTATAATATCGAAGCAGATGACTTCGACCAATACATGAAAAATAACTCCTCTGTCAAGATAGTACCAGACTATTAAAATCAAACCAAAACCAGTTGTTGTAGTAGATACTTTCATAAATCTTCAGGGCTTCCAGATATTGCAGGCATTGGTCCAACGTCACTTTGCGTAATTCTCCAGTGAGAGGGTCTCGAACCTCTTCGACTACTATAGCCAACCAATCGTTTTGAAGAAAAGCCGAATCTTTATGGTCGCGTACCTGAAATGGCAGGGGACGAGGGAGCTCTAAGCATAACTGGCTAAGCAGTAGCAGTACAGTAGTATCTGACGATGATAGTATATATAGTCAAGTAGGCGGATGTGCAACGAACTCTGTATTTTTTAAGAGTTGTAGTTATCAAAATTTTTTCAAACGAGGCAGAGCGAGATCGTACTAAAATATTGTAACATAGGATATTATTGATGTAACAATAATAGCTACACCTTGTAAAGGAAACGATGGATGTCGACTTTCGACTCGTCTATGCTGTTGAAAATGGCTTCGAGCTCCTGCCAATGACGTACTTCCATCTTGTTGAGGATGATACTTTCTCCTTGCTCCTCAAAAAAGTTTTGGTACACCAGTGGCTTGGGTGCTGGACCTGATGTTCTTGGTGAAAGATGAAGTCTTCGAATTTCCGATTACTACTACAATATTGTACACTTGAGAAATATATTGTTGTGCGCGTCATAAACAACAAAATAATTCATTGTATACTATCATGAAGTTGTACCATCTTCGTTTCCTGGCCCCGGCTGGCCGAAGGTATAAGCGGAAAAAGCTTCATCCGCAGGTACCAAAGGCATCTCCTTGGCCGCATCGACACGTACAGCCGCAGCAGAACCCACAGGAGCGGGTGTGCCTAGCATAGCGCTGATATTGATTTCCATGTCCTCATTCCGCAATAGCTGACACACCTTTTCTACCGACCCGTCTGCAAAGCCCTCCACAAAACGTTCCCCGCAAGAACGCAATAGTATCGAAAACTCAGCAACGGAAATAAAACCTAGAAGGGAAAAGTAGAGGGCGCTAAGAGGGGAATCAGAGCTATAAACCATGGAACGGCCCTCTGATCATGTAAGTATGTTTGTTCCCCGAACATACAATGTACAACATAAACATTATTTCTGGCAAAATTAATTCTCCAAGGCTGGGATGGATGGTGAAAATTTTCAAGCACCAGTTCCTCTCTGATCCAGTTTTCGATATGCCGCGTCAGCACTCTGAAATTCTTGTTGAAGAAGAACGCGCATGCCGATGACGGCAGGAGAGCTGCATGGTCCGCCAGAACGACCTTTCGACGGCACTATTGCCGCTTCTTCGCGTTGCATTCTTAACGCTGCTTCTGTCTTCGCGTCCAGGCTTTTCTGCAGATCTGTCGTACTGCTTCGTGCACTACCGGAAGTTTTTGGCGTCTTACTAACACCCGGCTGTGCAGTTTTTTTGTTGCTTTTTGCAGGAGCAGTTCCTGCCACAGAAGAGGTTTTAGTCGTCTTCAGCGAGGACGAGCCCGGTCCGGATGTAGTACCTCCAGAGATGTTAGACTTCTTCCCTTTCGCTGACTGCACGTGTGCTCTGCTGCGGCCCGTCGCGCCCCCCGATGATCCTCCCGCCATTCCCGATGTGATGCCAGACGTGCCCGCTCCAGAGCTGCCACCGCGTGTGAGGTACTCTCGAAACTGCGTCCACAATATCCGCGAAACCGGATGCAGATTTCGTACTTGGTTCACGACCTCTTGCAACGTGAGTGTTTCATCCGTATAGCAGTCCAAACGTGCCAGACGGCCAAGCCATGGCTTTAATTTCGGGTCCACTTCGATCGCTAAGCACAAGTTCTGCACGCTCACTGCCTCCTCTCCCCCGGATCCTGCACCGTCCGTAGCTGCGCTGTTGACTAGGTCGCGCGCCAATCCTCCACCAACGGATACTGACTTCTGTCGCTCAAAACAGCTCTTCAATCCAGAGATCATCTCCTCCTGAGCATCCACGATAAGGTGATCAGGTGGAAACTGGAAGTGATGGGCCTGGAAGGGTTTCGTTGGTTGTTGTATTCATTGATTCAACCTACTTTCTGTAGTTTTCCTGACTTCATTTTTTAAAAATGACAACGATACATCAGTCTTCGTCCACTTTTCCGTACAGGAACGACTGTCTATACATTCATTCTACACTGGTTCTAGTACTATCACTTCACCTTCAGTTTGTTCACTAGAAGATCTCAAGTAAAAGCCCATCAAATCATACATCACAGTACTTTTCATCAGCACCACGCGAGTAACTACATACCTGATTCCCCGCACTTCGACCGCGTGAAATTCCCGCGCTTGTGCTTGGTTGCGTGGTGAGCTTTCTATCTCTCTCTTTCTTCCTTAAATTATATTCAGCCTCCAATTGTTGCAGTAGGGCGTCATGAGAAGCCCGTAGCTTTGGCGCATACTCTTGCACTAATGCGTCCTTGGTCGCAGAACTGATGTTTTTCAACATTCGGTATCAAAATCAATCTACGGCCAGTGCTCATGATAAACCAGGTGGTTGGTTCACATTTGAGTTGAGCTGTTCGTTAAAATTTTGCTGGTCGTGTGCGAGTACAAGTCGTGCAAGGAAAGTTCATGTAACTAATGACTGCCTCAACACCAGAAATAATATGCTGATCTTGACTTTCTTCTCTATTACAAACAGATAATTACAAATCGTACTACGAGTACAGAAAATAACATTCTTATCCAAGGAGTGTAAGCGATTCGCATATAATCACCTCGCTGCCAGACTCGACAATTCTTGCCGTAGCTTTGCGAGATCCGCCTCCATACTCGTCATTAGCGCGTCTTTACGGTCCCGCTCGCGCCTGGCCATCAAAGCCCCACGGCCGCCGTCTCCGCCGCCAGGTGATTGAGATCCAGACCTCGTCCCAACGATTTGCAGTTCCATGCCACTATTAACTTAGACGAGAGATTAACAACAAGCACAGTGATGTTAATGGTAAGCCTATTGCTGGCGTGAATCTCTTCAGCAGCTTGTCTAAGATTTCCCTGACGATTAAAGACTCTAAAGATTTTATTGGAAGAACAAGTAGTTGTAATGTATTCAGTAATCCAAGAAGCGGTAAGTACATTATCAAAATTCAGAATGATATATGATCCCTGAGGACTTTCTTCCTGTAGTTCTTCTTCAATCTTGGAAGCAAGTCATTTTCAAGGAGGCCTATGCCTATGCGGTCCCATGCGATCCTGCCTAAGTTAGTGGTCTTAATTAGTAGCTGTCTGCTCCGCATGTGATGAGCCTTTGCTGCTCTTAGTCGCTGTACGAAATCCACCTCCTAGCACACGTGGCTTGGCGACGCCTGCGCCGATCACCTTCATCTCCTCCGTTCCGTCAAACAACGCGCTGTCTCGTTCGATTCCCATTTTTAGGAGTGCTTAGGCCCTCTAGGTATTCCGTAATTGCCAACGTCGTCCTTCACTGCGATAGTGCTGGAACCGTAGAAGTTCTTCACTGCACACTCAGCACCGCACAATATTATCGACAGAGTAACGGGGCGTGTCTCTTGTCCTTCGACCAGGAATCAGCGCAAAAGGCCCCAACCAGATGCTAGTCGGAGTCCCATCATTCTTTGTTTGCTCAAACAATGGCCAAACGCCAGGAGTAGTTGCGATTAAAACAAAATACAAAAAAACTCAGGTACAAGAAGAACAAAAACACTACTCGAGTACTTACTTCTGTTCGGCAACAATGTTGCTCACAACGCCCATTTTGACGAGAGTCTCGGGCCCATCTTTCTTCAATTTCAATTTTTACTTAGCCTTTATTATATATACTTCCAACGCGAGATGAGTCATACGCCATTTTTAGTCTCAGTATTTGCCTTGGATTTTGGTTTTGTCTTTCTCACTTCACTCTTACGGCCATGAAAATGCGCTTTGCTGCTCTTCCCTCATGAGATTTTCTCAGTCATCGCTCTTTTTACAAAAGTAGTGCTACTCTTCTATCCTTCTTTTCTAGCGCCATTTTGCGCTTTTGCCTCGTCTTTCACTGAACTATAGAAACTTGTTACATGTCCCTCTAGTCTGCTATACCTTAGAAATTCCATCCCGCGACCCCAGGCAACCACACAAGAGGTGCTCCAATATGAACGCGCACTACTTGCTACAATATCATTGTGTCCGAGTAATTGGGAGAATAAAGATGTTGCGTCGAGTGGAGGTGGGCTTGGGTTGTGTGCGCAGTGTGTGGAGGCCTGAGTTGGGTTGTGGGTCCAGTTCTTTGAGTAAGTGAAAAATATTTGATGTTCCTTCTGAAAGAATCACAGGAAGCTACTCCAATGACTTCGGCCAGCACGAAGATGATGCTTCACGTATTCGTCTTCGGCTTTTGTAAGTGAGGATGTTCTCACCACCAGATCGCGCCGTTTGTCATGTGTTCTTTTTCAAAAGCTCTTCAATCGTTCCAAAAACTCAAAGCAACTCCCCACAACCTCGTCCACAAGATTATCTCGATATCCCCAATCAGTACGGTATAAACTCTATCGAAGCCCTCCCAAAACGAATGCTGCTACGATGGCTGCGGTGTAGTAGATGAGGTAAAAGCAAAAGCCCCAAAACGGAAGCCAAAAGAAAACATGTTTGATTAGAGTCGACTTTTACTCATCTCCTCGACCCCTTTCCTCCTGTATTTCATGGGAACTGAATAAAAGGAAAGGATGCTAGGTCGGCAGGATGTTGAGGGAGATGAATAAAAACCGACCATAATTTGAATAAAAACACTGGGGAGATTCTATCGAGGTCACCCCAGTCTTTCGCGCTCTCTTTGATGTAGAGTCGCCGTAGCCTTTCCCTCGTGCGCTCCTGTGGCTCGTCCTCTGGCACTTCCATGGCTGGCAAAATCGAGACTTTACACCTGAGCAGGATTCAACCTACATGTTAATTCAAGCGTACCTTCTATGACCATCGAAGTGACAATTCTCGGATCAAAATCTTTTGGTAGAATAGGGGTAGCCATCTTCTAAAAATATTCATGAGAGAGAGGGACGTGTTGTCGATCTCTGCTAACTCCTAAGAGTACAAAAAGAAAATTTAATTTACTTCTTAGTAGAGTGCAAAAAGGAATCAGGAATAAAGATCAAAAGAAAAGAAATTTGATTAAGTACGTTGCCATTCGACAGACGCCTCCCGGCGGCCATAGTTCATAAGCCCCTATCATCACAATGGGCAGTATCATCGCCTTCCGTTGCTGTTGCACATGAAAGATTCCTTTCTTCAGTTCTGGTAATATCAATCCCGTCCGTGAACGGCTGCCTTCCGGAGCTACCATTGGGGGTCGCTCACTGGCCGCAAGTCGGTTGCAAGTTTCTATGGCCTGTTGCCGGTTCCACCGAGGCATTAGTCCGTCTTCCATCTCTAGGGCATATGTAATCAACGCAAACGAGGGGACGTACACCAACTCCTTCTTGAAGGTCCACAAAAAATTTTGCCGCAGCGCATGCATTATCACGAAAGGGTCCGCGTTTGACATGTGCGAGAACATACCTGGTTATTGTTACTCTATGATGATTGTGAGAGGATACCTGCTTATTGTTACTCCACCAACGTTATATGTGATGCCGATATCAACATGATCCGCCTGTTTCTTCTAGTTGAAGAGATCACGACTCTTCTTGTCTTTACCTCTTACTAGCCCGGCATTGAAAGGCATATCCACAATAAAACTGGGAAGAGCTGCCTAACTAGGAACAAAAAGAACGATGAGGATAAGAAGGAAATATTCACATCCAGAATATTTCTTAATGTGTTTTCCAAGAACTCATGCAGGTACCGATGTATTTCTGTGGATTTTGTTGGACTGGCTTCATGTTTTCTTGCCCGACTACTTCCACGCATATCCCGAAGAGATTGGCGATTGCCTCCGCGAGAAAGGATTGTACTCGCCAGTAGTGCCCCATATCCACAGGTCTTCGCCGACACAGACACCGTTGCAAAGGGGCCGCGATCAAGCGGGACAACACCATTATGACAAAAAACGGAATGACACCCGCGAACCCGATTGCGAGTCCCATGAAAACCGTGCGAGCATAGTCGTACCATTTTTTCGGAGAATACCACGCGCGCTGGTACGCCTCACACCGCAAAAACTTTACTACATCTTCGAACTCGTACTTCGCCTTCAGTTCCGCGAGCTCGGCTTCGGAACTATATTCGGTTTGAAACTTCAAAAAAATATATCGTAATCAATATCTCTATATCACTTCAATCTTCAAGGGGCCTCAAATGGTTCTACAAAAAAAAACAACGAGCAGTCCAAAAGCTTTTTATCAACCTAGAACTAGATGAAATCAGCAAACATATTTCCCTCATAGCTCTTACATTCTTGTTCGGATAAGATTTTCAATACCAGTCTTGTATTGCGTCGTATAGAAGTCTGCGTGCTGCATTTCGTCCACTGACTGTAGAGCCTTTGAACTTTCTTCGCTCTAAGTCATAGTGTGCAACAAAAGCTTCCTTGACCATGGTGAAGCTTACGGCGGTCTCCGATGATGCAGACATTATCAACTCCTGCAAGACGTTGCTTGAGGCCGTTTCCCTCTTCTCTTCTTCTTAGCCTTGGGTGTGGTTGCTCTTAGGTTTGTTATGCTCGTCTCCTTATCTCTTCGGTTTCTTATGCGTGTTCTTCTCACCGTCGCATATTTGTTGCTCATACTTCTTCCGGTTCTAGTAAATGGTCATGTTGTATTTCTCCCCAAGCGAGACTAGTAGGGGGAAGCAGGGGTTTCACTAATGTACATAACGCCGTTTCTTTGCGTTCATCGGTCGTATCCATTCACACCTCTTCTTGCGTGACAAAAGCCAGTATGGACCCGAACAATCTTCCCACCTCTTTTTGTGTCGCCTACGGTAACAGTAGCCAAAACCAGCCCTATTGTGTCGTGAAGAGATCTTTCTTTTGACGAAGGATTACATCCGCGTATAGCCGTTGCGCCCCTTGATGCAAAAAAAGTAGATGGCTTCCGAGTTGTGGTGCTGGTGGGTGGTACTGGTGGTGAGTGGTGCTGGTGGGTGGTGCTGGTGGGTGGTGCTGGTGGGTGGTGCTGGTGGGTGGTGCTGGTGGGTGGTGCTGGTGGGTGGTGCTGGTGGGTGGTGCTGGGTGTTTTCCGGGTCCGGCGGAGAAATTTGAACAGCTTTGTCGCGGAAGGGAAATGAATGGTACTTTGAAAAGGGAGGGATAGAGTAGCCTTTTAGAACGAGGACGGATGACGAAAATGCGCCATGAATGTAGACGAAACACCTCACTGAATCTTTTTTAGCTTTCAAGAACTAGAATTCTTCCACGAAACGGTTTATTACTTTACTTCAAATCGAAGGAACATACAACTACTACAAGTCAAAAATTTTACAACAAAAAACTGCCAACATCCATTAAAGAGTAACGAAGCGAGATCAAGAAAAAAAATACCGTGTCTTCACTAGAAGGAAACTACGTATTTATTTCCGGGCGTCCGCTTCTTGTAACATGCTGCAAGATCAAATGAAATTGTATTACGCTTGGAAAATTCATCTGTGCTGCTTCATCATCGAATGTTTTACAACCTGGTAGCCAACATCGCAATCCAAATCGAGATCTTCTCACGCGTGGAACTGCATGACGGTCATCCTGTAGCACGTGTGTCATCGCGTTTCAATTTTTGTATCTCGCATCCCCAGAGCTTATGTGAAATGAGAATAACTGAATCGCTGCGCAAGACTTGGCATGGAACCACATCCGAGTCATGTCACATAGACGCGGAGGATCCATTACAGTCAGAAAGAACACGTATTGAGTTGGAGAATACATCAACTACACGAAGTGCAGCAAAGGAATTTGCTTTCCCGGTAAACATGTTCTGGTAAGTCTAAATCACTGTGCACTCGCGGAAGTCCCGTCTTTATGATTGAAACGGACTCTTTCCACTTTGCATATGCATTTGAATTCAAAACAAGAAAATAAAGTCCAAACGAGGCTCTTTTCCACCAGCAAGCACTCTATCTCTATGTATTCTCAAAAAAAACTTTTCTGGAAAGAAAAACAGGCCCAGCAGTGTTTGTATGGGGAGGTTTCAGTAGTGTTTGTGTGAGAAGGTTCTCCTGGTATTGGAACATAATCATCGGTGGTATTATTAGACTGCAGAAGCCGACGCATCCTCTACGTTGTCAATGGCACCCTCAGTAGATGACGGCTGCGTGTTTACGGGCACGTAAGTTCTAGCGTCGTATCTTCGTGATGGAGATTGGAAATGTGGATTCCCAGCTCTGCCCGGGTGAGGATTCCCTGCGGATGCCGCAAGTCTTTGTTCCTCCAGTTGCCGGACTGTCATACTCTTCACATTTTGATCCCTTTCCAAACGTTGGAGAAACGCTTGCCGTGGTGCTCCTGCTGGGGGCACGGCAGGAACCGCGTTTGGCGGTGGAGCATTCATTCTGTTAGCGCCAGCACTTCCTTGTTGTTGTATCCCAAGCAAGTCTGTAGAGGTGGAGTTGCCACTTGCTGGGAATGGTGGGATTGCCGGCGTGGTCCGCGCACCTCCACTCGTCGAAGCTGATGGAGGCACTACCGGTCGCGCAGGTCCCACACTAGTAGAGGACGCTGTAGTACTGGTTGAAGATGCCATCAGGCTGCTTGGTGGTGAAGTGCCGCCACCCTGGCCAAGACGCTCCCCGCGACCCTCAAACAGCACGTAATTTGTCCCAGTGTTTCCAGCGCCGCCAGCTACTACATTGTGGAGGACATTTCCACTAGGCCCTCGTGAAGAGTTTGGAGAGCTTCCGCGTCCACCTGTTGGTGTTGGTGGCCTTGTTGCCGGATCATTGGGGTCGTCGTCCAGATTGGAGTTGTTGATACGGCGTGCGCCCATTCGGCTGTCCCACATTGTGTTGCTCCTTGCCAGCTCGAAGAGCCGATGCGTGTGGAGTTGACGTTTCAGCATCAGTTGCCGGATGTTCCACGCCTCCACGAGACACATGATGGCTAAGTAGGCGGTGATGCCAACCATTACGCCGCCGGCCACTCGGTTGCTCCACGCGTAGTAGATCAGGACGAAGCTCACGGGCACGGAAACGCCGATGAGAACTTTGGCTGCGAGCAAGGCGGAGCCTCCGCACAATTGCATGGAGCACACTAAAATTTGTGCGCTGTCCATCGGGTACATCGGGAAAAAGACGTTGAAGAGGAAAAGATAGACGTTCAAGGTCACCGCCCACGCACACAACTGCCACAGGAGCAGTAATATCCAGCTCCCCCCAAAGAGCGGCATTGGTAGAGCGGCGGGCCCCCCTAACTGAAATGGGACAAGCAAAGGCCAGATCGTGTTTGCAGCACCCGAAGATCCGGTGAGCAAACTTTCCTTGGCCGCATGTTGAGCTTGCCCTTTGTGGCTGCCCGCGGCCAAGCCGCCGAGTGCCGCCAGCTGCGCGAACAGCACTAGAACCCAGAAGGGCGCTTGTAAGAAGTGTGTTGCGGGACCGGCGACCACAATCTTCAGCTCGTTCCGCAATTTGTGGCGCGCATCCTCAACGCCGGAAGGCCGCGTGCTAAAGCAGATGCCCCCAAAGGGCCACAGCAAAATCTGGGCGATTTCCCCGCCTAACTTCTGAGCCATGGTGCCGTGTCCAAACTCGTGGCACAGGATGGTGGCGAAAAGCAGGATCTGCGAGCCTGCGGCGTAGGCGACGGGAAACCAGAAGGGCATGTTGCCGCCCCCATGCAGACTCTGCTGCACCGCCTCGAACACCTGGTACAGAAACATCACCACCAGGAAATAGGACACGCGGATCGGCGTGCCACGGATCTGCAGCGCCTCAAACGCGCAGTCCTGGCTTTGCTGTTGCCCACTCGCTCCGAACCCGCCGCGCAACATCTTTCTGTTTGCTCCCTTACTGTTACCGGGCAGTAAGTGAAAGATACACTTTTCTCTAAGTAGCTACTGTAACAAATAAAAATATGTTGTACAACAACTACCATGATAGTCTAGCTCGACTTTAACTCCAACCGTGAAAATGGGGGTACTCAATCACCGCATCGTTTACCCGACATCATGCCGCAAAACATATTAATGTAGAACAAGGTCTCAAGCTGAGGTAAGCAGATTTGTGTGATGTATAAATTTGTTAATACAGGAGCGATAGGGATAGAGAGCTTCGTTTTTAGCACAGGATATCATTTCGAGAACAGACGAAATTACACCCTCATTTCTGCACGCTTTTGAGAACTAGATATCACGATCAGCATGATTTCACTTTCACGATAGAGTCTCTTTGTAAGGCTAGTACGACTTCTCTAGTATTTGCTGATTTAGCCATCGAATCTCTCGAAAACGCTGCATCGGAAAATTGCCACGTGTAGTTTGATGAAAAAAAATAAAAACCGTAAGAGCGGAAGCAATATTTGGTATACAAAAAAAAAATCAAAAAGGCAAACCGTGCCCCTATCCTGCGAAAAAAGGACGACACTCTTCTAGCAATTAAAATGCGATGATGACCTAGCACTCTTCATGTTTAAGCTGTTTTCGCTGCAATGACGTCTCTCAAATTCAGACAGTTTTTGCACCTCGAACAGCGCTAGTCTTGCTGAATTGAACACCGTAATTTTCAAAGAAGATTGCTTTTTTCTTCTCATGGAGTCATGGCACAAAAAAGTCAAACTTCGAAAACTCTCAAAATAAAGGAACGAAGAACTCTCAAAATAAATTAAGGGAAACTCAATTGGGTAGAACATTGTGATCACGGCTGATCATTCACTCTCTCGTATGCTGTTGCTGCCCCAGTATCAATAATATAGTCCTATCTGCGACTCCTGGTCCGCCACATTTTCCCAACGCACGTGCATGCCGGCTTTCATGCCAGGTAAGCATGGACTTCTAGTGTTGCTAGGTCGGAGTATTTTCGAGCTTCCAGCCCGCCCCTTTTTCGGTATTACGGGCAGCCGTCATCCTTAGAGGATCAGCAGCGCCGTCTCCATTCGCCCCAACGCATATTGGAATTGCGCAACAGCAAGCAAATCCAGCAAAACGACTGCAAACAAAGACCGCTTCCAGTTCCACGCGATGGATCCATCTCCGGGCTGAAACCGTCGGCGCAGACGGGTTGCAGTGCCCGACTTAGTCGTTTTGGGGCCGTTCTTCTTTCCGGATAGTCGCAAAGCCGGCCCGGGGGGGTGCTCTTCGGGCCAACCTTTCCCCCGGAAACCGCCCCTGCCGTTGTAGCGCGCGCAGCTTCCCCGCTGGGTCTTCTCCCGCCGCGGCTTAAGGTTTTAGGCTTTTGGGTAGGTTTTCTGTTCACGCGGCTTCGGGTTTGTGGCTTTTGGGTAGTTTTTCTGCTCGCGCGGCCGAGGGTCTGCGGTTTCTGGGTAGGTTTTCTGTCCGCGCGACTTGGGGCCTGTGGCTCTTGGGTGGGTTTTCTGCTCATTCGGCTTAGGGTCTGGGGCTTTCGGGTAGGGTTTCTGTCCGCGCGGCTTGGGGCTTGCGCCTTTTGGGTGGGCGTTCTGTGCGTGAGGCCCTAGGCTTTAGGGGCTTTTGATTGGTTTCCTGTTCTTGTGCTCCTCGGATTTGAGGCCTTTAAAGTTGTTTCTCTTTATGTGGTCTTAGCTAAGGGCTTAGGCTTGCGGTTTTTGGTCCGGGCCCCGGTTTGTGTGGTCCGGGTGCTTCAGTTTTCTGGGGATTTGGGTTAGATCGCCCGCCATAGCGTTTCGCGGGAAACTAATGGAGAAGAGCGGCAGTCCGTTTCTCCATCAGTTTCCACCGAAGTTTCGACCTTCTGTCTCTTGCTTCTATTAGACTAGACACCTGTAGCGAGAAGGCTGGGACTTTGGAAGCAGCTGGCGGCTGATAGTGTCGCACTTACAGAAGAGAAGCAGAACGGATGGCCAGAAAGGTGGCGGCTCTTCTCACCAGTCTGAAGCTTTTAGGGTTTCGAAGTCCATGACTTTCCTACGCCATGGCTATTCCAGACTTCCAGAGGGCCAGGATCTTCCACGTGTGCGCTCTCGTCTTATTGGGGACATGCTGCTAGGAGGGCTGCTCTGCGCTGGGCGCCTGCTTTCGGCTTGTCGACTTATCGTGGACAGGCTGCGGCGCAACCTTGCGCCCCCCGTGCCTTACCGACTTACCAAGGGCGGGCTGCTAGGCAGCTTCGCGCCCCATGTCTGTCCCCGGCTTTTTGACTTATTGCGGTTCGGCTGCTCGGCAACTATGTGGCACACTTCTGTTCCCAAATTCTCGCGGGTGTGCCCCCGCCCGGCGTTTACAAATTGGAAGCGGATAAGCCGCGCGGCCTACCAATATCAGACCAGTCAAGAAGCAGGCCGAGCCCAAAACGAAGCAAACTCGCAAGCTTCTTGACATTGAGAGGACTCCGCGGCCATCTGCTCCAACATCAGAACCGCGACGCCGCACAGCGTCGGCGTCCGCTCTGTGTCTAGATTCCTCCACCGTCTAGACGTAGCCATCTTTCTGCGCATGATTCTAATAGTGACGCTGTAGCCACGCGATGGAGAACGCATCCCCGCGCAAGGCTTCGGCGGCGGCCTCTTGCGAGCCTGCCGGAGGCTTTGCGAGGCGGCTCCCGCGGGCTCTGCCCCCGCCTCCCAGGCTTCCCGAGAAGCTTGGAGAAGACTCACCCATGAGCCTCGGCCAGGCTGTCGCAAAGGCCTCGGGGCGGGTCGAGGGGGGCCCGCGGTCCCGAAGCAGTCCGGCGCCCGTTGTGGTTTTTTCTATGTTCTTGCGGCAGTTTGGGGCCGTCTCTCAGTGTCTTCAAAATGACAGCCGGACATGTCTCAGATTGATCAAATTCGCACAATTTCGACCCCTCACCGACAAGACCCGCAGCGGCTTCACTTCGTTGGGGGGATGGATCTTCTTCCCCTGATGAACGAAACCAGAAGCGACCACGGCCGCGCGTGGGTTCTAGTCGCGAGAGCTTTCCGACTCCGAGAGGGCTCCCCGTCTTGAAGAAGTCCAGAGCTCGGCCGGAGCTTTCTGAAAGACAAAGACGGGGAGCGCACTGCACTCGCCTCACAGCCCACCGCCAGCCACCGCGCGGCGCACTCGAATCTCAGGAGCGAACCAAGCACGAAGAAGACCGAGCGGGACACACTGCGCACGCAGTGCAGCCCGCCACCAGCCACCGCGGCGCGCCCTCGAATCTCCTAGAAGAGAGGAAAACGAGAGGGAAACAAAAGAGAAGACAAAGGCAACACAGGCGGGACCGTGTCGACCGGGTCACCACTGGAGAACCACGCGCAGCCAAAGCCGCAGCACCGTCATGCCGTCCCGCCCTTTGCCTACACCTACCAAATAAGCTTCCACGAGTGCTATCGATCTCACTGTCTTCCGCCTCTTCTTCTCTGTTTGCTCTGATGTAGACAGTTAGTGGCTCGTTGATCAATTACAGACACAGCGACTGGCAATGCAATCTAGCAAGGATTCTGCTGCGCAGGATGGTAAAGTGTACCAGGCGACAGCCGTGCAGGGCCTTAGCAACCGACCCGGGTGGCAATGCAATCTAGAAGGCAATCCACTGCGAAGCCCGATAGTTTAAACTAGACGCAAGAACGTAGGTATGTAGCTAACTAGTACTATCTCTCTGTTCTTGTGACGTAGGCGCCTGGTTCTCGCTACCGAGATGTCGCATGACATTTTCATGCTTTCGCTTGCACGCGGCTTGGTGCGAACCGATACCGCGTCGTTGGAAAAAGTTCCCACAAAAAGAGCACTCCACTAAGGAGATTGACTTTTGTTCTTCCGCTGCTGCCAGCTTCATCTTTGTAGACTATTTACTTTCGATCGTATATACTAAGAGTTTCCTTAATATATCCTATAGCTATACTGATAAGCCTAAGAGTAAATAAATGTAAGCTATACCATGGTCCCCACTCTCAGACATCTCCGAGTGAGACTGTTGCAACCCAGACAAAATGTTGGAGATGGCTTTCGTCTTCACAGGCATCCCCGGAGAAAACTGACGCAAGGCGCGCGGATCTAACGCCATAAACGCACGCCGTTCAGCTAGTTTCTGATTCCACATGCGTGTCTTGTTGTCGATATCCACGATCTCCTCTTGGCAAATTACCCGCTCTTTCTGGTCTTCGAGAAGTAGTTCCTCCTCGGTTTTCTCCTTCTTCGCTTTTGGGAATTTCCATAGTCCCTTTGACATTAGCAGCTTCCGGCATTCTTCTAGAGCTTCCTCCTTCTCCTCCTTGTTCGGTGTCCCATCGTCTAGAACAGTTGCAAACCACACCAGTCCAGACCTTGGATTTTTCTTCGGTTTTTTTTCTGTTTTTGCTTCGAAGTCTGCCATTTGATCTAGAAAACCTTCCTCCTCTAGCTGCTTTCGCAAATCCGCCTCCACCTCAACAATGCTGCGCTTGTTGTGTTGCTTCTTCGACATTTTTTCTGATTAGAAACACTTTCCCCGAACTCGTTCCTTGCCAGGTCCTAACATAAATCCTGTCCCTTCTTGCTGCAGCTCCTCACTGTTTGTCGAGGAGGAACTTACGAAGTTCGGACTGCATGGGCGCAAACGCGTCGTCGCGAAGTACGAAGCCACATCTATCGAAGGTACCACCATGCGAAAACTCCAGCAACTTTTTATGGACATGCATCCGATAAATTTCACTCGTAAGAGAATAGTACTCATCTGGATCCACGTCCGCTTGCGCTCGCTTGAGGCTGCTGAAGATGCC